CATTCCCATCAAAAGGCGATCGATGTCACTTTCAGCGCGTATATCGTGGTCTGGGATGTTTCTTTGCATAGGTTCCTAAGAGATCATGGTGCATAATTCACATAAAGTAAAAGTACGTCTTCAAATTATTCCTCGTCTTATAAATTTTTTTAAAAATTAACAAGTCTGTTTCTATTGGCCAAGTAAAAAAATTAATTAAAATAAGGACAAATGTAAAACAATATTACGATTTTTAGGTACACCTAAGGTGGGCCTTATAACATAAGTGCTCCATAATTATACTCCAGCGAGTGTTTAATTGCAGTTTTTTTGTTTTCCTTGCTAGATTTAGATAATGTTTTTTTCGTCATAATTACAATTTTATTTTGCTTTAGATAACTTTGGATATTGCATAAAAACTAAAACTTCTTTAAAAGTAAATACATTTAAAAACTTTGCGTTGGTCACGCGTTGCATAAATAACACATTTTAAGAAAACAAAAGTTTTGAAAGACTAATTTGTTCTTACTTGGGGTCTCCAGAAGAAATTGCACGTGCGTACAACGTTTGGCCCTGGCAATAAGGTGCAATTTTTCTCTGCGTAGTCGCGCTGGTAAACGCCAGGGACCACCAACGTGTGGCCAAAGCGCATGGCAGACGTTTGGAAAAACTGGTCGATTTGCGGATCGATGGCGGGGTTGTATCCTAAAATGTCGTAAATAATCAATTACATTGAAAAAATAATTAGATTTCAATGTTGACCTTTATATTCGGGCAATTGCGAGCTAAGCCACGCGGGAAGCCACTCGTAAATGACAATCCTCTGGTGCGTTGCGATCAGCCACTTTCGCGCCTCGTTGAAAATCTTCTCGTCGCTCCATTCATGATGTCTTTGCTTGAGCATTTTGGCCAACGCGTTGTGCCATCGGAACCAGACCACCCCGAAAGTCAGCAGAAAAGGGTTTTCGTTTCCTCGCGGGTTTCCGAGCTCTTAAAAATAATTATAATTTATCTTAATTTTTAATTTTGTTTGATTTCTCACTGAAAAATCTATTGACGTTGGCCGTTTCGTGCTGCACGATCCATTTTGAGTGGTTGGCAGGGGGTGGAGGGTTGGCCAGAGGCAGGCGTTGGGTGTTGTACGCTGGGTAGAGGTACTGGTTTTTCGCCGAGGCCAAAAGTCCACCTGGTTCCAGGGTGCCGTCCTCCCTGACGCGCAGCTGGTCAGCCCAGGCCTTGGTCGTCCCATAAGTTAGGCCTCCGTCAATGTACGGGGTGATTTCGTTCAACTGTTTGAAGTTTAAATTGAATTGTTCCAAATTTGTATTCTCTTTTACTTGTTGGCGGGGGTTGTTTGGTGAAAATCCTGTCCGCATGTCGTATCTGGTTCTCAACAGAGGCATCTCTGTGTGCTTTGGGTTTATGTTGCGGTACTCGTGACCCTCCGGAATTGGGATGTTGAAGTACTCAGGAGGACATGCCGGTCTTTGAGCGTCCAAAATTTCCTCAACCATTTGTTGCCCTGTTTTTATTTATTATTTTTCCGGGATAAAATATAATGAATTTTTTTTAATTCAATTTGACGTTTGACAACTTTTACCAAAGAAAACCAAGAGAGCAGTTTTTCCGGTGCGCGATTTTGTGCCTATGGGCCCTTTGAGCAACTTGTCGCTCAGTGTGAAAGGGTTGGGCCTCCCTTCGACGGGCTTGTAGACGCTGTCCTCGTAGTAGGCAGGCGTTCGCCGCAGCAGCGCAGTGTCTAGATTAATAAAAAGTTATTATTTTTATAAAATAAAATAAACGGTTCTATGGTTTAATAAATTGAAAGATTTACCGGCTGCGCCGAGTTCAGGGTGAGCCAAGTTGTTGTACCACCCATCATATCCAGGGTATTCCGCGTGCTGAGGTTCTGGCGCGTCGGATGGGCAGGCGGAACCATCACCTGACCAGCACCCTGTCACAAGCCACTCCACTAATTTCGTCTTCATTGCCGGTTCGCGGTGTTGAATCCACTCGGCGTTGCTTGGTTTTTCATTATGCCCTTGCGCTACAGATATTATTATTTATCATCAAATAATTCCGTGGTCATGGTCACTTTTGAGAGATCGCAATGCAGACATAAAATTATTGGAAAAATATTCAAACGTTTAAAAAATTAATGCGATAGTCCAAAAATTTATGAAAAATTTAAGATCATTGCATCTTTTAATAAAAAAAAAAAGGCCAAACTACTTTGAATTTGCTGTTTTTGCCGAGTCTTTGCAGCCAATTATGATTTTGACTATATTTTGAGAAAAAAATTTATATTTATTTAACAATTAATGATATGGTCGTAAACATATAATTTTATTTTTTTTATTCATAACATGAGATGAGTTAAAAAATTAATCTGCGACCATTGGCAAAATAAGTGAATTTAACTGATATTGAACCTATGCTATTAAAAAATAAATAAAGTTTACTCTAAATTTTTGGGCCATCTTACAATTAATATCTTTCAACGCAATTCAAGGTTGCTCATTTTTTCTATAATTATATTTGTACTCACGACCCTCTGAAAAAAGCCCTTGAGACTTTGGCATTATTTGATGAAAACGAGGTAAAAAAAGAAAATATTTGGTAGTTTCCGCATCGCTGTATCTCAAATGGAACTGGTTATCAATTTGTTAAGAAGAATGTGCAATTGCTCTATTCTAAAATTTAATTTCTAGGTTTTTTTCCGCGCCTGATTCCATTTAAAATTATCTCTACCATTTTTTTTTATATTAAGAAAACTATGGGCACTTGCCAATTTACCAGTGCTTAAGAGGCGTCATTCTGGAAAATCATGCCAAACGAAATTGAACAGCACCTTAAGTGGAATACTCAATTCGTTTTTTCTCTCGCAACAAGGCAAATATTATTTTGGAGGAAAAATTACATTGAAGAGAGAATTGGCAGCCAGCCCTTGTAAACAACATAAACTCAATTTGAAAGCAAAAGTGTTTCCAAATTTAATCTACTTGCCGAGCTGGAGCCGAAAAGAGGAAATTTTAAACAACAGTCAAATATTCTTTACATGCAATTTTAAACTGAGAAACCGTACAATTAGTCTATCATATAAATTCTTCTATCAATTTAAATATATTTTGAATTGGGTAAAATTATAGTGTTCATGTTGTTTCCTAAATTTTCCCTGCAAACAACTTATCCATTTACCTCGAGCTTGGAATTCGATTTTCGAGGTCGCTTATGACCATGAATTTAAAAAAAAAATTGAAAACTCAAAATTCTCATTGAGGCTAGCCATGGATATGAAAGTATCAAATACACAAAAAAGGTTGTCCAAGTCATGAACAATTAAAAATTATGTATTTATATACTCAAAATTGGGGATGCCATGTTTTATTTTATTTTCATTTTTTGAGATATCTTCACCTGTAGCATGATGAATTTGCGGTTTTTTGCTGAAATTACAAGTTTTCATTTTTTTTATTTTTTTTTCTATTTTTATAATAAAATGGAACTAGAATGCATTGTTTGGTTTAGTAAATTATATAAAACACGAAAAAGATAAATTAAGAAAATAAAAAAATTTGTTTTCTTTTCTTCCAACAGACCCCAAATTTTGCCGATTCTTCATGCTCTGATATCTCAAAAATTTAAAAGCATGCCACCTAAATTTTTAGTTTGTAATTGTACATGACTTTGGGTTACCTTTTTTGCATTTAACACTTTCATATTTTATTACTTTTACGTTTTTCAGCTATTATGAGCATGAACCTTAATGCAAAAAACTACTGATAGGGTTCCTGAAATGAACAATTATATCAAAGTAATTCAATGATAACAATGAAATTTGGATTTTATGTGAAAGAAGTATTTACAAATCAAAATAAAAACTGGGCGTTCTGAACCCTGCTTGTTAGCATCGGAGGCTCAAAGCTGTATATCAAAGCTGGTTGTTTACAGCTGAAAACGCCAATTGTAATATAATATTTCATCACGTTTATTAAATTCATCTAGCATTAACCCTTTGATAAATTTTTTCCCGTTTACGGCTCCAGTTCGGCGAGTAGGTTTAAGTTGGAAACACTTTTGCTTCCAAATTGAGCCTATGAGTTTTAGTAAGTTGTTTACTAGAGCTGGCTGCCAATTCTCTCCCAATGTGATTTTTCTACTTTTGTTTGACTGTTGCGAGAGAATAAATGAATTGAATTGAATTGAGCATCTGAAGGAAAAAATAGAATTACCTTGTGCACCGGTGCATTGTAGCATCCATAGAAATATGCTTAATTTCACCAACCAGTCCATATCGCAGCCTTTTCATTGACCTCTTATGCTTGACTAGTGGTAGTGAATTTGGAATAGAGTAAAACCTCTATTTTGCTAATCACCTTTAATTTATCCATGTGGAAAGATTATTTAACCCCAGATTAAACATGTTTTGCTTTATCAAAATTTATATCCGTGGGTTTTTTTTTTAAATTTAACTAAGCGCCTTTCCTTGCGATAAAAACAGTTACAGCAATTTTTAAAAAATTAGATAAATTGACATTTCATAATTCATAAGCTAAATTATTGTAATTTAGTGATATAAGCTTTTTGGTTATTTTTCATGTTCTATTGTTTGTATCATAAAATATTAATTGTGATTTTAATGACTTGATAAGACAGCCAACACATCCCATCCTTAGCTAAAGCATTTTTTATTTAATGGAATGCATTATAATGTTAAAGTACTATAATTTTTTCTTATAGTGACTTATAGTCAAAGGGCATTCAAATGAAAATTAAAGACAAAATTTTTATGTACTTATTTATCCACATCAGTAAAAATATGTATAACAAACAACATGAACTGAATTCTGTTGCATTCCGTATGCCCTAATTATATAAATTTAATTTGAATTCTCCTTTTTCTGGAAGTAGAAAAATTGCTGTTGAGAACTAGATTGAAATGAAAATTAAAATTTTAGATTTTTAATTTTGCTCTGACATTAGTGAAATTCTCTCAAACATTTTCAGTAAATTCAAAAAAATTCTTATGAAATTTAATTATTTATAAAAATCATCCCACGTTGATTAAAGATTTTCCCAAGTTTCCAAATTTAACTAAAACTTTTTTCTTCTTTTTAGTAATTACTGCAAATTAAACACAAGTTGTAGTATTTTAGTGTATGTGATTACTTCTTGTTAATGTAGTCTAAGCTGTGGTAACAAATTTAAATTGTTGTTGAACGGAAACAATACAAAACTTAAACGGTGTCTAAACAGTATGGTTATAATCCTATAAACGGGAACAACTTTTTAAGCACTAAATAATAACATAATATATCAATTATGATGTATTAAAAAATATTATTACTGGATAAAAGTTAAATCAACAAAGACGGAAACTCACACAAATGTAAAAAATCATAAACTGAAAATGCAGCATAAGTACTGGCACAAACATTCATCATTCTCGTTTAGAAATTCTCTGAATGATGTTCAAAAACCGATCCGCATGAAGCATGCTTGTTGGCATCGGAGGCTCCTTCGTTAACGCTGTGGGTCAAAGCTGGCGGTCCGCAGCTGAAAACCCCAATCTTCTTTACCTGCGCCAGAGTAAAATTTTATCATCAATTTTATTTTCAATTATGTAAGTCAACAAAAATTACATCAGAATGATATTCAGAGAGCGCAAGGAACATTTTCTTGAAATTTGGTCGTCCAAAGTGAGTTCGCGCCTTCAGTCCAGTAAACAAAGACCGACCACTTGCTCTTTGAAAGTGCCTCTCGCAGATGTACTAAATTTTTTTTAAATAATATAGTAACAAAAAAATCAATCATATAACATGATACCAAGAGCATAGTGCGCATATCAAACTTTTCAAAAAATTGAGTGACAAAAATGTGAACGGACACGACCAGTTGCGAATCGACGCTTTCCAACTCACGGATGATGTCGACCAACCACTCAAAGTGCTTTTGAGTTTTTGTCACCCAGAAAAAGTAAACCTAATAAATGAGAAAAACATTTAAATCTTTTCAAAAAAAACTTTCATGCAAAATTCACTTTTTTGCACTTGTGTTGGGACGCTTTAGCCTTGATATTAGCGTTAAAAACGATGTCCTTGAGAATAGATGCAAATGGGGTGACGCCGATTCCGCCGCCGACCAAAATGGAAACGTCATAAGTGTTCCAATCTTGGTGACTTTCGCCGTACGGTCCATCCAAGTAAATCTGCGTTAAAAAATTATTATCATACAAACTAATATAAAATCACAGAAAACATTGAGATTTGTTATAAATTTTAACTTTTTCCTGGTTTCCTGGTTGTTCTGAAAATAAATAATAACAAATTATAAACAGAGAAATTGAAAATTTTACCTTTGGAAGCGTTTTAGTGCCGTCAGAATGTCTGCTTTCAATAAGACGCCGAATATTCCAAGTCCAGGGGCCAACAGCTCTGATGTGAAGTGACAAGTGTTCCTCATTCGGAGCTGACGAAAGGGTGAATGGGTGGTACTCAGACGAGTTGAGTTCAGGGCACGCGATTCGCACCCACTGGCCTGATTTGTAGTTGAAGTTTGAGGGTTTCAAAATTTTCAACATCGTTACGTCTAAAAATTAAAATTTGTATGAAATTCAATAATGATAATATACATTAATTCTACCTGATGGAAGAATTTGCGCTCCAACCAAAGGAATTTTGACCTTCTTTCGACTCATGGTGACCAAATTGTCCAATGTAAACAAAACGCAGGGGCCCAAGAAGAAATAATGGAAATAAGGTTCCTAGAAAAAAAATGTAATTTTTCTCTTGCAATTAAATATTTAATTTAAATTACTTGAACCAATCTGGCAGATCCGTGGAGAACAATGAGGGCGTAGAAAATCGGATACAAATTGTGCGTGTTCCAAAACCAATTGTGCAAATGTCTGCGCGAGTACGGGATTGCGAAAATATAAATCAAAGCGCCAACGATCACAAGCAAAATTCCTGTGACTCCAGTCAGCGTTTGCCAGCACCAGTAATGGAACTTGGGGATTTCGTGGGTCCTATTTTTTATAATAAATATGAGCGCAAAAAAATAATTTGCTTCTTACGCGTGGAAAAAGTTCCTAAACAAACATGTCAAATCATCAGAGGTTTGTGTTGAAATGTGGTAGAAATTGATTCCGTGGCCAATGCAGTGGAAAACTTAAAATTTTGGTTAAAAATTTTAATTTTTTCTTTTAATTAATTTTGTACTTGTGAATATGAGGGCCCATATGGCGATGTATTTGTGCATTTCGACAGCAGAGTCGAGGGGAATGTAGCGGCTGAGAAAAGTTTCGCGCAGATAGGTAATTGTGTTTCGGCACATTGTGATCAGCAAAGTCGAGTAGGTGAACATCATCGCAGAAGCGGCACCGCGAGTTATCGTAACTCCGTATCCCGCGATGCGACGCAACCCCGCGTGCTCTCGTTCAACAGAATAATCTTTTGAATTAATTAGTTAAAGTATAATAAAAATTTCAATTATTCTTACAATAGGCTCGTTCAGCGAAAATGCTGAGCAGCACCAAAGTGTAGAGCGTGCACCAGAAAATGTGCATCCGGTAGTTTTCGGCCGACCTTTTTATGGAGATGAAATTTCGTTTTATCCACGAGTCTGTTTCGTTGGGTTCTTCGGAACTCGTGTGGGGAATCGCGTGCTCGTCCTGGATGACTTGCTTGTCGGTGTTTTTCGAGTCCGCCTCTTTTTGTTGGGCGATTTCTTGCATCAAAATGCGAGGGTCACTTTTGATTGATGTTTAAAATTATGAATACAAAACTAAAAAATTTAACACACCCATAAATACTCATGATTGATTCTCTTCGGCCTCTGTTATTGTCAGATTTGGACATTTCGCCACCCGTGTTTATGTCAACGCTAAGAGAATTCATTGTTTGCCTCTGATTACTCATGAACTGCTGGAAGTCTTTCTTGTCATAATTTTCCTGGAAAATGTAAAGATATGAACATTATAAGAATGAGCCAGAGTATTTTAAAATTTACTAGTGATATCAAAAAGTTTAAATATTAATTTTTGTTTGCGAATTTTCCAAATATGAAGACAAATTTCAAATTTCAAGCGTACATGCATCTAGATTTTTTAAGAACTTATAGGGTAAACAGAATTTCTGGCCTTTTGAAATAAAAAATGATTATCCCTCAATTCTTTATTGATTTTATGAGCTTGATTGAATTGGAAATATATTTTTTCCTTTATATAGGCCGAAATTTATTTACATATTATTAAACAAATGGTAAATAATCATCTATAATATTAGGAAGATTCAAACCTTATGCTCCAATCCAGACGCTTTCATTAAAGTTTCTACCGCGGTCTCCAAGTTTTCCTCAACATCTGCTTGGGCAATTTCCAGCAAAGATCTGTATTATGCTATTTTAAATTTTCATTTCATGCCAATACAATGAATTTCACCTTATCATATTCAAAAACTCTGCCTTTGTCAGCAGTCCGTTTCCATCGATGTCATACATGTCAAAAAGCAGCTCACTTTTTTCCTCCGCGGTACCTAGTAGGTAATTTTTTAATGAAATATTATTGTGCAAAATAAAGGTACCTTTCTTAAATATGACGAATAGATCAAAAAATTCTCGGAACGAAATAAATCCATTGTTGTCTTTGTCAATCAGACCAAACATCTAAAGCCATCACCAGATTATTAGAATATTATTAACCTTGTTTTTTTTTTCTTATTTTTGTTTTGATTAACCTTTGTTATAAATTCAGAGTTTGACCTCATGTTAAAGTAGTCGGCAAATTCTGGCTGAGTGAGTTCCATGTTGATCGCATCTGTTGCACTACTCTGCACTCGTGAACCAGAAAACAATCCATGACCTTTGGATTTGGACTCCAACTAAAATTATTTGAAAATAATGAATCTAATAATAGGTTATTTTTTAAGCAAATACTTGATGCAAAATGTTTTTAAAGAATTCCTCCAGCTTTTTTTGCCTTCTTATTTTGGTGATTGCCTCTTTTTTCATCGTTTTCAGATTCAGTTCCATTCTAGTCTCTGTTTTACATCCAGTACTCTCCGCGAATTCATTCAAAGTGCCAATGAACTCCAAGCAATTGAACAATGACGGGAATCGAATACACTATCATTATAATTGTAATAAATTAACTTTTTTTGACTCCAAAAATCAAAGCTTACCAGATCGTACAAATTCTGAGCGCGAACCAGGAAGTGCAAGTTGTCAGTTATTTTATATAACGTCAATTTGGTGCTGGGATTGAATGAGATTTTATGCAAAAGGGTGCCGCCAATGGGGCAACAGACCTCCAGTTGTTTCAGTTCCTTGTTGAAAATAATTACGCGCTGGTGATAGCCCTCCTTCCAACTAACCCACTCCTCAACTGTTGACAACAAATCATTAATTTCCCTTGAATTGTTTTAAAGTTAACAAGCAGCACACCTGCAAAGAACTTTTGATGACTGAGATTTTTAAAATTAGACGGAAAATTCGTTGGCTTGGGTTTTACTGCAGTTTTCCTTTTCAACAGCATCACCATTAAGAAAAGGGTGCCTATCATAGCTACAATGATGGTGGCCAATCCGCTAAAAGTAAGAATAAAAGAAAGCTCGCTGTTGGAAAAGTAATCGTAGGTGTCAGGGCGAGTGCACGCTTCCACCCTCGACTCGTCCAGAGGGTGCAAATGCCTGCATTTTCCAGTTGCAGTCCCACTGCAGTCACTTTCGTGCAATTCCGGATTGTCTCGACAGGATTCGGGAATTTCTGAGGAACAAAAATTATTTTATTGTTTGAGTATTGAACATTTAAAAAAATGTTGCCTTCTGGTGTTGGCGCCAAGAATGGGTTTTCCTGCATGTCTTCGTTCAACATGTGCGTAACGCTCATGACTACATCGCGAAATCTGATTTGATGGATCCTGGCGATTTCGGCGTCAGTAAAAAGTCTGAATTTTCAGTCAAGATATGAACATTTTTCCCGCATAATATTTCGTCTTACTTGTTCCGCTTGTTCTCGAACCAGAAGCGATCTCCGTCCCTGATCCTGGTGAACTGATCTTTGATGACCGCTGTGAAAAGTTCTCCAGGCGAATCGCCCGTTTCCATAATTCCACCGACCCACACGTCAATTCTGTTGAGCCACGCGTTCGGATCACTCTGGCCTTCGCTGTACAATCTTTTGAGTTCCTCCTTTATCGACTTTTTGAAAACATGTTTGTAAATTTAATTGCTACGTGATTCCATATGAATACTTGATTGGCGGCATGCGTAAAATCATTTTCACTCGTATATCTTCGAAGACCGTAAGCCTCCCTGGCTGTGTTGAAGTCAGGAATTCCGTGTTCCCGCCCTCTCTGAATATTAACAGCCATTAAATCTCTCCTGGAAAACTCTAGCGGACCAAACACTCGGCCTAAATTCATATTAGTTAGGATATCAGAATTTGATCAAATTAGTTCATTCTTCTGAACAAACCTCTGAGGTCTTCTACAATGGTGTGATCCTCAGCTTCAGAGAGTTGATACGCCATTCCCATCAAAAGGCGATCGATGTCACTTTCAGCGCGTATATCGTGGTCTGGGATGTTTCTTTGCATAGGTTCCTAAGAGATCATGGTGCATAATTCACGTAAAGTGACATAAAGTAAAAGTACGTCTTCAAATTATTCCTCATCTTATAAAAATTTAAAAAAATTAATAGGTCTGTTTCTATTTTCCAAGTAAAAAAATTAATTAAAATAAGGGAAAATATAAACCATTATTAGGATTTTTAGGTACACCTGAGGTGGGCCTTATAACATAAGTTCTCCATAATTATACTTAGGCGAGTGCTTAATTGCAGTTTTTTGGTTTTCTTTGCTAGATTTAGATAATATTTTTTTCGTCATAATTACAATTTTATTTTGCTTTGGATAACTTTGGATATTGCATAAAAACTAAAACTTCTTTGAAAATAAATACATTTAAAAACTTTGCGTTGGTCGCGCGTTGCATAAATAACACATTTTAAGAAAACAAAAGTTTTGAAAGACTAATTTGTTCTTACTTGGGGTCTCCAGAAGAAATTGCACGTGCGTACAACGTTTGGCCCTGGCAATAAGGCGCAATTTTTCGCTGCGTAGTCGCGCTGGTAAACGCCAGGGACCACCAACGTGTGGCCAAAGCGCATGGCAGACGTTTGGAAAAACTGGTCGATTTGCGGATCGATGGCGGGGTTGTATCCTAAAATATCGTAAACAATTAATTACATTGAAAAAATAATTAGATTTCAATGTTGACCTTTATATTCGGGCAATTGCGAGCTAAGCCACGCGGGAAGCCACTCGTAAATGACAATCCTCTGGTGCGTTGCGATCAGCCACTTTCGCGCCTCGTTGAAAATCTTCTCGTCGCTCCATTCATGATGTCTTTGCTTGAGCATTTTGGCCAACGCGTTGTGCCATCGGAACCAGACCACCCCGAAAGTCAGCAGAAAAGGGTTTTCGTTTCCTCGCGGGTTTCCGAGCTCTTAAAAATAATTATAATTTATCTTAATTTTTAATTTTGTTTGATTTCTCACTGAAAAATCTATTGACGTTGGCCGTTTCGTGCTGCACGATCCATTTTGAGTGGTTGGCAGGGGGTGGAGGGTTGGCCAGAGGCAGGCGTTGGGTGTTGTACGCTGGGTAGAGGTACTGGTTTTTCGCCGAGGCCAAAAGTCCACCTGGTTCCAGGGTGCCGTCCTCCCTGACGCGCAGCTGGTCAGCCCAGGCCTTGGTCGTCCCATAAGTTAGGCCTCCGTCAATGTACGGGGTGATTTCGTTCAACTGTTTGAAGTTTAAATTGAATTGTTCCAAATTTGTATTCTCTTTTACTTGTTGGCGGGGGTTGTTTGGTGAAAATCCTGTCCGCATGTCGTATCTGGTTCTCAACAGAGGCATCTCTGTGTGCTTTGGGTTTATGTTGCGGTACTCGTGACCCTCCGGAATTGGGATGTTGAAGTACTCAGGAGGACATGCCGGTCTTTGAGCGTCCAAAATTTCCTCAACCATTTGTTGCCCTGTTTTTATTTATTATTTTTCCGGGATAAAATATAATGAATTTTTTTTAATTCAATTTGACGTTTGACAACTTTTACCAAAGAAAACCAAGAGAGCAGTTTTTCCGGTGCGCGATTTTGTGCCTATGGGCCCTTTGAGCAACTTGTCGCTCAGTGTGAAAGGGTTGGGCCTCCCTTCGACGGGCTTGTAGACGCTGTCCTCGTAGTAGGCAGGCGTTCGCCGCAGCAGCGCAGTGTCTAGATTAATAAAAAGTTATTATTTTTATAAAATAAAATAAACGGTTCTATGGTTTAATAAATTGAAAGATTTACCGGCTGCGCCGAGTTCAGGGTGAGCCAAGTTGTTGTACCACCCATCATATCCAGGGTATTCCGCGTGCTGAGGTTCTGGCGCGTCGGATGGGCAGGCGGAACCATCACCTGACCAGCACCCTGTCACAAGCCACTCCACTAATTTCGTCTTCATTGCCGGTTCGCGGTGTTGAATCCACTCGGCGTTGCTTGGTTTTTCATTATGCCCTTGCGCTACAGATATCACAAGGCAAACATAAAATTATTGGAAAAATATTCAAACGTATAAAAATTAATGCGATAGTTCAAAAATTTATGAAAAATATAAGATATTTGCATCTTTTTATTATAAAAAAAGGCCAAAATACTTTGAATTTCCTGTTTTTGCCGAGTCTTTGCAGCCAATTATGTTTTTGACTATATTTTGAGAAAAAAAATTTATATGTATTTATTTAACAATTAATGATATGGACGTAAACATCTAATTTTAATTTTTTAATCATAACTGATGAGATGAGTTAAAAAATTAATCTGCGATCATTGGCAAAATAAGTGAATTTAACTGATATTGAACCTATGCTATTAAAAAATAAATAAATGAAGAAGATTTCATTGAGAATATTTAGTAAGTTTACTCTAAATTTTTGGGCCATCTTACAATTAATATCTTTCAACGCAATTAAAGATTGCATATTTTTGCTATAATTATATTTGTACTCTCGACCCTCTGAAAAAAGCCCTTGAACTTTGACTTTGGCATTATTTGATGAAAACGAGGTAAAAAAAGAAAATATTTGGTAGTTTCCGCATATGCTCTATTCTAAAATTTAATTTCTAGGTTTTTTTCCGCGCCTCATTCCATTTAAAATTAAGCACCTAAAGTGGAATAAATAATATTTTGGTTGATTTACACGTACAGGTTAATAGATTTTGAATTTATATCTATTAAGCTACTGTGCAGCCTTTCATTTGCTCGCTCAAACTAAATAATAGAAAAACTGCAGGATCTTTTAAGTATAGGAAAATAGGGCGCGTTTCAGTATAAAGCTACGCCTAATTATGTAACTCACTATCAGAATAATTGACTCTGCGACTTCTAAGCCATCCAATATGAATTAAAAAACTCTACAACCTATCAGTATTTTAAAAAGTGATTACCTTGTGCACCAGGGGATTGCAGTATTAATAGAAAAATTCCCAATTTCAACAGCCAGTCCATCTTGCGACTCTTCGGAAGGCGCTCCGCCGAGTTATGGTGAACGTGGTGACCACATTTGATTTTTCCTCCTAATAATACTTTTAACCATATCCGTTAGTCGTGGTTAAACTGTTTCTTTTATGCGGTGTTAAAGGGGGAAAATTATCACTTCCTTTTGATAAAGTATTATTGTAAATCAGAATTTTAATTGAATTTGCGTGTTTTTTATCCATACAGATTTGATGTCATAATGCAATTAACTCGTTAGCAAACCTTTGCTTAACAATTTTCGTTCCTGGGATCTGATTCTGTAAGAATCAGAGCAGAGAACACATTTGGGACGAATTGCGAGCTCCAACTTTTGGAAACATGCCGTTCTCATTTTACATAATATATTATATTCTATAGGTATGGACGACATGTTTCAGAATACAAAATTTTGGAAATTTTGCCGAATTTTGGGCCTTATTAAATATATTTTGAATTGGGTAAAATTATAGTGTTCATGTTGTTTCCTAAATTTTCCCTGCAAACAACATATCCATTTACCTCGAGCTTGGAATTCGATTTTCGAGGTCGCTTATGACCCCGATGAGTAATTGAAAAAACAAAAAAAAATGAAAACTCAAATTTAACATTGAGGCTCTCCATGGATATGAAAGTTTCAAATACACAAAAAAGGTAGTCCAAGTCATGAACAAAAAATTATGTATTTACATACTAAAAATTGGGGATGCCATGTTTTATTTTATTTTCATTTTTTGAGATATCTTCCCCTGTAGCATGATAAATTTGCGTTTTTTTTTTTTGCTGAAATTGCAAGTTTTATTTTAATTTTTTTTTTTTTTTTTTTTTTTTTTTTTTTTTTTTTAATAAAATGGAACTAGAATGCATTGTTTGGGTTAGTAAATTATATAAAACACGAAAAAGATAAATTTTGAAAATAAAAAAATTTGTTTTCTTTTCTTCCAACAGACCCCAAATTTTGCCGATTCTTCATGCTCTGATATCTCAAAAATTTAAAAGCATGCCACCTAAATTTTTAGTTTGTAATTGTACATGACTTTGGGTTACCTTTTTTGCATTTAACACTTTCATATTTTATTACTTTTACGTTTTTCAGCTATTATGAGCATGAACCTTAATGCAAAAAACTACTGATAGGGTTCCTGAAATGAACAATTATATCAAAGTAATTCAATGATAACAATGAAATTTGGATTTTATGTGAAAGAAGTATTTACAAATCAAAATAAAAACTGGGCGTTCTGAACCCTGCTTGTTAGCATCGGAGGCTCAAAGCTGTATATCAAAGCTGGTTGTCCACAGCTGAAAACGCCAATTGTAATATAATATTTCATCACGTTTATTAAATTCATCTAGCATTAACCCTTTGATAAATTTTTTCCCGTTTACGGCTCCAATTCGGCGAGTAGGTTAAAGTTGGAAACACTTTTGCTTCCAAATTGAGCCTATGAGTTTTAGTAAGTTGTTTACTAGAGCTGGCTGCCAATTCTCTCCCAATGTGATTTTTCTACTTTTGTTTGACTGTTGCGAGAGAATAAATGAATTGAATTGAATTGAGCATCTGAAGGAAAAAATAGAATTACCTTGTGCACCGGTGCATTGTAGCATCCATAGAAATATGCTTAATTTCACCAACCAGTCCATATCGCAGCCTTTTCATTGACCTCTTATGCTTGACTAGTGGTAGTGAATTTGGAATAGAGTAAAACCTCTATTTTGCTAATCACCTTTAATTTATCCATGTAAAAAAAATTATTTAACCCCAGATTAAACATGTTTTACTTTATCGAAATTTATATGTTGTTGTTTATTCTACTCTAGTCATACATGAAAAAAAATTGATTTGGAAAAAATGAGCAGAAAGGGTATCACAACTAGCAGAGGTCTGCTAAAACGCCCGACATCAAAAAGAGATCGGCCACCGCGTGAACCCACACTATCGTAAAAAAAGAACAATCACGACACTTTCTTGACTTTAAAATTGCTGCCACAAATGCTGCTTGCAAAGGGAGGGAAAATTGCTGGTTGGGCAGTCTTTGAGGGTCGGTGGCAGGTCATTCCAGGGCTTCACAACCCTGAAGGAAAAAGCGCGCTGGCCGAACACACTTCGGACCGGGGGTGGCTGGAGGCGGGGATGCCGGCTATTGTCGCCTTGCAGCACTCGGCCCTCGATGATTCGGGCGCGCGCGTCAAAATCAGTCTCGCCGCTCAGGCACTTTTTGAAAAAGAGAGGTGCATGTCGAGGGGCATAACTCTCTGCTTGTTTGCCGGCGGAAGGGTGCGGCCGTGAATAAAGTGCAGCGGGTTTTTTTTTTTTAAATTTAACTAAGCGCCTTTTCTTGCGATAAAAACAGTTACAGCATTAAATAAAAAATTAGATAAATTGACATTTCATAAGCTAATTATTGTAATTTAGTGGTATAAGCTTTTTGGTTATTTTTCATGTTCTATTGTTTGTAACATAAAATATTAATTGTGATTTTAATGACTTGATAATACAGCCAACACATCCCATCCTTAGCTAAAGCATTTTTTATTTAATGGAATGCATTACAATGTTAAAATACTATAATTTTTTCTTATAGTGACTTATAGTCAAAGGGCATTCAAGTGAAAATTAAAGACAAAATTTTTATATACTTATTTATCCACATCAGTAAAAATATGTATAACAAACAACATGAACTGAATTCTGTTGCATTCCGTATGCCCTAATTATATAAATTTAATTTGAATTCTCCTTTTTCTGGAAGTAGAAAAATTGCTGTTGAGAATTAGATTTAAATGAAAATGAAAATTTGGATTTTTAATTATGCTCTGACATTGGTGAAATTCTCTCAAACATTTTCAGTAAATTCAAAAAAATTCTTATGAAATTTAATTATTTATAAAAATCATCCCACGTTGATTAAAGATTTTCCCAAGTTTCCAAATTTAACTAAAACTTTTTTCTTCTTTTTAGTAATAACTGCAAATTAAACACAAATTGTAGTATTTTAAAAATATTAAATTAATTCAGCCAATTCCAAGTCAGTTAATTTAAACAGCAAAACAATAAAAATAGAATGAATGGGACAACTGCGTCAAATCTGGCGATGATAATTCGCAGAAGAACCAGCAGCGTTGATTTCAATATTGCTCTGATTGCCGTAAATTGGAGTGTCATCCTCATAGATTGTCCCACCGGTCGTCCTAGGGACTGGAATTGGGCGGCGGTATTTGTGTAAAGCACCTTCAGCCTTCTTCTGCACCTTCCTGATGGTGGTCCTTCTCTTCATAATCACCTAAATTGTGATATTTGAACAATAAATATTTCAAATATTATAAATTTTAAAAATAAACACTCACAGGCTCCTGACTAAAGGGCGGCATTAATGGTGACGTTGATTCAGAGCCATTAGCAGTCGAACCACCCTCTGGCTTAGCAACACCTTATTTTTTTATATAAAAATATCATTATTAGCTTCAACATTTCATCATTTAAATGGAATTGATTAAAATTATATAAAACTGTGAACAAAAATCTGAGCTTACTAGGGTAGAACTCGACATTATCAGTTAAAGGATCAATTCCGAAAAATAGGGTTGTCTGCTCCGTGAATATCTGATCAAAAATCCAGATAACCACCCCGAGGATGAGGCAAAAGACACCTATAAATATACATTTGAAATTTAAACCTTTTTCACGAAAACTTTGCCGCCAAATATAACCATTGATTGCGACCAAGTAGAAATCAGAGCCAAGTTTGGTAGTGAGGGTGGCGTTTTCAAACGGGATGACGAGCGGGTTAGGATTGCGAATGGACACCCAGAGGATGCAGGCCACGATTTGGAAAAAGCCAGTGAGCGACAAAAAGGCGGCGCCGTAGCGGACACAGGTGTGCAGCAAGATCACCGTGAGCAACCAGCACGGAAAAGCAGACCTAAAAAATAATAGGTAGTCGTATGAGCAAAATTATTTTAATCAATTTATTAAAAAAAATAAAAAACTAATTAATAAATTAAAATTAAAATTTTTATTAATATTACAAATTTGTATTTTCTTTATTATTTTTATTTAATATAACTTGCACATACCACATTGCAATGTGCGCGTACCACCCAGCCGTGCGGTAAAAACGTCCGAACCTGTAGCCCTCGCCGTCCAGAGTGAGATAGTCTGCGACCCAAAGGATTGGCAAAGGAAGGCCTTTGCGTTGGCCCTCCCGAAAAGTGCGTTGCAGCCGACCGGCTGAAAAAAAACTTTAAACTTTCCGAACTCTGCAAAATACGAAAAAGGTTTAGTACCGAAGGGTCCAAAACCAAAGCGCCCTTGATCCCAAGTCCAGCTGAATTCCTCGTTGTAATTGATGATTTCGTGCTTCAACTCGTCTGGCTTTTGATTGCCTTCAATTTAAATGATTTTCATCTCTTATCAGGTATTTTTTTTATTGAGTCTTTTTTACCTTCGGCGTGCAGGGTAATATTGACACCGCGAAGACCAAAGTGCACGGCAATGTTGGCTTTATGCAACTCGGCATGAGACCCAGCTTTGTAAGCCATGTTGGACTGAATAGATCCAACCTCCCAGCGGTAGCCAAAGTTCAAAGCTTAAAAATTTCAAGAGAAATAACAATTTTTTTAAATTTATTTTAACTCACTTGTCAAAATTCCACCAATTAAAAGACACACGGCAATGCGGATAAAGATATTGAGTTTCTAAGAAATTAAAATTTAATTTTTCTGGTCCACTCATAAGCTGTAAATTTAATACCCCTGCCCGGTGAGCCGCTGGCAAAATGATGAGGAACGCGACGGCGAGAATGACAAAGGCCAAAATAAAGCCCGCCTCGAGAACGTCCACTTCGGCCGCTGTCTTGTTTTCGGCGTACTGCGTGGGAAACCCTTCGCTCCTGAATCCGCCTATGAAGGACGACCTGTCCACCTGATGCGACATTTTTGTTAACAGTTACCAACGCGTAATAAGTTTTCCTTCAAAACTGGGTTGACGTGATACAGAGGAAGTAGCGGTTGGGCAAAAAAACCGCAACAGTTTTCCTGCTTTTGTAAACGTTTGTACAAGATAAAAACACGGGATATGTTTTTAATGATTAAAAATCTCAATTTTACATCCTTTTCTATTGAAATTTCTTTTTCTTTATAATATCATATTGTAATATTTTAAATTTTTTTAGGAAATAAAATTTTTAGTAAATGATGATAAACTCAAAACTCTAGTTAATTTAATATTTTTTGAAGTGCTCATAGATGTTCAAAATTAAGTGTAGAGAAAAGTTAAGGAAAACTCCTTTGAATAGCGTGCCACATCATTAGAGATTTATGTCACTAAAATATATAAGTTAGCACTTCAGCATTATCTTTTTCGCAAAGTTCAAGTTGCCTCTGGTGAGTCAATTGTGTGGTAGGTCAGCGAAACAAGAGCCTTGCAACAAAGGGCTATTGATAGCAAAATTCCATGGTGCTTGGAATGACCAGAAAAAACTTATCATTCGGCTGCAGTGTGATCGGACAGACACGCGGATGTTCACCGCCTAGTGATAACTTTGAGTTCAACTTGACCTCAGTCAGATGCGAGTGTCAAATTCTTATCTCGGATCATTCACAACGTGATCGGCAGATTTCAGCCAAGGGTGACCAAAGGGTTTATCAAAAAAATGAGAGGCGCGTCTCTGGCTTTTTTCCGTAATAGATGAGTTACATTTATTTCACATACATAAACTTCAATGAGCTGATTGCGGAGTGAGCAGTGTAATAAATAAAATGTGAGCGCAACAATGAGACTGACAAAAAGAGGTGTGTCTGATAACGCTTGTGACTCGCATCCACAGCGGACGAATCGTTTTCCATCAACAAAAAACCACTTTCTTGAGTAGTAAAATGGTCCCAAAACAAATCTGGAATGGTCGGAAAAGTAGCTCTGCAGAACATAATTTAAAAGGTTTAGCACAAAAAATTATCAAAATTTAAAACTCTTTCAGCATTAAAAATCAACTTTTAACAGAAAGATTTCAGACGACTATACAGCATTTGAATCTGCAACAACATTTTGCTTACATTTCCAGTTTGTTCACAAAAATATATAATATGTATAGAATTCCCGTGGATAATTACAAAATTTTCACAATCACAGGCGCCTTAATTCATAATCTACTTGCAATTAATGGTACTGAAGCTTTTTTTTAATAAAATAAAATCGGTCTCTTTTTCTTGAGCTTTAATCACTGAATTAACCTCAGTGCTTAGATATGCATTCTTAGTCTAAACTGAAAAAGAGAGAATGATTATTTTAGAGTATCACCATTGCAAATGTAAAGGAACACAGTTAAAAATTACAACCCCCAACGAACAATTAACATAATCGAGGACATTTAGTTAACGTAGACTTGGCGGAGCTGCTATAGGAAACCAAAGATGAACCCACAGAAATTTCGGCCGCTCCAATTTGTACTTTTCTCTGAAGCAAAGGTGCTCGTGGGTATTTTTTTCTTTCATTTTCCATGTTTTCTGTTTTTCCCTATCGGTTGAGCAGCGCCAAACTTGATTTCCGCCGCTGGATGGAGGCCGAGTCGTGCAGAATGGCCTGGGTAGCCACATAGCCCATCAGGCCGAGGGCGGCCACCATGAAGTAGAGGCCGACAGGCAGTTTGGCCGCGGTTACCACGCCCACCAGACAGGCGGCCACTTCGGCCATGATGAGCAGTAAGGCCGAGACGACCGCGGCGCCCAGGATGGACTTGGCCAAGGTCGAGTGGAGGGTGCGCAGAACAAGGAGGACCACGGCCGGCAGGGTGGTGCCGGACATGTCCAAGGCCACCTTGGTCTGCAACTGCCGCTGGAGGGGGGCCAGGGCGGCCGAAATGGCCGCGGCGGCCGTCAACTTGCGCTGACGCAGGGTGGCGGGCGGACTTGTCAAAGGGTGGATCACAGATTCTTTGGGGGTGGGGGTGGCCACCTTTGTCGACGGGGCCACGCATTCCTTGTTGGCCGCATAGATGACTGCAAAAAAAGAGACGGGGGAAATTAATTTTGGTAAATTTCTCTCAGAATAAGCATAAAATCTTAAAAACACATTAAAAATGTTTTAAATTGGATTAAATCCAATATTTTATTACTTCATTTGTTGATGAGGTTTTTATCTTTTTATTATTTCTTATTTAATGCACGTAACAAAAGTATATCTTTTTTTTTATATATCTGCTTTAATAATTTTGGTGGAAACAAATTAAATAAAAAAATTGAAATTAATAATTTTGTGTTTACCTTGCGGTAAGAACGGCCAAGCAAAGGATGCAAAGAAGCTGTTGAGGCGGGCAGGCGGCTTCTTCACCTGCGTCGCGGCGTTGGCCGCATCAAGGGCGGCCAACAGGCGGACCTGAGTAACGAAGCAAGTCTCGGTCATGATGATGCGCGCAGCGGCGGCCAGGAGCTGAAACACCAAAACAGACGGTCAGGCAGGAATTTTTATGACCTCCAAGGTCAACCGAATGCATCCAAAAGAAAGAGAGAAAGAAATGCGCCTTTCATTTTACTTTTTCCCTATTAGGGCGTTTCCAAAAATCGTTTGACAGTTTCGGGTCTCGTCTGATTGTAATATTGTTAATTTTGGATTGGGCTGATCTAAAACGGGATTGAAACGGGAAAAAGTGGGATCAGCAGATGCGCGTCAATCTCGGCCTTCAATTAGACAAACAATTAATCTCGGTGCTTCAAGAGTGGTCTGTGTGTCCTATATCAACATTTCTTATTAATAGCAAGCGATGCAGCGAGATGCAAGCGCGAGGACTGGCACATCGCCAAAAATCATAATTCGCTTGTGCCCGTTTTGATTCAACTTTTGTCACACCACTGCTTATGTAATTGCTCAAACGTGGCAGGAAATTACTGCAAAAAGTGCACGTTATTTGCACAACTCCACAACTTAGCATTTTAGTACTTTATTAGTTTTATTAGAAAAAGATCTTTTTTTAATTAAAAAATGTTGATCAAAAATGTTTGCTTATAAATATTTTAATTAATAAAAAAATGGAATCTCAAGTTGTACGGCGTTTCCCATTTTCTTTTATTATTCGATTTGATGTTACATAATTTTAACTTGAAACTTGTTTTAAAAATGAACGGAGAGTAAATTGACTAGATGCAACTTTAAAATTTGTTACGAAACAGGTGGAAAAAGCATCACTACATGAGGATCCCCCCCCCCCCATAAATTGCATGTGCAAGTAATTAAAAAAGGTGTTTGTCCGAAGTTATAAATAATAAAAGTCCTTCCGACCCACGTGGTAGTGTTTGATGCAAGGAAAACGGCGGTCTTGAGAGTATTGCACAGCGCTTGGAAAAGCAGTGCGTTCCTCTTAGGCGCAAACAAGATCAACCGGATTCACTTCTACTCTCGGAATAATCGCCGCTTCCTCGCTTGCCAATGCCAATGGACGGGCGTAATTATTATATTTTTCTTCTTTCCTGAGCGACTCGTCGACTCAAAACAAACGCATGACTCAGGTGATTGCAAACCGACTGACAAAGCAAAGTGAAAATAATAATGAATTTCTTTCAACATCCGATTAAAAAGTGATTGCCCAGCGTTAAAATTTCGATTACGTAGGTGGAAATTTGCGCAGAGTCGCCAGGAATTCGACGCGAAAAATATTCTGAGCACGCGTGTCTGGCAAGATTTGAGGTATTTTAGTGCGAATTCCGTCCGAATTGCTTTGGCTGGAAGCCGCACAAGAGGAACACATCGGTTATCGAACAGGCGCGGGTCGTCTGGAGTTGAATACGAAGCCCCCAAGTGCTTTGACAGCGTGGATTTGAATGCGAAAATTCGAAAGAATGCTAAAATTAACCAAACCTGAACCAAAAACAAATCTAATTTAATATACTAAGAAATAGGTAATATTAAAAAAAATATTTATATAAATTTGAAATCCAATAAATACAATTTAAATTAAAACTTATTTAAAGAATTGTTATTTTTCACAGAAAGATGAAAATGAATATTTGCTTAACTATTTAAAGAGCTTTCAGCTTACCAATAAATAAAGTTTGCTGAAATTTAAAGACTGGCGTCTCTTTTGTTAAGGTCAGCAGAGGATTCGGATGCCGGCGATCGAGATGGGCATGCTGCGATTGCGGTGCTGCTTCGGACAACAACTGACTGACTTGATTGTGAATAGAAGAAGCGCCGGCCTCCGTTCGATCCCTTTCCCCGCCGCCGCCTACTTCGAGCAGACGTTCTCTGCACCCCAAACCCCGAAGCGCCAGATTACACCAAAGTAAATACACAGCTTTAATCTCTACAATATGTTTTAGCCAAAGTTTTTATGAATGTGAATGTAATCTGGAATTTTCAGCTAGTAAAATAAAAATACCGAAATTTTCGTGCGTCATTCAGGCTTATCAGAATAACAAAGTAGTGCAGGGAAATTTTAATTAGTCATAGCTTTTGAAAGAAAAAAAGCTTAATTTTGCGTAAATTTTATTGAAAAAAATACTTTAAACTATAATTTGAAATTAATTATGAATTTCTGACTGTTGAAATTAAAAAATTGCGTTTCTTATTTTATTTTTATTTTTTGCAACTGGAGCAATTAATTTCCGTTTGTAATCTTTTACTTTTGTACACAATTTTTAAGAACTTTTCCTGCTTCAAGAAATGAATTTGTCCAGACTTCAGCAGCACGAGCATGGATTAAACGCGTGATATTGAAAATCGGCTTGTACGTTTTCAAAGTGCAAGGGTTACCGTCCTGCTGAGAAGGCCAAACTGAGGACGATTATACACTGCAGTGGAAACAGCCAAAGTTTGGCCGAAATCACATAATATGTCAGATAAAATTAATATTTTCCTATCTCATTTTTTTCTAGAAAAACACGATAAATAAAAATAATAATTTAAGTGCAGCATCAGTGTGGAAGAGATAGTAGGAAATAGAGGATAGCTTTTCTCCTTTCAAGCTGATCGATGCACACCTTTAAGGCACGATGCACCGTTGCCATATTTTTTTATGTACATAATCCCAAGCACATGGTTAAAACGTGTTTCTAGATGCACTCGGCACTACCTGCACTTCCATATCATTTGATTTTTCGTCTCCTCGCTCTAAATGGATGCTGTTATAGAATTTAGAAACAAGTCAAGGCACTACCTTGCATGTTTGAGGTTCCAATTTAAGCGCTTGTCTTAAAAAAAGTTGCTGCTTCTTCTCCGCATGAAAAGATTTTTCAATCATTCCCAGTAGAATTTTATTACATAACGCAAGGGACGGAAGGTCATCGTTAATATCACTAATTAAAAATTAAAATTAAACACTCGTGAAGCTCATGAGTTAATTGTTCTGATATGTAATGGGCGCTTTTTATGTCTACGGTCTGCAAAGTCCAATATTTATTTAAGGGGTCAGAGTGAATTTATGAGTGACCTTTTGAACCGGCTGCACTTTTTACTTGCTTGGGGCTTTCTTATGCACTGATTAAGCACGTGATAATCACTCGGGAAACATAAGGTTTACGCTGTTTGATCTGTATTCTAAATTTAGGGGTACAAAGTTAACCATTTGTTGTTGATGAAAACAAAAACACTGTGTAGTTTAGCTCGAAAATTCTATTAGTCTAATAGAACAAAAATAGAGAAAAAAAATTGAAATCCAAACTATTTCTTACAGGGATACAGCAGTTTTTATTTAAGTTTATTTCTGTAGGATTTATATATAATTTATTTTTCTTACCATTCTTTTCACAATTTTAATTAATTTCCCATAGGGTATGAATTAATTAAACCTCATTCAAGGCTGTTTAAAGTCAAACAAAAAGTGATGAAAAAAAAATTAAAAAATTATACCATTTATTATTTCCAAATTTACGTCAAAATATGCTTAAAACAAATATTTTTAAGAGGTTTTTACGTGGTTATACTGAAAAATCTCTTTAAAATTAAACCCTGAATCTGCTTTAACCTTTACAACACAAACAAAGACACTAATCTACACTAATTAGGACAAAAAAAAACACACGCGCGCACACTAACAACTATTTGAAGAATTAAAACTTGAAAAAATAAAGATATTTTCTACAGCAACTGAAAAATTTTTAATAGGGATAAATTTGCTCGTGTTGTAAAAACAATGCAATGTGGATGTTGCGATAAAAAAGACATGCCGCAATCCACACGACAAATTGACTCATTCTTTTATGAACATAAAACTTTGAACTTGGCCGCGCTCAACTCATTTATTTTACATCCTTCTGAATATATTATTATTGTTGTATGTTTATCCGCAGCTAGAATCATGTCACACACAATTATTGTAGTGGATATCACGACTCGAGCACGCCGCGTTTTGGTCAAGTGAAGGCCTTTCTCACTGCTGGACTTTGGATGAGGAGATTCCGGATAGCCTTTATTTTCCCCACATTCGCTAGGCGTGATCAAATGACTGGCTCTAATTTCACACTTTTAGGAGCAATTAAAGGTCACTTAAACAGTGAACGGAAATATTATGTATAATTGAGGCAAAAAGAAAGCACGAGGCAGTGCACGAAAAGCGGCGCAATATAATTGCGGCTTTGCAAACGCGCTTGCCAGCGCCAGCACGCGGACACACTCTTGCTATTTTGAAAATTAGCTGCGTCGCAAGGCACCTACCTGGCTGTTTAGGACTGATTGATCTTTCGCACTTGTTGGTGTCAATAATAGCCCCAAAAATGGGTGGAACGACACGCGTAAAAGAGGACAAAATGTTAGCTTTTTCAACAATTAATGAATGTAACTATGCAATTTTTTTCTGCAGCGTAAAAAGCTTTTTAAATTAAAAAAAAATTATAAATTTCATGCAGGTAAATACCTGTAAATATTAATAACGATTCAAAAAGTAAAAAAGCAATAAATTTATAAAAATTTCAAAAACTGCAAATGTGAATTTGACCAGAAGTTCCAAAGAACAGTGGGGCAATTGAAGCCGTGATTTTATGCAATTAGAATTGAATAAAAAAATTTAATTTTAAATTACAGTTAAAAAAATAGTTCAAATAGCAGCGTAGCAAAAATATTAATTATGATTCAAATAATGTTATTAATATATAGTTTGACTTTCATGAAAGCCGTTTTTCTCTGGAAAGTCAAATAAATACAAAATGTTTTTATTGTTTATTTACAATGGACGTAACTATTCTTCAATTCCTTCCAGCAACAAGAAGACTAGTTGACGCACGACAGAAAAAAAGAAGGAAATATTTTTGTGGCTTCTTTTACATCAGAATGTGCATACCAAAGTACTTACAATTAGTTAGCGTGCGAAAATTAGAATCTATGACGCAAGGAAAATAAACAGAGCATCGGCCTGCTTTTTGAAATTAAATAAAAACTGCCGCAATCTGGCAATTGAATAATCGATAAGTCGTCTAGACACACCTAATCAGTTTTGTTTGACAAGGTGATTGACACATCACATGAAATTGGATGCCTTTCAGGCGAATCACTTGCAATGTTTCCACCACTTCCCTCACTCAATTTTGCAGCTTAAAAAGGGCGACAAAAAAACTTTTATCTTGCTTATTTTTGGAAATATTTTAAACTAATTGTAAGTTTAAAGTTTTTAATTGGAGGCGCGCCAATAAGTCACAGTAAACATTTCTCAAAGATAACTTCCAACGTACCCAACGTGAAAAAAATTAATTATGTAACAGAATAAATGAGCTAGCTGACCCCACGCAGGACTGAAGTAACTGCTCAGAATGCAGCAATAAACCATTGTCCAATCACGTGCCGACGATTGCGGTTGTTTGAATGAAACTTATCTCTGAGATTTACTACAAAACTAGTATTTGAAAAGAAGTGGAATTTTTATCACTAAAAAATACTAACAATAGATTTAATAAAAATTTAAAATAGGGAAAGTAATTTTTTGACACATTTACAGTTTGCATTTAGGTTTCAATGTGCCCCAAAAAGTGTGTCTAATAAGCAGGCTGAAAAGTGGCGCTGACTTTGACTTGTTTTCCCCAGCATTCAAGGTTCAAACATATCTTGCACCACATCTTTCATTGATAAATTGGTGCATGCAGTTGCTAAGTGAATATTAAGTAATTAACTAACTCATTTATACTATTTGCTGAGCTTTATATACTTTTAGTTGCAAATTAAGTTTATTGGTGTACCACAAGGCAATCTCTGCCTCTCGAGATACATCTTCCAAATATTCAAAGATTTATAGAGCGTTCATTTTAATTACTTTGTATGGGCTTATAGAGATCTGAAGATAATGTATCCGGTGAGTAGATAAAATGTATGAAAAATTGTGGAAAATATTTTAAGTTCAGTATCAGTTTGGTAAATAATAGAAAATTAAAACTTGATTCAGGAAATAATAATTAAATATTCACAATTACAGCTAAGTTGAAAGAATTATTTTCTCTTGTCCTTTCAAAATAAAATATTTTGAGGGATTAATTTCCTTTAAAAAAAACTGTATGCTTTTCCATTTTTAAATTATTTAAATTTTCGTCCTCATAAAAATTAAAAATTTATAGCTCTTAAAAGCTTGTAGATGAATTTTAACTCGTGAAATGCATATATTAGCCGACAAAAGTTTTCAGCGATAGCAAAAATACCTCCTGGAAAAAGAGGTGGCGCTGCCTCATTGCTGGAGTCGAGAATTGCCGCATCCTACAAAGTATGCAACCGGTGGGACTTTTATGGTTTGCTACTGGCATGAATCAAGGTGAATACCCCACAATTGCTGGTTTAACGTTGGAAAATTTAAACAATAGCAAGAAATAGCCAGAATGAAGTGCAAATGCACTCTAGGAGCAAATACCGAGGGTGAAACGTTTTTGAAACTTTAAATTTGGCCGATCGCCCGCCATTCATGAATCTTGGTTGCAATCGAAGCGTGGCCACGAGATACGTTGATTGCTCAAATGAAGCAAGTCGGCGATTTCCTGTTTACGCACACGTGCCTAATTTTAGAGCGCCGATCGCCCGATCCAATTTCTTTCTGATCGAAGGTACATTGGCGATGGCATTTGAAAAGACACCAGAAACAAACATCAGAGGTTTTGCCGCCGCAGCCAACTTGACACCTCTTGGCATTTATACAGAACACTGAAGGGACCATTATTTAATTCATTCATAGCTCTTGACTAGATGTACTTGAATTCATTGCATTAAATAGGCCATAGGAGTTCATAATTAGCGCAACCACCACGTGAACGTTCTTTATCTAGCTGAGAAAGTGGAAATTTAGTTCAAAGATAAAATGAAAATATACCTTTAGGGGGAAAAAATTATTCATTTATTAAAAATAATTATGAAAATTATTTTTTATTTGTAAAGATTTATAAAAAAAACGTTATATTAAAGAAATGAATTTGTTTATGTCAAAGAAAGAATGAATAAATTATTGTTAATCCCAGAAAAATATTATTTTATGAAGTAAAATATTTTAATAATATATAATATGAAATCTGAAAAAAAAAATATTTAACCCGCCTTTCCTGATACAGAATATCCGCATTGGTTTCAATGGAGTTGCTAAACAGTAGTGGCAAATGCGCACAACTAATAGCCAAGCTGGTTGCCTAACCGCCAGCTAATTTTCATACAGATAGACGCACGTACTTTGTAATTTTGACAAGGTCGTCTTCAATCAGTGGGAGTGCGTAAGAAGACGATAATTTTACGGCGCAAAGGTAAGTAGGCTATCTAGAATCGAGCGACAATTAATTGCACCACCCAGGCGAGAGATAAACGCGGCCAACGCTTTAGACAAAAGTGTTCTTTTTTTCTTAGGGCCGCGGTCAGTGTCGCCGCATTTGTATTTATCCCGATCCGATATTTGCGAAAGGCAAACATTGCCTGCTGTTATTGTTTGGTCTGCGCGTGTTTGACGTTGGTTAGTCGAGGTTAGGGATGCGAGTAAGAGACAGAATTGCTATTATATTATTGAGGCAGGTAAACAGTGAGAATCCAGTATTGGGAAAAATGGTTATATTGTATTTAAACACGGTGAAGGCTGAAGTGTTTCAAGATGGGTGAGAGCATCAGGAGAAATGATGAAAATGGACTCCACTACGCTCCATGAGCTAAAATCGATGAAAATTACTTGCAAATGTACTGGAGCGAGAAAGAACGAGACACGACAATGTCTAGGTCAATGAAAGTAGTCGCAGCAAAACGAAAAAATTGCTGATAGGCGAATTTCTTACAGGGGAACGTCATCAATATTAAAGTGCCATAATAAATGAATTAATTTAATTTTAATAAAAAAATCACCAAATTCATCAAAATATTTTAGTTGAAAAGAAAACGATATCTCTGCTCTCATTATGATAATAAATCCTGAGATTTAAAATTTGCATAGGTCGGCATAGGTAACAGATTTTTATTTTTCAAAGGTTGATTGGCTTTCAATTAAATAATAATGCTTATAAATACAAATTTGAAATCTCTTGCACTCCCTCAAAAGATCGGCTTTTATTTATTATGATTTTACTTAAGAATTTCAGATGTAAAATTTTCAGGATAATCCATTAAATGCATTTAAACTAATAAGGAGATTAGGCATTAGCATATTATAATTTTTTCTCCTTTTTGAAACCGCCGCCCTAATGATTTGTGCATAGTTAAGCAAAATTAATTAATCATTGTTAAATCTTCTTTTGTCAAGTTCCCTTGTGAACAGCAAGCAAAACTGCCAGACCAGAAAAGCTCCGCAGCAAATGAACTGGCACAATTACTATACTTTCAATAAACAAGCACGAATCTCTCTGCAAACTTCTCCAGAAAGTACAAAACGATTCCTGGTTTTAGAGTCGCAACTGAAAAATTTCCAATATAATATTTACGCTTCGTGGTACACGCTTTTTTCCATGGAAGAGATTATAAAATGTTGCACACCCATGTGTTTGCGCTCATTTGGACGAATGAAAAATCGCTCTCGCCACCATTATTGCTTCAACACGTCAACGTGGAAGTGCATCAAAATAGCAATCACTTGTCACGAGAAACGCGCCATCTAATTGAAATTAATGATTCACCCCTCTCGATTATGGCACACGTGTAATGTGTCGCGGCGCCTGCGAAAAATCATTTGTTTCAATATTGGCAAAAATAAAAGTGTGAACGCTTCTCGCGGGAGTGTCACATAAAACCGGCTGATATCTCGCGCCTCGGACAAGGTCAATCAAGCAGATCATCGCAGGTGACGTCACTCTTGCAAATGTCACTGACATTCGCGTTTGTTTGACTCACACTGGTGCATCTGATCAATTGAGTCGCCTCGCGGGTCAAGTTGTTAAAAATTCCTTCCCTTATGCACTCGCCAAGTAAGAATTGGAGCGGCAGGCTTTAAAGCTCAAAACACGGTTGCTGAGAAGAACCTGCAGTGGTAAGAAACTTTGCGGATCGTTTAGGAGGAACTGAGCACTCCATTCAACACCATCATGGCCAGTGCGGGTGGTGGAAATTGGAATTTGAGGCAACTAGGCTTTGATTGCATTGAAAATGGTGTTGGATTTCTGTGAGCTTTATTCGGTCAAATCTAAACTAAACAGGCATTATTTAATTGACAATTTTTTTTTGCTGTTTGCATCAAATCCTTATAAATAGTTAATTTATTTTAATGCTCATTCTGGCTGATTGATTTATACAAATAGTAATGAAATAAAAATATAATGAAGTAATAAGCATTCTGATTCAATCAGGCCATAAAAATAATTTGAAACTTGTAATGTTTATTGAAAAATTAGCTGGCTTAAAAAATTTAAATTTTAAATAAGATTGTTGATTTAAAAATTTAAAAAAAAAATAAGAGACTCCCAATTTATTTGAGTGACATTGTTCCTTTAAATTTTTGCAATCCTTACAATTTTTTTATCTCTTTGCTTGATATATTCGTCACGAAAATTTGAAACTTCGGCATATATAAACCATTTCTGCAAATGATTTATTACTCTTTATTCAACCTAACGACGATTTGGCAATTTAACTTTTGAGCCAAAGGTACATTAATAATAGACCTGCTCAGCACTGCGCACACTTTGAACTTGGAGCAAGTTCCGAGTGAGAGGGAATGTGCCAGAAAAGGTGTTTAATTATTTGTATTCGACGGTTGATGGTAAACCTTTTCCGCCGTCTGCGTGTTTAGTCCAAAGTTCTTGTTGCAAGAAACGGAAACGGGAACGACGAATAAATAATAACAAAAGAGTGTGTTGCTGAATTGCATAACGTTGCGATTAAAATAGGATTTGCTTTCGTTATTCTCATTGCATTAATTATAAGTAAGTGACGTCAATTCAGAAGCATGTCCATTTGGTGGCTCAATTACAATATAAGCGCCACATGAACACCGGTTATGAAGATTTATTTTCTAATAAATAATTGTTTGAACAAGGCATTTTTTTTTTAATCAATCAATTTCTAGATTTAATTAATTTAATTAATTATAGTCTGATTTATCAAGAAAACCAAATGAGAGATTATTCAATCAAATAGTAAACATATAAACTTGAAAATTAAATCAAAGAAAAAGTTTAGCAAGAGAAGATGAAAACTAAAGTTCATTTCTAGGTTCACGGGCAGTTGGCGACAGGTGTTAACTTTATTAACAAAATTTCGTCGTTATAAATTAATCAGGGGCGCACGCGAGACAATAAAAAGCGACGATATTCGCGTGATTTTTTTCCGCGCTCCCACTCCGGCGGCGGCAGGCGTCGCGGTTCGCGCCACTTAAAAGCGCCGAGTCAAAGGGACTGACCGTCACAATCACTGTCAGGTCTCGCCATGCTTGTGGTCGTGGTCGCTCTCCTGCTGGGCACGGCGACGGCCCAGTTCGACGTCTACTGGAACGTGCCCACCTTCATGTGTCACAAGCACGGCGTCTTCGTCAACGCCTCGCGCTTCGGCATTTTGCAGAACGAGGGCGACCATTTTCGAGGCAACGTCATGGTCATTTTGTACGACCCGGGCCTTTTTCCCGCCTACCTAACCGACGAGCCCCAAGAAGAGGGCATTTACGAGAGCATCTTTGGCAAACAGCAGTACAGCGTTGTCGCCCGGAACGGCGGCTTGCCGCAAAAAGGAAACCTCACGCTACACCTCGAGGCCATGAGGAACACAATCAACGAGCTCATCCCCAACCCCATGTTTTCAGGTAGAATTTTTCAACTTTCTTAAAAAGGTTCCCAATCACCTAATCAGACTTATGTACGCCTTAACTCTTCAAGAGTGTGGTTTAATTATTTTATAATTTATTAAGTTTATTTCTCTTATGCAAGTTCAAGTGAAAAATAAATTTCGGAAAAAAGAGAGTGAAGGGTATCGCAACTAGGGCTGGGTAAATTTTCAAAAATTGGATGAAAATATTTGAGAATTTAATAAAATAATTATTGATATTAACAAAAAAAAATAAAGGCTTTGATAAATTGAATAACCTTAATTATTGAGGATTTTTGACAACTTGCAAAACTTGTACTAGGAATGAAAGATTTCTATAAAAATAAGATTTTTATAATTTTTTTTCCATCAATTTTATTAAATAATATTTAATGGAATTTAAACCAGGAAGAGCAATTTGAAATAATAATATTTTAAGATAATTATACATCAAGAATCTGATCATGAACAAAAATCTCCCATGGCGCAACAAATAAGGAAGAATAATTTGATCATTATAATAAAAATAATGCTCATGACGAAGAACATGTGCGTAATTGCCACAAAATTTTACCGCAACTGCTTATTATGAAAAGGAAAATAGCTTAAGCCTCCTTTTGATCGTACTTCCTGCCTCCTTCCGAATGCATAGTTTTGTGTTTGGATGAGGAAAATTGGTTCATTAAAAAATGCGTCACAGTAAAAAATTGTATGAACTATTTTTTTTTTTTTAAATTTTTGTGAAATAAAAAAATATTCCTATTATTGCATTATTATCTGCCCGCAGCCCCTTCCCCTACGTATTCAATGAATTTCACAGATAACCTGAGATTCCAAATAGCACCCCATATGTATAATCACAGAACCATCCCCTGAAATCCAAAATGAAAGTTTTCTATGCATTCATATCTAAAATATTACGAAAAATACATATTTTATTGTAACTGAACTCAAGTTATTGTGCAACAAAATTTTGCATACGTTTAGCATAATTTTGCAAGAAGTTTATTTAGAATTCACCGATGTGAGTACATTTCTAATTATCACTTCTTCCTATAGCCTGCCTTTCAGGGCTGTGCACATAATATGGTATTATCACTTTCGCATGTCACCTACAAGGCAATGGAGGAAATTTAAATTTCAAGAGAAACCAGTTTCATAAATTTCAATAAGGCAGGTCAAGTTTACGCAAAAGATAAATTAGCCTTTCTTACTATGCTTGCGCTTGACATTAATTGGCCCGTAAAAATTTATTTTATGCATCAAAAATGATTGCGAAACTCTAAAAATCGTAATGAAAGAGAAATTAATGAAGTTCAATGTCGGACGAAAATTTATTGAATTAAGGTCATGGATTGTACGCACGATTTGATGAGGGCTGCGCTTTGTTGTTATTGATTGACGTCGCCCTATCAGCTTCAAAGAATTTCCAACGCTGAATTTTTCAATCAAGCCTCAAACTGCTGGAGACAATAAAACAATTACAGTCGGTGGCGCCTGCGTTTAATTCTGTGTCATCAGCCATCTGCATAATAAAATGCACTTCCAATTGGCGGAAGACGCAAGTTCAAGGGTGCAAATGCATAATAGGTTAACCTTTTAACGGCTGATTTATCTAGTGTGGATTCATCTGTGACTCAAACGAATTCCATAATTTGTTTAACCTGAGATTAATTTTATTTCCAGGAGCTGCAGTTATAGATTTTGAGTCTTGGCGGCCAACCTATCGTCAAAACTGGGCATCCCTAAATATTTACAGGGACAAGTCAAAAGCTCAGGCGAGGCAGGACCATCCCTTTTGGTCAAAAGAGAGCATTGAGAATGAGGTAATTCAAATAAGTTTTTGTTTTAAACTTACAATTAGCGTAAAGTTTTACAGTCAAATTATTATTTACCATGAAATCGTTTTAGAAAAATGAGATTTGAAATTTTCTTAAGTTGCAATGTAAAATTCATTTTCTAGAGTTCAAATTTTTCGTAAGTTGCTCTGTTGGTTAATTTTTTTACTAAATTTTAATATTTTTGTAGATATAATGAAAGACTTTGTTAGCTTTTCAGTATCGTTGATATCCACTTAAAAGAAATTATAAAATCACCATACGAAATTTGCATTTAAAAAAGCGCATAGCCCCTATTGCTTTTGGCACCGTGCCATAAAGCATTTAACTAAACGCGGCGGATTTGAGTCTCATTTTTACACGATCACAGACTGATTGCAAGTAGTGCGGCAAGTGAGCCACTGTCAATGTCAATAACACGCGATACAAAACATTTTAATTGGAAACAATCGCCGGCGCGCGAGTTCAGTGCTTGCGAATTATCGGGGCGCTTGTTAGCGCGTCGGCTTGGTTTTTATCGGCAGATTCGCGCGCGGTTAGTGGCAGACGTGCGTGTTTTGATTTTTAAGTAATTTTCATCAATGGGAAAAACGGGTTGAAAATGTTGACTGATTAAAACTGGGCTCCGCCGCACGTATAATCTCAATTAATAAAATGCGGGCATCACCTGCGCCAAAAAATCCAAACGCTTGACGCAAAAATAAAAAACAATTGCCAGGATTAATAAAATGATAAATTACGCTTTATTTAAATTGATGTGATTTTTTTTCAGGCAGAGAAACAATTTGAGCGGTACGGCCGGCTCTTCATGGAGCACACGCTGGCGGTGGCCAAGGACATGCGGCCCAGAGCCAAATGGGGCTACTACGCCTTTCCCTACTGCTACAATTACACGCCGAAAAACAAGGGCTTCGACTGCCCTTCCGAAGTCAAAAACGAAAACAACGCGTGAGTGAAAACAACTTAGCAAAAAATTGCATATTATGAAATTAAATTTCCAGACTTAATTGGCTGTATGCGGGCAGTGACGCTCTGTACCCCTCACTGTACATGAGCAGACAAAAACTCATTCCGGAACAGCACTTCAAATTTGTGTATGGCAGAGTTAACGAGGCCAAGAGACTGGCCAACAGAATCAAGCCCAAGAGGCCTGACGTGCTGCCCTATGTTTGGTATAGGTACTACGACGAAAACGAGTACTTGACAACAGTGAGTAAAAATAGAATTTTGGTTGAGGCATTTCGTTTCCAAAAATTTATTTTTAATTTTAAATTAAACACTAAATAATTCGGATTAAATCAGTAAAATGGAAAAAAACGAAAAATCTAACAAAACAATTTAAATAATTATTTTGGTAAATAATTAATAACTTTTTCTAGGACGACGTCTACAACTGTGTAGGAGGGCCAAGGACGTTAGGCGTCCGAGGAGTAGTTTTGTGGGGCAGCGCCAAAGACGTGAACACCAAAGACAAGTGCTTGCGCTTTGAGCGTTTTGTGCAGGAAGTGCTTGGCCCGGTTGTTGAGCACGTCAAGACTGCGCCAGTTCAGGAAATCGAGAAACGCCTCACAAGCAGAAGACGGCGAGCAAGTCTGCTGAATGTGGACTGGAAAGCTTTATTCCTGGACCCTATTGCAAATATTCTGCACAAGAAGACAAAGCAGGCCATTCCCAACAGGCAGTGAGAATGGTGTTCATGGTGTCGGGGGTGAAGGTCACCGGGCAAGGGGAGGTTTATTGTGTGATTTGACTCATAGTGAGTCCTTATTTCAGTCATCAATTGAGATCTAAATCTAAACCAAAGCAAATCTACTCAGATTTTAGACGTAAGACTGCATTCAGAGATCATAATTTGAAAACTTCCACCATTAGCTTTTTTTTTTAAATATTTCTGATATTCATTGTTGTTGTTTTCCGGAATGTGCTTAGGTTGTATAATCGTAAAAATGCATTTTGTACGTTTTTAAGTCAAATAAAATAAAAAAGAAATTATTAAAATTTATTTTCACTCACCTCTATTGACACTATTGTAAGTGGCTCATATCCAGCTGCATGGATTCGCTGCTAGGCTCGGCCAACACGATCATGTAGGTATTGGTATTTGAGAGGAACTCGTTTTGCAGAGTCCCATCAGTCTGGTTAAAAATTGGAAGTTCCACGTTGTTCAGCGTCTGATCCTGTAAATTCAACTGAACCTGACGGCAAAGAAATTAAATATTAAATTTTTTCATTCAAAAAATTTGAAGATTATTTCAAACCTTTTCTCCAGTGGCAAGCTGTACAAAATAATTGGGAGTTTCAAGAACGGGCATGGAGTAATTTTCCAATCCGAGAGGAAGCATGTCGGTGAAATTTGGGAGCATCGGGTCTCTGAGTTCAGCAAGGTCGCTCGGCATGATGAGATTGGCTGCGTCAACACAGAACCCTTCTCCAGAGTCAGCCAGCAAGTTTGGCAACTCGGCTATATTAGTAGTGCTGAAGTCAAGGTTAGCGGCTGCGATGGCTTCGGTGTAGATGTTGGGCAGGACGTGGGGCAATGAAACAGCAGGAGGGTTTGGCTTTTGGACGTACGAGTGCTCTTTGGATGTAATTCTGTTGATGCGGTCCAGTTTGGCTTTTTCTACAACTGCTGTCAGTTGTTTGCGCTTATCTTCTTCCTGCTCTTTGAGTTCTTCAACAGTGATCTATTAATATTAATTAATATCAATATTGTAGGAACATTTATAAATGAAATTTGCATTAAAAAAGCAAGATTGAACCATAAAAAGAAAATTGATTTTCAGTTTCATTGAAAAATCGAAGTTAAAATATCAAAAGTAAATATACAATTTCTTGAATAAAAAATGACAAATTAAAATTTATATTTTGTAATTGTTAATTGAAATTGAAAAAAATACACCACCATTCTTTCATTAGCACTAAAATCTTACTTTTCTGCCTATCTTGTCAGCCAACTCATCCAAATACTGTCCCATTTCTTGCGCCCCTCTCACAGCCCACTCCTTTTTCTCCCTCCCGATTTGCACATTCTGCTGCTTCTTAAATTCCCTCATACTGAAATCAGGCATGTTGTGCGTGTTTCGGATGTGCTTGGTGAGATTTCCGATCATGTTGCAGGAAAACTGGCAGAATGGACATGCATTTGGTTTTGAGTTGGAATGGACTGTCGTGTGTCTCAGCAGGTGATGTTTATTAGGAAACCTTATGCACGAAAAATTTTAATTACTATTCATTAGAGAGGACGGGGAACTCACTTTTTGCTGCAAATATCACAGACAAATTCTCTTGGCTTGTGAATGTTGTTGAAGTGGGCGTTCAGTCTCCCCTGGGCAGCAAAGGACGAAGAACAGAGGCTGCACTTAAAAGGTCTATCTCCAGTGTGGGCCCGAAGGTGCTCCAGAAAAGCACTTCTCAAGGCCACTTTCAAGCCACATACTGGACACTTGTGTGCATAATAATCACCCAAATGCTTCAGCTGAATGTGCACTCTCAAATTGCTTTTCAATTTAGCCTTGTGAGGACACTGAAAGTAAATTTCAATTTTCTATTGTTTGTTTTTATAAAAATAACAATAAAATACCAGGGCGCAATAGAAAAAGTTCTCATCCACGGTGTGGACAGTCTTGATGTGGCAATTGAGAAGTCGTTTTGCCGAAAATGTCTTTCCGCAGTATTCACAAATGTTGTCAAATTTTTTGGTGTGGGAGCTGGCAATGTGTCGGTCAAGATCGTTTTTTGTGATGGACTTGTAGGAGCATTGTGGGCACGGATGATCTCGGACATTAGCGTGCCTCTTCAAATGCACCTCTGTTTTTCAAAATATTTTAATTTTCGTAATATACAAAGAAAAGTTAAAAACATACTCAAATTGGAGACTTTCTTAAATTTTTTACTGCAAACTTTACATTTCAGTGAGGCTTTGTCCTTCTCGTGAATTTTCAAATGTCCTCGCAGGGACGCTTTGCTTTTCAAACATAAGCCACAAACCTTAAAAAATAACACATTTTAAGACCAACGAAGAGTTGAAGAATAAAATTATGTCAAATTGTGTTGCATACATACATCACATTGCAAGGGTGAGACAAATTCAATTTCCAACACATCAGTTACAGGATCAACATAAACTTCCTCAGGCCCGTTCGATTCTCCGTTTTCGATGCCAAGGAGAATTTCAAGTACATTATGGTCAATGTTAGAGCCTGAGAAAATTTTGAATAATGACGTGACACGTTAAAATAATAAATACATTTATTGTTTTAATAAAAGTACATACCAGTTCCTTGGCCCTGGTTTCCAATGACAGTTTCTGTCCTCTTGTCAATACCTTCGTCCAAAACTCCACTGTCATTTTCTGCAAGATTTGGTTCAATTTGTCGTTGGAGTTTGTCAAAGGCGAGTTTTCTTTCGCTCTCAGGCAAGTCTCTGATTTTAGCAAGGAGCAAGTCCATCTATAAAATGACAAATTTGTCATACAAAATAATATTTACTTCGCAGCGCATGGCGAACATGCGGTTCCTGAGCGTATACATGGATCAAATTATTTTATATTTCAAGCTTACTTCGTTCATTAGAGAATCCATGTTGAGGAAATAAACTCGACGGAAAAACTGCACTACGTTTTCAAAAAGCGTAGTAAAATTGCGCCAAGGTCAATTATTATAAATTCGGCGAAAAAAAGGTAAGGTGAAAAGTGCGAGCCACGCCAAAACCAAAACAAATTTCTCCTACCGCAAAAACCACGCCTACTATAAGAACTCTAACTCTTCATTGGCTGAAGACACAAACATGCAGGTCACGGCGGTAAAAAATGGTAAATTCTGAAATCAAGACGAAAATCTAAAATTGAAAATCTAAAAATGAAGTCTAACAAAATTATTTTAACTGAGTTGATTAAAAATTGTGGTTACGTATGTACTCAATAATAATTTATGTTGGTTTGTGTTTGTACAGAAAAATCTTTATTTTTGTATGCGCCAGGTATGCGCTCTAAATTTAACGTTATGCGTGTTATGTAGTAGAATAAATAAAATAAAAATCTCAAATTAATTTCTTGTGTTATATGCGTAATAAAAAAGATATCATAGTTAAAGAATAACATCAAGCAACAATGATAATTTTCTTAAATGATATAAAATGCGCTAACAACAGATATCTCGCAAGAATGAAAAATATCCGTTTAAAAAAAGTCATTCATCAAACAGAAAAAAGAAAGGTAAAACCTGTTTTAAAAATTTTCGTCAGAGATTTCTTTCAAATTGGAGTCAAAAATTCTTTCTTTACATTAATCTCATGAAACGTATGACCATTTTAAGTAAATCAATGGTTGGCGCGTCTAAGAAAATAAAATTTAACATTTTTAAACTTATTTGTATTATTTTTGCAATAATTGTAGCTAATTGCGACTATAAGTACTCAATAATATTTTATGTTGGTTTGTGTTTGTACAGAAAAATCATTATTTTTTATGCGCTCTTTTCATTCACTAAAAAATGGTAAATTTGATGATACAAATACATAATTATCTTTTAATGCTTATTCTTTAATACTTTACTTTGTTTAAATTTATACAGTACATAAAACAAGGACCTTAAATATCTTCTTCCCATCTGTTCACTGTTGGCGTACAGTAATTGGTGAAGTTTTCCATAAGAAAAATTTAATTACTTACACAACTTAGTCATCGAAATTATGTATTCAAGATCTATAAAATAATGGAGTCCACATAATAAAAAATACAATGTCATGCTAATTTTTGGAATCGGACTCTTCAAGTTGCCTGTGCCTCCTCATGTTAGACAACACAGAGTCTAAACTTGTGGTTTTCTTCCTAGCAGATCCACGAGCGTTAGGATCCAACGACCGCCTAAGTTTAGGTGTTGCAGTCTCGTCCGCAAAATCAAAGTCTGTATTATTTGGAATTCTGAAAATTGAAGCACATGTATGCAATTTTACATTCACAAATTATGGTTAAGCTTACTCCTCTTCCTCCTCCAACTCATTTGTTACAAGGTTCCCTTCTTCGGCTTTTGGATTCCTCTTACCTGGGCATTGCCAGGAAATATCCAATACTTGTCTTTTTTCAAGGGTTTCAAACATTCTTTGGATTTCACTAGCTGCTGGTATCCAGTTGCTTGATTTCTGAAGCATAAAGAGATTTGAAAAATAATAAATAATTGTAACACTAAACTCTAACAGCGCCAACAAACTGAACAAACCTCATCTTTTGCCGCGTATCTTTCGTCATCGGAGCAGTCGACACTCCAGTCTTCATCACGCCCCACTGATTCAGACATTTTTAATCTATTATAACTATGTTTAAATATTATATTATAATATTTTCTATTAAATTTTCCAGTATTTCTTTTCCCAACTCCCAGGGATTCCGAAACTTCTAGCAAAAATATATAAACACAGACACGCCCACTTTTTCATCGTTTTGATTGGTTCACATCAAAGAGCCATGTTTGAATTTTCTCAGTCAGCTGGTTTGCAAAATCAAAACAAGTTAAAGAACTAGTAAACCTATCCTGCGTTACGTCAGACTGTTTTTATTTACGTACTGACACAATTTCGAATTATTTTTCGTTAGCCCTTCGTTATTCAATGCTAAGTCTCCGCGGCTGCAGAATTTTGGCGTGCAGGAGTCAAAAAAGCGTCGTTTCCGCGACTCTCAGCAGTGCTTTCTCCTCGAAAGGCAAAGATCCCAAAACTCACTCTGTGACAGTGACCGTGCCTAAAGGTATGAAATAAACAATAACAAAATTTCACCTTATTAACGTTCACCTTTTGTTCATTAAAGAGGCTGAAAAGAATAAGCAGTACGATGAACACGCCAACTGGGAGCTCTTGGGCCGACGAGGATACCGATTTATACTTCCTGGAAATGTGGGACTTTCGCTATCACGGAGGAAAGCATTGAATTTAAGCAAAAAGTCTTCAAGGACAAAAAAGAACCAATCCACGCAAGTGTCCCTTCCTGACACCAATTACTTTCGTCATGTCGAGGTATAATTTTAGTTATAATATAAAAAATTTGAAACATGAACCATAAACTTATTTATATTTTTAAACCATCAATATTTTTCACAGATTGTGACACAGCTAGCTGTGTTAGCATCTGAGGTATCTGAACTGTCCTCTATTATTAAAGACGAGCCCAAAGAGTTCCAAGTCAAAGCTGTGGACTGCCCTTTTTTGTTACGAGAGCGTAAATATATTAGTTATTATTTTTCTTTGTTTTTAATTACAAACTTTTAAATTCCAGAGGTGATAGATCTATTTCCAAACGCTGGATTAGGCTATGGGCCCCTTACTGCAGTATGTGTTGCTCTGCGAGGCATGCCTGCTGGTAGTGAAAAAACTGAAAAATACTGGCTGAAAGTAATAGATAAGGTATCATATTTTTAATTTTGTATATTATTGAGTATACTTATCATGACTATGTTACAGTTTGAGCATACTGCACGGAGAGTTTGTGACAAGTTGAACCAGGCAGGTTACTGGGCTGAATTTCCTACTGACATTGAATTCGACATGAATAAAATGTCAACGGACGTATCAGCCTCGCAAATAGAAGCATTGAGTATGCTGAAAAGTCCGGGACCTAGAATCGTTCACCTCTCAGGGTGCATAATTCTTATGCACCCACCGATTGGTGAGAGTAGGGTTTTGGGCTGGCTGTTTACAACCGCACCGTTCGACAACCATGACCTTGAGGAAATCATTAACGCAGAAAACGGCTTTTCCTAACAAGTCATGCTTTTTCTGTAAAGATTTTTTTTCCCAATGGTAAAACAGAATCCTACATTGCCTGTCTTGTTGAAAAATAAATTTTAAGTTTCCTCAAAATGGATTCAAAATATTATTTGCATCATTGTTGACTTTTATATTAATTTTAATTTATCGGGTCAAAGATTTTAGAACTAAATGATTTATAATCACTCAATACATCCACTTTATTCATGCAAAAATTAAATAATATTAGAGCTGCAACATAATTAACTACCAACAAAAAGTCTCAAATTTAGACTAGTTTACAGTTTTTAAGCATTAACGAAAATAAAAGTTACAACCAGTTATCCATCACCGTTAAATTATGATAAAAATCTTCTGAGCCACCTTTAGTACTCTTCGTCAGAATGACCATGGTCTGCATTTCTTGCCAGCATGTAGTTATCCATATCTATAGAGCGACAGTGATTGATTGCATAGCGAAGTCTGTCTGCCATTATTTCCTATATTTGAAAAATGGAGAAAAAATTCACCAAGAATTAGTTTAAGCTCTCACCTGACTGCTGTATGTTGGCAAACGTAGTTGGAAAAAGCATGTCTGTGCAGTCGGAAGCCCATCAGTGGCATGATCAACCTTTGTAACCTGCCCAAAATCATATGATTTAGACGAACATTAAAATTTTAAATATTTTTAACTTGCCTGGAATCTCTGGGAGAGATCTGCTAAATTAGCTGGCAATCGGGACCTTCCCGAAACAAAGCGCATGAATAAAACTCTTTCAGCATTTGTAAAGCTTTCTAAAATGTTCCACAGCCATTGCACTAGCTCTGAATTTTCGTCCACTTCTCTGTACCTAAAGTGAAAAAATGTAACAAAAAATATTACAATTTAATAACTCAATTATACCTGACAACTTTCTTCAAGAGGGGAATGGAAATATGAGGCAAGCCGCAAACGAGTTGTTCAAGATGCTGGGCAGTGACCAAAGTGAGCAGAGGCACTGGAATGATTCCGGCCATTCCTTCTCTGATAGCAGCAGCTTGCAAGTCCATTTCTTTCAGTCGAAACTCAACAGCTCTCTCCACATACTCGGCCCTGTTTGCAAACATCAACGGAATGCTTCGTCCTCCAGATACAATGGGAACGAGTTTGCCACTCCAACTGCTGCCTTCGAAGCACTCGAGTGGTATAACCTGTAAATAATAAGCTGTATAAATGCATTAAAAATAAAAATATGAACTTACCTCACTGAAGTTAGCTTCAGTCACTCCTGATAGATGGATGTCTCTGATTCCTCTCAAACTCTGTGCATACAATACGTCAACCTCTTCCAAGTCTTCCATTGTGACATTGTCACCCACAAGCAGTTTCCAAACGATTGGCGCAAGAGGGATTGCCAGAGGCTTTTTTGTTCTTATTGCCACCCCGAAGAGAATTCCCAAAAATTTAAACCATGAGAGGTGGAGAGTATTTGTGAGTTGTGGATTCAGGATGAATCGATCTCTGTTGTATCCTGTGTCATTGACAGAGTTCGGAGTCGGAAGCAACAGTGGAATGGCGTTTGTAGTTAGCTCTTGGCACATTTCAGTGATGGTGTCATCAAAAACTCCCCCCGCATCATCCGCACCTTCTCCAACAAGTTTTACCTAATGCAAAAGACCAAAAGATTATTTATAGATTTTTAATAATAATTGTTAAAAAATCTCCCACCTTCCAGGCACGTGATGGCAGTCGAAGTTCTGCTGGTTTCATGACCACAACTTGTTGAGCCACTTGAACAAAAATTGGCTTTGCCTTCATTCCTCTGGTGGCAAGTCTTCTGACCGTCACTTGAGGCCCAAAATTCCGCCCCTGAATCATTGTGCGTCCTATGCACCGCACTAAAGGTAGGGTGTACACTCCTGGAGCCAAAAGATTTCTTAGCGGACCGCAGACAATGCTCTGTAGAAGATTGTTGCTTGCATGTTCTCTCTAAAAATTAGGAAATATTTAGTTGAGATGGAAAAATATCCTATTAGCTTTAATTTATTAAACAACAAAATCTCAAACCTGAGGAATTAAAGGCAAAAGTTCCCAACAGGAGTATAGTAGGCATGAAAATCCCCACAGTAATTTCAGTCGAGCCTGAATTGCAATAATAGGAATACTTTGCAGTCTGTGGTACTGTGCAGGAACTGAATTTGGCAAAGCCAAGTACTGCAGTGGAGAAGTGCCTGGCTGTCGCCTTGGTGGCTTTGGAGTCGTCCAGGCGGCACTGTGATTTCGACCCGCCGAGACCTGTAAAAATTCAATTCAAAGTTGTTCTTTCTTGCATAATATAAAATTAACCTGCTTGACTTGCTTTCCACTCAAGTGAGAAATAAGCTGGGGCTCCTTGACCAAGAGTGTGTGTCCAAGACCTATTTGACCTTCGCTGTTGACACCCCAGCCCCAAACATCTCCTGTTGAAGTCAAGGCTAGCGTGTGTTCTGCACCAGCAGCAATTTCTTCCACAAATATTCCTGACAATGCCAACACCTGTAATCATTAATAATACAAAACGTAAATAAGAATAAACTATAATTTAGCTGCATAATCAAACCTGCTGCGGTCGACTGTGTCCTCGTATTCTATTTTCTGGTTGTCCGATTAACCTGTCAAGACCGCAAGTGAAAACCCTCCCATCGGTGGCCAGAAAAACTGTGAATTGGGCACCACAGCACACTTTCTTGATGCAAATACCACCCAAAGACTCGACTCTTTGAGGTGTCATCTATAAAAGATGCGTTATTTTAATCTTCTTCTTATATATAAATTATTCATTACCTTTGATCCGGGTCCTCCAAGACCAAGTTTGCCAAATTCACTGTCGCCAAAGGTCCACACTGTCATGCCATCAGTTGAAATACAGGCTGTGTGATTCAAACCACAAGCAACATATCCGATTTTGAATCCTGTCAAGCTCATGACTCGCTCTGGAAATTTCTTATTAGCTGTAGATCCAAGTCCTAGCCGGCCATAGTCGCCACTCCCAAAGGTAAAGAGTTTTCCGTCTGCTGTCACAACAGCACTATGCTTGAAGCCACAGGCCAGCTAAAACAGACTCTTAGAAAAAGCCTAAGTTGCACTTTGCCCACTTACTTGAACAACCTCCTCTCGAACCAATGCTTCAATCTGCCTTGGTCTACGTTGTCTGTCGCTATTGCCATGTCCTAACTTTCCATAATCACCATCTCCCCACGAAAACACCTCTCCACTCTCGGCCAGCGCTAAACTGTGTCCATCTGAACCTCCAGAAGTTGCAAGGGCAGTGATCACAAAGCCCTGCAGAGTCGAAATGACGCTTAAAGTGTGCAGGTCATCAGCATTCCCTTGGCCGAGCCTCCCATAGCTTCCTTCCCCACAAGCAAGAACTGATCCATTGGCTTGGATGACAAAAGTGCAGTTCTGGCCGCAGACTATTTGCTGGGCGCTCGAGAATGACAATGTCAGAACAGGGAATAAGCACACACGGCCTGAAATGGTTTTAATTTAGATTTCACTTTCAGAAACATAAACCTAATTAGTACCTGCTTCAGCAAGCTGACCATGTTTTCCACTTCCCCAAAAGTAAGCTTGGCAGTTTCCACCAATTTGCCAGTCTCCTGGCTGCTGGGTGACCCAGGACATTATTTCTTCGTCCGCCTGGAGACTCCAAAAAGACTGGTTGAACGGATCTGGCTTTGTGCCCTCCTCTGAAAGTTTCAACGTCGGTTTGAGAACCAAAAGCATTTGTAATAACACTTAAATGATTACCACAAGGCAATTTTGTCATAGCAGCAAATCTCTGTGGTAGGGGCGTCCTCTTAATCAGAGCCTCTGCACTCTTCACCACTACGGAAAACGTGTGAAGCCATTGCCAGTCGGAAACTGTAAAATAAATAGTTTCAAAATTGTGCCCAGTGGAAATTTTAGTTATTCCTAACCAATTTGGCCAAATTCTTCGTGATTGACTGGAACATTGTTGTATGTCAAAATAGTGTCCAATTCAAGAATCAGCGCAAGTGACACTAGACTTCTTAGGTGACTACTGTAGGTCAACTGCTCTCCAGTTGAAACCAGTCGATGTTCATGTTTGTACTGGTTGTGAAGCAGCAAATGCAGGTGGGTGAGTAGAGTTTTGAAAGCTGGCGCTCGGTGAATACCCCCTAAGCCATGCAGAGTCAGAGCTGTTCTGCCTCTGGCAAGAAGACGAACGCTTTCCAGCCAATCAGGAGATGTGTGCAAAACTCGAATTTCCTAAAAAAATCTCCATGAACACCACATTGAATAAAAAGAGATATTTTACTCATACTTTTGACCTAGTAAAACATATTGCAAGAGCAACGTTGTCAATCCAGCAAAGGCTCTGCACTCCACCTGTGCCCGTATTTGTGTGGAGCAAGCTACCATCGTGAAGTGACCAGATATTAACAACACCACTGGGGCCTCTCAAACACCCTAAAAACAATAATTAATAGGTCATAAGAACAAACTTCCATTTAATCATACAGACCTGAAGCAAGCATGGATCCATCTTTGCTGATTGCCATGGTGGTCACGGCATAGTTGGAGTTATCGATCAGTTCAAATACCAATTTAGGCGCTACATTGCTATTTTCTTGCTCCAAGTTGTCGGGAATAAGCCAAACACTAACCGTTCCGTTCACGCCACCAACGCAGAGAACCAATTTTGTCTGCCCGATTAGAGGGGACCAAATTATAGAGGCTGGCTCTTGGGCAAGGGTGAGTTCGTGAGCACAATTCCAAGTTCGTTGATGGTGGCTCCAAATGCAGCAGCGACCATCTGCCCCGCATGATGCCAGCAGTTTTCCTCTCTGGTCCCACTTTATGCTGATAACAGCGCCCTTTAAATTTAATTCATATATAAAAATCATAAACATAATTATTTCCCCCCCTTTTTTTAATTTACCCTGTGTGCACTGATGGAGCTAATGGAAGATTCGGAGAGCCTTCCAAATTTGATAGTACCGTCAGTGAAAGCAATCGCAAAGTCCTTTTCCTCAGAAAACCAGGAAATATGAGTGGTGCATGCTGCATATGTGAAAATTGTTGATTAATACAAATTAAAATTAAATGAACTTAAGTGCTCACAGTTTGGCTGAGAGCAGTGGGGAAGGTATTCGGATGTAATGTGGCCTGAAGGAGAGACTCGGACACAGCTCACCGTGCCATCCGCATGGCCTACCAACAAGAGCTCATGATTTTCAGCCACGACCAGGGTTTGCGGCCAGGCAAATGTTGTGATCATGGAGCTCTGCTGCAACATTGATTGGATTCCTGTGGGACAGTCATCTGCGTGAAATACAGATGTACAAGAAACTGTAAAATGCCCTACACCAATGCAAATAAATTAAAGCTCTGACCTGGAATGTGCCAAATATTCAAAGTACTGTCAATGGCAGCAGCAATATATTGGCCCGACGAAGACCATATTAAAGGCTGAATGGCTTCTCCTTGTAACTCGTCCCCAAAAACAACCTCCGACTTGCGGAACATGTATGTGGCTTCAAGTTGAATTTGTCCAGGATTGCAACTACCAGGACTCCAAATGCGAACGGTTCCATCATTGCCACTAAGTGTAAGGTACAACAAAATTAATTAACTTGGTTCTCATGTTCTCAATTAGGAAATTTCATATACCTAGATGCCAAAAGCTTTCTGTCTTCATTCCAAACTACTAAATTTGCCCTGTTTCCATGACCCTCGAGTTCCGACACTGGACAATTTGGCAAGACACCAAGTAGATCTGCCATGGTTTTAGTCTCAATGTGATGAATTGGGAATTCTTCAGCAGAATTTGCAATGCATTTAACCTGAGTGATTTTTTTGTAAGGATTTTTTTTTATCAATTTTATTCATAATACCAGTTGTTCGGATGCCCATTGCTTGTGATTTGGCTCCAAGTGAGCAGACAGTACACAAGCCGACAAAGCATTCGCAAGCTGCAAAATGTTCTGAACTTGTGGATCTGAGGGGCTGCAAAGTGCTTTTGGAGTCTCGTCTCCTGAAATAACAATGTTAATAAACACCTGCAACCTGCAAACAATGGATAATTAGCCCAAAAATACCTTTCTGACTGTGTGATGTAGGCAGTCTCTTTTTTGCAGTTAGCAGGTTGACTAACGCTTGTGTAACAGAGAAATTTGACGACTGCGAAGGTAGCTCATATGCCATTGGATTCATACTGCTGCGCCGGCCAACTGCAGTATCGAGCAGATCCTGAAGAAAGTGATTTACAATTTTATGTCCCTTAACTTTTAAAAATAATTACCTTAGTGCAAATGTTGACCACCATGTTTGCAGCTTCTGTATTGCTGACTGCCAAACTTGATATAGCGTTACTCAAATGCAGGAGATAGAAATTAGTCTTTGAGGTAGTCGGGTTGGAAGTGAGAGAGCTCTTGGGAGGTGCAAGTGTGTCGATAGATACACTATAATCAGAGGGTAGCTCAATTCTGCCACCAGCAGTGAGACTCATCAAATGAACAAGCTGACGAATGTCATTCAGGCCCATCGATTGGAGACCAGTTGGAAGGCTGCATGTGCTTCCACTATTTGAAATGATTACATAGATAGACATGTTGATTTGTTGAATCAATCATACCTGGCAGAGAGCAATGAGAGGGTTGACATAACTACTGAGCGTGCCACTAAGATTTGAGCAGCATTTGTTGTTCTGTGCAAGGCTATTTGTCTCTCTTTAGAATTAGCAAGCCACGATGCTTGCTCGCCTAAAGAAGGTCTCTCATCATTTGAGGCAGAATTAATAGTGGTGCCTATTAAAAAGTGAAAATTAGCATCAGTATAATATTTATTACATAATATTACCCTCTTTCGTCTCATTTGTAACTACTGGCACTTGATTCATGCCAAGTGGATCAGGATCGTGGAAGATGATTTCATCAAAGTTCAGGTGGGGTATCAAAAATGGAGCAACATCAACAGTCTTAGCATCCTTGATGGCATTGTCATCCAATGAGCCAGAGTTAGCTAGAGGAAATATTTTTGTCACAAAGTTTTTCCTTCTTTGGCAATTAAAAATATAAACCCTTTGTCTCAAACGGTACAGGTCCTACAAGGTCTGGGGCAACTAAAGCTGATGGGTGGGTTGTTCTTGTAGTACCAAATTTAGAGGTCAGAGGCATTGGAGACGATGCTCGTCTATGCAAATAATCACACCAAGAGCCATCAGCACTGTGTGGGAGATTCTCTTTACATTCTGGGCAGACGTAAATCACAGGAATAGCTAAAAATTATTTTAAATCTCCAGCAAAAATATATATATATTTTTACTAACATGCTAAAGATTCCGTCCTATTTTCAGCAAATCTTCTCTCAAGCCTCTCACAAGATGCGTTGCAGACATCACAAGTTGGATTTCTATCAATGTCCATGTACATTCCAGATTCGAATGCAGATTCATAAGCAGATGAGTCCCATCTATCTAGTCTTGTAAGAGCAGAGTCCATGTCGGAGAGGAAATGAGGCACTCCAATTACTCGACGTTTGGGTCTACTTTCTCCAGTTTGCAGTCCTCGACCAAAAGGTCTTTCTCTGCTGCTTCCTCCACTACTTCCTCTCTCGTGGTCTTGAGAACTTGATCTCTCAGCCATGTAGCTTCTAATGTCAGATGACGCTCGGCGTCGAGGGCCAAGGCCGCGAAGATAGAAAGCAGAATCTTGCTCCCTCGTGTGGCCTAAAGAATGTAAAAAAAATTGAATTGAACAATATTAATATTTTTCTAACTCACTGGTTGAATTTCTAGAGGATAGCCAAGGTGTGAAGATTCCAGACGTTGGCTCTGAAGTCTCCACGTCAAAAAGTCTCAAGGGAGGGGGTACTGCAGCAGCTGCACCCTCTGCAGAATAAAATCCCCGGATGGTTGAGGAGGAAGCAGCATCCGAGGGTGGAGACTCGCTTGAGTCAATGCAAGGATGCTCTATCATCCACATCACTAACTGGTTTATTGTCCGTGCAGACATGTCACCCGTGCTTCCTAAAATTGCAAGAAAAATATAAAAGGTGGACACTTGCTTTGAAAAATCTCTTACCAGTAGCATGAATAGCTTTTTGAACATGCTTCAGGGAAAATCCCATCTCCAATAAAGGAGCCGCCACAGGTAGAGAAGGCGGTGACGGAGATCTTATTCTGTACTTTGGCATTGGGGGAGGCGCAGATTGAGGAGTGCTCGATGCGGAGGAGGAAGTTGCTTGGCCTGGACTGTGTGGAGTGGATGTCTCCGAGAAACTATTCATCAAAAATGATGAAACTGACAATGACGAGGGTGGAATTGATGGAGGGTAGTTGATCAATTTCCGGTACAGCCGTTTCACCATATGTGTCCGAGCTGACAACATACTTGTTGACGATTCGCCAGTGGGTTCCTAAACAATGTACAGTAAGACTCAAACTTTTAAACACCACTGATACACCAAAAAAATTCTCACCTGACTTCCGGAAGCACCATCCTCCTTAGAAGAACCACTGTCTCTCTGGTTGAGAAGAGTACGAATGTGTCCTTCGGTCTCCTTTATCTGCAGCTCTTCTTCAGCCCATGCTTTGGCAGTGCTCAAGTGCAAAACAGATTGAGCTCTCTCCAAATCACCTACGCTGGCCAAATGCTTTAATCCACACGGCTTCACACTTGCTTTCACCAACCACCTACGCATTTGACTGTAGAATGAAGAAAACTGCAAAACATATAAATTTACCTCAATACGTCCTGAAGTGCCTCTTTTAATGACGGGGCGTCTGTGAGACCATCTTTGGCTTCGTCGTCCTTTTTGTCGTCAGAAGTTTTAAGAGGGAATAAAAGAAGTTCCGAAAATTTACTGCTGCACAGAATTGTTTGAAGCGCCTTTAAAGAGGCAAACTGGATGTACGCAACCTGCAGTGATAGTTTTTCTTGCTCAAGTTGCTTTCTAACAGCAGCTCTATTAGCAGCTTTGTTTCTATAAAAAAATAATTTTTTTAGTTTCAACCATTTAAACTTAGAAATTTTTAATCACTTTTTGTCCGCATCGGATTCTCTCTGCTCTTTTTCCAATTTAATAGCTGCAGCACCCTTGGTAACTTCTTTCATTATACTTGACACTAGCTGGTTTGTCAATGCATCAACTGAGGCTCTTCCACACACTTCTTCAGCACAAGAGTCACCAGAAATAAGATCGTTATTCGAGCTCTCATCTTGGAAAGTGTCTATTTCTTGCTTTATGCTTGGTAGACTAAGCTGCAATGGTGTAAAAATGGTTTGATAGGACTCTAAATTGGTTAGCTAAAAAAATCATCTACCTCGTCTGTAATGCCACTGAGTCTTGTTATTTGTTTTATGGTGTCGGCTGTCAAACCAACAAATTGTGATGAGTCAAAATTCACAGAATTGCAAGGAGTAATTTGATTCAGGGACCCGTCAGTGATGTCTGCCTCCTTGTCAACCCATTGCAATTTGACTGTGGACAGGCCCTGCTTTAGTGTTCCTAATATCGTAGCTCGTCTTCCAGTTTGGCTGTGGACACATTGTCCTCCCACTCTCAAGCCAGCGTCAACTCCGCCAATCACAGCCAGTGCTGGCCAAACCTTCAATTTACTTTTGTTTTCAAAAACATATCAAAAGATTAAGACAAAATAACCTCTTTGCAAAGTTGCTCCAAAATCATTATATTTTCCAGATCACACTCAGTCTGCTCATCAGCCTCTGCAAGTCTTGCATGTACTGCTGAGTCACTCACTGAAAATTATTAATTGGTTCACAATTATTATAAAAAATAGCATGTCACTTACAAGAGTATCTCAAATCATGCCTCTTATGCTCTGCTGCAGCAGGGAGAAGCTCTTTTGCTGCTGAAAGCCTTTCAATCAGAGCATCATTGATCTGCAAATTTTCAATGCATTTTAAGTCATTTTTACTCAAGTGAAACTCACTGTTTGGTTCCATATAGACGAAGAATGAAGAGTTCTCATCAAATTGATTTGGGCTTCAGCAAGTGCTGCTGGCCATGGTGCGCAGTGAGGTTCTCCAGGAAGGAGATCTCTGGGGCAACCCCTCACTTGCATATCTGTCAGTTTCACCTGAAATTGTATTAATTTTTAAAACTGTTTATCACTTGACATCCTGTAACCGATCATACCTTCTCTCCAGGACTGTTGCTATAGAACATAACACATGGGTACAGCTCAGAACACTCAATGTCCTCAAAAGCCAATCTCGGCTCCTCTCCATTCTTTCCAAAACTCAAAGTCCTAGCATCCATATCCAGAACAGCAGTTATGTAGTCACCCTGGGTGAAACTTTGCAAGTTGACAGGAAGCTCTCCATTGTGATACAAATTTCCACTGCAATATTTCAACGCACATTTATTTTTTTGAATACAAAAGTTTAATAAAAGCTATATATGCCAACTTTACCTATACGCCCTGTAAAGCCACATGTCGGTGGTTGTTCGATGATTGTAATCCTTGATTGGGTATCGAGAAACTCCAACACATGTGCCTTCATTCCCTCTGTTCTCTTTTACGATGAGGAATTTCCACTGGTAGCAGCCTAAAAAGTGTAATGCTTAGATACATATAACATATTTTAAAAACATAAAGACACACTTACCGGAACTTATCGCTGTTGTTGCCAGTCCATAGCCTCTACCGCCGGAGCCATGCACAAGCATTCTGCTCGTTTCAACTGTGCAGCAGTGACATTTGTCAATGTCATAACTAACTTCGTGAACGGGAATATTATCATCACATCTATCTCCAGGTGGCCACATTTCATCAGTTGCTGTGAAAAAAATGTTTTATTGCATTTGAAAAATTCAAGACAGGTCTCTACTTGGACTATTCAGTTTGACTAGTTTCTTCTGCAGAGTCTCGTTCTTTTGCTTTGCTTCAAGCTCTGAAACTTTCATTGGCAGGGACCACATACTGGACGCCAGTTGTCTCATTAGTTCTTTAACTACTTGCTCTCTTGGGTCGTATTCAGTTATGTTCATGAAGGGCAAAACGGATCCAAGCAAGTGCAAGGACAGGAGTCTTGGGCGCAAGCAAGAAATTCGTGGCAGACAACTTTCAGGGCACTGCGAGCACACAGCCAGCAAAGTTTCTGTCCACTGACGACATGCTAGTAGGTTGCAAATTGCTTTGCAACTTGCGATTCGTCTAACAAACACCAAGAAGTCTCCCAGAGCCCTCTCGGCTGCTCTTTGTGCGCTGCTAACACCGATAGCCTACAACCAAAATCATGAGTATTAAATGTGTGATTGCAGTTAGAAAAATAATGGTCATTTACCTTGCCCTCCAAATGAAATTTTGAACTCGATGCTAAGCTCAAGAGCTTTTCCAGAAGTGAATGCAAAAGTTGGACCACACTCTCCACCACACTGGGCTGCAGTTTTGTTGAATGCAGTCTAGAATAATGTTTATTATTACATTAGACCAAATAATTTTTAACATTTTTTATTTTACCCTGTTGATATAGAGAGAACTTGCAGTAACCTAAGACTTGCCAGGGCCAAAGTTGGTGTTCCCTGAATAGGAGCAGGCATTGTTGGAGATGCTGAGAGAAGGTGAAGAGAACTTGCACACATCTCTGCTAGCATTGGTAGCAGTCCATTTGAAACTGCCAGAGCAAGATCGGGAGGTTCAAACTTGCAACTCAAAACGAAGACAGTCAACAACTGCATTTGCTGCCACAATCCTGTACAGTTATAGAGAAGAGAGAAATTCTTGACAAACATTTTTTTTCTAATTTGCCACTTGCCTTCAGCAACTTCCATTTCTATTGGTCCAACAGTTAGTGAGTACACAAGAAGTGTGTGGATCCAATGAACGGCTCTGCGTATTAAGTTCTGTTCATTTTTCCTGGCAGAACGTACTCCGTCTAAATAATGGGTGACTTGGTTTTTACTACCAAGACCAAAGTAGCCAGAGAGAAGCTGTTGGTGTGCCTACGCAAAAAAAATATATATAATGTAGTGTTGTAGAAACACCAGTGCAAGCTAATTACGCATCCAATGAGATAGGTCCCTCTCCGACCATCGCCATCTGGACTAAAATTTGAAACTAAGCTTTCTAAAGATTGTTCTTCTTGAGAGCTACTTTCATGAGGAGCCAATAGTTCTAGAATTTGATGCAGTGCTTCTAGACGAGACTAAAATTGAAAAATTAATTCAATCTAATTTATCCTTCATAATGTATTTTATTAACCTCAGCTCGCTGCTGCTGCTTGTGAATAGCATCAGCAATGCTTATTGGTTCTGAGCACCAGCCTTTGTGGTACATTTTCCCATATTGGTCACTCAAGGTAGAACCAGGCAGATCTTTTACTGAATCACATATTGGCTCGTTGCATATAAACTTGACGACTGCTTGGGGGAGTTGATATTCACTGTCACACAGCTCATCCATTCTACATGTATTGATTTAGATGCGATTTTAATAGCTTTAATTTGTGAATATACTTGTTATTATAATAGGCGTCCGACATGCCGTCTTTGGTGCTCAGAAGCTCCCAAGAGGTTTCAGGGCCCTGAATGCAAGTAATGAGAAAAATGCTTCTGCGGATGATTACTTCCGTCAGGTCTTCATAAGATAGAGCTATTTTTATGGAACTTTTAACCATCTCCTGATCATCTGGCCGACTTTGCTCATCTATTGGAAACAATTATTATTAAAGTTTATAAAGATTATGCAAAACCCACCTGAACAAAAAGCTCTTAAGCCGCCGTCGTCACTTGCGTCTTCTTCATCAGGCTCATTGTCATCATGCCTTAGTCTTCTAGAATCTCCCCCATCCTCAAATGAAGTGGTTGGAATGGGCTCTTGAGAATCAGCATGCTGCTTAGCTTGGTCTTTCATAGCTTTCAAATTCAACATCTTTCTTCTCAATACAAATGTATGTTTGAAAATCTCAAGTAAGCCTTTATCCTCATAACTCCTAAACGACTAGTGATTAGCATTTACAAAAGTGAGATGGTCAAAGCTTACAAATTTCCATTTATAAGTGGGATAAGATATCCAGTATGCTTGAGCAGAGCCACAAGAACGAGCAACGAAAGTAGTTGCAGTCGCAAATCTCCCTTTTCTTCCCAAGTGTCCCAGTCATATCTCTCTGCTGTGTCCATGAGATTCACAAGAAGAGGACATGACCCTCCATTACCAGATGAAATGATGCTCTTCAGCCAAGCACCGAGCTCAGGTGGTTGCAAAAGAGAAAGTAACGCTACAGGCTCCTCTTGCATTTCATCCAAAATCCAAGATTTCAAACCGTTGACAATGATGTCTGAGAAATTGCTCAAATGAGTTATGAATTTTTAAGACTGCAAGTTATTTATAACCAGAGTTAGAGCTGACACTGAGATCAAGGCCATTACTGAAGAGAGGGTGGTTCAGCCAGTTGATGCAATAGGTTTCGACCTGGTGCTGTTGTTCGCCAGCCAACATGCCACCCAGGCAGCGTCCGACAAGCAAACTGCAGGCTCTCTCAGCGTCCAAAAGCCACAGCCAAGACGTTTCTGTCATTTCTACTAGCTCGCTTGGGGTTGGTGTATTTGCATCTAATGTAGGTCAAATGGGAAAAAATAAAAATTTGATAAAAAAATTTTTGAAGCTTTGAAATTACCTGAGGACGTATCCGCAACTTCATGCTCTGGTTGAGTAGCAGCTGGTAAAATTCTATTCAATCGGTCCATAGGGCCTAACATGGCCAGCAAGTGGAACAGAAGTGGTTGTATGTCATTGACAGGGAGTATCAGCAGAGCATGTAGAATTTTTGAAATAGAAGCACCAGCAGTTGAGTGAAAAAGGACATCTGTTGAAAATTATCAATTTTACGTAATAAGATATTATATTAATTATATGATGATTATAGTTACTGTGTAATTTGTTGATAACGCCTTGATTACCAGCCAGCACAGTTCCACTTCTCTCATATACTGAGCCTGCAATTTGAAACAAGTCCTCAAGGTGCTCAGTTAGAATCCCATATGCAATGCTCTAAACATTTATAAATTTATATTAGCAGCTAACAACTGGACATATTTATAAATTTTACTTTTTCTTTTTCAAATTCTGAATTTTCTTCATGCTGTAGGTCTTCGTAATTGCACCTTGCCAACAGATGGGTTTGCAGGGCCGAGAGCAACTCACTAACGTGAGACTTCGAAAGCTCTTCTTTTGCGTAATCAAATTCTGTTCCGCTCTCTACTTCATCCAAACAACCATCCTTTCAAGATAAAAATTACAATAACATTAATGGAAATACTATATCTCTAAATTACAGTTTGGTAGCTCAAATTTTTTAACAGCGTCTTGATCAATTTTTTTGTCAAATGCATATCTGACGGGTCAAGTGTATCCTCTGATTTGTCAATGTTGCATCCCAGTAATGCGGAGACATGCAAATGGTCCTCAAGACTTGCAAGAACGATGTTGAGCAGAAGTTTCTAAAAATAATCAATGGTGTACTTAACTTAATTTGACTAAATTAATGACCCGCAATACCTGGCCCTTAGAGAGTTTGTGGCTTTGCGGTAGCAAAGTTAAGAGAAGGTCGACTCTCTCCTTTAGCGGAGGTAACAGCATTGGAGCCCCAATGGACAAAGTTTCTTGCACAGCCTGTTGAACAGAATTGGGGGCAGGCATGTCTACAAGTTTGAAAAGAAGCTGCCGTAAGGGTTGAGCCTGCATGCCCAAAACCGAAGACCCAAGTCCTCCAGCCAGAGAAAGGGACAGGTGAGTACACAGGAGTTTTAAGCACTGGTGCACAAATCTGTGGTGTTCCCTGCAAAAAAAAAATAAAAATATTATTTTTTATATTTATAGAGAGAAAAAGGTTTCCAGTAAATTGTTTCACGAAGAAATTTTACATGACCGATCGCCTAACTATTCGAGGCATCATGTGACAGGATAGGCGACAGATATTTGAAATCGGAAGGTTGTAAAGTAATTATAAAATTATTATTTATGGACTGAGGAAAATGCTAAAAAAATATCTCTTTCCCATTTTCCGCTTCCTATCTTTGAATATTTAAATTATTTCACCATTCACTTGGTGTTTAATGCCATGCTTGGAATAGTTTGCCAATTGCCTTGTAGTGGAACAATTTATATACAATCAGAGAAAATAGCATACTCCTGAGAGTTGAAAGGCGATGGGGGGTTAGGGCTCTCGAAGCCATCACAATACTGTTCCAAGAAAATCCTCAAATACTCAAATGTCTTCTCCTGCAGGTCGACGCAGAACGGGCGATGCCAAGTGACAACTTGCCGACCTGAGGGAAGAGCAGTCCAAGCAACACTGTGTGAAGTTCCAGCTGAAATTTGGTGGACTGGAATAGACTCCAACCCAAGCACTTTTCGGGGACGAGTTATTGGAGATGAGGAGTGTCCAAGTCCGCACTGCCCAGTTGCATTGTTTCCCCATGCAAGAACCTGCAAGAATGTTACAAATAAATTGTATTCAAAGTCTATAGTGACCACTTAAAAAGAAAACCTTAATTTTGAAATTTTTGGAAGGATCTATTATACCTCGTTATCATGTGTGAGCGCCAAGCAATGCGTGTCTCCAGCTGCTACGTCAACTATGCGATACTGTGCTAAGTCGTCAATTAGTCTGGGCACCAGAAAAATGGCATCCACTTTTCCATTAGCCAAACAAGGACCACTACCCCACACCCAAACCTATAGATTGAAATTAATTTAAACTCTCTTGTGACCACTTCACTCTTACTTGTCCATTTGAAGTCAAAGCCAGGGAAAATGTGCTCCCTGCTGCCACTTTTCTGATGTACAACCCTTGCAGCGACTCAATAACTTTGGGTCTGTAAACTTGAGATGTGTCTCCGTGGCCAAGTTTGCCGTGATCACCTCCTCCAAACGACCAGACCGTTTTTCCGTCCATAGACACAGCCAGAGTGTGCGCACTTCCGCAAGCAACTCCTCCAACTCCAGCAATGTCTCTCACTAGAGTTGGCATGTTTCTCCCCACACTGTCTCCATGGCCTTGAAATCAAAGTTTTAAAAATGAATTTGACCAAGTATAAATCAACTAACCAAGCCGTCCATAGTCACCCTCTCCCCAAGTGTACAGTTCACCGTCTTCTGTGACTGCTGCGCTGTGTCTGTAACCAGCGTGTACCGCAACCACTACTTTTCCCAACAATGCCCCGGATATGAGTCTCGGGCACTTTTGAGTTGTGCAATTCCCATGACCTAGCTTACCATAGTCCCCTAAATCAAGTCAAACTTTTAAAATTAAGTCAGAATATATTTTAAATTCACCATCTCCCCAGCTATAAACCATTCCTTCGTCTGACAGCGCAATCGAGTGTCCGTCACTGCCTTTTGACGAGGACAGACTTTTCACTTTTGAGTCCAGAGCCAAGACTTTAAGCTTGGTGTGGTTTGAAGAGTCACCTAGGCCTAATCGGCCATAGGTCCCTTTACCGCAGGCACTTACAGTGCCGTTGTTGTGAATGACAAATGTGCAGTATTGGCCAGCTTCAACCTGGAATTAATCATTGAAAATAGCGGAAAATAGAACGAGTAAAGCAAAAATATACCTGTTGCACACTGCTAAATGTATTTGCTAGTTGTGGGATAAATATTTTTTCTGGTGACGATTCGGCCAGTTGATGGGAAGAGTTACTCCCCCAGACATAGACATCACAGCTTTTAGTTTGTTCGACTGGAATTTTTCCACTGCTCGAGTCACAGTTATTTTCAGCATTGCACATTCCAAAGTGCATGTGTTCACTAGCCAAGGAAACCAGCTGTAATATAGATTTATTATTTATATTCTTTTGATTCCGTTTCTACTTATACTTTTCCCATTAAGCAAAGGGCAGCCTGGTACAAAGGTATGAACCCTCGCGAGTCTCCTTGGAAATTTTCTTGGGCAGAGTGTCCCCCGCCTTGCATTTGACTAAGCCAGTCTAGAAAACTTAGCGACGGTATTAACGCTTCCTTTGTTCCAATAACCGAGGCTTGGAAAGCCATTTGCACCCATTCCAGCAGGAAGCACAAAGAGCCTCTCTGCAGAGCTAATCCGAGCAGTAATTCTGCTGATAGGTGTCGTCCTGTAATTTTCATTAAAATAGTTATAATTTTTCTTAAATAAAAAACAATAGTAGATCTACCAATGAAGTCAGCGCCTGATGAAGGCAATGAGGTTTTTTGAAGAAAGGCAGAAATATCTTTCAAGGCTTTAATGCCCAATGGAGGTATCTGTGTTTCATTAGCCAGTGAAAGTGGCTGCAGCGCTCGAACAACAGTGCACGCAGTCCTCAAGACTTCACTACACATTTCTGGTGCCCCTAAAATTTTAAATTGATCCAGGATTTCATTTTTAATTTTCTATTGAAGATCAAATTACCTTCAACTGAGCTTGATCTCCAGTTAAGTTGCAGCAGTGAAAATAAGAGGCTGAGACCAGTAGTAACTCCCAACTCGACCAAGGCAGATGAACCCGAGGTTGTTTTGTCCTGAGAGCAGTCAACTTTGATCAAACCACCGGCCTGCTCAATTTCTTGATTACATGTAGCAACTTGCGTCTATGATAAATATTTTCTTATTTTAACTATTATATTTATAATTTAAAGTAGTACCCTTGAATTTTCGTGGAACTTAGAAATGATTGCATGAAACATCCGTTTCAGGATTGTCAGCCGCTGGCGCAATATCGTCGCAAACGGTGACTCGGAGCAGATCATCTGGGCCAAATCTCTCTGGGCCGCAAGAAGACTTGAAACATGATTTTCTAAGTCAATTGCAGTCAAATTTTCAGGAGAGTCAAACTCCGGGAAGGCTGGGCCTGGGTTTGTCGAATTTGCCGGTGCCGAGATCACGATTTCCTGCGCAATTGGAAAATATATGAGAAATAGTTAGTTGAAGAAAATAGGTTCAAGAATGGCAAAATGAGAATGAAACCTTGTTTGCAACTAGTCGCTCGTAAAGCAAGTGAATTCCTTCTCTGGTCGCGATCGTGTCGCAGTTTTCGCTCGACCAAGAGCTGTTCAAGTGGTCGGCCCATTTCAACTTCATGTTGGGAGTTGATAGGGCAGACATAATGTCGTGCATTTTGCCGACTTACAGCCGCATTCGGCAAAATCTTCGCCTCGCTAACATGAAATTGTCTTTAGATGAATTTAATCTTGAATCCTGCCCCTTTTTTATTTTTGTTGTGTTTTGTTTCGATCTGTCATTTATGCCAAACCCGGCGTTCTCATTGGCTGATCAATTTCTTATCAACCAATCAGTGCAATTGGAATGTAATTGAGAGATTATCAGAGACATCTGTTGGCGAAAGAAATAACATGTATCACGTGTTGTCATTTGTGTTGGATTTTTGTTTTGAAGACGCACGCGATTTTTGGATTCCAATTTCTCAAATTTTCTGTGCGTCCTAACCGCAGCAGTTGAGCAGTTTCTGATCTGTGACATCAACTAAATTGGAAATTTCTTTTAAATGGCAAGTGTTGGTGATGTTTCCCTGGAGGATATCGTGGGAAAGGTGCAGCAAACTTCGACAGCAAACAAGCCTACTGTAAAATTACAAAAAACAGTGAAACCAGAGAGTTTGATTCCCAGGGGCAAGCCAAAGTCTGGAAAATTCTGGAAAGACGTGAAGAAGAGGTAATTATTGCAAAACTTTATTTATAGCTCAAAAAGCCTATAATAAATTATTTTTCAGAGCTTCGTCTTTAATTACGACGAGAGGTTTAAAAATTGCTAATTCCTTCGAGAAGAAAGAAAAGCTGAGAGCAGAGTTGAAACACTCTAAAGAACTTAGCAGAAGTAGATTGGATGAAAGGAAGAAACAAATCGAGGCCAAGAAGGAGAGGCGGAGGGAAAATCTCAAGAGACAGGAGGAAAATAGGAAAAAATCGGAGATTGTCCAAGTGGTATGCGTGTGACACAACCATATTATATAATATTCCATATTTTTAAATTACCTTATTTCAAAAATAATTAATTACTTTTTAGATCCGCAACCCAGCCAAGATCAAGAGGATGAGGAAGAAGCAGCTTCGTATGATTGAGAAGCGAGATACAACTAACATGTAGGAAAAAGGTTACATAAATAAAAACACAAAAATTCCAGGCGAGTATGTTTTATTGAACTGCCGGTAAATTTGAAATGCAATTATGAGAGCTCTTCTATATATTTCTTTTTATCTTTGCAACAAGAAGTATTGCTACTGCACCAACACTGACTTTTTAAATCAGAATTAACAAATTGGAACTGAATAGTTAAAACTTTGAAGACTTAACGCAAGTGGATAAAAACAACAGCAATAAGATCCTTGTGCTAACAGTATGGTGACATTTGATGGCACGGCAATAATATTCAATTAACGAGCAAACAATTCTCAGAGGGTAGTTGTTTAATAAGCATGGTCCTTGATGAAGAGACCAACATCGGCAGCAGCGCCTGTGACGGCACCAGCCTGATACTTTCCAAGGGAAGCATCACCGTTAGCCTAAAATTGAGATAAAATTGTCAGAATAGATATGCTGGTTAAATATGGAGGGCTAAAAAAATAAGATAAAAAAGTTTTAAATAAAAATAGATGCTCAAGTTAAGCTTGCCTTATATAAGGGGGTTAAACTGCAGCTAGGCAAAAGAATTTTTTTTTTACATACAAGGGAGCTTCTTAAATCTACAAATTAAATAAAATGGTGACGAACCATGCAAAAAGCATTGAGGAAGGAATGTTTGGGGGAATTAGTAGGCGTGGGCCTTGACGAAGTTGGATTTGGCAGCGGCAGCGCTCTCGAACATGCCTGCCTTGTACTTGCCCTGGCAGGCCAGTCCGTTAGCCTGAAACATTAGTGTCGAGAGTGTGCTACAAACAAAACTAGAACAAAAATAATAATGCTACATGCTAAAATAATTGAGGGGATCAAAAGCACTATTTACAGACAAAACAATTAAAAGGAATAGAGTGAGAAGAGGGTGTTGTATGGAGACAATAATAACCTTGGCGCGCTTGATCAGCTCGTCCTGGGCAGCCTTGATGTTCTCCTTCTTGCCTCCCCAAGCACGGAGCACAGAGGCCTGAAATTTATCCATACAATCAGCCTCAACATACTCACTTCTTTAATTCTCCAACTGTACCTGAAGGGCTCTGCCGTAACTGAAGGTGAGGGCCCAGGGCTTCTTGCCCTCATACTTGTTGATGGCGTCCAGGTTCACGGAAGCCTCCTCCTCGGACTGGCCACCAGAGAGGAAGGTGACTCCGGGAACGGCAGCGGGCACAGTGCGCTGGAGGGCCTGAACAGTGGCCCTGGCAATCTCCTGGGCAGGGGCCTTGTTGGCGCAGGACTGGCCAGGGGTCACCATGTTGGGCTTCAGGAGAGTGCCCTCGAGGTAGACGTGATGGTCATTCAGCGCCTTGTACACGGCGGCCAGAACAGTCTCGGTCACCTGAGAAAGGGGATAATGTAATTTTACGGTTAATTGCATTCAAAATCATTCCAAAAATAAAAATTATGAAGAGAAATTTGAATACTAATTTCCTCTCTGATATATATTTGTTTAAATAAATGAACAAAATAAAATTTTACCTTCTGGGCGCGGTCCAGGTCGTGAGTTCCATCGGGCAGGACCTCAGGTTCGACAATGGGAACGATGCGGTTGGCCTGGCAGATTGAGGCGTAGCGGGCCAGAACATTGGCATTCTCAAGGATTGCCTCAAGAAAATAATTTGTTTATAAAAATAATTCTCTACATTGAAAAATTTCAATTAAAATCTAAAAACAATAGCTATTCTTCAAAATCAAAAAAGCAAGTTTTTACCTGGTAAGAAGGGGTGTTGGTGCCGATCTTGAGGACGCACCTCCACTTGGCAAAGTCGCAGCCGTCCTTCTTGTACTGGGCACAGCGGGCGCCAAGATCGTCAAGGCCCTGAGTGGTGCACTCACCTTCGCTGCCCATCAGGTCAACGACACCCTTGTCGACCTTGATTCCGGGGATGATTCCCTTCTTCTTCAGGATCTCAACAAAAGGGGTGCCGTTGTCATCCTTCTGGTACAGGGTCTCGTGGAACAAGATCACGCCGCTGATGTTTTCAGTGACAGCGTTGTCCGCAGTGAACAACAGCTGCAATTTAATTGATAGCAACCATTTATAATTTATAAGTATTTTTTTAAATTTTTATTTTATTAAGAAGTCTCAAAACATAGGGAAAATTTTAAAATATAGATCCGCAGTTCCATGGATAATGCTTTTTTACAAATTTTTTTTGAACCTTTTTATTTGAAAAATAAACGTATGCATTCTCAAAGCTTTATAAATTCAAAGCTCAACAATTAAAAAAATATGTGTGCTCTGCCAGTTTTAATAGGAGGATAGTCTCCCTTCTACGATTTCATGAGCTCCTGGCACAGCAACGGTACAAAGTCGTCATCGAGAGAGCTTGGACGCGTGCTTTCAAATGGCACAACGCAGCGGCGATCGGCGACGATCCTTATTTTAAAATTTTAAGGCAAGATTTCCCCTGACCTGTGTAGGATGAGCAAGGAGGGTTATGGGTGTGAGAGACAGAGAGAGACTGCCTATCTTGCAGTGCCAATGCCTCTTTTTCAAAACTTTGTATCAGGAGCACATGATACACTAGACTCCGACACGACAAAAATACTGTCAAAATTTTCCAGATAAAACGGAAAAGTGTAAAAAAAAATATTTCAAAAAAGTTCAAAACGTTTTCACTATCCGCAGCACCGATGCTAAAAATTTAGTTTATTTTTAATGACTAATACAGATTATCACAAAAAATAATATTCTAACTTCTGGTTACAATCATTTATTGTAAAAATTCTTCGTTCAAAGATTTTTTCACACAATTTTTTACTAAACTAAAATAATTTAGCACTGAAAGACTTGCTGGGGATAGCTGCTAGCCTGATACTGAAACCGAAGAAAAGTAGCTCCGCCAGGGTTTCCGCCTCTTTTTTTGCCGGTCGATTGGAATTGAGCATTTGAGCTTGAAAATCGTCGAGATTCAGCCGGTGTATTTATTGTGCCATAAGAAACCATGTGTCTGAGCTCTGGCGTTAAGATTTTTGTTCGTACGAGATGCCAGGAGCACAGAAAACACCAGCACGTAAAAATAGGAATGAAAAGTCTTTTCTAAGAATAGAGAGCGGTTCTAATCTTTCTTTGGTTCAATTATTACTCTGATAAACAAACCGAAGTCTCGCGCAATAAATGTGCACGATTTCATCAAAGGAATAACTTCATCAGAGAATTAAATATAAAAATAAATAAAAATTATAAAAAGTTATGGTAATGCAGTCATGTGATCAAATGAAAATAATCGTATTGTAAAAAATAATTCGCAGTAAAGAGTTAATACATTCAAAACAGAAATCAGATTATTTTATAGATTATTTGAAAAGAAATGGAAAAAAAATAGCGTTTTAAAAAAAAATCAATTACCTGGCGGTACTGCCTCCTGTTCTCCTCGTTGTTCTCTGCGCCGATGTCGGTGAATCGCTTGCCAATGGTGGCCGTGGACTCATCAGCGGCCAGAATACCCTTGCCCGGGGCCACAATGCGGTTCGCAATGTCCCGCAGCTCGGCCTGCAGCTCAGGCGGAGGGTAGTTGAAATAGGTCGTCATTTTGTTTGCTTTTAAGTCTGAAAACAATTAGTAAAAACGATTAATTTCTACCAAAAGTAGCTGATAAAAAAAAGAGAAATTGCACCCAAGAAGGGACTATGAACTTTGAGTTGTGCGACTGCTCGGCTGGAGAAATTTGCGACCAAGCGAAGCGCGATAAAGATGAAATCTTGAGATTTCTTAATTATTGTGGTCTGCAAAATTTTATTGCGAAAAAAAGAAGAAGTTGCGAGGCGAGCCTCCAGTCACCGATCGTTCTCATTGGTTGGCCTTGGCACCAAGTGCAAAAAAATCGCTTTTAGTAATGACAGTATGGTGTGTTTGTTGTGTACGTGACGTGGAATGGGTAGCGCGTATGGAAGCCTTGGACAAGCATTTAAATGATTTAAATATCAATTGAATATGGAATTTACACCGCTGTGAGGTGTGGAAATGACGCCGTATTTGAAATTCATACTTGTAATATCATTTGATGAGTTTAAATAATTATATATCATGTGTTATTTTCTTATCGAAAACAAGAAAAAGTTAAATTCTGCTTTTAATACTTTACTTGAAACAGAAAAAAAACCACAAGATTTTAAAAACTAGATATACTGGCTTTTATTTTTCACCCAACAATAATGCAAAAATAAAAATGAAATAAAAAATTGAATTAAAAATTTCCACAAGAAGCTGAGGACTTTAAATTGCAAAGTGACAATTCTCCAAGGAAATAACTGAAGTTCTCAAAAAGTTGCTTTGGCATGCAAATTAATGTAAAAATGAAATAATATCCCCAATTTTATGAATGACGTGTTTTTAAAAAATTAATTCTACAACAGAGTTTTCATTTCTCATGCATCGAATCTAAATTAAAAAATCGCTGATTAAATATTAATCAATAAAATATGATAGATGCCCGAGTGCAAACGGCAAAGAGAGCGCGTCCTCAATGAGTGACCTTTTGACCCCTAGGGTGGGAAGGGTTGTTGCTGAGCTAAGCACGGTGAAAATTGCATTAGACGTGTCCGTCCCAGTTTAGCTCATCTCGCTCTAGATTTTTAGGTCGCGTTTTGCGTAAAAACGTGGTAATCATTGAAATTCCAGCACCAAATTTCAAAAATTCTGAAGCTCTCAAGAATTTGCTTGAGACGCCGACACCCCAAAATTTCAACTGTTCTGCGAATTGTTTTCCACACGTACAAAAATTGAAAGGACGCTCAATTTTCAAATTCACAGCGCAGAAAACCAAAATCCGCCTGAACAATTTGTGCACGAACAAAAGGCCAAGATCTAGTCTCACCTGCCGAAGACGAAGAGAGCGGCTCACTGAACTGGGCGTCCGGCTGCCGGTAAGGACGAGAGATCTGAAGTGACCTTTGTCAAGGGCGAAGAGGTCGAGCCAGTGAAGAACACGACACGCAGCCCTCTAGCGATCCAATCGTCAACAATCAGCAAAGGGGGATGGAAAGGGTTTTACAAAGAAGTTGGGTTTTTTCATCGTGCTGTGCTGTTTTAAATTTCAAAAAATCAATAGTACGTCAAAAATGACTTTTTTAATATTAAAAAATTGTGTTCTATATTGATTATATTAAAATTATTCTCCTAATAAGCTTGATTTTGGTAAATATTATTGCTCCTTTTATTACTCATATTTAAATTGTAAAGAATTTCTGATTTTCTTGTTGGCCGCGCGTGGCAGCAAAGTCGACAAAAGACCCCCCACCCCGATCACCAGCCTGGCCTGACCAGCAGCCACCACCCACTTCAAGGAGACCCACTTGGTGTTTGACAGATTGCACTAAACTAATTTCCATTCTTCTGGCGACAACCCGGAAGGTTTGAAAATTGCAGACGCAAGAATCAGCAGTTCCCCTACATTAAGTCCCCATCCGAGGCACCGAGGTCGTGTTGACGGACCAGAGTCCGCGACCTGAGCATTTTCCCTACTTGAAATCTGCCTGCTCCGGTGAGTTTCTCGCCCAAACGCTCTAGACTCGCCGCACCCTTCTTGTGACTCATGCGGTGCCTTGTTTTTGCAGAAAAATGGTCGAGACGCACAGTTTTGGAGTGAATCCGATCACCTGCCACGCGTGGAACCACGACCGCACCAGTAAGGCCTCTTGATTGATAATTTTTTGCAAATCTCTAAAAAAATAATGTTTTGCTGCAGGGCTGGCGTTTTCTCCAAACAACAACGAGGTGCATGTCTATCGTCGCGTAGACATTGAGTGGCGACTCGAGGATGTGCTGAACCAGCATGACCTGCGGGTCACGGGCATTGACTGGGCACCACGGACCAATCGATTGGTTACCTGTGCTGTTGATAGGAACGCCTATGTCTGGACTCAGGGTGATGATGGCCGCTGGAGGCCCACCCTAGTACTTCTCAGGATTAATCGGTTTGATGCTTCTTTAATCTAACATAAATATACACACATATATTTATATGAAATCTCTTAAATTTTAATATTTTTAAACCGATTTGTACTTTTAAAGAATTCTACAATTTTATTGAACTTAATTAAAACGGATTTATGTATAAATTTATTCAACTTCCATAAATTATATTATAGCTTATAGCATTGAATGGCTTCTTGAAAATCAAATTTAATTTTCATAAAGAATAAATTTTGAAATGGAACAAGGTAATTTTCATTTTGAGGAAAAATCTTATTTAACATGTTTTGAGGTATCAATAAGTTTGATGGCAAATTTCGTGATGCTCTTTAATTATACAGCTTGACAAATTTGTTGACCTGTTACCAAAAATCTAAAATAATATTTAATGATTCTTATTGCAGAGCTGCGACCTGTGTGCGCTGGTCGCCGCTGGAGAACAAATTTGCAGTGGGCAGTGGTGCCCGCTTGATCTCTGTTTGCTACTTTGAGTCGGAGAACGACTGGTGGGTGTCGAAGCACATCAAGAAGCCCATCAGGTCCACCGTTACGGCTCTTGACTGGCATCCCAACAACGCAATCATCGTGGCGGGATCGGCTGATTTCAAGGCAAGTTACTTAATATTGTGTTGCGCCAGAACGAAACCCTTCAATGTTGTTTTGACTCAAGCAAAATAAGAACCACTATAGCAAATCCATTTTTTTTCGTTAATGCAATTTTCTTATTTAATATTTTTAAGGTAATGTTACGTAAATTTTGAAACCATCTTTTGGTAATTCTCTTTAGAGAGCAATATAAATGTATATATACTTCACAGTAACTAATTACTGAAAGAAAATTCCAAATGAATAAATTGATCGACTTCAAATTGCGGTATTTTAATTTTATAGAAAAGAAGAATTAATTTAAACTGCTGATTTTCTGACATTTAAATTTAACAAAGGATTTTTTGTATTTATAGGTCCGTCTCTTTTCGGCCTTGATCAAAGATATCGAAAAAGCTCCCGAAGCAAACGCTTGGGGCGGCCGTTCCACCCTAGGCGCCCTGATTGCCGAGTTCCCAGCTCCAGGAAACAGCTTGGGAGGCTGGGTTCACGCCGTCAGCTTCTCGGCCGACGGCAACCGAGTTGCCTGGGTCTCTCACGACTCTTCGATTTCCGTGGCAGACCCAAAGCGTCCGCCTACCCGTCTCAGGACCCAATTCTTGCCCTTCAGGGCCGTCACGTGGGTTACACCTGACAAGCTAGTGGTTGCAGGGCACGACTGCTCGCCCTACCTGTACAAGGTCACTGCGGACGGGCAACTCGTCCTCGTCTGCAAACTGGACGTTTACAAAAAAAGGGAGGCCGGAGGGCTGAGGTGAGACTTTTTTACACACAAAAGTTACCCTTAATTCTGAAAATCTAAAATTTTGCAGTGCAATGAGGAAGTTTCAGTCGCTGGATCGGAACGCGCGCATCGAGCCGTCGGACACTTCGCTTGACTCGGTGCACCAGAACGCAATCACAAGCATGTGCATCCACAAAGGCACCAAGCAGGCGTGCGAAACGTTCAGCAGCACTGGGCTGGACGGCCAGTTGGTCATCTGGGACGTCAACAACCTGGAGTCCGCCATCCAGAATATGCGGCTCCAGTGAATCACGGCTTTAAACAATTAACGCTCATTCCTGTCTACTTCCGTAACTCTATTACGTAAAGCAGTTCTGTCTAGCCACATTTCCTTTAAGTATTGATCACGAATTATTAAACAATAAAACTAAACAGAGTGCTATTTAAAAACTTATTTTATTTGCACGCAAAAGAAGAACCTTTAATATTTTAAATATTAACATGCAAATAACCAAAGCTGTTAATAATTCAAGGCTGGAAATATTTTAGTTTTGCTGTTTGTAGATAATAAAATGTTGTTCCGAATCCTATTTCGAGACTGGAACTCTTAAAGAGAATAAATCTGAATAAAAAGAAAACGAGCCAGAATATAAATGATTATTTTTATTAAAATTACTGCTATGAAAACTTTGGCAAGTCTATTCTTTGGGCTTTTTTGCTTGAAAAGTGTCAAGAGTGCAAGTAGCCAAAACCAGAAGCTCTGATCTAAACTGACTTCAATGGCTCTTTTATTTTTTAAGAGAAAATAATAATTGGTTCTTAGCAGGGCAGCAGAGCCTGGATGTGGTTATACAAAGATAAGCCCATCTTATTATCATTTCCTGTATTAAAAATAGTGTGTTTAATAATAAAATTAGCTTAGAGGTAAACCCTCTGTTGGATGATGGCGTTAGTTTGAACAGGAATAATTATTTTGAGAAAATTATTAAACGATGATCGAGCAATGATTTTTGTAATTTGACTTGCCGCGCTCTGCCAGCAAAACACATTTACTGCGTCGACTCCTTAGTTTTTAAGTTGCAAAACATCAAAACATTGATTTAAATAAAATTGGCGCTCTTCATGTAGTTCAACCAACCTCGCAATTTCATGTTGGTCTCATGAAATTGTGTATTATTTTACACCGCTTAATATCGCCTCCAAAAACTTCTCTAATTAAATTTATCGATGGAATATTATAAAATGATTTTAATAAAATTACATAACGATATAGCTTGCGGAAAACATTATTTATAATACTTTATTGAACTTAATGAATTAAAAAAATTGATTAAATTAATATTAAAAAAAATGCTGTAAGTTTTTTTAATTAAAAAAAAAAGTATGAAAAAAATTCAAATTTTTAATTACTCAAATTTACACTAAATAATTTCAATTGAAAACTATTTAACTATTGTATGCCTTCTATAAATATAATAATTATTTAAGTTTCACTATTTTCCTGGAGATTGCGAGCGCGCTTGGTGAGGGCGCCTCTTTGCTCTGCAGCGCGTCGTGAGCGGTCCACTCACTCCGGACTAGTCGCAGCAACGCAGGCTTTGCAGGCGGTCGAGGAGCCGTCCAGTCGCGGTCTGGCATTTGGCAGACGCATTTTGGCGCTGGTTTATTCTGCCGCCACGCTTGAGATCCGACGGGCGAACAAATCTGCAGAAATGAAGTCCCAACCACTTGGCCTCGGCGCCTGAGAAAGCCGTGTCAGGCAAGTGATATGTATTGATGAAAGTAATAAGTCTTATACGTTTTTAGGAAATCAAATTAGTTTAGTTGAGAAAAACTTATGAATATTATTGAGGTTGCTTTCAGCTAAATTTTTATAAATCAAGCCATAAAATTATATTTTCCCATCACGCCATTGAAGATTAAATTTGAGCAAGCGTACAAATATGGTAAATAGCCCCAATTAAATTATAATGAACTTGATGTAAGTGGATGTTAGTAAATGTTTAAAAATAATAATAATTGCTTCATACTGTGTTTGACACAAATATGTCCGTTTTATATATGTCGATATATGTTGACCGATTTAAGAATAACTCAATTTAAATTTTGAAATAACTCTCAGAAACACCTTTCCGCGGCGTTTCACGTTTCATGTATGCAGTCGCGATACCATCAATAAAAATAGAACGCCACCGCCCTGATGGAAAAAAAATACTAATTACACACTCCCTCAACGGGACTATAACTTTTTATAAAAAAAAAACATGTCCCGAGGGTTAATGCACAACAGAAAACAAAATAATGGAACACTAAATTGTATTACCGTGTTGATTTCAAGCAAACTATAATATGAATACATTTATCGTGAAAACAGGACACTGCTGATGGCGTCATTGCATTTAAAAAGCAGTGATTTTTCATTTTAATCAAAAAGCAGATAAATACACATTTACAATACATTTATTCAGGGCACACAGTCTTTTATTTCAAACGTTTTATACCGTCATTTGAAATTGTGAATTAATTTCAACCTAAAACCAAGCTCAGTCTCTTAAAAATCAATTGGATTTTTCTGGCGAGTTAGAGCTCCCGGGTGATGCTTCTTTTGCTATGACGCAGACACACACCCCGAAAAAGTTTTGCGGCGTTTACAAGTGGCTTCTGAATTGTGTCTTCCGCGTGCTTTGAAATCTAATAATCCGGCAGAGCCATAGCGCGCAGCTCTTCAAAATCCATGAAACGTTTATGCGCCCAACCAAATATTAAACGAGCCTTCAAGCGCACACACGCCGCCCGCTAATTTGCCCAACGCAAAACCGGACTTGTTAAACATGCAGATGGAAAGATGAGAAGACGAAACACCTCCAGCGCGTGGCAGCTATTCAGCTTCAATTGAATACCACGTAGCTCCATAAGCGTACATGCATTCATGGCAATCTGAAAGGGAAATCTATTCTGGGAAATGGAAAGTTCAAAAGGCCAAACAAAAATTTTCGGAAATATATTTCAAATGCAAAATATATGACTTTTCATTTTATTGATTTAATTAATTTTTTATTTTCACTTAAAAATTAAATAATCAGGCGTAGGAAAATACTGAATCTAATTATTTAAACTGTGTTAACTGAAGTATTTTTTAGATTTCAACTTTAATTTCCATTATAATTTGTACTATTCGCTCAAAATATTCAATCAAATATGGGCCTATATTGACCTTTTTCATAAGAATCCCGTTGTAATATTCTGCTTCTACTGACAAAACCAATTTTAAAAACATTTAACCCATTATAGGTAAATAAAAATAATTATGATGCCTTTAATAAATTGAAATAAATGAATTAAAAAATAATTACTTTTCAAATTAAATATTAAGACCGCTTATTAATAATCAGAGCTCTTAACAATTGGTTCAAATGTCCTGGTTTTCTGATGAAAGAAAATCCTATGAAAAGAAGCCATTGATTTTCAAACTGAGCGAGTGCAATAAAAAATTTTAGAGCTTCTTTGGCGGCGTCTTTAACTAAGGCTCAAAGCGAAATTTGTGCCCTCTCTCGTCACACAACCCTTTTGACATTATTGCCAATATAAATAATCCCATTGCCGTCTTTTTTCGCTCCCTTGGGTGCACAAAGGGCCTACCCCACTGCAAGGGATAACTGGAGCGGCCGGCACGGAAAACGCGTCTGCCGCGGGTACGTATTGATCGCCGCCGCGCTCTGTGCATTGCAAGTCGCGTCTCCTTCGTTACACATTTTTGCACCTCGAGAAAGGCTCCACGGCGAAACTATTCATAATCCGCGAGTAATCTCCGCCTCTAAGTCACTGCTTTTCCCGCCAGGTTAAAAAGGGCTTCCAGTATACGAAGACCAACTCGCCTAATTGGATGACAGTTTTTATTTTCGTGCGCGCAAAGAGGGCTAAACGGATTTGACACAATTTTTTCTTAAAGAGCTTGATCCTAGAAGACTGACAAACGAGCTGGAGAAAATTTAATGTGCATAAATATTCAGAAAATTTTTTCTTTTTATGTTTATTTGGCGCATGAAAATGCGTGACTGAAAAATTTGAAAGGTTATTTTATCTTTGTTCAAAGCAGTTTTTCTGTAGCATAGAGAATTCTCCATGTCATACAACTACAAAAAGGAGAGAGACTTTTGATAAAAAAAAAAAAAAAATGCTCTATTAATTTTGATGGTAATTTTTGTCTACACATTGGTTTGTAGATTTCAGTTATTAGGAGTAATAGGAAAAATAATTTAAGTCATTGGGAGAGCTGAATTTTTAAATAATTAAAATCTTTTCTTATGTGGGAATATTTGAAAATAATATTTTCTAGCTTGACCAAAATTTGATAAAAAATTTCACCAAATCAGCTTCATATCACCCCAATCAAGATGGCAAAATGAAACCTATAGGTCAGTCGACATAAAATATTTAAATTTTTCTCATGGTAAAAGGTTCAGAAAATTTCAGTGATAATGTTGGAAGCTCCACTTTTTTAGTTCTTATATTTTTAAATTTCTCTCCTGCACTGCATGGCTATCTTATTTAAAAGCGCTCTTTTCCTAGACGCACCAAAGATGGATGTCTGTAGTCTCTAAAAAGAAATTAAAGTCAATGTTCATCTTCATATTCTATCTACAATTTTTAATTATTATTAATATGATTAATATTAAAACATTTTTTGCATTGTCAATGAAAAGATGTTGCGAACTTACTTTCGTCGTTCCAAATTACAACTAGGATTTTTATTTTATATTATGGACGTATGTAAAAATTAATGAATATTACTTCACCACCCTTATTAACTCTTTATAAGGAAACTTGTCGTTCAGATGATTTTGCAATTTCGCGCTCCGTAGACTCTGGTTTGGTGACATTAAGAGCCGGGTTTATTAATGGAAAATTTGGCATTTTCCCCAGAGGAAGGAAAGTTCAAGACTCTTGACTGCAGCAAATTCGCTCTCTTGCTAAAATTTGGCACTCGCTGTTTGCACGAAAAATATATAATACAACAAAATAAAGCAAGGAGAGAGGAGGAACGCGCCGCCGGGGATCGATATTTTATGACAAGTGACGCAGCCAGTCGCGTTTCGTTACCCCCTGAACGATAGAAATCGAATTTCGCTTTCACTTCTTTTTTTCAAAAAGGAGCGATTTTTGTTCAAATAAGCAGACGGCCGCAGCTGTGAAAGAAGCAAAGAGAAGGAGAACATCAAGAGTGAAAAATAAACGGCGCGGAAAAACAAGGCTATTTATTGCCAGCGCCTTTTTCCACCGCCTCACTCCATTCACCGGCGCTAAACCCGCGGCCTCTGTAGTACATGCAATAATTTCTCTTTTCCTTTCCGGCACGCGATCACCTTCACCCCCGTGAAAACGCACGATTTTTCAAGAGAAAAGCAAACACGCTTTTATTCAAATTAGAAAAAAATCTTGGTCGCAATCGAAACAATTGGCGGAAGAGAAATAACGAAACTCTGGACGTTTGCCAGGCTGGTTAATGGGCCTGCAGCAAAAGTGCGCAGGGAACGCTGTTGATTCTGCACTTTTGCTGTGCGCGGAAGACGCAGTTGGCATCGATAGAGAAAAGTTTTGTCGCAAAGGAAAATAATGGAAATTGTAGTGGGGAGGTAAATAATTAAAACCAAGAATACTCTTCATTTTAATTAAAATAAAACTAGTGGACAACAAGGAAAACTGTTTATTAAAACGCATGGGCGTGTTCTGCTAAATTTTATTTAAAGACTGGAATGCGCATATTTTATGAACTTTGCAATGAAAAATATTCCAGTCATTTTATTACCTTACAAAATTTAAATAATTATAGAATCGTAACAAAAAATTAGTTTATTTGAATTAAAATTTTAAAGTCAAATGTAACTAACAAAAATCAAACTTTTTTTAATAAAAAATAAAATTTTCTTTAACGGTGTTAAAATATTGTATTAACGGTATTAACAATAAAGTAATGTAAAATAAATTATTTAAAAAAATTTAATTTCTTATAACATGAAAAACTTTTTAGTGTAAGATTCAAATATTACACGCCAATCAAAAGATGTTAAATATATTTTGGATCAAAAGCATTTTGATGCATAATTATTTTCATATTAAATCTGTCACCAGGAAAATGCACGTGAAAGAATTTTAAGGTTATTTTCCAGCTTAAAAAATTTAATTTCTCAAATCGAGTTCTTCAAATCATAGAAATGTTTTTTATTTTAGGCATGGCTTCGGAAGGACCGCCGCCTCAGCGAGCCGAGCGGTACGAGCTGCACGGTGGCCGCGAGTACGACCGTAGTTACGGCAGCATCAACTCTTCAGCGGACGGAACCGAACGGCGGCGCCAACCAAGCCATTCCGTTGAGGAGTCTGAGTTTGGCGATGACGACCGGAGCCCCCAAGAGCACGCGAAAATCCTCGTGCAGGCGAGTGATTTTTTTAAATATATTTTATTGCCATGGCAAATCTCAGCTGGTGACAGCAGGGAAGAGTTTCGCTGCAATCTGGTTAACTTTTCGCGTGCTGTGATTGCGGCAGCTGCCGATTTTCCTCCGTCGATGTAAATTTCAGTGGCCCCGAGAGCGTAATTGCCTCTGGTCACGTAAGCAACTGTTGGTGCTATCCCGAATGGAAATGACCCGCCGCGTGTGTGTGTGTGTGTTTATGCGGCGCCCTGCCCACCTACCGACCGAATAATACATATACGCACACACTCGCATTCTCAACTCCTCTGCATTCTTGTATTGATTCCCTTGGCGCCCACAGTGCCATACATAAAACCGACGCAGCGGCTCCAAAGTAATTTGCTTGATTGGGCTCAGATCACAAAACTTTGAGATTATGCTTTTGAGTTTTACGAAATCTAGGAAATACTATATTTTGCATAAATAATCTACTTCAAATTTTTTCAAAACAATTTTGCTTCTCGTCATTTCAAATACTCTTGCAATTATTTGAAATTTTGAAAAATAAAAATCCAAGAAACAAAATGTTTTTGCTTATAGAAAAGGGGTTGGAGCTGTTATAGATAAAGAAAATAGGTTCAAGGGAATTCAGAAAACATTTTCTCTAGTTTCACTATGTATAAAGCTGGATTCTGCAATTAAATACATGTATATCTAAATTGACTTCTATTATTGATATTATAAAATTGTTATCAAAGTAAATCACAAAAATCCTTGAGCAAGGAAAATTATTATGGAAAATAAAAATTTGAAGGATTTTATGATTTTAGTGTTTTTTGTTTGTTTTAGGTTCGGAAACTGATAACTTGAAACACTTATTAAAAACTTTGAATTATTAAATGTTCTTGTACATTTATATTTTTTGATAGAACAAGCCATTTTGAGTGTTGGGTGGAACCGCCTTGTCTGCCTCTCTGCTAAATAGCTTCTGCCGACACGCTTCTGCGCTAGGGCAGGACCAGCAAAATGGCCTATTAGTAACAGTCGGCAAAAAGTTTGCGCAACTTGGTTTGCTTGAGTGCTCCGTGCGTACGTGCAAGTCGGCGAACACGTTATTAACTGTAAAAGGGCGTCTGGACAAAATGTTTCGTTTCCGTGTCACAGCTGGAATTTGCAGTAATTTCCCCTCCCCGAGGAAACCCTGCAGGCCTTTTTTCAATCCGGCAGTAAAACCAACGCACCCTCCGTCAAAATGATTTATTTTTTTTGCTGCAGGATGAGGAGGAGGAGGACGAATCGGACATCGACGGTCCTCCGGAGGACATCTGCGTGCCATCCACGTCCGGCCCAACACCTGACCAGGCCACCTACTTCAAGGACGGGCAGCGCAAAATCGACTTCATGCTTGTGTTCGAGGAGAGTGCGATGGCCAGAGCGGCCGCCATGGCGGCCGGGGCGGCCAGCGTGCCCATCAGCGGCGGTGGCCGTCGCTCGGGCAAACACGAAACTTGGCGCCAACGCTTCATGGCTAACTTGAAGAGGGTCGGCCTAGATATGGAGGAGGTAGGTTATTGTCTCGCTCTATTATTCCGTCTGGCGTGACAATTATAATGTGCCCGACGAGTCGCTCGAGTGCAGTTAGGCAACCGGCGCGTCCCGGCTGCCCATACAGGTTGCATACTTTCACATATGACTGTGCGATGGGTCGGAAGGAAGAGAAAGGGTGGAAATTGGGTCAACGTTGCTCTTCGAAGGACCAGAGTGCTGTGTGATGCAAAAATCACAGAGTAATTAGGCTTTGATTTGAACTTTGAAACCGTACTGCATAAAACTTCATAAGTTACATCATCAAAGTGAAATCTTCTTGATCTCAATTTGGCGAGAATTTTTTTAAATTACTGAAAAAAAAACAGTAAAATAGATGTGCAGTTGACAAACCTGTAAAAACAGATTTTCTTTTAAAATGCAGGCAATATGATTGAGGGAACTTTTTTATTTTTTTCAGCCTGTTCATTTCATTACTTGACAAATTTACACGGTGATCCACCATATGTTTTGGACTATTGCAGACATGTACAGATAATTTCATGGATATATAAGAAAATTTCATATGAAATGGAATCATAAAAAGTATTTTTTCAAAACTAATTTAACTGATTTATAGTAATGTTTTATTTAATTCTTCTTCTTATTAGGGCTCATAATCAATTTGAAGCTATTGAGGCATTATAATTATTAATAGATTTTTATTGTTTTTTTTTTATTTCCTTCGATAAAAATTTAATTCATTCTCTCTTGTGTATCTTCTATCATTTTGATTTAAATTTTATATACTGAAAATAATTGAGCCACTCACGACCAAGAGGAAAACGAAAATAAGTATATTGCCTCGAGAATGGAAAGAAAATAAATTGCGGTCGTTGTCACTAATTAAACGTCGTGTGGGTTTCTCCGCAGTCGGTTTAATCTCGCGCCAGGCCATAAAACCGCTCATCCAGTATGGTCGGCCGATAAAACTGCAGCAGATCTGCTTCTGTTGCCGACGGCGGCTGCGAATTACTATCATCACTATTCAGCGCGTGCACTGCCTCGGATGCTTTTTCTCTGAGACAGAAACACCATCAAGAACTTGAGAAAGGTGCGAGCTGCTGAGAAGAGAAACGTGCTCCACTGTCTTCCGAAGCAAAACTAATGACCCTTGGCGAATTTTCCAGCACACACGTCCCACTTGATTCGATTTGCTCTGTACAATTTGAAGTTTCAGTCAAAATCTTATCTAAAAAAATTTATCCCTTTTTCGCTATAAAATTTATGGATACAAATTTGATGAAAAAAATTTAATTTCCTGCTTTTATACAGAGTTTAGGAGAGAGTCTGTTAAAATTTGCAATGTAAATTTTGGACACGCGACGGTCTGATAAAAAGCACTATCTACGTCGAGCAAACTTTTCCTTTTTTTGCTCCGCAAAAATGTGAACAGGGATGGTGTGCTGGCGAGGAAACGGAGAGCGCAAAAAGAGCAAGCAGTCGCCCTCAACGCGAGATAAAAAGCAACTTCCCGTCACTCAGGATGTCTTTTTATTAGATTAATGTGTCACTAGAGAGTAACACGGCGTCCATGAACTCATTTGATTACCGGGGATGTGACGGAATTGCGTGAGGACATGACTGTTCCTCAAATTGAGCTAAACGTCGAATTCAGTTCGTTTCTCCTGATGTTTTCATCTTGTTGAATGGTGAAAAAACAAACATTTACAATGGAAAATCGAACTTGCGAAAAAAAAGATTAAAATTATTGATTCCATAGAAATTCGTCACTTTTTATTTTAATATCATTTTGTGGCAACGTCAATATCCATTACGTTCACCAAAAATTTTCTGGCGCAAATCCAGAGCCTGGTGATATTTTCCGATCATCACAGCATGGGGTGCGCTTTTTCGCAACAAACTGACGCCAAATCCCATAAAGCTATCGATTTAATGAAGATTTGCGACGGAAAGCCTCCACTATACCAGATTTTGCCCTTGTAACCCACATATTGCAAGGACGATCTCACAGTCAAGTTTTTTTTCTACGATTGCAAAATCAATTATAATAAAAATGGCATATTGCAATAATGTTCATGGCACGTTGAGCCCGACTGACAAATGCATTTGCGCGCGTTGCAGGAGGTTGTGGAGGCGAGCGGTCGGAAGGTGCTGTGCTTCATCAAGCTACACGCCCCGTGGCCCGTGTTGTGCCACTACGCCGAGGAACTCAACATGCGAGCGCCCCTGCAGGTCAGTTCAGTTTGCCTAGAGTTAATTTGTTGAGCTTCAGACTGCACTCTTTGAAGTATGAATGAACGAAACGGGTGTTTGTTGTGTTTGAACCGTTTCCATTGTAACACACAATTTGCTGTTCCCATGAGAGGGCGAAATATGTATAATGTGAATGTGTGTATGTATCGTAGGTACAATGGGTAGAAGTTCATCTCTCGTGGAGGGAAGGAGTTTGCAATCACGCCGCGCGAATGTCTTTTCTTTTCTGCCTTCATCACTATTCTTATCAAACTTTTCCGCTTCTGCTGATCTGTTCTGCTTCCAAAGTTATCACGCTGTATTGGCTTCTTTTATTCATCAATTTCAACGAGTCCACTAACAAAGTTGAATTTGAAATGAGCACTATTTTGCGAATGCATAATTTATTTATTTCTACTTATTTCAATAAATAATACTCATGCCACTTATACAATAAAAATTTTAGTTTTATATTCAAATAAATATTTGAAAACATACTTTGAAATAAAATGGTTTTTAGTAAAAAAATTCAAGTTTATTATTTTTGCAGTTATGTTCTGGTTATGTTAAAAAAAAATGATGCAAATGTGAAAAAATAAATTCCTGTGGCTGAATATAAACCATATAGAACTTTTATCGAATAAACTGCAGTAAATCTTACAATCACCAAATCCTTGAACTTTGTTGGAAATTGAAAGTACTCTGAAATGCAAATCAAGACGTACCGCACCAATTCATGAATTCAAATATGCGCAACGTCTGCTGCTCAATCCCTTTTTCAACAAAGCGTCTGCTGCTTTGTTGAACTCGATCCGGCGTCTCTGCTTTCCTTTTTCACCCAGAGCATCAAGATAAGCTGCTCAGCGTGTGCAGCGCGTATTTCTTTTTTCCATTTCGCAGCCGGCATGCAAATTAGCCTCCGAGAAGGGCAATCATGAATTTACGATTTCATTTTTGCGCTCGCCCGTCGCAAAGACGCTTGTTTTGTTGCATTGCAGCGCAAACCGGGAGAAAAATAATTTCGCTTCAGTTTTCCGTCCCATTTTTCCCGGCGATTGGGTTAATAACGAAAACGTTATCTTGGCTTCACGTTCGATTGCGTTCAAATGACGATCGGCGGTGAGCAAGAAAGTTAGAAATTCGCCTGTTGCCGCGAAACTGATTCAAGCTCAATTTCCTTCCGCTGATGAAAAAAGTTTGACAGCAAATATTAATAAAAAGGTGCAGAGGCCTATGAAAGAAGTTGAATTAATTTGATCCCTTTTCTCTTTCATCAAAATTGACCACCTCTAAATGTCGTGCCATTGGGTAAAAATAAATATGTTAAAAATAAATTATTTCATTATTAGAATAAAAATTTGTGCAAAAATTTAACAGAATTTATTTTTAGAAGTAATTTCTTTATCAACAATTTTTTTACTATCTGTAAAAATATTTTTCTAACGCATCAAAAATATTGTTGGAAATGTAATTTTTACAAATTTAACAATAAACTATCACTCCAAAGTATTTCCACATTTATTTTTTAGCATTATAATGAAATAGAAAGATCACGTTGGTGCTATTTTTTCACTTATTTATTTTATTTATGGATTTTTTTCATTCATATTTTTTATAAAAATTTAAAAAATTAATTGCAGACAAGACCTTTCAATTTAATAGAAAGTGTTTCCATTTCGCAATTCTGGTCACGCCACCATTATTTTTCGCACAACATTTGCAAGCGACGAAACACTCTCTAGGGATTAGCATAGTTGGCCTTATTTCAACTGGGAAGCTGCGTTCGCAGACGCATAAATCCTCGATTACCCGTTCGTTCGTTTTATGGCCGGCTGTTTTAGTTTCGGCGAATTATGCGCTACAAAAGCGCGACTGGCAAGCGAGGGCGAAATATTTTATCGTCTGCAGAGAAAGCGAGCAACCGCACGCGTGTTGCTGCGCTCGTGAGATAAAAAGTGGAGACTGCAGACCGCCGTGTCCCGCCGCAACAGATATGAAATATTAAATATGCGCTCACTCGCGGGAAGCCACCAAAGTTGACACCAAAGGGCAATTAGCACAACGCCAAGGCCGCAACTCGTATTTTGGCTGGACTAAAAATATTTTACAATTTTATGATTTAAAAAAATTTAGCTTTAAATTCTACATTTTTCCTGTTAAATTGTCGCATCATTTACATTCAGTTTTGAAAATAAATTTTTGTTTGAAAAAAGGAATTTTGACAGATCAAACGGCACCACACCAGTAGCAGACCAGTAGCAAGAATTTTGCTGTAACTTCGGAGTTATAAAATACCTCATCCGTCGCAGTGACCTTCAACATAATTTAAATAATACAATAACTCATCTTCTGCAATCAGTATTTAACTTCAAACACTTTTTCCTTCTTCTTAATATATATATTTTTTTTTTTTAATTTCTTTGTTAAATTTCAAATCAGAGGTTTTTTTCTTGGTAAGACATTATAAGATTTTTAATGCGCAACTTTCAAACATGCAGAATGAAAAGTGCTGTTTGTTTTCATTTGGCGCACTCGCGATGCAGGTACATTGATCGCGCTGCTGCTCTCCTTTTTATAAAACACTGCGTTGAAGGAAGCCGCATTATTCTTCATTTACTTGCAAGCTGAAGTGTTTAGGTGTTCTCGACCCGCTCTTGCTGTGCTTGCGAACAAATAAATTTCACACCAACAAAAACGGCACCTCCTTTAAAAGGGAGATTCATTCTCATCTCATATACATGATGCAGAAAGAATGTGATTTGCCAGCAGCAGCGGAAACAAATCCTGAAATCTCAGGAAACAAAAAACAGTCCCATCTCCGCTTTCATTGTTGCTTGACGAGAATTTGAATTGGCACGATTGCGTGCAAAAAGAACTCCTTCCTCTCTTTCCCCATCAGAGTGAATGAGTTCCGAGATTTCGTGGCCGATTGTGCTGCTTCAAAAAATGGCTCTCATTTGGTGTTCGAGTGTTTGTGGATGTCTTTTTTCCTTGCGTTTTTTACAACCACAATCGACTCGTCTGCAGCTCTTCTTCTTTTGACTCTTTTATCTTTCACTGAATGCACCCCAAAGCAGAAACGGTCCAATACGTCCGAGGAGGTGAGTCACGTAGCTGATGCTTTTCTTCATGAATATACCCCTCGATTCTAAAGTAGCCAACGGCACTTTCTCTCTCACACCAGCCACCACGACACTTACTTGTCTTGTGTGCAAAAATCGATGCTTCTCAGCTGCCCATTTGAGCCTGCTTGCCACCTTTGCCTTATAAATGTAGTCAACCTAGACTGCTATCTTAATCCTTTCCTTTCTCTCTCGTGCCCAGTTTTGTATTAGAAATAATTTCAAAATTTTTACAGGCATGAAAATCTTGCAAAATTAGAACTTTTTAGATACCTAGAAGCGAAATAAATCCGATTTTTTATTATCAAATAATAAAACTTCTTTTTTTTAGAAAAAAAAATAATTTTAATAATTACGGCTGAACCCTAATTTGGCAGGCCCACCCCAATCCGTCGGTCAACTGGTCGCAGCAGCTGCTGAAAATTCTGCGGCTGCCCAACATCATGTACGAAGACGTGCCCAACAAGCCTCTCGACTACTACACGTGTCCCTTCAGAAAGTCCAAAATCGAAAAGTGAGTAATTTTTTTCCCATTATTGTTGGCGTCAACTCGATCAGTCTGCCATGTGACGTCATTTATGGGATGAAATGGATGAATCGAAATTGCACGGATCGTTTCGGCGGGCTATTTTCAGCGTCAGGGAGGGAATTCGGTCAACAGCTAATTTGCATTCACTCTAAATGTATGAGCGCGCGCGAAGATTATACCAAACAGCAACACTCACAAAACAAAAGCGGGCTTTGTCGCTGGTCGGCGCAACGAGATTACGATCCACTACTGCTCCCATTTTCAATTGTCACCAATCTCATTAAAACTTAATATTATTAGCTCGATCTATTTATAAACTCTGTAGGCCCTATTTACTCTCGAAAAAAAAATTTTCAGTGAAAGAAAAGCTTCTAAATTCCTTAAGAACTTCGAGTAACAATATCAAAGATGTTTAGGACATTGTTATTTTTAACAAATTAATATTTACAGAAAATAATTTAGATTTCTTACATTTTAGTCCACGTTATTGTTAGCAGAGAAAGCGTCTATTTGTCTTGTTTTCCTTTAAATTTAAATCGTTTCAAACTTCTGTATTTAAGCCACATGTAAAATATATTATGTGGGTTTTAAATATTTTTATTCAATAAAATATACATTAATAAACACAATTGTAACTAAAATAAATTAACTTTCTCCTCAAAAAAGTAGGTTCAGTTTTCAGTTTGGTGGATGTTTTTATTAAAAAAGAATTATTGTAAATATAAATAACATTTTAAGTTGAATTATCCTAGTATTTAAGTCAAATTTATTATAATCAAGAGTCATCTAACAATAAGTTGACAAAAACCGTTTCAAATGTAAAATTCCAAAATCCTTTGATGTCTCAGTCTCAACCATGCAATTTTGACAAAATTCTCAGGTCCTTTAGAAAACCAATTTGGCTATTGAACTTCTGAAATAAGCTTTTAATGCCTATCCTTCCGATAGTTCCGATCGAGGAGTGGCTTTCGATGGATGAGATGGCAAATATTTGCCCTCGATCGATATATTGCTCACAATATGTATGTTTGCTGCGAAAGCGCTTTTTCACTAGCTGTGATTCAATACAAACAGCAACAGAAAACGTGCCTCGATTGCTTCCCGCTCGTGCGCCCGCCGAATTTACGAGCCAATTACGGTGCCCGCGCAACCCTTCTGCTGTATTGTTGTATCGTCGGGCACGTGCTTTGCAGTTTTAATTGCACCATGACACTTTCAATTAATCGTGGCGCGACACTCAATCGCGCAGAGCTTCTCAAATCCTCGCCATTAATTCAGTACTAAAGATAAAAATAAAATAATTAAAAGTTCTCTCAAAGATAAATTAAAATTAAATTAGAGTAAATTTCTTGACTTGCAAATTCTTAAACAAAATGTGATTAAAAATCAAGATTATTTAATTCAAGAAAAAATTGAATAATATTTACCATATTTACTTTGGAACTTCTTAACAATTCAGAGCTATAGCGTTTTAATAAGTAATATATTTTCAGTTTGTATGAGTCATTCAAAAAAATATTTTCGCCGTTAAATAAAAAGTTTTTTTTTAATTCCTACTGATCCATATAATATTGACACTTATCATATCTGATTAATTATAGATTCCTAGGCCATGCCAACCGTGCCTCTTACTTCACAAACGTGCAGAGGAGCCGCATTCTCTTTGAAATTCTCAGCACGGCTGTTTTCGGCAAGAAGAAAAAGGGTGAGGTCGGCGTCGATCGGCTTGTCGAAGAAGGTGTTTTTTCAGCTGCTTTTCCATTACATGACGTAAATATACACAATTATCTAATATTTGAATATAACTTTCCGATTGCAAGCTTTGAAGTCAAAATTTATTTTGTTTTACTTACAAATTGGAGATACCGTTTTGTTTTATTGCTCAAAGTATAAATGAACTAATTTTTAAAGTTGCGGCACAGCGGAACGGAAATATCGATTTTCGGCGATTATAACCTTTAGTGTGCCGGCAGAATTCCAGTGAGCTTTTTGTCTCCCTCCCTCGTAAGCCGCTGTTTCGTTTACTAACAAAATAATTGCCCCTGTGCGCTCGTGTACGTGTGTGTGATTAATGCCAGCGCCACTAATTAAATTCCACCTTAAACGCAAAAAGTCCCATAATCTACCTTTTCTGACACTGTTGTCTCCTTTTTCATTTCAGCAATTTTGCAAAAAGTTTTATCCCTAATTAAGGCAATTATAATTTTTCTTCATCATGTTGTTATTCTTTAATATTAATTCCTCAGGGACCTTACGAAATAAAAAACAGGGCGACCGAGCTAAAAGATCCGTCTAAATTAAACGCACGCCAAGTGCTTTACGAGTACTGGGCGCGATGGGGAAAGTGGTACAAGTATCAGCCTCTGGACCACATTAGAGAGTACTTTGGGGAAAAGATCGCCATCTACTTTGCGTGGCTTGGTGAGGTTAACAAAAATTTTGATCAAGCATATTTATATTAATTTAGGTTTTTACACTGGCTGGCTGCTTCCGGCGGCCATCGTTGGTCTTCTGGTGTTCATGTACGGCGTCTTCACCATTCACCTTAGCCAGCCAGCCATCGAGGTTTGCGACAGCCAGGGTCAGTTCCGCATGTGTCCTTTGTGCGACGAGAACATTGGCTGCAAATTCTGGGACTTGAGTGACGTGTGCGGCTACGCAAGACTCGCATATCTTTTTGACCATCCAGGCACCGTCTTTTACGCCGTCTTCGTCTCCTTTTGGGGTTTGTTGAATAAAATTACTCTTCAATCAAAAATTAAAAAACTTCCTTCGTAGCTGTTACATTCTTGGAGTACTGGAAGCGCAAGTCGGCCAGTTTGTCTCACCACTGGGACTGCATGGGTTTCCAAGAGGAAGAGGAGCGGCCCAGACCGGAGTTCGCTGCTCGAGCTCCATTTCTAGAAAAAAATCCAGTCACTGGAATCCGCGAGCCGTCTTTTCCCAGTTCGCTGCGCACAAAACGAATCGCCGCCGGAATCGGAATAATTTTTTTAATGGTATTCAAGGAGAAAAATTTTATATTAATTTTAAATTTTATTTAATTTGAATTTTAGATGAGCCTGGTGGTAATTTTCATTGTGGCCGTCATCATTTACCGCGTTCTGGTGTCCATCCCTCTTTTCCAAAATGAAACTTTCCGCTCTCAAGCACAAGCAATCGCCAATGTGACCGGCGCCGTCGTCAACTTGATCCTCATCATGGCCATGAGTCGCGTCTACGAGAAACTCGCTTACCGCCTCACTACGTGGGGTTTGTTATTTCTAGCAGTTTTTTTTTTATAAATATTAAAAAAAAAATCTTTGGCAGAAATGCATCGCACACAGACCGAGTTCGACGACAACCTAACCTTCAAGGTGTTTATTTTCCAATTTGTCAACTTCTACTCTTCCATTTTCTACATTGCCTTCTTCAAGGGTCGCTTTGTTGGCTACCCCGGCAGCTACTCGCACATCATGCGCCTTCGCAATGAAGACGTAAGCGCAAATAAATTTTTTTCAAGTGGAATCTAAATTTCTTTTATTGTTAATTTCAGTGTAGTGCCGGTGGGTGTTTGATAGAGTTGGCGCAGCAGTTGGCCGTTATCATGATTGGAAAGCAAATTATTAACAACGCGCAGGAGATCATCGTTCCCAAACTCAAAGCCTGGTGGATGAACAAAAGGGTAATTTAAAGAAATTTATAAGCATCTTGCTTTTGCACATGAGCCCCCTTTATTTTGGAACGTTATGCAACCGGGAAGATCTGCGTGTTTAGCCGGTTGCATAAATTTGATCGTTGAGTTTAATCTTATTGCATATTTGCAGGTGAAAATTTCCAAGAAGCACAAAAATAGGTGGGACGAAGACTTCCAGCTTATCACAAATGAGGGCCTCTTTCAAGAATATCTTGAAATGGGTGAGTTTAAGTTTTCAAAAGGAATTTTTTAAGATTTTTAACATTTTTGTTTTCATTTCACTAGTTTTGCAATTTGGCTTTATTACAATTTTTGTCGCCGCGTTTCCTCTGGCGCCGCTTTTTGCATTGTTGAACAATTGGGTTGAAATACGTCTGGATGCACAAAAATTTGTCTGTGAAACAAGACGGACGGTGGCCGAGAGGGCAGAAAATATTGGAATTTGGTGCAAAATTCTGCACATGCTCGCGCATCTTGCCGTCATCAGTAATGTGAGCAATCTTTAAAAAAAAAAACCTTTAAAAATAGATATAATAAATATTTTCACGTCAGGGCTTCCTTATCGCCTTCACATCCGAGTTTCTACCAAAACTAATGTACCAGTACGAGTACGACTGGGATTTAAAAGGCTACATTAACTTCACTCTAGCCCTGTCTCCCAATGGCACCCTTTCGAAACCTTGCCGATACCGCGGCTTTCGTGACGAGTATGGAAACCATACGCCCTTTTTCTGGCGCCTGCTTGCTGTCAGATTTGCCTTCGTCATTGTCTTCGAGGTAAGAATAAAATTAGATTTTAATTATTTAATAAATTACTACCTTAATTTATATTGACAGCACGTAGTTTTCGGCATTTGCCGACTGATAGACATCCTTGTACCTGACATCCCTGAAAGCCTAGAGCTAAAAATCAAAAGGGAGCGCTACCTAGCCAAGCAGGCTCTGCAGGAGTCTGATAATATTTTAAAGGTTTAAAAATTTAAAAAAAAAATAATATGATATTTATAAATCTTAACTTCAGGTGGCTGCTTTCAAGGGCGAGACGGATGATGACGAAGGGTTAATCTCGAACGGTGGAATGGCCCTTGACCTGACCTCTGACCTTGGTGAACGCAGCACCGACGACACCTTCTCAGCGCCAACGTCAGTTTTGGTGCACTCGCAGTCCGAAGAGGCGGCGCCCCCACCGGCGCCTAAAACCAACGAGAAAGCTGACCAACCGGTCACATGACAACAGTTGACCTCGAAGAAGTCGAGGTCACCAATTCCGCCACCTGTGCCTCCGAGGTCCAAGGTACAGGTGCCTGCGCACAAACGGACCTCTTTGAGCGTCCAGCAGGTTGGTTCTCGTCAGGTGACGACGACCAAGGGCCGCACCAACCTCTAGCAGCGGCGTCTCCAGTTTCGGCTGGACCGAAATAGTGCCGAACCTTTATGTGATTAGTTAGTGAGACTCAAAAGTGATTGAAAATTATTTTGATACGTCCAGGCCAATTAATGCGTTACCTGGTGCAAACATTTCCAAATCTCAGTTTTAATGAAAAAAGAATTTTGCAGTGTATGCTGTAAAATTCAAGCGTCTGCTAAAGCAAAATTGTGAGAAAAAAAAACAATAACAACAATAACGCCGAAAAAAAATTCTTAAGATCTCTTAATGAACTCTTATATATTAGTAGCATTTGCTGTAAATTCTCTTTCAATGGTAGACAAAATACAAACATTTCTATCCTATGGATTCTCATGCGTATTTAACACTGCATTGTGCAAAACTGCTTTTTCTTCTATGCGTGAACTTTTCCACTTTCAATATACATATATTGTATTGTATAGCCCTACTATCTGTAATAACTGATCTTACTATTACAAAAAAAATTAATGCCTTGTGAGCCTTGGCAAAAGAGATTGTACAAATCTGCAGGCACAATAAATTTTTTTAAACAGCATCTTCTGAGTTATATATTTATTTTTCATGAAAATATTTATTTCATAATATAATTTAACCATATTATAAACTTATTTGAGGATGCGCAATTCTTTATTTAAAGATTAATTTAGATTAAATTTTATAATCCATTGCGTACCATCGCCTTATCTTCAATATTGATAAAATTGAAGGCCATCCGGCGGTGCAAGATAAGTCATTGGATTGCATTCTGCAAAAATCTACAGCGATTCGAAGCACTGAATTCGCTACATTTAACATGGCAAGTAAATTCTCTCGCTCAGGGGACCGAGATACCGATTTCCTATGTTTGTTTGAGACGGGAAGTTTCTATGATTGCTCTATTAAAGTTGAGAAAAGGGTAATTAAGGCATTTGTTTTTAAAAATATATTGCAATTTTTTGAAATTATATATTCATACTTGTACTTTTCAGCGATTCCGTTGCCACAAAATAATTCTCATAATGAGCAGTCCTGTGTTTGAGCGAATGCTCTGCGGTGATTTTGCAGAATCCACAAAAGGTGCAGACGATGAAATCGCCATCGATAGCATTTCTGCCGATGCGTTTGATAAGGCTATGAGGTACGCTTTTGGTTAGCAAATTTAGCATTTTAATCAGTTTTTGCTCTAGGTTTCTGTATGGAAACAAAATCTATTTTGAGAATAGCATCAACCTGACTATCGAGATTTTTCGCTTTGCACACAAGTGGCAGATAAGTAAACTTTTTAGAGTTGCATCAGATATATTGCAGAAAAAACTGGACGCGACTAACGTTCTTCAAATACTAAAAATGCACCATTCTCTGGGTGTTACTGCAGGGTTGGATAAATGTTGGAAGGTATTAGTTTGGAACTGTCTACCTTGCATGTGAAATAATTTTTTTTTTTTATTAATTTTAGATTATTCAAGAACAAACAGTGGAAGTATTATCGTCTGCAGGTTGGTTGGAATGCTCATCAGAAACTGTTAAAACGATCCTCAGTAGGGAAAAGTTGAGTGTGAATGAAATTGGCCTATTCCAGGCTCTGCTAAAATGGGGTAGCTCATTCAGAGGAAAAGGTACCACTAGGTCAAAGATAAACGAGTTCCTTCCATTAATCAGATTTCTAACAATGACCGAAAATGATTTTGTCGCGATTTGCACTGCAACTAACGACGAGCTGACCAGTGACGAAAAACTCAACATTCTGTTAGCCATTAAAACGGGGAAAATTGATTTCTACCCAACTCACCTAAGTAAAAGTAGAAAATCGCGATGTCCAGTTACCGCAATGGAAGTGTCTTTCGCGTCAATCACAGGCCAAATCCGACCACGTTCAATACATATTAATACTCCTCCTAACACCCGTCATACTGTAAAACTTTCATTGCGCTCACATCTTTTCAGCGTGAATGAAATTTTCATTACCGGTGTGGTTATGCAAGACTTAAGTATGTTTGCTAATTCACATTCACCTACGCAAACATACTATTTCGCATATTGGTGCTTGTCAAATGCTGGAAGCAGATACAACTTGATGCAGCTTGAAGACTCGGAAGACGCCACCGTGCAATCTGCAGAGTTTAAATTTTTGCCCGCTTATTCTAGCAATCTTGAAAGAACAGTTCGATTTGACCCGCCGGTAAAAATGAGAGTTGGATGTCAGTACGCATTAGATTTGCGTGCGAAGGGTTATTTCTCTTCTAATATGCATCCTCATTTTGTTGCCACTTGTGAACTTGAAATTGAACCTAGGGCATTAGAACAGTGTTCCAATGAATTTTTATCTGCAAAAATCACAGGAATGCAACGAGAAAATATATATCACATGTCATCACTTATTATTGAGTTAAAAAGCAATTCAACTTGACTTTAACCTTGCACAATATAATTGTAAAATACAAACATCTTATATTAGTGGACTAAATTATAAAAATTTGTCTGAATTTTTTTAAATTATTTTCAACATAAATTTCATTGGTATTAATGGTATTCCTTGATAATCAATTAATGCTAATTATTTCAATACGTCATATGTGCATTGTTATACTACCTTTACTCATATTTTTGTCTTAAAATAAACAAATAAAATTGAGGTATTACTATTTTTTTATTATTTCCAGTTGTACAAATTTTTTTTATATTCCTTATTTTGTATATATATTTTTAAATTTTTGAAATAATATAATTATGAAATTCTTAGAATTGACATAAAATAATTACAAAATTTTATAAATTGTGACACAATAGAAACCAACCAAATAAATAATTCATAAATATTTTTCTTCCGTTCAACATTGTAATTCATTCCCGCTTTTTTATTTATTTAATGCTCTGTATTTCATTTGTTTTATATCTCTCTTTTTGCATGTGAGTAATAATTCATATCTAATCAGTCTCTTCCTGGCCCCCGACAAGGCAAACTCTAGTAGTTTTATTTCTTGGACATCTAGAGATCTCTAGACTAGGGCGCAAGGGTTGAAGCAGGAAGGACGGTACGAATTAGGGGAGGTACATAAGGCTCGGGCAGAGGCTTCAGTAATAAGAAGCCCATTGAGGGATTAATATGGAGTGATTATTTGAGATTAATAAATATGAGCACCAACATGGCGGCCATGGGGTACGCTCTGCGGTAACATGGCTCCGCCAACCATTAGACCTGAAGTCTATTATCGAGTCACACCAAGCTCAATAACACCTTCGAAGAAGAGCGCACCGGCCGCTAGAGCCATTGGGCAGGGGGGCTACGGATCAAGTTTTAGCCACAGATACGCCTTGCACAGCGCTGGAAACTGTGCCGCGGTACAGTCTTTTAAGGCGGGTGGCGTGTCATTCCACGGTTTGACGACGCGGTAAGAAAACGCCTCGCGTCCGAATTTTGTTCTCGCGTCCGGTTGCAGAGCACGGGGGTAATTGCTGTCGTCGCTTCGCAACGTTGGCCCCGTAGTAATTCGCGCTCTCGCGTCAAAGTCGGTCACGCCGTGGTCACTTTTTTAAAAAAATAAAAGGTCAGTGTACAGGAGCTGCATTTTCACGGGCATTATTTTTTGCTCCTTTACCGGCGGAAGGTGTTTGCCGTGTATGAAGTGAAGGGCCCGTTTTTGGATTTTATCCAGTTTTTTTGGCCATGCAATAATTATTTAATTTTAATTTAAATTAATTATTATTAGTATGTAAATAAGCTAGAAGACTATATTTATAATGTTAATCGTTTAAATAGAAATGTTTCTATAAAATAAAGAATAGTTTTTTTTTATGTGAAAAATTGAGTTTTAGGCTTTTAAATTTTTTTTTCTTCATTGAAACGCAATATGGGTAACGTTAGTAATCACTTTTTACACGGTTCTAGATATAATCGCATAAATTTTATATTTGGCTTATAGCATACTATAAGACTACGCACTTTTTCAAAGTGAAAGACCGCATTTGACGTCAAAAATAAAGAATATCAGTCAGATTCTTGAAAAATTTAGGAGATGCAGAATTTTTGAAATCAGAAAAAATTGGGAGCATTTTTTCTAATTTAAATAATTTCAATGACCTTGTATGCCTTAGATATTGTAAAAAATCTGCATGCACAAATTTTTTAAAGGCCATCTTGTGAATATGTTGCTTCTTTTTACCGGAAATATTTATTATTTATTTAAAAATATGCAAAATATATAGTGGAACCCAATTTTATTAAATGCTTTTGGGAAAGCGCAATTCTTCATTATTATAGTTGAAAGTTAAATTTAATACCTTTACATATTATCCATCGCCTTGTCTTTAAAAGTCATCAATATTGATAAAATTTACATTCCAGCAGGACAAAGATAGGGCATTGCGGATTGCGATCAACAAAATAAACTGGAGTGAGGCAAATCTAGTTAAAATCGCTAAATTTAACATGGCAAGTGAATTCTCTCGCTCAGGGGACCGAGATACCGATTTCCTATGTTTGTTTGAGACGGGAAGTTTCTATGATTGCACTATTAAAGTCGAGAAAAGGGTAATTAAGGCATTTGTTTTTAAAAATATATTGCAATTTTTTTGGAATTATATATTCACAGTTGTACTTTTCAGCGATTCCGTTGCCACAAACTGATTCTCATAATGAGCAGTCCTGTGTTTGAGCGAATGCTCTGCGGTGATTTTGCAGAATCCACAAAAGGTGCAGACGATGAAATCGCCATCGATAGCATTTCTGCCGATGCGTTTGATAAGGCTATGAGGTACGCTTTTGGTTAGCAAATTTAGCATTTTAATCAGTTTTTGCTCTAGGTTTCTGTATGGAAACAAAATCTATTTTGAGAATAGCATCAACCTGACTATCGAGATTTTTCGCTTTGCACACAAGTGGCAGATAAGTAAACTTTTTAGAGTTGCATCAGATATATTGCAGAAAAAACTGGACGCGACTAACGTTCTTCAAATACTAAAAATGCACCATTCTCTGGGTGTTACTGCAGGGTTGGATAAATGTTGGAAGGTATTAGTTTGGAACTGTCTACCTTGCATGTGAAATAATTTTTTTTTATTATTAATTTTAGATTATTCAAGAACAAACAGTGGAAGTATTATCGTCTGCAGGTTGGTTGGAATGCTCATCAGAAACTGTTAAAACGATCCTCAGTAGGGAAAAGTTGAGTGTGAATGAAATTGGCCTATTCCAGGCTCTGCTAAAATGGGGTAGCTCATTCAGAGGAAAAGGTACCACTAGGTCAAAGATAAACGAGTTCCTTCCATTAATCAGATTTCTAACAATGACCGAAAATGATTTTGTCGCGATTTGCACTGCAACTAACGACGAGCTGACCAGTGACGAAAAACTCAACATTCTGTTAGCCATTAAAACGGGGAAAATTGATTTCTACCCAACTCACCTAAGTAAAAGTAGAAAATCGCGATGTCCAGTTACCGCAATGGAAGTGTCTTTCGCGTCAATCACAGGCCAAATCCGACCACGTTCAATACATATTAATATTCCTCCTAACAACATGCATACTTTAAATCTTTTATTGCGCTCTAATCTTTCTAACGTGAATGAAATTTTCGTTACCGGTGTGATTGTGCAAGACTCAAGTTTTTTCCTCGAACCACCAATGCAAACATACCATTTCGCATTTGGGTTGTATTCAAATAATCTATGCAACTTCCAGCTGGGACCGTTTGTCGCACAATCAGAAAGCGCAGAGTTTACATTTCTGCCCCCCGGTTCTAGCAATCTTGAAAGAACAGTTCGATTTGACCCTCCAGTAAAAATGATAGCTGGATGTCAGTACGCATTAGATTTGCGTGTAAAGGTTTTGATTAACCTGCCAAGATCCTCAAGGGTCCATCGCTCAATGGGCAATTATAACACCATTGTGAGAGGGCAGCACGAATTGGCCGTGGGGACCACTTGCGAACTTGAAATTAACCTGTCCAACGTCCAGCCTGGGGATTTGTTTTCGTACGAAAGTTTCTCTGCAAAAATCACAGGGCCAATGTCACAAGAAATGAGTCACTTGTCAGCAATTCTTATAGAGTTGAAAAGCAATTCAACTTAAGTAACCTGACACTCCTGACACGTCACATGCAATTAAAAAAAAATGAAATGTTACAGCGGACCTTGTTAATAACGAGTCTGAATATTTTAACCAAAATTTTCAGTTCAAATTCAATTTTTTTTACCCTTTACATCACAAACACGACACACAACTTGCTGATGAGTGCTTTTTATATAGCAGCGTTCTTTGCTTTTTTATTAATACTCATTGAGGTAAGCGTCAAAAATAAAAATCTAATTTTGCTTCAAAAGATTAAGAAATATTTACTATTATATTTTGTTTATTAAACTTATATATGTTGAGAAAAAGAATTATATTAGATTAGATTTGGAATTCATATACAAATATTTATTAAATTTCGGATAATATTTATTCCGGTGCTGGCATTTATGCATGACAAAGCGTGGCAAGAAGCATACGCAGGTCAGGCAAACTAGCCATCATGCCGCTGGCATCGCCATGCCGTGGCTTTATGGCCTTTATTTCGCTTTTACTCGAAAATGACCAGAGAGCCAAAATCCGTGCCCCATCATGGAGCTTTTTTTACTTGTTATATGTTTGTAATTTAGAAGGAATTCAAATTTCAATAAATAATCATGCAGAGACGATGATCCTTTTTGGTTGGAATGTAAAATAGATAAAAGCCAGCTTTCGTGTATTCCACATAAAAAGATATAAATTAAACACTTTGAAAACTACTATCTACAGAACAGTTTAATGATTCGCATTTCACCAATCTGCCTAGAGCTGCTTTTAATAAGAGACACCAGAGCTTGAGGGTATTGCATTTTGAATAGCTCCTCAGAGGAAACGATGTAAAATAAAATAATCCAGCTTTTCTTCTGGTTCTTTGTCTTTGCACATAGTAATGCATAGTAACACACTTAAAATTAAAGCGTGTATTTCAAATTTCGCTAAACGGAGATAATAAAATAATATTCAATTTGAAATTTAGCTGTTTAATTACAGCTAATAGAAACAAACAGAAATTTTTGTACATGTTGGACAATTTCTGGAAATAAATTATATTTTAAAATCAACATTGTTGCAATTTCTTTGGAGTCAACGGATCCATTATTGAATTATACTGGCAAATGCAGATGACTCATAAGTCGTAGCCGCGGCTGAAGGCAAAGAGCACTCTTAAAAAGAAGGCATTATAAATTCATGAAAATCGGATAAATTAAATCTGCCACCTCGAGAGTTAGCTTTCAATATAAATTTATATATTTTATTTAAATAAATACATTTCAATAAATTAAATGACACTTTTTGGTGTTTGTATGCAGGCGTTAATTAAACGCAATGGGTAACATAATCACTTTTTTTCGCGGATTCAGGAAATCGCGAAAATTTTAACTTTGACTTTACACACGCACCTTTTACACTATTTGAAGTCAAAGGCGGCTCCGTAATCCTCGTCGTCGTCATAATCATCGCCGCCTTCGTCCTTGTAGTCGCCGTAATCGTCGTAGTCAGAGCCCGGCGGCACCAGGGCTCCGTTGAAAAGTCCTGAAGCCCATTCACCGAGGCCGACCTGATAGGCGAGGCTGAAGACGAGCCGCATTGCCACCAGTCGCACAAAGTTGGCAATCGACGTCTCCTTGGCGGTGGCGAGCAAAGCCGAGGAAGGCCGCTTTTTTCGCTCCTCATCTTCTTCGCTCGAGACCTGCACATATAATATAAACTATATAAACTCTAAATGATACGCATTTTAAAGCAGATAAAATTTAAAAAAGAAATGTCAGCCGGAGTAGTATTGAAGGCAGGAAGAATGGGTCCTTTGTTAATTTATATATAAATTTTTATTTACTTAATTGAGGAATACAACTTTGAATTATGAAAGAAAAAATAATTTAAATTTTGTAACTGATATAAGATAAATAAAAGAATGATTCCAATAATTTGTTATTTGAAAGTAAAGAAACTTTTTTGTTATCATTTTTTGAAAAAATATAATTCAATAAATAAGTACAGTTTTGTCTGAATTAAAAAATAATAATTTGATTTTTATAATTTCTTAAATTTTAATCTGATTCTCAAAAATCCATCATGTGTTAATTTGTCTTTCTTTCTTTCAATAAATTCAAGTCAATAATGCTATCAGTGAAATTACTTTGTGGTATTGCCGTCAAAGCAATAAATTTCATTTGTTATTTAACTAAAATTTATTTAATAAAAAAAGTCGCGCCTTCAATTGAAAAACCTAATTTTTAACTCTATTTTGAAATGCATTTTTTTCTCGTTAAAAAAAAAATTAGCCGCATGTTGTAATTGAATCGCGCGTAACCTTTTCTTCGATTATCGCACTATTCAGATCTTGTTAGCAGCAGAAAAACAAGTCATTTTCTCGTGGGAATGCAGCGTGCAGGCGTGCAAATGAACAAACTGGAGCTGAAAATCCCAACACGGCCGATCAAGTGCGTATCAACTGCTGCCGCGACTTTTTGGGTTAATTGAGCGCGCGTTGATATTTTTGGCATGCGGAGAGACCACGGCAGAGCGAAACAGTTAACCGGGAAAAAGAACAGAGAGCGCAGATGGTCCCTTGCTCGCGTGCTCAGTGTCATGAATTCCACACAATGCAAATTATCACAATATAATAAATTATGCGTGGTCAGTGGGTTGACTAAAGGTGGTATGCACCTTGAACTAGTAAAAAGTTGGCATGAATTCTTTCAGGTGCGGATGGACGACGCCTGATTAAGATATAATATCAATTAGATCAAAACTGCATATAATTTTGCTTAAAATGGGCAAGGAATTTAATAACAATTAATAACCGACATCAGATATAAATTTGATCAATTTTATCTTTTATAAATATCACAAGGACAATTGCTATTTAAAAATTTTAAGTTTTAAGAAAATATTAAATGATTTAATATCTAATACTTAATATACTCAATTAATTATTTAAGAGAATAATTTATGTTTTATAGAACATTCGAGTTTAGATTTAATTAGTGCGTTGACTCTCTCCACAAATTTTTGATGGTCGAGTAATTTAAAATATACAGTTGAGCGTGCAGAGATAATCGCATGGAAATTGCACGCGCTCATGAGAAAACAAGGAAACAGTCGGAAGCATATATGAAAATAAAGAATGTATGGTGCTGTTAAGATGATTAGGACCTTACCTCTAACGAATAGCAGATCGCGACACAGCACAGAAGAGTAAACGCGCCCCGCATAACTCTGGCAGTCAAATCGCTTACAGCAGGTGCCATGTTTATCTAAATATGCGGAAAGCAAAATAAAATCGTAAAATGAGTGGAACAGGTCTTGACGATTGATAGAAATTTTCGCGCGAGTGATCAGTTACCGCAAGCATGGCAAAAAATAAGGGTCAGATAATGGAATTTTGTTTAAACAAAGAACTGCGGATGGAAGAGAAGATTTGTTATAAGATGAAATTAGCACGCGTTAAACAGTCCCTTGGTATATGCACAAAGGAGTAACAGACGTGTATGTAACCGATTGAACAGTAAGTAAGTTTATTAGACAAAGGTGGTGATCGTCATCTTCTGAAGCGTTAAATTGCAAGCAAAAAGGATATAGCTGTACTTTATTGGCATTGATTTAAAGAAAAGGGTAAAAAAGAAACAAATTAATCAATTATAAGCAATAAATTGATTTCTATTTGTTTAAAAATAATACAATTTTTGTAAGCATAATAAAAATGATTTATATTGATTTTTTTTCACAAATCATACTTTGGATATAAAATTCATAAAGATTCTTACTTTAGATTTTAAATATTTTAAAATAAATAAGTTCATACGTTTTGAAACAAATTTTGCCAAAATTAAGAAGATGCTGTGTAATTACCTATTATTTTTCCGAGAAGCGTAAATGAATTTTTCTTAATTTCCTCTTGTTCCTTACTTTTTGGTCAAAGCGAAAGGCACGTTGGTTTCATGCTCCTCGAATATATCGCGATATTCGTTACGCAAGACGGAGAAGATGCTTCCGCAGCGGTCGTCGGACTTGGACTGGCTGGCCGGTGAGCGCCCCGTGGCCTACATCACCTATGTGATGCATTCGCGTCTGCTGGGGCACCGTTAACTCACTCGCTCATTCACGTCGCCGGCTCCTGCTCACTAACTCCGTCTGCCCGCAACTCTCTCCGCGATTTGTCATCAAACGCGGGGAAAATCTCTATGCACACTTTGTAGCTCATGCAGAGCATTAATGAATGGTCATCTAGCCTTCTGTGGCAGGCGTTAATGGTATTATATGTAAACACTCTCAAGACGTTCTTTCCAGTGAGTATATACTCAACATCCGTTTTTTTCTTGCTCGGACATCATGCATAGCGACTGGAGCAAAATTATGAACAACATAGATGACTAAACATTACTAATTTTTGTTTACTTTCACGCTCTGCATATAGAGGAGAACACAATTTTTCTTTGAGCTCTCAAGTGAGTCCATAATCAGAGCCTATATTATATATATTTTTTTAACAGATTGAAAATTATGGAAATTTTTAAAATATTGTGTTATTGCAATAGAATTCAACATGCAAAATATTTAAAGGGATATATTATTCAGGGTGATTTATTATTATTATGTATTCTTCTCGGTCAAATTTTATTAAAAAAGAAAATTGACCTGGAAAATCTGTATGCAATATGCATAAGGCTCCACACTCCATACATGGGCTCCTTACATATTTCTGCACATTTCAGAATTACTTTTTGAAAAGAATATTATCGGCCAAGGCGTCCATCTGTTCTTTTCCTACCAAGGCCTCGGTGATAGCCAAAGCAAATTCCAACGCGGTTCCAGGCCCGCGACTGGTGATCAGGTTGCCTGTCATGAGAGGAAATTGTCGGTATGACAAGGCCAATTTGATGTAAAGAATAAAGGGCTAACCATCGACGACAACTCTGTCTTGTGAGTAGATGTAATCACCGTCTTTCTCCATTGCAGCCTGAGAGGTCGGGAATGTGGTGACCCTCTTGCCTTTGCCAACGCCGTGTTTTTTTAGGGCGGTCGCTGCAGCGCAGATTGTTGCTAAAATTCTACCTTCCGCCTCCTGCTGCCTCACCAAAGCACCAACAGCTTCCGACTGAAAACGATTTACTTGAATTTACAGAAAAGATCAAATTCTCAGACTAACAAAAAAATTTAAATTCAAAACACATGACTGTGCTATCTTTTATCCTCAATTAATTTGCATGGTTTTAGAATTAACAGTTCGACCCCTCTCTACTCTAATTAAAAAAAGTAGAAATTTTTTATCCTCTTGGAATTAGATAAATTTTTTTTTATTGAATATATTAATTATATTGCGTTTTGAATTAAAAAAAAATAATAATAATGATAAAAATTACCCTAAATTGCAAAATTAAATAGTTTAAGAGTTATTTTTACATCTGCTAGATTCTTTGAGCCTATCCGGCCACCAGGCAAGATAACAGCATCATAAGGGCCTTTGGTGACGGCGCTCTCAAGGGATTCGTCAGGAACTATATAAATATCCCTGCTGCATCTGACAGGCGAGCTCCCTGCAATGCCGGCGATTGTCACTTTGACCTGCCAAATGAAGAATACCTCAAATTTTTACATCAATAAATCGAAAGAATGATTTCAAGTGCTGTTTAGTGCCGTTAGGTAAGTGTAAAAAAGGCACCCTAGCACTAGCACTGCGTGTTTCGGTTGGAAAGAAAGCAATAATGCTGATGTACTTACACCTGCCCGCCTGAGGATGTCCACCGGTGTGACCACTTCCATCTCTTCAGCATCTTCGATCAGCAGGACAATTGCAGTTTTTGTCATTTTTTTAAGATTTTGATACAAAGCATTAGCCTGTGTGTGCTACTGTGGAGATAAGATAAAAGGAAAAAGGACTTCATATATAACAAACAATGGGGGAGTAAAAATTTGAGACAAATAACTACAAATTTTTTCCACTTCAAATTTTGCATTACGTTGATATGCTGCAATGTATAAAAAATTGTTTTTTAGCTTTGGAATTTAACCATTTTTATGTTTACACCAAATAATTAAGTGTTTTCCATAATATTAAAATTAAAATAAAAAATGCAAGAATTTCTAAACTGGGAAAAATCACCAACAAATTTATTCAGTTCGTAATTTGTCATGACAAACATTTTTTAACATTGTCGTTCCATTTTGAATCTCAATTTTCTCATAGCTGCATTAATAAAAATTGGGAATTTATAGAGATTCTTAAGACATATTTTTCCGATTGCAGAATTATATGACAATTTGTGAGAATTATAACATCCCATAACAAAAATTACCTTAGTTAGCCTCTCACAATTATAGCTTATTGCTTCAGAAGCATTCCGTTAGCCAAACTGTCCGCCTGCTCTTTACCAACCAAGGCCTCGGTGATAGCCAAAGCAAATTCCAATGCAGTGCCGGGACCACGACTAGTAATCAAGTTTCCTGTCGTTAAGAAATATTGTCAGTGCAAATTTTCCGATGCAAAGAAATTGCTTACCATCAACAACAACTCGGTCTTGCAGGTAGGTATAGTCACCGCCTTTCTCCATTTCGGCCTGAGTTGAGGGGTAGGAAGTGACTTTCTTGCCTTTGCCAACGCCGTGTTGCTTCAGTGCAGTTGGAGCAGCACAAATAGCTGCCACAATTCGACCTTCTGCCTCCTGCTGCTTGACCAAAGCACCAACTGCTGCAGACTAGAATCACAAAAAAATTTAATATTTTAAAATAATCTAAATTCAATTAAACGTTTTAAAAAAATAGATAGATATAACTGTGTATTGATAATTATGAATTTTTAATTTAAATACTTATTGATTATCTTTTGTGAAAGAAGGTTGGATATGAGTATTATGTATAAATATCATAAATTTAAAGATAAATTTTGATGCAAAAGTTTCCAGCAAAATACGTAAATTTTTAGCATATTTATGTACCTCAGCTAGATTCTGTGAGCCTTTCAGACCACCAGGCAAGATCACAGCATCAAAAGGTCCTTTGGCGACAGCACTCTCAAGGGCTTCGTCCGGGACCACAGAAATGTCCCTGCTGCACTTGACAGGGGCGCTTCCTGCAATGCCGGCGACCGTCACATGAACCTGTCATGAAAACTATTAGTATGATAACACCTCAAATTTATATTGCTGATCGTTTATCGAGAAGCATTCAACGACTACATAAATAATTAAATATATCATGCACGAAAAAAGGAAGAGCAGCGCTGCTTTGATTATGTATTTAAAGAAATGCATATCGAACATGTCATACGCCTGCTCGTCTGAGGACGTCCACTGGAGTAACAAATTCCATCTCTTCAGCACCTTCGGCCAGCAGGACAATAGCCGTCTTTGTCATTTTTGATTGATTTTGACCTGTGATTTGGACAGAAATTACTTTTGCAAGCCGGTGTCTGCTACAGCTAATGCAAGACAAGAACAAAAGGGGGCGTGCAGGTTGAAAGATCAACATTGCACTTTAGTGACAACCGAGGAACGGTAGGCGGCGCCATCATCAGTTTCATTGAATTATGCTGACGTCACTGGCGAACACAGTAATGCAACAAACGTTGATTTTTTATGAATATTTGTCAGTTTTTATGATCAAAATACTAATATTTACGAAATCCCCTCGCTTAGAATTAAAAAAATATTGTTTTCTGTGATTTTAATGCTCAAAATCGAGAATTTCAATTTGTGGCGGGAAAATTCAAAATATGACCCAGCTGAGCGAATTTAACTAAATTTGCACGTTTGTCTCCTTCCAGGTCAGTATAAGCGCGCTTAAAAAATAATTTAAAAATTCTCGAATAGTTTCGATCAACATTTTAGTGTTGAAATCAGTCTACAATGGTTAAATTGGTAATTTTTGATGAGCAGCTGGGCACGAATTGAGCAGCCACTGATTTAGTTGCGCGCCATGTTGTTTTAGATTAGTGGCAGGGGCAGGAGTCGGAGAAGCATCTGTCGATAATTTTACACTTAAATCTCAGTGAAATTATCCGGAAAGCAGGCGTTTGCGACTCTTCAGACGCGCCTGAACAAAAATGGTACGTAATCCGGGTGGTTAACCGCCCAGTTTATGTCATAGAAGGCAAATTTGAGCGCCGAGACGAAATGGTGCCTCGCAGCCAGTGTGTCCCCCTTTGCCGTGCACTCGCACACATGCACCGTCGGTGCTCCAGCGGACCCTCGGCTGCAATCTCGGCCGCCGACGCGAAGCATTCTCAGCGACGGCCGAATTTCTAACGGCCTTTTCAGGTTTGGCCCGAAAGTCGGACGGTCCCGTGCAAAAATTCGTATCTCTGGTGCATTCGGTGCGCACTAGCTGCACTCGCGGTCATCTCTCGCAATTAACCCCCGAGGCCAAACCCCCGTGCGAGACGACGTCGCTGTCCCCGGGGGCTCAAATCGGCTCGTTCGATTAGAAATTCAAAATTCGTCCGTTTTGAAAAAAGTTCTGAAACTTCCGAATGCAGCGATCGGGAATTTTGTGCAAGACGCGCGCACCACTGGAATTTAGGGCAAAACAAGCCTGCGGCTATGCAAGCCGTACGTTGTGTACTTTATTCACCTACGGCACCATTTCCTGGATGCAACTCGATACGTGCGATCCTGGCAGTAAAAACGGATGCGGCATTGCACTTTTATTACTGTTATGTGCGCCGGCAGATCTCTCTCGACTCTCCGAGTCTGTAATAATAATCCTGCATAAATATGAAATTGGCCTCATCAGCTGCTCCAAATTACCTCGGCTAATCGGTCTCACTTCAAACTTGAATTTCCTCAAACTGGTTTGAATTTATTTTTTATTTTTCATAAAATGCACATTATTTTTTCAAATTTTTTGAATACATACCAAATCTATTGCTATTTCTTATTTTAAAATTAAATTTTTACAAAAGCAACAAATCAAACATCATTACTAATTCTCAAAAAAGTATTAAGTATTCTGAAATTTTCGTGAAAAATATTAATTTATGTTTAAACAATACGATTTATTAAATTTAATGCAGTAAAATCGTCAGATAATTATTTGAAATTAAATTTTGTGCCATTTCTGCTAGTTTAGGACGTCTTCATTAATAGCTCGGCGCAGGTGAAAACGACGCGACATGGCAGACGAGAGCAGATCCCGAGCTAAATTTAGACAAATTAATGCCATACTAACTCTGCCCGTGTTTACCATTGTCCATTTGGGCAAAAGCCGGATGTAGACCAATTGCCTCAGTTCTTGAATTGCCGCTTCTGCTGCGGATGTTTTTTTCCAATTAATTAACGGTCAATTAGCTCAAATTAATCGCCCGTGAGCAGCGACCGCCGATGGGTCGTTATCTCTTCAGAACGGCGATTAGTGGAGTGTGCAAATCAGTCTAGTTTCAAATTCTCTCCGCGCCAATTTTTTTAATAAATTGTTTGCTGAAAATATTACAATTAATACTCCTGCATTTAATTTTGAATTTGGATCCTAAATTTTTTGGAATAAATATCATACACCATGTTCATACAATTCTCTCCATATTTGTATCAAAATCTTACAAAGACTATTAATTTAACTGTTGAATGAAATTTAAAAATTATGTAGCAATACTTCTTGTCTTATTTTCTGTTGAATTCATTTCTCATTTTAATCATTCCACGTATGAAAATCTTTTTTAAACAGAATGGCTTCAAAGCGCTCACAATTATGCATTTACATATATTTCTTTTGCGTTCTTTCATTTTTGAGTAAATTTATTAATAATTTCGAAATCATGTTATTATCTTTGATTGGAAGGTAATATTTTGCATGGTGTTTTTATTTTTACTGACAACTTCAATTGTCAAATATTGCAAGTCAAAAAGCATTAAAGTGCCGTTTGCCCTTTCCATCGCTCGATGAACCTTCGGCGTTGCAGTTGGGACGCGCTAAAATTAGTTCTTCCTCGCGCACGCGGCGCATGCAGATTCTCTTCTCCCCGACGTTGTATTTCATTATTTTCTAGCTGTCTCTTGTGCAGCAAATGACGAGCAAAAAGCCGAAAACGCCGCCGTGATTGCGTAATAATGAGCGAACACCGACTCGCAGAGAAGTAAAAAATTAAGCAGCAGGAGAAGCTGAAATAATAATGAAACTTGTTGCGTGAATTTGAACCTTTGTGCCGAGTCATCTTCAACTCACAATCACAAGTCGCGCGCGGTAGTGGACTGGACAAAAAGTGGCACCCGCGTGGAGGTAGATTTGAAACATGAGGCCAAAAATTTGTGTTGCTAAGCTTTTACTCGCCACAAATTTAGCTAGTCTCATTTCACCTTCAACTTACTTAGTTTAGATCTTTTTTTTATTATCAAATTTCGTCGTACGGAAGAACTTGATAAAAACCTGAAACAAATTAAATTTATTAAATAAATACACATCTTATTTTTGAACTTCAATTGGAAAAATTATTTATTTTGAATTAACTTAAATTGAATAAATTCATTAGTTCTATTCAAAATTATTTTGCCAAAAAACAGATGTACAAAAGATTTTTGTATAAAAATCCTAGACGTTTCGAAAATTTATAAATCTCGTAGGAAGAAAATTAAAAATAAACAAACAAAAAATGCCACAATTGGGCAAATTAGGAAGTGCGTTTGTTATGTAATATGAACTTAGAATCCACTACCCGCCCAATTATCATAATTCCTGCCGCCTGCGTTTGAATAAATAATGCCGAGCCCAGGAGGCTCTCACACTTCTCTTTGCAAGCAGGAGAAATTGAAAAAGAAAAAAATAAATATTTGTCAGTCACATTGTAGTAATTGAGTGCTTTTTTCTGCTTGCAGACTTCGACGCCGAACAGTACGGTCGAGACTTCGACTACCTCATCATCGCCTTCCTCGTGCATGGCCTCAAACAACAACGCGCCCAAGTACGGCACCAGGATTCCGAACCGCGTCTTCGTGGGCGGCCTGTCCGGGGAAACAACTGAGGCCGAGATGAAGGAGCTCTTCTCCAGCTACGGTGAGGTCACCTCGATCAAGATCATCCAGGACAGGGCCGGCGTCTCCAAGGGCTACGGCTTTGTCACGTTCGAGAATGAGGAGCAGGCGCGAAACTTGCTCCGGCACACAGAGGTCTACCTCAAGTCAAGGAAGCTCAACATCGCCCCAGCCATTAAGAAAGTAAGAAAGTCAATATTTTATTAATTAAAACCTAACTTTTGTAATTATTTTTAAAAAAAACTAATAATTTAAAGAATTTCAAGTTTTTGATCCACCTAAATTCAAGACCCCCTTTGCTGACCCTGAGACCCTCTTTTTCAGTTTGACGTCAACATGACTTTCCAAGCACCCTTTCCCCGCTCTTTCGACACAGCCTCGCCAAGCATCCCAAACGGCTCCGTTTACTTCACGCCCACTGGCTACCCGTTCACCTTCCAGAGCAACGGCATGAGCTACTACAACCCTGCGGCTGCCATGGCACTTGCGCAGCAGCAGCAGCTTGAGGCGTACAATGCCGCTGCGGCGGCAACCTATGTCCAGCAGCAGCAACAGCAACAACAACAGCAGCAACAACAACAACAACAGCAACAAACCCAGTCCCAGGCGGGCGCGGCGTCAAACGCAGCGGCCACGGCCGCAGCTCAGGCATCCTTCTACAACTACATGTACCCGGCAGCAGCCGCACAGGCCGTCTACGCAACGCCGCAGCAGTACTACCAAAACATGCAGGTGAGCTCTTCATTTTGTCTTTATCGCTTGGACACGAAATTTACATGCCAATCTTAGATTTTGCCACACGCACTTGTTATAAAATCTTTTTTAAACAACTGCAGGTCTAAAAAAAATTTATATATTCAGTTATTTAAAGTTCTTTAAATCTCTATCCAAAAAATTTAAGGGTACGTTTTCCTTAATAAAACTTTTTAAACTAGTATTCAATTAAAATGTTACCACACAAGCTTGCGGCAGTGTCTACTGATTGATGCAAACACCCAAGTAGTTGAGTTTAAGCGATTAGATGTATTTATCCTGTCTGTCCTGTGCAGTCCTCTTATTGTGTCGGCCTTGTGCTACTCACACAATGTGCCAGTCTGTGTGACTTCCCATTTACTGACAAGCAGGAAAATCCTTGTACAGATATTGCTTTTTGGGATTTGTGGCTTAATTTTGACTCAATTTTATTATCTAGAAAAATAAATATTCCTTTTTTTTATTGATTGTGATTTGATCCTAATTATAAAACTTAAGTGATGTTCACAATCAGGTGTTTAATATAAATTATAAGCATCGTGTAATAAAAGTGAAGCTATTGACCTTTTCCCCGGACACTTAAGAACTCATGATAAGAAAAAATTGGAGAGATAACATTTCCACTATTTTCCACAAATTTAGTAGTTATCTTTGTAAGAAGGATTCGTTTTTCAATGCTGACTCTGCATTATTGATTAAAATATTTGTATAACCTAAAATCAATTTAAAATTTATTTTAGAAACAATAAATGTATGGCTTGCAACTTAATATTCGAGGATATTCATATCGCTTTAAAAAAAAAAAAACATTTCGAGGGTGGATAATTAAATTTAGCAATCTTGTATTTAAAAATTGTTTCCTCTTGAAAGCCACAAATCCCAATGCCATTAGTAGTGGGTTAGTCTGTCCCTGTTTCCCTTCTAATCGCCATTACGACCTGAGATTTGAAATTTAACTGATTGTGTTTTTCTCTCTCTGTCTGTTGTCGTTGTCGAATGTGGTAGTTGTCACAGCAGCCACAGTCGAGTAACGGTTTCGCCACGGCCGCCAACGCCGCCGGTGCCAGCGCCGCCGCCGACTCGCAGGTCGCATACCTCCCACAACCCGTGCAGTACGTCCTGATCGACAGGATGTACTGACCCGTCGACGCGGCCGCCGGCTCTCTGCATGCCACGCAGTGCTGCCTCCCCCTCGCACCGCCGCCGCAGCCGAAAGCGAAACACTCGTTCTAACAAACAACCAACCCCTCTGTTTCCACTCACCACTGTCACCCCCCAATCGGTCACTCTATCTCTTTCTCTCTGGACGTAGCAAAAACAATACGTGCTCGATGGTAATTTGGAGAAAAAATTACTACTGAAAAGAAACACAAATTCATCCACCCAGTCATCCAATTTCCTCCGCTCATCGAACTTGACACCCTGACGTATGCGTGGGTTGTGACTTGACTCGTGTGCCCCGTTGTGAGAACTCTTGTCAACTTTTAGAGCCTGTGTCTTGCCATTTTTTTTCACGCTCGCGTTGCTGAAACGCCCGATTTTAAAAGACGGAGCGACGCGCGTTAATAGTTGCGGGTTAGTTACTCTCCTTCTATCTCGTATTCCTCTCTCTTCTGGTTTTGGTGTCTGTTCCTTTGCGTCTGGGGCCCCCGATTGACCCGCTGGTTCTCTTGCAGCCGCAGCAGGCTGTCTTGTGCACTGAATCCAACTCCTCCGCTTCTTCCGCCCTGCTCTTGCACCCTCCTCCTCTGGTAGCACTAGATTCCGTGGCGACCGCCGCCGACTCTCCCGCCTCCCATCATCACCTATCCTCTCCGCTCCAGCAGCAGCAGCCGCCGACCGTCTTTGCCTACCCGGCCTACAACATCGCCCTAGTGCCGTTTGCCACCAACGGAGCCGCAGACCCTTACCAGCAGCACGACTATGACTACCCTGGAGACAACGCAGCCTTTACCAAAGATAATCAGGTGAGTGACTTTCAATGCAATTTCATTGCAGAATTTTTCAAATAAAATTGATGTATATGGGCAAGGAATCGCAAGCAAAAAGAATCTGAAATTTTTCCATTTTAATCGCTCAATTCTTAAGCCTGCAATTTTGAAGACGATTTCATTTATCGATGGTTAATTTGTTTACGATTATGAAAGCATAAATTTGGTCAAAGCTGTGTCTAATTTGTTACCTTTTCGCCTAATTTAATTTTTGCAAGCAACTTTAATCAATTTTACATAATGTAAAAATCACTTGATAATTTGGCATTAAAATGTTCATGAAGCAGAAAACGGGTTCATCCTGATTCAAAATTTTCAACGGCGATAAGCCCATTTTTCACTGCTTGAAAATGTGTTTTAATAACACAATTTGGCTTGCCCTGGTTTCTAGGTCTCCTTGGATGTTGACCAACAGCAGCTGCTGCAGGCAATGGACTCGCCGGCGCCGATGATGGTGCCCCTTTGCACAATGATGCCTCCGTGGAGCCCTGTGACCCCGCCGCCTAACTTCCCCTCGAGGGCCACGACGCCCTCGTCGACCTGCGGCAGCGTCACCAAGCAGGAGCGGGGCTACTACTCGCCGCGAGGCTACAGAGGTGGCCGTCGAGGCGGCGGCTTCAGAGGCCGCGGCCGCATCGGTCCAGCCGGCGACGCAGGCCGCACAATCAACAACAACGTGAACGGCCAGCACAAGAGCGAGCCTGAGGCCAGGGAGGGCCAAGTGACGGCGATGATGCAGTCGCTCGAAATCAGCCCCTAGAGCTGCTCAGTCTGACACGACAAGTACTTAAGTTGATCTCGTTGATTGTTAACTTGACCCCAAGACCCGCTACACACACTACTACTATACTGTTGGCAGTCTCGTTTCCATTACACAGCTATTTGCACGTACTTAACTGCGCGCCTGGACTAATCGGTCATTGATTGTTTGTACTTAAGTTGTTGTCTCGTTGTAATGATGATTTTAAGTTGTGTGTTAGCCACTTCGGCCAACGGACCCCTGCCATAAACACACACACATAATATTCGTTGAAATGCATTCATCGACTTCGCGACTCCATCCGGAATTAATAATATTATGTTGTTGAACCACGTGGTTGTGCGAATGTAGTAATTTTCAATTTATGTGTACGTTTCATTTTACCTTAGTTGGGCCAGTTGTGATAGATAAAGACACAAAAACGGAGCGGTCGGCGGAGGGAGAGGCAGCACCAGACGGGCCAATTCTTTATGCTTGTCGCCCACCTCTGAGCTTCTTTTACGTAATGATGTGTTCAGACCGAAACAGGGACCATTTGTTGCTTGTTGATGAGAAAATGCAAAATGAACCTCTCAAAAATTAAAACAGCGAGTGCCCCGCGGACCAGCTCCCTCATCACTCTTCCAATCATCCTGATTTCACCTGAAACTGGCCCACGCTCTTTGTTGTATCTCGCGGATCCGTTGTTAGTTATATATAATGTCGGCGTAACGATTTTCTTGTGAATTGGTTAGATTACGTACGTGTTACCTCTTTTTTTTTAAAAAGAAATGCGATGAAAATGGGATATTAGTTTGATACGTCTTGTGTCGCACGACGTGAAAATATTGAAGATGGTTTTAAACCAGCCCAGATAAATTAGGGATAAAATTCCAAATTGTCAATGTGATTAGATTTTTTCTGTATTCGCTTATAATTTTGCTTCAAAAGTTCTGTATCTCCGCTTTCGGTCTTACTCGTAGTTGTGCTGCACGGAAATGAGGTAAAATTCTAAACGCGATCGTTACACAACCTAGGATGCGACTATCGACTCAGGTTTATCGTTTATACATACATAATATATATTATATTATATCTACACGCATACTCTAGTTGTTGCTCTTTATTTAATGTTGTAATTATTGTAATTTATTGAAAGCGCGCCTCATACTCATCGAATCGCACTCATCGTAAAAACCAACTGAAATCTGTTCCGACATTTTTCCGCAGAGTGAAATGTCGATCCCTAGTCTTCAGCTTTTGCTTCTTTTTACGTTGACTCTGTCTTTTGGTTGGTAAAAATAACAAAACAAGCAAAATGAGAAAGAATTATATTAAAATGAAGAAGTCGCCTTACCAGTTGATTGTTATCCGGCGCGAAACAAAGGCTGCAAACCGAAATCGAAAGCAAAGAATTTAACTTCATCAGCCGTTTCCATCGAGACTACTTGTTTGACGATTCTTGTTTAATTAATGAAGGTTGTGATTTTATCGTAATGTAATAAAAATGTTCATGTAATACGCGAATATTATGAAAAGAGCTGATGGTTGAAAACGAATTATGAAAATATGTTGTGGAAAAAAAACAGACATGATATATTATAAATATTTTAACGTGTGCCTTACTGAAGAAAACTAAAAGGAAAAAAATAACACTTGAGAAAACACACTTATTGCATTGCTCATGGCAAAAACCCGTTTGATTAAAGACAGTTTTAAAAAGCAAAACTACAACAAGACGAGAAAGAGAACGAGTAATAGAGAAAATAATACACACACTCACACGTATAATATAATGTAAAAGCGAGAAATAATTCATTTTTCCTACATCGTTAAGTTGTAAGTTCATCATCATCAATTCGCGTATAAGCAATACTAGTACTCTGTTTGTGTGAGACTCTTAAAATGTTATTGTACTGCAAGGGGATGCGAATGAATGTGAAGAAATCAGGCGAGGCGGGCATTGTGATCAAACTCCGTGAGCACTCGCCTCGAATTCTACGGAAAGAGATAAAATGCAGAAACTGTTGTGACGAGAAAAGCAACTGTCGCGCGCGTGAATGTAAAAAATAGAAAACAAAGAAACACACACACTGTAGGATTAAGTTAGCAAGAAAAACTATATTATATCACGTAGGATTACGGCGAAAGTATATAATTATACAAAGGTTATGTAGTTGTAGCCGACCTGTTAAGATGATAAGTGAAAGAAAGAAAAAGTATATATTGTAAGAGCGTAATTATTATTGCTATTGTTTAAGAGGTATACACATAAATACATAAACACACACTCAACGTAGATTCGTGCAGGACTAACTAAGAAAGTTTAAAACAATTAAAAATAAACAAAAACACTCGATGCTATCAAACGGGATAAATAATGACATACATATTGAATTCGTTGGAGTTCAGCTTATAAGAAATAGCTAATTAAACAACAAAAGCAATGTCAAAAGACTGCAACCGTAAACGGACACGAAATGACGAAATATTTACACTCTGCTGAATGATGCATGTAGAGATAAAAAAATAATAAAACGAAAAGAACGAGAATCAATTACTTTATTAACGTAATAGCAAAACCATTCAAGGGTATGATCGTTCTCTCGAAACCTCAAAAGACTTGAAGCGCTGTTTCGTCCCTCTCTCCTTTTGTCCTAATTTCGTTATATCGACCAGGGTTGTATCATTGCTGCCACTTTCGGTCGCGTCTAATCCGAATTAAACTGAAGAATCAGCCTCGTCCACAAATGTTGAGGAATTAACTGAAAATTGCCTCATATTTCCCTGCAAACGGAGGTGCGCAACAAAGTCTTTCCCTCGTCGGTTCCCCTTTTGGCACAAAGTCCACGGATGTGTTGGTGGAAAGAAAGCATTCGTGATATAAAAAAAATACATGATTTTGTGCCTATTGCGTTTTTGTCTCACTCAGTCAATATAATTATATTATACGCCCCAGCACTTCTGCAATAATCACGTTCATATCAGACGATTTTAACTCCTTGCAGCAAAACGGCGACAAAAATAAAAACAAAAATCGGTTCAACGCAAAAAAGCTATGAAAGAAGCTGTATTTTCAGTGAGCTCAATATAGAGACGTATTAAATTTTACACGCAGACTAACTAAGCAAAGCAAAGAGGTTGTGTCCGTACTCTGCTGTCCCTTTCGTATGAACTCGCGAGTGCGAAGCAATTATTATATTATGAAGAAGTGAAGGAACTGCTGCACCGCGAGACACGAACCAACTGCTGTTCTATTACCACTTCTGTAATAAGCATTGGCCTAATATATATATTATATGACATATATATCTATATTTAAACGTGTAAAATTAAAGAGATTGTGTATTAAGAAAGGCGACGTAAGGGAAAATCAATTGAATCGAGAGCTGGACGCGCGTGGAGTCTCGTCCTCCACCGGCCCGAGAGAAAAAAATCATACAAAGATTCATTTTAAGCCTAACGACAGAAAAGATAAGTTTAAAAGCAACACACCCACACTTCGCTCTAAACTTAACGTAAATAAAGAAACAACTACTACTATTATAATAAACTATGCGTAGGAATTTTAGCATTAAGTCAAATGTAAATTTAATGACGGGGAATTCAAGCGGTCCGACGGCGACTGATTTCTGATTCAAATTTTGGAAATTTTTCTTGCCGTCGACTGCTGTTGGGATCGAAATCGGCTGCATATTAAATTCAGTTTGATTTGCGACGCGGTCGCGCGGCGGTCTAGATTCGAAGCGAATTGATCCATTCCAATAAAGATCGATTGTGATTTTCGCCGCGCCCGTTCGCCGAATCGTGGTAATTAGAATAAATTACGGGAAAGTAATAAGAAGCTAGAACAAGATGTAAAAGTAATTAACAATGCGCATAGATTAGATTTAGGCCTGCGAGAAAACCCTTAGCGAAACCGGTTAGCGACAGATGTAAAATTTAGCTGATAAGAAAGAAAAAGTAAAACTATCCAAGATGTAGAGACAAACACGTGTATAAGCATAAAAACATACAATTTTGTGTTCATGATGAAATATAAAACAAACACACTAGCGAAAATTTAGGAGGAACGGGGAGATTGGCGTGTGCTGCCGAACGCACGCCGCCGCTGACGAGATTCTGTGAACAAATTAATAAGAAAAGCCTACGCAGCTAGGCAGACATGAAATGTGTATTTACAGAAAAAAAACAGTTCAGTGCCTCTGATATCATTTACTGATGTGCCAATTTTAATTGCAAAGTAAAAAGAGCGAGTATTGTTGGTCGCGCGACAAGAAGGCCCGTTATTATGCAGATTTTAATGCGGTTGAATACATGATGTGTTGTTATGTTCAAATATGTAAGAGTATAAAAAGCGAGTGTGTGCTGCGTGCAAATAACACAAACAAAAAAATATGAAGAGACGACGACGCCGCCACGCACTCTGCCGTCGTCCGTCCGTCGTCGGACAGCCGGACGGACGCGTCAAGTAGTAATTATATTAATTATGGAAAACGCGATAATTCACACACACACTCACACATATTGATGACTTAAGAACCGACGTACAATATGTTAATAAAACGATTATGGATACAATAAAGCAAATAAACATTTTCACTTAAATACAAAAAAAATTGTCTTTTTTTTTCATTTACTTTCTTAGCTGTAATATAAATTAAAAAAAATATACATTAATGATTAAGAAATTGCTTGTCATTGAATTTTTTCAAATATATTTATATCAATTAAATTTCTTAATATTATTAGTCTGGAAATATTGAAATAATATGAGGAATATTATATAATTATGTGCAATTATATAAATATGATTGAATAAGTCCCTAATGATGCAGTATTTTTGTTTAATATATTACTTCGTTTATTTTTAAATACGAAACTAGGAAAAATAAATTTGCAATCCAAAGCTCATAGAATAAATTAAATTTTTTTATTATTTTGTCTCAATCAATCGGTCTATTTTAAGATTTACCCGATTATATGATTATCAAATTTTGTTTTGCATGATTATAAAATAAATTAATTCTTTTAAATAAAATTCGTGCTTTATGCGTCCTAAATCATCCATTGCGCATTAACATTTTTTATTTTTTCCACTCTGGAAACTTCTTTGTAACACTGCCTGGATTTGCCCGCTGCAAGAAGGGCCCGCTGTTGTAAAATGCGCTGGCTGTCTGGCGCTCTGGCGGCGGGAAATGAAATTAAAGTATCGAGATCGCTTGTAAACAGAAAACAAAACTTTCTTGTTTTCCTCTGAGCAACATGTCTGACAGCGACGAGGAGATGGACCAAGAAAACCCGCAAAACGCGGGTACTACTGAGGATGAAATGGATCGCGAGAGCGAGGATAGCAGCAGCGAAGACGACGAATTCGAAAAGCAGGACAGGATGGTCGCCGAGTTGAAGAAGGGCGTAAGAATAACTCACTTTAATTCGCCGGTTGCCGGCCTCCTGCATTGCTTTTCCTCACATCGAAATATTTGCAGATTTCCAAGAATTCCTTCAATTACGACCTGCACGTACAGCTGATAGACATGCTGCAGAAAATGGGCGAACTGGATAAGCTTCGTGAGGCTCGCGAGCAGATGAGCAAAATATTTCCTCTCACTGAAGGTACGCAGACTGTAGGAAGTATTTTAACTTTGACCTTATGGTGACCTCTGTTGGTTTGCAGATCTGTGGCTCTCATGGCTGCGGGACGAGATTAAGTTGGTGGCTAGCGAGGCTGACAGACAGAAAGTCACCCAACTCTTTGAAAGGGCAGTCAAGGACTATCTTTGTAAGTTTTCACAATTTACAATTCCAAAGATTTGCAAAATCATTTTTTGCTCTTTAGCTGTTGAAATATGGTTGGAGTGGGCGCAGTTCAACATCGGAGCTATGGCCAAAGAGGGAGGTCTGGAAGCGGTTCGAGCCCTTTTTGACAGGGCCCTGACCGCTGTGGGTTTACACACAAGCAAGGGTGCCATGCTGTGGGAAGCGTATCGTGAATTCGAGGCCATCATTCTGGGCAGCTTTGAGCCTCAGCCAGGCAGTGTGCCTTCGACAGAGCAGATGGAGCGGCAGAGAGCTCAGCGTGAACGGATCCAGAATTTGTTCAAGAGACAGTTGTCAGTGCCCTTGCTGGACATGGAGGCCACCAGGGAGGAGCTCAGAGACTGGGCCATTGCTGACGAGGAGGCCACTGCACTCTACGGCTATGAAAAGGCACTGGCAAAATTGAAGCAGCTCTCACCCTTTGAGGAAAATCTGGTTTGTTTTGAATATTTTGTTTTTTCAGTTAAGAATCTATTTTGAATGAATTTCAGCTGAAGAAGGTTGGGGACGATCTATTAGCTGAGTACAGGGCGTATATTAATCATGAGAAACATGAACCAGCCAGAGTTCAGATTTTGTATGAAAGAGCTGTGTCTCAGTTTGCTCTGAATGCAGATCTCTGGCTAGAATACATCAAGTACATAGTTTTTGCTGTTATTATTCAATGTTCTTCAGAAATTACAATTCGTTTTGTATTAGATACATAGAGACAACTCTCAGAATAAAAGAAGTGACTCTCCCTGTGATAGAGAGAGCCTTGAGGAATGTGCCCTGGGATGGTCGCTTGTGGGTTGCATCTCTGCGGGCTGGGGAGCGTTATGGTCGAGAACACCTGGACATGCAGTCAAGTCTCGAGACTGCCTTGGTGGCCGGTCTTAGCTCAGCCGAGGACTACAGATCCGTTTGGGAGGCTTACCTAGACTACCTCAGACGCAGAGTGCCCTGGGACGATCGGGAGCAGAAAGATCTCATTAAAGTACGTTGTCGATATTTAGTAATTACAATAATTTATAATTGTATTACAGACTAGAGTAGATGAAATTCGTCACTGTAGCACAAGAGCGTGCGAACACCTGGCCGAGATGTTTGGAGTGGATGGTGACCCTCAATGCAGCATCCTGAGGGCATGGGCGCGTTGTGAAGCCGCGAGGGTCGGAAACCTAGAAAAGTCGAGAAAACTTTGGACTGACATCATGTCCATAGACCACATGAACCATGCAGCAGCTTATTGGCTTGAATACATTCACATGGAAAGGTATATCATGAAAATCAAAATGATTGACATTTTCCATTGACCATATTTAATGTAGGGCGTGTGGAGATGAAAAACATTTGAGAAAACTATTTGCCCGCGCCTTGAATTCTGCAAAGGACTGGCCCGAAGGTATTGCAGAGGCTTGGGTCTCGTATGAAAGGGAACAAGGGTGTCTGGAGTCGTTTGAATTTTGCTTGGAAAAAGTTGATGAGAGGTGAGCTAAATTGAAATGATCGGTAGCTTGAATAAATTTATTTATTAGAATGGAGCGACTGAAAATTCAAAGAGCAAAGGAGCGAGAGAAGTTGGATGCCAGATCACAAAGGGACAATAAACTGAAGAGAAAAGTATGTGCTATTATTTAGGTAGCTATTTTTTTTAAGTAAATCTTCATGATTTTCAGAGGGATAAAGATCAACCACAGCACAAACAGCAGCACACCAAGGTGGAGTTCAAAAAGCCTGAGCCTGAATTTAAAAAGCCTTCACCTTTCATTGCCCCTAAATCTGGCAAGTCCAAAGTTGCTCCCCCTCCTGGCTACAAACCTGAAGATAGGGATAGCCCTGAGGATAAGAAATCAAAAGGTGAATTTGTTAACTTAATTTTCATATTATAAATTTTTAACCTTCTTTATTCTCATTGTCAGCCTCCTTTGATGTCAATAATATTATCAACAAGCCTGTTGAGCATGATTCGAGCAAAGACAATCGCACAGTTTTCATCAGCAATTTGAGTTTTGACGCAAGTGAGGACGACATCAAAACCCTTTTGGGCACCGGTGTAGTGGAAGTGAGATTGGCTCGAGACTTCAAGGTAAGATTAAGAATAATGTCTGCGATTATCTTTAAACCTAACCTATAATTCCAGGGTCGGTCAAAGGGCTTTGGCTATGTTGAGTTCAAATGCCCAGAGGATGCTGGAGAGGCCCTTTTAAAAGACCGAGAGATGGTGGCTGGCCGACCGGTTTTCATCTCAAAGTGTGACCCTGACAATATGACTAGACAGAAGCAGTTCCGTTACAGTCAGGGCATGGAGAAGAACAAACTCTTCATCAAAGGTCTGCCGTTTACTTCAACAAAGGAGGATTTAGAAAAACGTTTTAGTGAATTCGGCGCCCTGAAAGACGTCCGACTTGTTACCTACAGGTGAAGAAAATTATTTTTAAACAAATTTTGGTTAGATATTTTTTTATTTCAGAAACGGCCACTTCAAGGGTCTAGCATATGTGGAATTTGAGGATGAGACAGCAGCAGCTCATGCACTCCTGAAGACTGACGGCCTCGAGCTGGAAGGCAAACCAATTAGTGTTGCCATCAGCAGGCCGCCAGAAAGGAAACAGACCTCATTGATGGACGTGCCGAGTTTGGGCGGCCGGCCAAGAGACGCAAGTCGACCTCAGAGATCATCTGACGGTTTCATGCCCAGAGCACTTAGACTTGCAGTACCGTCAACCTCAGGAAACACTGAGGCTGCGACACCTACCAATGGCGCCGCCAAGCCTGCGGAGAAAAAGACTAACGACTTCTTCCGCTCGATGTTTGCCGGTGGAAAGTGATTCGTTACTAAAGCTGGACGTTTTCTTAAAAGCCTAGCAAAGGAGAAAAAATGCTTTGCTTTTTATAATTTGTTTTCAAATCAAATTGTAGCATTTTGATGTTGGTTATGTGCGCATGAAATGGATATGCAAAGTTGTACATGAATATATTATTACCTGTAAAATCAATATTAAAGTGATAGTTCTCTGATTTAATTGGATTATTTTTTTTTATCAAATTTAAATTTTAAGATTATAAGGAAAGTTGTGATTTCATAAAATAATAGAGATTAGTTCGCTGAAATGCATTAGGGTGGCGCCTCGCGCTCTGAACGGCAAGTTGCAAACAAACAGCTGCACCGCATCTGAATCATCTGAATCTGTTGTTTTTGTCTTTGCCATAAACCCGATACTTGATTTCAAACAACGCTAAACGCTGATTTGTAAGTTTTACGGGCTTTATTTAAATATTTTTAGCATCGTCAATTATTCTTCTAGAGTCGGATCTGAGTGAATTTTGGAACAGCATGCACATCAGTTGAAAATAAAGCCGCAATTAGGTAAGGAAAGCTAAAAATCATGTCCAAATCGAAGAAGCATAAGAAGGAAAAGCGGAAGAAGGATAAGAAAGAAAAGAAGAAGAAGCACAAAAAGCGCTCGTGTTCACCGCCAGTGATGGGCCCCTCCCTGCCTAAGGACGTTGGTCCCATTGGTCCTGCGCCACCAGCAGGACCCACCAACACTATGGTGCCGATGACCAAAGAGCAGTGGGAGGCCAAGCAGAGTCAAGTCAGACGCGTGCTGGATCCAGAAACTGGACGAATGAGGTTGATTTAATAATTTTGTGTTAAAGTGAAGGAAAATAATTTTTATTTATTTCAGACTCATCCGTGGTGAGGGCGAAATCATTGAGGAGCCAGTAAGTAGAGCGCGGCAGAAGGAAATCAATAAAATGGCAACACAGGCGGACGGAGAGGCCTTCCAGAGGACTTTGGCAGCCAAACTGAAGGTGAAAGTGTCATGTCACAAGCTGAAGAGGTACTGAACAAGAGACTGACCAGCATAAGTGAGTGAAACCGTGAAATGTGCATTATAAACCCAAGACTGTATTTGCCATGCATAACTTATGAAAATGGATAATATGGATCAAAATCAGAATTATAATTTGAAAATTTTTCAAATCAATTGCAGAGTTGCCTTTGAAAGATTACATGAACAATATACCATATTGGAAAAACTTGAAACTTTGTAGCTGCACATCAACAGCCGATATAATTCTAAAAATCAATATTATAATTATTGTGTTAAGTTGTTAAGTAACAAAATTTGTCATATTTTACTAATTTTGTTGTACGGCAAGCGGAGAATATATTATATTTTTCCATTATCCTGAATTTTCTGGCCTTTTCTTAATTCCATCCCATATTATCGTTAAAAGCAGTTAAATAATCTTGAAAATGCAATAAATATGAATTTTTTTTATAGATCGTCTAAAAATATTTATATAAAAATTTTGAATAATCAATCAATTCTAGACAAATACAAATTTTATAAATAATGAAGAATATAGAGCTCAGATAGAGTTAAACTTCAGAAAGGCGCACATTAAAAATTTTTTACTTAAGCTAAATTGATTTTTCCAATTTGATTTCACGATAAATAAAAAAAAATTTCTTGATTACAAATTTGGATGAGTTCTAATTTATTCGCAAAACTGCATAAAATTTTAATGACTATAATTGATTAATCAAATTGAAATTTTTTTCTTATGTTTTTTTTATAATAGCATAATAAAAAGTAATGATAAATTCAGCAACTTTTAAAAACCGGGAAGGTCTTGAATTAAAATTTTAAGACATTTCCTCAAAAAATGATATTGTGTAATCTCAAAAACATAAAAAATGTGAAGTGTTCAATCTGATGAATTATTCATTATTCTTGTATTTTCTATCTTTCTCTGCAAGAAAGATTCGTAAATTTGATTTAAAATGTTAGATATTTATTGAAAATTGGAAATGTAAACGAAACAATAATTAATATGATTGTCGGCTTCTCATCTTCCCCGCTGAAAAAATCTCGCAGATTGTAGTTTGTTTTATCGACGCTAGGTGATGCATGTAGCACCAAATGAGGGTGTTTCTGGTTGGTTTCTGGTGTGTGTCTGTTTCTGTCACGTCTTCGGCCAAGATGATTTGATTTCGGCGGGTCGCAAATACACACAATACATAAACTAGAGCGATTTGCGCGTCTGCCATTGAGCTGTGTCATCGTCACGTGTGGAGACACCATAGAGTTGGGTCGGAGCAAAAACACCCTTGCAGGATCAGATCTTTATTTCTTTAGGTAAGTTTCCGACTTGTACACAAACATTCGCTTTCCTTATTTGCGCACACTGCCATTTTTACGCCGAGAGCAATGACAATTAACCAGCAATTACATTACACATCTCTGTACTCTTTGGTTTAGTTTAAGATCGGAGGAGACATTGACATTTTTCTGGAGTCATGGCGTGGACCAAGTTCCAAGTGCTGCTGGCCGTGGTGATGGTGGTCACCGGCTCGATCAACACCTTATCCACCAAGTAAGAATTCAATCTTTTTTACTTCAACCATTGAACTATGAATTATTCTAGGTGGGCCGACAAGATGACCTCGGTGGGCAGTGATGGGGTGGATCGACCATTCGTGCACCCCTTTTTGCAAGCGTGCGGAATGTTCATGGGTGAAATCCTGTGTCTAATTGCATTCAGAATTATCTACGCCTGTGCAGTGCGTCGTGGGGACAATTCTGAGCACGAGATCACCATCCTCAGGGGCAACCAGAATTTCAACCCCCTCATCTTCCTGCCCCCAGCCTTGTGCGACATGACGGCCACTTCCATCATGTACATTGGCCTCAACCTCACATACGCTTCGTCCTTCCAAATGCTGAGAGGTTCAATTTAGAAAAAACTAAATTTCCTTAAAAGGAAATAATTTAAACTTTTTTCAGGATCTGTGATTGTTTTTACGGGAATGCTCTCCGTCGCGTTTCTGCAGAGAGTGCTCAAGTGGCGCGAATGGTCTGGCATTGGCTTTATTATTTCTGGCCTGGCTGTGGTCGGATTGTCTGATTTTGTTAGTGGAGCGCACCAGGGTAGTCATGGCCCCAATGACATTATTACTGGCGACGAGCTGATCATCATTGCCCAGGTCATCACGGCCACTCAGATGGTGTACGAAGAAAAATTCATCAACAAACACAACATTCCTGCCTTGCAGGTAGAACATGATTTTATCCGCTTCGTCAGTTAATATTATTTAAATTTTGCTATAGGTTTTAGATTTTCAGATTGTAAATTAAGTTTCTTTCAAACTAATTTTTATGCCATCTTTTTATTATTTTGTTCAAAATTTTTAACTCCCGAGACTCCCTTTTATAATTAAGATTTTGATGATTATCCTGTGATTATCATTCCAAAGAAAAACAAAGATTTAAAAATTCCATTAAATATAATATCTTGCACTTGGACTTGTCACAAATCTATTATTACATTATCTGTATTTTCTCAGCCTTCCCATTTTTTTTACTTGCATTCTCGAGGTAACTCGCAAATAAATCCATATTCATGGTCGCATGGGTCGTCAAAAAGCCGTTCGTGCAGCAAATTAACGCAGCTGACTCTGCCAGGGCCAAAACTGTCCGGCTGACTCAAATACCAGAGAGTCGGATTCACTTCTTGTCCGTTCACCTTCCAGCGAAATTGCCCAGGGTCACCTCTGTCTGTCCCTGCTGTCCAATAGCTGGATTCTTTTTTTGTAATTGATAATTTATTTTTAATTTTCTCAAGAAAAAAAGGGAAATTTCTCACCAGTTTGAACTTTTTCGACCTCGGCCATCTCTGTCCGGGATTCAATTTCAACTAAATGTAGTCCATGCAAAGCACAGAAATCATGCGCAACCTTCCATGAAACTTTGCTGTGGTTTGCATAGTAGGTTCCGGTACTCAAACGCGTCATGTTCAAATTTCTGCCTGTGAATAAGGCTTTTTTTAATTTTGTTCTAGTTTTAAATCACAAAACTTTACCTGCGTAGATACAATGAAGATTTTTCTTTGTACACGCGCAGTACTTTGCCTGAAATTATTCAAAATGGAAAACAATGCAGTGTAAATTCAGAACCTCACAGTTAGATTGATGATGGAGTTCCGCTCATGTTCACTTTCTTGCTTCAAAGTGTCTAGTTTTTCTTGCAACTCTGATTTCTCCCTCTTGCACTTTGATAATTCCTGCAGCAAAATTGCATTCCATTCCTATCCAATGAAAACAATTACCCATACCTGCGTTACGGCAGAAATTTCCCATGTAACCATGAGGAAGAAAAAAGCGATCCAGAGCCCTCTCTGCAACATTGTCTCTAGGGTGCTTCTCGGGTGCAAATCAAAGTGAGAGGCGCAGTTTTGCGAGTGCGTCAAGAAGTGGCAATTGGATAATGAGCTGCTCACACTCTTGACCGCCTCATCATCACCCGACCCAGTTCCATTAATTTTTAATTTTTTGCAGGCTGTCGGCTGGGAGGGAATTTTCGGTCTCTCCGCGCTTGGCTTGCTGTTGGTGCCCTTCTATTATATCAAGGTCGGTGCCCCCTTCAGCGGCAACCCTCGTGGGGTCCTTGAAGACCCAATCGACGGTCTTATTCAGCTCAGGAACAACCCTTGGCTTATTTGCGCTTTCCTAGGTGAGTATTTAAAAATTTTTTTTTTTACAAAGAAAATCATAGCAATAAATATTTTTATTATTATTTTAATTTAACACTCAGCTTACGTGGATAAATAATTTTACACTCGGCTCATGTAGAAAAATATTTCTACACTCTGCAGAAGATGTTAAATAATTTGATTTGATTCAATTCTAATTGTAAGTGAAAAATTAAAGGTTTAATTTTTTATTTTTTCCTTCAGGTACCGTCTTCAGCATTGCATTCTTCAACTTTGCCGGAGTGAGTGTGACTAAAGAGTTGTCTGCTACCACCAGGATGGTGCTTGACTCTGTGCGAACGCTGGTCATTTGGGCGGTGACCCTTGCTCTCCGTTGGCAGGCCTTCCACTACCTGCAGATCGTGGGCTTCTCCCTGCTCATCCTTGGCATGTGTATCTACAACAAGATCACGCTGATTCCGTGCATCCGCAAACTGGACAGTCTGTGCCGTTCATCCGTGGACAACTCAGACACTGACGTGTTGGTCACGAGCACGCCTGCCTCCGAAGCCACGGACACAGAGGACGGGGACCACTCTCACGCCTGAGCAAGACTGTCGGCAAATCATCACGAATTAAGAAAAGTAAGTCAGAAACGAATATGAAAGAAAAGCTCGACTGAAACGAAAACAAAGAACGGTGCTCACTTGATTATATCCCTATTGACTGATCGATAACTAATTAATTTTTTTATGATTGGCGTACTTGCTGCGCGGCATTCCATTTTGCGAATATCAAGTCAGTCATATTTCTGAATTCCTTGTTACTTATGGTTGTCGAATTTTAATCAAATAGAAACAAGCCATGCGATCGTAAAGCTTAATGATCTTATTATAAACGTGAGCAATGATATAATTAATAATCGCTTAACCCAATTAAGAGCTGTAGAATGTAGCCATTCCTTGTATTAAGAGGCGTGTATTTTTAAGAGATAGTTTATTGCAACTCATTGTGCCGAGAAGCAAAGTTTTATTGCAAGATTATTATACAGCGTAAATGATATTTTTAAATAAACGTTATCCAATGAATTTTGACGATTTTCACTGAACAAAAACAAACGGCAAGTCTTGCGGCTCGTGGCGGCGCGGGATGCGCGCTGACGAGGTGGGACTCACTCCGGGGTGGTATCGGCGCCACGAACACATTAGGCGCAGAGTCAGAAAGTAAAGCACCTCAACGACACTCAGAATACTGAAGCCGAGGAACAAGCCTAGCAGACCGCCAGTGCTTCCTTTAAAAATTTTCCAAATTAATTTTGAATTCGCTATACAACAAATCGAGACAAACCTAGAAAATCTGCAAATCCAAAAATCTCGTCCATCTGATAAGTTGCCACTTCCGTTTCGGTGAAAAAGAGATGAACAATTGCGTAGTTTTCTCTGAAATCAATTGTAAAAAATATATTCTACTTGTTCAATTTGAAATGGTCAAAACACTGTACTTGAAGTAGGAGATATTGATTTTCTTGTCTGCAAGAGGCGGAAAGCGTAAAGTTGCGTTAAAAGTGTCCGACAACCGTGACGACGTGATTTTTGACTGATAGGTGATTTCACTGCAACCTGGCAGGCATTTGCACGACGGTTTTTCAGTCGTAGTTCCGTTTTCCGATTCGTCGTAAAGTTTAACCTCCATCGTAGCTTTAAAAATATATTTAAAAATCAATTATCCTCCATTTTTTTTTCTGTTCACCTCTAGCGTCGGAAGCGCACTTCTCATCCCGCTTCCCGCATATCCTTGTATTTTGATCCTCTGCAAACGAAAAATTATAAGAGATTTATTGTAAATTTGTTTTTATACTTGGCATGAAGTAGAGAACGCAGCCGCAAATGGACAGAGTGAAGTTTGACTCGCACTCCTGGATGCAGTTGTGCTTGGTGTAGGTGCGGTAGAAGCGGAGTCGCCGTTCGAAGGCGAAGTAGCAGTGGCGTTTTCGCAGGGGTATTTTGGCCACCGGCTTGGTCGAGCGACGCACCTGCGGCTGCACGGTGATGTAGTTTTCCGTCGCGGGTCGAATCGAGAAGCCGAAACTGGATAGCTTGGGCGTTTCCACCGGACTGTGCAATAGCATCTAAAACAAGAAATTTAGTACTTGGCAATATTTCTTTTACTAGCCAAAGTCAGCATTCATAAATTAAAAAAATTACAAAATTTTACAAATAAACAAAAGAGGAAAACAATTTTTTCAACCGCAAGTTTATTTCAAACATTTTCTTCATACTTTGAACCCAACGGAGGCAGTTGATGAGCAGTAATACTCGTCAACCTCATTGTCCAGAACGACCGTCAGTCCCAAATGCTTTCCGGCGCCAATCGGTCTCCACGGCAGGGCGTCGTGTTCTGCATTCTTAGGATACCCTTCTTCTGGTGTCCAGTCCACGGACGGAAAAGGGAAAGTCAGATTCAAATCAGACAGATCCTTCCTGTTTAAAATCAACAGTTCCAAGGGAGAAATTGTCACTAGATTTATTTACGGATTTCTGTAAAGCAGCTCTCTGGGCACTTTGTTGAAGGAGCAGCAAAGGCCGTCGTCAGTCAGGGCAGTGTTAAAAAGGTTGGTGCAGTTCCTAATGGCACTCATCCAGGCGCACGCGATCAGCATTTCGTGGCACGGCTGTGCACCCTATTTATTATAATTTTTTTATAATATTTTTCTTTTTTTTTTGTACTTGTTTTTTTATTTTAATTAAACCTTTATCATGAATTGCTTAACGGCCGCCCAGGTTGGTGGGCTCCGTTGCGCAGGGGTAGTTGGAGCCGCGGTTGTGGTTGCGTCTTTATCATTTGAAGCGAGGGATGAAGGTGGTGCTGGAGGCGGCTCGTCCACCGAGCAAAGGTCCTCGAGCAGGTTTTTTTCCATCTGAACCTCTGGCGCAAATCCTTTTCTAAAATTTTGTATTTTAATCCTGCGTTACTAAAAGTGATGTTGGAGATTGAATGTTTAATATCCTTAAAAGAGCACATTTTTCTTGAATTGTGAAATGACTTTTATATCCTCAATTTGGTTCCTAATTATCAATTTATATTTATGCTTTTGAAAAATGTACATTATTTGTAACATCTTAAACCTTTGTAAGATTCGTTTTGCGACAGTTTTCCTGATGTTATTCATGTTGCAAATGGTGAAGGCCGGAAATGGAATATCGGTGATGCCAGTGGAGCTCGTCGAGAAAGACACAATCACTGGGTTTTGGTCCCACTTTCTATAAAGTTGCGTGATCAAAGTGAACGCACCCGCTATTGCCGTCACAAAAGCTACCATCCAGAAAACTCTTTTTTTCAGCCAATGAAACTTTTAATTCTGATTTTAATTTTTTTTTTTATCATAATTAATACCTTTCAAGCCAATGGCGTTTGTCCTCGCCAAGGTACTGTAAACCGTGCAGGGACGTCTTTTCGCAGAATTGGGACGCGTGGATTTTTAGGTCCCAATTATCATGGTCAAGATCGGCGCTCGACAGACCACTCAATGCGGAAGGCAATCCGCGGCGCACGGCCGGCGCGAAGGGTTGCAAATTTGTAAACGAGGGCACGTCCAAGTTCCGGTTGCTCCAACGGCTCACAGCTATGGGAACTTTTTGAATTTGTTAGTATCATAAGTTTTTTTCGGTTCCAAAACAGCATTCTAAAAATTATGATGGACAATATTTAAAATAAACGGTATCAAATATCTAATTACTTTTTGTCTAACATGCAAAATCTCCGCAGAATTTTCAGTTGGAGAATAGATTTTTTTAACAAATTTGAATATTTGTTGAACATATTGAAAATATTTTTAATTTTTTTCCCACTTTTCTCCTCACAATCAGCTCAAAATTAAAGGTCGCAGTGAATTGTATTAGAATGATTGAAACATAAAATTATTTTATAATTTAAATTTGTTATCGCTCCTTTAGAACCTTGGCATATTTAAATAAATAAACAGGCACAGCACATCACTTACAAATTTTTATTATTCCAATTTCAATAATTACATACCTGTGGCAGCAGCCTGGATTTTCCTCCCTCTTGCCTGCATCGTCAGTCCCTGACAAGCTCTGACAAAAGACTGCGTGCATCGAAATTCTCAATCGTTCTTCTAGGTGCAAATTATATTTGTAATTAAGGCTTTTCTGATCGCGTGCTCGTTGGTTTGTTAAAGCCAAATTACTTATTTAGTGATTGCACTGCAGCATTCCATTGATTATTATCTACCAAGACAAATAAAAACCAGAAGGGCAGTAGAGATCGCCAAATGAGATTAAAAAGCTGGAAATTCTTATAGCTAAAAAGTTTATTCTTATTTCAGATAATTTTAGTTAGTCAATTTTTTATCATTCCCATGTCATTTGCCGAAGCACTCGATTGTAAAGGAGATGCCGCACATCAATGGCCCAGAGAAAATCGAGATGGTTGAACTCTTCCAAAGGCACCTTGTACATTCCCCTGCAATTCTTTAAGCTTTTGCACAGCTTCACTACGTCCTGAAAGTTAAATTTCCCCAATCAGGATTTTAGCATTGATGTAATAAAAAAACGTACAATTAGTTCCGACATCCAGTCGTTGGAGCTATAGTGCAAATAGACGGGCGCCGTGATGCGCTCTAGCTGGTAGTCAGGAGGGTACGCCGTCTTGTACTCTTGCATATTAGCCTTCGAGCCATGGTCGTACTTGCAAAATCGATCTAGTGTTGAAAGGGCAGATACAATATACCATTGCGAAAAGTGCATAATAATAATTTATACCGGAATTAATAAGTTGAGAAAAGTGCAGGAGCGTTTTTGTCGAGACTCCGGCTGGCGTGTGGCTGTAGATAACCGGAAGTGCAGTCTAGATAAATTAATTTTTATTTTATAAATCATTTATTTACTTAATGCAAACATGCCTCATTGAGTTGTCGCGAATTGAAGCCGAAGAGGAGAAACGTAATATTGCTGCAGACTGACTGCGTGACGGCGCCGTCCCTGCACAGTCGGCGCCCGATGTACTCGGTGAAGAAGTTAGACGGCGCGAACTCGTTGACTCCAATCATGGACGTGAACCACTAAATTCACATATAATTTTAATTTATTATGAATTCAAAAATTTTTCTTACGCCTCCGATAGAAGCGAAAGGTGTGATCAGTCTGATAGGCGTTTTGACGTTTTTCATGAAGGCGACCGGACTGAGAGCGTGCATTTGTTTGATTTTGGCGTTGTACTCGGGACGGGTGGATGCCAAAACCCAAAACATGGTTGTTCCCATCGAGTGTCCTATATAAGTCAGTTGCGTGTAGTTGGTCGTCTCCAGCACATAATCAATCTCGGCCGGCAAGTCGAACATCCCGCACTCGTTGAAACTAAATTTTTAATTTTTTTATGTAAATATATTTGAAAGAAAAACTCCACTTTTTACTGACGTGTATTGCCAAAATTTTGAGCTGGCCGGGCTTAGCGAGACGTGGTTTCGCGAATAGGTGTTGCCTCTGGCATTTCCCATCCACACATCATACCCTTGTTCGTTCAGAATGTATGCTGAAATAACACTAATAAGATAATTGAAAAGTAATTACTGTCTTTGGTCTCGCACCAAGTCCGCTTTCAGGGCCGAGTTCAACCCAGTCAGCGGAACTGCTAAGGAGTCCGTGCTGCAGGAAAACGGGCTCACCACCCGGAGAATTACTGGGAATGCGATGCATTTGCAAAACATAGCCATCCTCTGTCGTAACTTGATGCGTTTCTGCTTTGTACCCCTGGCGCACAATCATATCAGGCTGCAAATCATATTTCAACAAATTTTGTTTTTAAAAGCTTTCATTAATATAATTGATAATTTCCAAATACTCAATATTTTAATTTTTCTTATTCTGCCAATAATTATTTAACTTCAGCTTTTTTTAATTTTTAAAGAGAAATTTAGGTTTAATATACCGTGGGTCTGCCAACGTCCGGGTGCATTCGAACGACGTCCGGTGAGTCATCGTCGGCCATCAATGTTGTCCGCAGCACAGAGTTTGCAACATCACCAACTAGTTCGAATATTTGTACTAATTGCTGTTCCGTCGGCGAGACCAGGAGCAGGAAAAGCGGCACGAAGAAAATGCTGCGCATCATTGATTATCTTGATCCTTTCTCAGGCGGCGGGCAAGACACACTGACCCGCGTTTGGTTTTCTTGCGTGTCTGTCGTCCTCTCTTCAACTTACGAAAAACAATTAAATTAAAGCTTTCAGGGAATGTTTGTTGCCTCTCCCTGATAAATGACTAAGAAGAAGTTTCTTGAATAACTGGGACGGTCTGCCCGTCCCAATTTTAGGATAAATATTTTTATTATCAACGAAAGTAATGTCCTTCATTTTAATAGCTTTCACTTGTTACTTGTCATCCCTCTTGAGATGATTCTCAACAGTTTGAATAATAATTTCAGGAATCTCCTATCTCCTCTACAACACGAGCTTTCTTTTTTATTTTTTACTTATTCATTCGTGAAAGAGTAATTTAAATAACTTAATTATTTAATTCAATTAATATAAAATAGTTACCATAAATTATATTAAAAAAAAACATATTAATTTATTTATTTATATTAAAAAATATCACAATTAACATTTTTTCTGTTCTATCATGTGCAAAGGAAAAAGTAGGCCAGTAGATAAAAAATGTCTTACTTTGTCTTGTTACACTATGCAGAAATGAAGTAGTTCCGTCAGTTGAAGTACGTTCTTGCTCTTGAAGAGCGGCTCGATGAGTAAATAAGCCTCCTGACTAAGCCGAGGTGCAAACTAAACTGATGTGACAAAAGAGTGGCAATTGGGATTCACACAAAGAGAGCCAAATAATATGTGGTCGGTGTGAGCGTTTATGTCCTAAAACATGGCTCGAATGAGCGAGCGCGGCAAGGTCGTCAGCACTCGCACCTAATTACAAATTCATCAGCACCTAGACTATCGAATACAATATTTTGTCTCAAGGCGCTCCGATCTTTGAATAACAATTGATATGGGCTCATGTTTTTATCACAGGTTGCGAGAAAGGAGACAAAGGAAACGCCAAATTTATTTATACGAGTCGGAAATAATCACTGATTGTTATTGCGTATTTATTTTCTCCAAACAATCCTGCCGCATGTGTAGTTATACAATATTTTCAGAGTAAACTAATTTTGGTACATTAGAGGTATATTGATATAAAAGAACATTAGTGTGTAAAAAATTATTATCTTCATTTATGTGCTAGGTGTTGCGCGCAGGTAGTCCTTGACGTCGACAAACTTTGGCCCACCAAAGTAATCCAGCAGTATGATCTGCTCAATTTTTAAAGTGGCAAAGAAGAAGTTGTGATCTAATTAAAATAAATTGTCGTTAGCTCTTGTTTTTTTAATTCATAAGCAAATATACCTTTAGGCCAATTTTTCATGACAGGGTGACGCGTGAACAACGCTTCCTCAGCCAACTTGGCTGCCTGGGTACCATTGCGGAGCTAAAAAATTTTTAAGTCTTTTCATTGAGTATTATGGAATATATCGAATATTTAAATCAAAATTTTGATACAACTTCTCAAATTCTGAAAACTTGAAGAAAAAATACCTTCCACATTTCACCAGTGAGAGTGATGTGAGCACATCTAGGGTCCTCAGGGTCAAGACTCTGCTGTTTGCAGTAATCAGTTTCGGCCAAACTCATTGAGATGGAGCACCTTCGGTTCACCTAATTAAGATAGTTTTAATTCCAAAATTCTGCGCATTAAATCAATAAAATAATTATAATGATAAAAATATAATACAACTTAAACTTCGAAATTTTGTTACTAAATTTTTGTATTTTTTTTATGCTGAGGAAGTCATTGAAGAAATTGCGCAGAGATGAATATTTCAATGAATATGAAAATTATAAAATTATATGAGAAATTAATTGGAACTAATAAATTAAAACGATTTGCCAACAAGGATTAAACTGAACTGATTCAGCAGTCATTATCGCTAATTGAGATTTGCGAGTTTGAATTAATTAAGCCGCTTACAGCAAGGTCATGAGGGGTCATGTCAAGCTCCGTCATGTAGAGATACGGAATGCCGGAGCCCTTGCCTATGGGACCATCACTCACGGACAGAACGTTTACGAAAGGGTACTGGCGGATGTGCGGCAGGGTGGAAATAGTGGCGACGGTTGTCCAGTCAGAATTGTGCACAATGTAACGGGCCATTTTGGCCGCCTCACTTGGAGCCGGAGGGTCAGCGTTATCGGCCGTTGGCACAAATCCTGACAAATTCAACAATTTTTCTTAATGATCATTAAGGAATAAGATAACTGATTATAAATTATAATGCTTTTTTTATTTTTTTTTTTATCTCGCAGTTCCAATAATTGGCGTTAATTAGTGACTTGATTAAAAAATTAATTAAATAAAAAAATTATTAGTTGTATAGTTTATGCGGGAATTAATTAAAGGTATGGATGAAGGTTTGCAGGCAATGAGAAAGAAGCTTGCGATTTTTTTATCGGTCAAGTCAAGGTTATTTACAATCAAAGTTTGACAAATAATAAGAGAAATAGATTGTATTTATTACAAGCAAACAGACAAGAACAGAGAACCAAACACTGAGAAAGATAAGAAAAGGCCAACAAATAGTTAACGTACAAAGAGTAATTCAACACAAGAGAGCACATTACATACTGGTTTAAAAATAGCTATATATTTGTTATTTAATTCAGAATTAGTACATTCAAAAGAAAGGAAATATTCTTTATCTTAGTGATTTTAGGGTGTTAGTAACAAAGCACAAAACATTTTCATCTCATAAATATATCGGCCCACTTTTTCAAAACACCCCTGAATTTTGAGATGACGGCGTTTGTTAGTCATTCGCCCTTAGAGGATCCCTTCTTGCCCTTTTTCTCCTTCTTTTCCTCGTCGCGTTTCTGCTCGTCCTGTTTTTTATACTCCTCCTCTTCCTCTACGTCCTGCTTACCTTTGTGAGGCCTCTCAGGTGGTGGAATGTCCAGCGCCTTCATCCTGGGGAAATCCTCGCGGTCCTGTTTCCAGCTGTACCTGGTGCTCGGGCCGCCGTACTCCCTGAAGTTGCCCTCGCCGCCAGGGTAGCGCTCGTTGTACCGCTGCTCAGGGTACCTCTGGTAACGCTCAGGCTCCTGCTGCTGCCAATACCTGAGCAAAAAAGTTGTAAAACCGTGTAAATTTTTTAAATAAAAATGTTTTACAAACAAAAAACAATAAGATGTAATAAAATGAGCCAATTTTTGTATTTGATATGAAGTTTGCTCTGTTATCTTTTGTGACACCTCACCTGTCCTGCTGATGGTAGCCCTGGTGGTGCTGGGGTTTGCGCTGCTGGTGTCTGTCGTGCTGCTGGTGCTTTTTCTCATATTGCCTCACGTCGTCAAAAAAGTGATCATCGTCTTCCGGCACGGAAAAGAGGCGCCGCTTTGAGAACTGCACGGTCTCGTCGTAAAAACCGCCCTCGGGATGATAATCGTACTGCTGCTGGTAGTGCTTCTTTTCGGGCTTCTTCTCGTATTTCCGCTCGCCTTCATAGTACTTGTTGTACTTGGGCTTGTACTCCTTCTCATAGTACCTTTCACCCCCACGATACCTGCCAATACCCATTTTCATTTTTTTTTCTCAATAAAAACAGGGGTCGTCAATCAAATTTTTTTTTAAAATTATAAAAAAGAGCAAACTCCACAAATGATTTCTTTTAATAATGAAATGGTGCAAGGACGTGTACACACACAAAAACACATGCGAAAAATGTACCTCTGATCGTCATATCGGGGCGCGTGGTCCCTTCGTTGCTCTATTTCGTTTGACTCGTCGCTGCCAAAGCTTTCCCTGCTGCTGTCGAAACCTCGTTCGTAGTGCCTGTCGTACTTTTCTTGTTTCTTGTCGTACTTGTCATACTTGTCGTATTTTTTGTACTTGTCGTACTTTTCGTTCTTCTTGTTGTACTTTCGTCCGTCGTCCCATCGCTCCTCAGAACTCTTGTAACCGGCCTCGCTCAGATACACGCAGAGCGCGAGAAAGACGAGAAAAGTCAAGCGCTGCATCTTCGCTAAAATTATGATTTCAATGTTTTAATCAATGCACTTGGCTGTGGCCAATGTACTGCAGTGCACTCCGCAGTTGGATACTCAAGAAAGTCCTTCAAGGCACTACGCCCTAATTTTAGATCAATTGATGCGCGGCCATCAGCCGAGATATTTTACAAGTTCCAGCGCCAAGAGACACGACCTCGGACAATAGACCGCGCGTAATAGAGAGCACTTGTTGCAATTGTGTGTGCTTTGAAGGGCCTCTATTGACTTTATACAACTGACAGCAGCAGCGGCAGTCCAATTGGCAAAGAGCCATCAAGGAAGAAATCATGGGGGCAAACAATCGAACCAATTGAAAAATTAACATATTAACTTTGGCAACAAATCTGGGCTTATTATTTTATTATTATTTTTTTTTTTAGATTAAAAAAAGAAAACCAAAGACTGGCATCTTTTTTTTAATTAATTAAAATTTCATACAAAGGCTAAGAGTCTGCACATAAAAAGGGGGAATAATCTAGAGGCGGTTGCGTATAGATCCTAAATTTAGCCCTTTTACTGAATATATACATCACTATACAACAAGTGTATCACAGTTTGTAAGAGAAATTTGTGTAAAGCGCGCAGTCAGTATGTGAGGAATGGAATTCAAACTTAGAAAATTTTTACCTTGGCTTGCTGGCGGTCAGATCGAGGAGGGTCCAGTGAGACCGACCAGTGTCCAGCGGTCCCCTTATATGCTGCAAATTCTTGCAAAAGCTGCGAATTCTCGCAAGGTGCACTCGCAGCAGAACGTGTCCGACGGCGTTTGGTGCGCGACTCGTTCGCCACTCGCCGCCGAGGGACAGAATTAGACGTCAGCTGCTGCCAATGCCAATGAGGAGCGTCAAGGGCCCGCGGTATGCGCGAGACCGTCCCTAGGGGTGTCGGCTGAGACAATTATTTCCACTAAGAATATAATTATTTGTATGTTTGTAGCTAAATCCTTTTTTATAAATAAACTTCTTTTCCCTGGCAAAGAAAGCAAAAATCTTACTAAATTTGAAAGGAGCATTTCAAACAGAAATTCAATAATTAAAATTTCAAATAAAATTAATTTATTGAGTTCATAATTTTGATAAAAATAAGTAGCAATAAAGTAATAAAAATTAATTTTTTTATATTTTCTAGAGCGAAGCCTTGAGGTTAGAGCCCATAGTATAGCGCAGAAGAGCATCAGATGTTATGTTGATGATAATGATAAACAAATTTATTTCATAATTTCCTAATGAAGTTGCTCAATCGAAGTGCAAATAGGAAATTGTCACATTGGCAATGGAAGAGATTGCAAACCGATGTAGAATATTAATAGGCCTTCTGATAAGAGCTCTTCCTAATATGCACCGCGCGCCTGAAGATAAGAGGCGAGAAAATATATTTATCATAAATTTATAGTGGCTGAGATATGCACCATGTATAATTAAATTACTAATAACGTGCAATCACGGTGCGGCGCACGTCCTTTCCTTCTCCTTATTGCAGCAAATGAAAATTATTTTCAATCATTGTATTCTTCATTGCAGATAATATTACGCTGGTTTTTTTTTAATTAAAAACTTAAATTGAAAAAAAATCAAGAAGTTTAATTTTATATACATACATATGAAAAAATACAATTTATTTGCATTGAAAAATAATATTAATAAAATATTAATTTTCGTTGTAAAAAAATAGAGTAAAATAAAGTGATAAAAAAAATTAATATTTTTTTACATTTTACACCGTGACAAGAATGCCAAATAGTTCCGTCACATGTCTTTTGGAAGGATCAAAATTTATAGATTTTCCACGTAGAAATTAAAAGTGGCTTATTGAAATCAAAGATGTTCTTCTCTATCTCCGAAACGCGCTATAAATGTCAGCAATGTCTCAAGATAACGAAAACTTTGATGAATTCAAATAATTCGGCGCAGTGCCTATGACGCAACGACGGCCCCTATCTCTCTCTTCCAGAGTAGCGCCAAGCCCCTCTGCGTGCCTATTATAATACAAAGGATCATCCACGGCTCCTCCTCACTTGGACCACCGGCAGCCGCGAGATCGCGTCTCACTCCGCACCAAAACATTGCCAAATTTTCAGCACAAAAAGGCGATTACGATGGCAGCTCAAGTGTCTGCAGTAAAACTGTCGAATGGTTTCGACATGCCAATTGTCGGACTTGGAACCTGGAAGGTGAAAATCTCCTAATTTACCTTATTAAAGATGAACTTTAGAAATAATCTCAGTAATCTTTTAAAAATAAACCAATATAGCTCGTAAAACTACTGTTTTTCAACAACTTTGAAACATTGCAATGCAAAAAATGGCATTTATAGCTCTTGACAATATGCCAAATGATAACCCTTCTTAAAATACTGATTTGCGTAGTGCTCGGGAGTTTAAAGAATTGTAGATTAAAAACGTAAATTTTTTGGCAGTCAGAACCGGGCGTGGTGGCCCAAGCGGTGAAAGACGCGATCGACGTTGGATACCGGCACTTCGACTGCGCGCACTGCTACGCTAATGAGAACGAAGTAGGCGAGGGACTGAACGCCAAGATCAAGGAAGGTGTCGTCAAAAGAGAGGAACTCTTCATCACCAGCAAGGTTTTAAAAATTAAAACTTTAATTGTAATATTTTCAAATCTTTCTTTAAAGCTATGGAACACAAACCACCGCCCAGACATGGTGATTCCGGCGTGCAAAACAACTTTGAAGAACCTTGGCCTTGACTACTTGGACCTCTATCTGATCCACTGGCCCATTGCTTATAAGGTAATATTTTTTTATTATGATAAAAAATATAATTAAATTATTATTTACAATAAAATTTTATCAGGATGGAGAGGAGCGTTTCCCAACAGACGCAAATGGAAAAATGCTTCACAGTGATGCCGATTACGTGGACACTTGGCCCGAGATGGAAAAACTGGTTGAACTCGGTCTGGTTCGTTCCATTGGCCTGTCCAACTTCAACAGCCAGCAAATTGAGCGCGTCCTCAAAGTGGCCAAAATCAAGCCTGTTGTCAACCAAGTACAAAGTTTTCAATTTATATTTGAATTTTAATAATTTATTCTTCATTTTTTTAAGGTCGAGTGCCACCCTTACTTGAATCAGAAGAAGTTGATGGATTTCTGCAAGGAGAGGGGCATATCCATTACAGCATACTCGCCACTGGGCTCGCCTGACCGCCCGTGGGCAAAGCCGGGAGAGCCTGCGTTGCTCGATGATGAGAAGCTCAAAGAGATGGCCAAGAAGCTGAGAAAGAGTACAGCTCAGCTTGTCATCAGATACCAGGTAAAAATTGAAAGAAAAAAAACTTGAACATTTAACTAAATTCGAAACATAATATAATTAAATATATCCATAATTAAATCAATTTTGAAGTGTATGGCATTTAATTTATTAATTTAATTTGTAACTAAATTTGACAAAAAAAAATCAGGTCGAACGCGGTAATGTGGTGATCCCAAAGTCTGTGCACAAGAAGAGGATGGCCGAAAATTTGGACGTGTTTAACTTCAAGCTGTCTGAGCAGGACATTCAATATATTGATTCGTTTGACTGCAACGGACGCGTCTGCGCAGAGCTGGGGTAATTTTTTTTTTTTTTTTTGCTAAAAATGCATATAATTATGAGACTGCTTCTACTTATGCAAATTTCCACTTTACAGAGCTACAGACCACCCGCACTATCCATTCCACATTGAGTTCTGAATGAAATAAATTGTAACAAACAAATAAATATTCTTGGATTTGATTATCAAATAAAATTATGGACTTTGTTTTTTTCTGAAAGCAAAATTTAACCTGAACTCAATAATTGATAAATTTTTTGTTTTCATTTGCAACATGAAAATTAATAACTGAATGACGAAATTTAATTTTTAATGTTATTTTTCCAATATCAACTTCATAGCAATTCAGCAAAAAGCTTAAACCAACTTCAGTCGCTTATGTGAACCTCATGATGTCTAGCTCCAAATAACTTAAGACGAAAATGAATTAAATATATTTTAATTCGATTTGAATTGATTAATGCCCGATCGTTTATATGAAATAATATCAAGAAATTACAAATCACAATGCAATTAAATAAACACAAAAAGTAAAATATTCTGAATGCATCATTATTTATTATTTATTCTTCTCGGTCTGTAAAAGTGTAAAAAATTACTAACAATAAGAATATATTTTGATTATGTTTATTTTTTTCTCATTAAGCGTGGGCCAGGAAATTACCTTCATTTAACAAAAATGGCCTTAAATGTCACCTAGACTTAATTTCCGCTTGAAACTTTGCACAATTATACAAATAATCACCCAATGATTAACTTTATAATTGCGTCCGGTGCAAAGACGGTATAAAAAGGCGCAGTATCATCAAACAAACCATCCTTCCAACAAGTAACGTTAACAAGGAACCATCCAACAAGAATGAAGACTACCCTGCTATTTGCACTGGCACTATTAGTCGCCTTGGTAAGCAAATTTTACTTTTTATTGCATTTAAAAACTTTGACTGGCTAATTAACACATAATATTTTATCACTCGGAAGGTAAATTGTCAAAGGCCGAATGAAACAACCCCAAAAAATACAGGCAATCCGCCACCAGGCACCAGACCCCAAGATAGTAATTTAAAGTTTTTTTTTTACTTTTAAATTTTGATTTAAATAATAAATAAATAAGAAAACGCTGGCGTGGTGAAAAAAGGCTCTGATGGTGGTCGCATTTCAAAGCAGACCTTTTTCTCCGGCTCTTTCAGCTCAAATTTTCCGTGGACAGTGTCCATTTCCGTTGTCAAAAGCCTATTTCCACCTGCATCTCCTCCAACTGTACCGATTCCGTCATTTCCTCGTTACTGTGGCGGTTCCCTAATTGACTGGAACTGGATTCTCTCTTCAGGATCTTGCACCGGCATGTAACATATTTTTTTTTAAATATGTTAACAAAAATTTTAATATGCGTTGAAGTGGAAATCTTTCAGTACTTTTTGGATCACAAGACAGAAGCAACCCGTTAGCACTAAACACCCTTTCCATGGGAATTCCAGAAAGTAATGTCTTCGTCCACCCTAATTTCAACCCCCAAACTCTTGAGAATGACATCTCGCTCATCAAGCTTCCCTACTCAGCGCCGTTACCTACTTTGCTGAACCCTAACAGTAAAAAATCAACCATTTTGAAAGGAAGAATATGTAAAAATTATGAAAATTTAGATTTGATTAACAGCGTTTTGCTACCGACGCGCTCCGACTTGCTCAACCAATTTCTCGGACAAACAGGATTTTTGAGCGGTTTCGGACTAAACAGTATTTTTCTTTTTTAATAATTTATTTAACGTAATTTAATATAAATATGCAAAAAAGATTTCAACTTGAGTAACATACTGGGCTGGACACCGCAACAGTTCATTCCGAACGTGGATTGCGCGAAATACTTTGCCTCTGGCGCAACTAACAGCTTCCCCATTCGCCTCTCCAATCTGTGCCTCGTCAACAATCTGACCAATTCTATCGCAGGCCTCTGCAACGTACGTAGCACAAAATAAAAATCGAGACACATCGCTGACGATAAGTTGCAGGTGGAGAGCGGCTCGCCTTTGGTGGTGCAAAACCCGATCACCAAGATCTTTTCGCTGCAAGGCATCGCCTCCTTCCCGCCTTGGAATTGTCTCAAAAATTCACCTTTTGCATTCACGCGCGTCGCCAACTACACTAATTGGATTTCCAGACTGACTGGACTTCTGATCCCCTAAATATGAAAAACTGTGTTGTTTTTCCGTAATTGAAATAAAAGTGTGTTTCTGATCAAGCAGCAAAAATATTTGTGTTTTTTTTTAAATAATTATGCGCTCTTTTTTTTTCTTTTATAAAAAATGGCTTAAGATAAAAAGTGGTAGAATTAAACACAATAATAGCTCCGTGAAATTATAAAACTAATTTGAAAGTTGATGCTAGTGGTCAGTTTATTACAAAAAATTGACCATTATTTTTCTATGCAAAATTAAAAAAATTTGATGAAATAATTGTTGCGGTTGCAATATATATATATGAACTATGTACATTTGTTATAACTGAAATTAATTTTGGGCCAGTCACTGCCAGTAATATTATAAATTTAGCCACAGTGGCTGATTTTAGTCTTTTAACTTTTTAATAATTTTGTTTTTAAACCAATTAAAATGTTCAATACATAGAATTATTTCAAAATGTATTTTTTTTTATTGTAGCTCTTTGCAGGTTTTCAGCTACATTTTAAATAAATATTTTAAATACATTACAAAATTGAGGGTAAAATACAGTTTCAAGACTTCTAATAAATTAGGTGTGTAGTGTACTTTCCTTGACTGCCAGAATGTGTTTTAGTTCTGAGTTTCTCTCATACAGGCTTTAAAAATTTTCCATTTCCAAAAACCTAGCTGTTTTACATCATACATTGGTCCATTGATGGCCTATTAAATTTCTTTTTATCATTCTGTGTGCATTAAAAAAACAGTCGCCTTGTACTGAAGTTAAGTATTTTCAAGTCTTCTGATAGCAGTCCCTTAAATCTCTCTATGGCATTCTTTAAAACTTTTGTTATACAAAATCGCTTATATTTCAAAGCATCTTGACATATCCATCCCTGTTTGAACATATTGCTGGTTTTACAATAATGAAAATATTTATATGTTCCCTGCCTTATTTTTTCAACATCTAAATTCACTTTGAGCATAAACAGAAAAGTTAGGTCCTCTTTGCAGGGTATCATGCAAAATTAAATAAATGCTCCTACCTTCTCTATACAGGTAATCTAGAAAATTAACTTCTTCTTTTACACAAGTTGATTTGTTTTCTTCATTTCGAGTGCAAGTTCATCAACAATTTCGGTGAACATAGTGGTGTTCACATTTTTGCCAATTTGACATAGGATGAACCAGTCGGCAGCATCAAATTTGGACACAACCTGAATAAAATGAATCGAGAAAGGATTTAACAAAATCATACAAATTAAAAAACAAAGCCATCAACCTCTTTTATATGATGCTCATGGCCAGGGTGGCAACGCAGCTGAAGCAGAATGTTCCTGAGGGTTGAGGAGAAAAGGGTCATGATGCGGAAAGCGACGCTGAAGCTGGCGACCACGGCCAGAATGCAGAACCAGACCCACAACATGACGTACATCTTCTCGTTGACAAGGTTGAAGGGCAGCACGCAAAGGTAGTCTCTACTTTCCTGGCGACCGGACGGTCCAAATTTGGGAAGGTGGCATTTGGCTACAGTGGGGAAGACGTAGGCCAAGTCATCTGTCCTCTCAAGTGGATTCGCTCCCAAGACCTAAAGATACCATAGTTTATTATAAATTTTTGTTTCAATTATTCAATCTTACTTATTTAAGCATACAGACTTTTACTGCATAAAAATACTTTAAAGTTCATTTTTTTTTTAATATCTATATGTTTTTGGTTAAATTTGTTCTTAGAAAATTTTATATATGGTTCAGAAAAAAGGATTCTTACTTTAAGGGCGTCGAAGCCGAACATAGTGAAGACGTTTCCGACCAAGAGGTTGATGAAGAAGAGTTGGGCAAAGATAACGGCCAGGTTCAGCAGGTCGCAGAAGACAAATCTGGCAAGGTAGAAGCGTTGGAGGTGCGAGCCTTGCACAAGGAAGTGCTTGATGTTTCCCTTGGCAAGGCCCCTGACCTCTGAGGTCACACAAGGAGAAAGCAAACCGCTGGCCAGAGACTTGATGCGGCCACCCTCCCAGATGCGCCACACAAAGGAGGGCAGGTAGGTCAGGGCGGCCTGGGCAATCAGGGCCAGACTGACCCACTGGTAATAGTCATGTCTGATCTGCGTTTTCGTGCTGTCCTCAACGCCAACGTTCATGTGGCGATCCAGTTGTGCCTAAAATTTGAGAGGAAAAATTTAAATTTTTGGCGGTTTTCAGTCAGTCTTTATTTAATGACAGAAAAAGCCCAATTGAAGGTGGGCTTTTCCTCAATCATGGCTTTTTTATATTTTACTCTTTTTATATTCAACACCTCTATAAATTTATTTCATAAAGCCTAATAACCATTTAAATGAACGAACATAAACTGCTGATTAAATAAATTCTTTAACATGTAAAATTATCCAAATTATCATCAATTAGAAATTTTGGAAACAAAATCACGAAAGAACAAGTAATTTTTAACTTACATCCGGGCTTTTAATAGAGTAGGTGGAGTGGACGTAGCAGTAGAGATTTGCAAAATCCAGAAATTGTTTTTCGCCGATACACTCAATCGACGTCTTGAAGAAATTGGTGCCCATCTGCACCACAAAGCAGAAGGTCAGCAGGCCAAGGGTGACCACGCGGTTGAGGAAGAAGGTGCGGTTGTCGATGGTCACCGAGTGCCGCTTGTAGACTTTGGTGACATCGCCCAACAGATTCAACATGGTTTTCCTTCAAGTAAAAGGGAGAAAGAGACAAAATTGAGATAAAAATCAAAATAAAAATATTTTCTGCCTTTTAAATACCTTTTAATTCGGGATTATGTTTCTGTAAGAATTTTCGGAGGCTAGGTCTTGACTTGTTGTAAGAGCAGAAATTCACAATTAATTTTCTGATGACAAATTTTGTCGCAGCGTGAAAGTGGTGAACAAAATGTGTCTTGAAAAATATCTCGCTAGGCCGTGCTCAGGATTCAATCATACACTGCAGTTATATTTACATAAATAATTAACGTTTAAGAAGATTTAGAGATGCTGAGGTGAAAAATCCAGAGAAGGAAAAGCGTGTATGATGCAATTTCCAGTTATTATGGTGGAGAGCGTGCTTACATTGCTGTCTAAAACTACTGAAGTGATTCACTGAACTGGATCGCGAGGCAGAAAATCATGAGCTGACAGGCACCGACAGCATTACAGAATCGAAAAACAGTTGTACTATTATACATTCTTGTGCGTGGTATGGATTTTGTGGAATGTGTGGGATTAGGAAGGAAGGAGAAGTGAATTTTACAGCACCCCGACCCATAATGTATGACGTGTATGTAATGTACATAAAAATATTGTAGTATACAGGCCATGAATTTTGCTTGGATCTTGGATCATTTCGGTGGAGGGGAGGGGGATGAAATGCTTTAAAGTTCTTGGGTGGCGCGCCCTCCTCTCGATATATATTTCATAATCATGTACATACATACATAATGTGCGACAGAGTTAAGGTATATAATAGATGTGCGATGATCGTAATGGAATTGCTGAGCATGGCGCATGCGACACGGTCATGCACGATCATAGCAGAAGTTTTCGTGATTCCTACTGTGCGCTCTGCGCTGCCGCCGCTGCCTAGCTTGCTCAGTCGCAAGTTAATTGTAGATTCGGGTTTTATCACATTGTAAGTACATATATAGTAGAAAATGCTGTAAAATGTTTTTCTTTTACCTGTGAGATTCGTGATTCCCTTCGTCTTGGGAGCCTCTGATGTAATTTTTATGGTGTTTATTTCATTATGGTGAGTGGTGAGCTCGTTTTTCTTTTTAAGTACAAAAAATTAAATTAAATGAATTCATTCTCATCTACCAATTAAAAGCAAAAGAAAATCAACACGCGCATTAAAATATATATTAAGAAAAACTTACTGATTATTGAATCACTTTTTCCAATATTTTCAACGTGTCTGTTTTTGTTTTTGTTTTTTTAAATTTGCGTCATATTATTATTGTTGTTTATTTGTCCAAATTGTTTACATATTACATATTACTACTCCTTGTGTAGAAATGGAAATTAAATATATATTTATAATTTTTGTGTAATCTATCCATTTATGAGTAATTTATTAAATAATAATTAATCTGAATTCTAGGCTGTATTTAAAATCTATAAATCAATGAAATTTGTTATTTTTGAGGTTATTTAATCTATGAGAATGGAATGGAAAAATGTAGGTTGGAAGTTATTATTTATATATTATGGCATTGTGTTATCATGTTAATACACAATATATTATCATATTTGGCATATTTGTTAATTTGAAAACAGGAAAGATTATTTTTCATTATAATTTTTATAACGCATACAAAAAGTTAAAATATTGAACTTCATTATTTAATTATTATTGATAAAAAATATTCAAGACATGAGCGGAAACATGAGAAACTAATTATAAGGTACGATCTTCAGCTAAAATAGGTTGACAATATTTCTTGGCGTTTACTTGCTTCAACGTGCTTTTGAAGATCGGAATTTTAAAATTCTCAAGAACTTCTATTTCATTTCCAGGGCTGCACGGGTGGTAGGGCCTCGTCCGAGAGTCCAAACCAGCGAATGGCCACGTATTCTGCGGTGAACAAATCACTTCTGATTTCAACCTGAGGAACATGAATCATGATTGAAGCGGCTTCTACAAAAAGGTAGGCAACCTTTGCTTTGAAGGGGTACGCGATATAGTGTGGCACCGCGTGCTGCACTCGGACCCACGAATCTTCAACAGGTCCCATGTGATAGGCCAGCGGGATCAGTTCTTTTTGCTCGGTCCAGAGGTACGAGTAGAAAATGGGCACCGGGTAGGCGATGGGGATTGGCTTGGGCAAATGCAATAGCGCTTTGAAGGAAAAATTTTCGTGCACCTCAACCCATTCTGGCGTTTGCAGACATCCCATGTCTTTGAACGTCCTGGACACGAACACCTGTCCAGTGAAATCAGGGTCAAAATTTGTGGCGTTCTCCAATTTGAAGGCGTCCGTCAGACTGTGAACGGCGCACGGAGTCACTAAACCCGGGTTTCCTTCAGATAGGTCGTAAAACAACCCAGCTGCTTCTGTTGAACACAAATTTATCAAAATTATCGCCCCAATGAGGAGCAGCAGTTTAGGAAAAACTCGAAAATTGAGCATAATTAATTTTCTGCTTCTTAGTTTGGCCTCAATCAGTTCGCAACTGATATTACAATTGCATGAAGCAAAAATTATCAATTTTTATCAATTATTCTCATCTGATTTGGCAATATGATAAGAGTTTTCATGTGATACGAGCTGGACACAAAAGAAAAACTGAAGTATTCTGCTTAACTGCGTCTATTTACCCCAACAAGTAAAAAGTGCATACGTAAATTTTTTTTTAAACTTTTATCGAGACTTATAGAAAACCATACAATTTTTTGAAATGCTCAGCCCAGAGACGAAAGAGAAAATTTATATAGATTTTTTTTTCACAATTCTTGAAAAACGTGAATATTTTTTAATAAATTTAAGCGTTCAACTTTTTTGAAGTCGGTTTTAGATCAAATGTAAAATTAAATGATGTAAATAATACTCATAATATTTTTTAAAATTGCTCTGGTATTTTATTTGGAAAGTAAAATTTTAAAGGGGTTTTCAGTAAAGAGTTCATTTCAAATATCGCAAAAAGAGGGACAAAAATCTCAAAAAATAAATTTCGGATTCGTAGCCAAAGGAACTGTCTGACCGTTGATGGGCCGTTGCAGAAGACTTTGCATAACAGGCGCTTTGTTTGCAACAAAGTTGAATATGGTGCTGGATTCTTCGTAGTAGGATACGGTGCGCACAGTGCCATCAGGCCGTACCAGGTCAAAGGTCGCCTTGAGAATGATGCCACCGTTGCGGGTCTCGTGCTTCAACTCGTTCAAGATGTCGCTGAAAAAATATAATGAAATTTAATTATTATTAAAGGTATTTCAAATTTTTGAATTTAAATAATACATGATTTTTTTTACCTTGGTTGATTTGGGTTGAATCGATTTGGGGCTGAAGCGGCCGCGCCAGTGGTTGGTTTGTTGGCGACGAAGTTATAAATGACGCTGGGGTCTTCGTAATATGCCACGGTGCGCACTTTGCCATCGCGCTCCACAATATCAAAAGTGGCCCTCAGAATGACATCGCCGGTTCGGATCTCTTGTGTCAACTGGTTCAGGACAGCGTCCGCGGAGGAATCAAAGCTTTACAAAAAATAATGTATTTTATTAAATATTCTTTAATATTTAATTTATTTTCTAATATAATTAACCCCCTAATTCAATTATATTTTGTTTTCTTTGAAATTTAAGAGGTCAGAAATATAAATGAATGATATTTACGGGAGAGTGAGTAAGAAGTTTAGTTAAGGAAAACTCAAGTCAATATAAATTTAAATTTCAAAGAGATTGATATTGTTATAATCAAATTGAATTATGCGAATTTAACCTGACAACGGACTTTTTATTACAAATTTACCTGTATCGCGGCATGATGGTTCCATATTGAGAAGGCGCCTGAATCCAGTTTAATCCGGGGGCAAAGGCGGGGGCGGCGAAGCCAAAAGGGACAACAGTCTGAACAGTTCCAGCTCGGGCTGCAGCCAGGACTGCAAGGAGAGCGACCAACTGCAGAGAAATAGTATAATATGAAGGAACCTGAATTTAGCAGGACTCGGAGGAGACCGATACGCACCTTGAAAGCCATCGTTGAGGTTTCTTGTACTTTGCAGAAAGTGACGATCTCCTTTTATAGCAGCACCCCAATCAAAACCCCTCCTCACGGATGGCGACAATTCAACAAGTTTGCCTTCTCCTGTCTCGCGCTGGGCTCATGAATAAATGTGCAATTTTCACATTTTGATAACTAGCATTTTTTCACTTCTTCCATTAAACCGGTATGATCGAAATTAAACACAGCCATCACCCGTTAGACCTATATTATTAAGACAACCGCCCCTGACTATGTAGAGAAAAATAAAACTTGTTGCTTATTTTATTTTGCATTCAATTCGTTTATTCTCTCAAAACAGGTAAAAAAACAACAGATTATGCATCGGCTCTGATTGGTCCAAAAAAACGAAAAAAAAAAACAGGGTTGACTCTCATATTTGCAAATAATCACAAATTAATATGATGATTTAAATCTAATGTAGCTGCGGCACCTTGCCTTCACTATTACGCTGATTTTTAACCAGCTTCCTTTTAAAAAATAAGCGTGTTTTTGCTAACAAAAACTCATTTTATTTGATGTTAATGGAAGCACTTACCAGGGCCTATTAATGTGTCTCAATTCCCACTTGTACGCTGGAAGGTCATTTTCAGATATACACGTTTTCGGCAATGTGTGATTACATTAAAGTGCTAAAAAAATCTAGCATCGCACCAAATGAGTTGGAGCTTCGCAAGATAAATTTGCACTCTTTGCTCTCCTTGATCGTTTCTCATTACAATTTGAAATTGAATGGCCTTGAGACCTGCTTGAGACAGTCCTGGACCAAAATTCAAGTGTTTCTTTTTGTGTGAATTCTGTTTCTATTTGAATAAAATCATAATATAATATTCTCCTTTTTTTTTGCTCTGAATTACTTGCGAAAATCTTTAATTTAAATGAAAATAATTTTTATATTTTATCCGCTTGGGCAAATGCAGTCGCGCTTTGATGGTGCAATTTTTAAGCACCTCAATCCAGCCAGGCGTTCGCAGACACGTACTGGACACTAACACCTGTCCTGTGAGGTCAAAATTCGTTGTGTTCTCCAATTATAAGGCGTTAATCACTCCGTTAAAGGCGCACGGGGTCACTAAATCCAAGTTTTCTTCATAGGTAGGTCGTGAAAAAAATCCGGTTGATTCTGTTTAACTGAAATTTATGAAAGTTATAGCCATGACGAGGAGAAGCAATTTCAGAAAAAGCTGGAAAAGTGAACATTTTTCAATTTTGCTTCTTATTATTTTACAATCAGAGTATAACAGCTCATATTATATGTATACATTAAGTCAAAAACTATAAATTTTTATGAATCAGATTTTGCAAAATTAGAAGAGTATAATGTGATGAGAGCTCTGAACATAAAAAAATTAAACTTTATATTAAACTGCGTCTATGAAGCGTTGATTTACCCCTAAAAGTCAAAGTTAATGATTTGACTTTATTGAGAAGATTGAGAATATAGGAAACCATTTTCCCCCCTAAAATCTGAAGGGATTGGAATCTGCGCTCTACTCAGAGACGACTTTAATATCAAATAACTGCAAATAACCTAACAATAAAAAAGCTTTCTTTTACTTTGTTTTTGTTTAACTATCAACAATGTTTATATTCTTCGGTATTACTTAAATTTTACTGTTCTTTTCCTTAACCATAATATGTCATAAATTGTGCCATTATTAAATTATCGCTTCATCATAAACAGAACCACCCAAAGAAAAAGTTAACAATTTTTTTTATTTTACTATTTTTGCAATAATAAAGCATAATTATGTAATCTGCAGCGATTTTCACCAAATACGCTTAAAATTTGACACAATCAGAGAGAGTTTAACCCAGAAAAATGTGGGACTTGGAAGACGAGTTCAGCGGCGGACTGGCCAAATTGATAATGCTTGCGGCCGCTCTTGTCTCAAGAGCAGTGCAGACTACCAGCTTATCAAAGGTATTTGGCGTCAGGTTCCTCCTGAAAGAAATAATTTTTTCACAATTTAAAACTTTAATCCTGATTTTTTATTTGACTGCCTCATCCTTTTGTTAAAAGCTTAATTAAGTACGGAGTACAGAGTTCTTATGGTTTGACTCTATTTTTTATAGAAAAATTTAAATTCAATTCAAACCTTATATAGTTTTTTTTTTCAAATTGGAACAAATTAGAATCAGAATTAAACCTAGAGACGCAGGAGAGAAAATAAAGACTGTTTTTCAAAATTCTTAAAAAAAGTGAATATTTTTATAAAATATAACTTTTTAAAGTTGGTTTAGGTCAGATGTATAAAATAATATTACAAATTACTAGTATGCTTTTTTTAAAGTTGCTCTGGTTCTTTATTTTGATAAACAAAAATTGATGGCTTCTATCGTTAAATGAGTAGTACATGATTATAGAATACATTTCCAAGCACAGGCGTGGTAAAAGGAGTGATACAAGTCTTCAAAATGCATAATTATCGCGAAGCCAAAGGAGAAGGGGCGATCAGACGAGCGGCAAAGACAGGACGTTACGGAACGGTGGGCGCTTTGTTAGCAAGAAAGTTGAATATGATGCTTGACTCTTCATAGAAGGACAAAGTGCGCAAGTTACCGTCATGCTGTACCAGGTCAAAGGTCGCCCTCAGAATGATGCCACCATAGCGTTTCTCTTCCTTCAACTTTTCCCTGATAGCGCTAAAAAAATTAAATAATTACTAGAGCTTTTTTGAACCGAATCATTTTCTCCAATATTTTTTATATGCAAAGCAATATCAATTTTATTAAACACTGCAATTTAAAAATACTTGTTATTATTATTATTATTATTGTAAGTACATTATTTTAATATTTTTTCTCTTCTTTACCTTGCTTGATTTGGTAGAACAGGGGCAGGAGCGGCCTCTCCGGTGGATGGTTTGTTTGCGACTAAGTTGAAAATGACACTAGGGTCTTCGTAATAGGCTACAGTGCGTACTTTTCCATCACGCTCCGCAATGTCAAAGGTGGACCTTACAAGTATATTGCCGTTTTGGACCTCGTATGACAACTGGTTCAGAACAACTCCCGATCCCGAGGTGGCGGTGGAATCACGGCTTAAAAAAACGTGGTTATTTCATTGTTATTTCAACATATTTTTTTCTAATGTTCTTTTATACTTTTCTCCATAATTTAACAAGTCAGAAATATTAATTAACTAAATTATTGATGAGGGAGAACGTAAGACTACCATATTAAAAGCACTGAAACACGGCCTAGAATTCAGAAAATATCAAAATGCAATTTATTTTTAAATTTAAGTGAGATTAATTTTACTATGATCAAACTGAACTATGAAACTATGAGAATTTAACCAAAAAATGGAGTTTCTATTGCAAATTTACCTGTATTGCGGCATGATGGTTCCATATTGAGAAGGCGCCTGAATCCAGTTTAATCCAGGGGCAATGGGGGCAAAGGCGGGGGCGGCGAAGCCAAAAGGGACAACAGTCTGAACAGTTCCAGCTCGGGCTGCAGCCAGGACTGCAAGGAGAGCGACCAACTGCAGAGAAATAGTACAATATGAAGGAACCTGAATTTAGCAGGACTCGGAGGAGACCGATACGCACCTTGAAAGCCATTGTTGAGGTTTCTTTTACTTTGCAGAAGGTGGCGAGATCTCCTTTTTATATCTTATAGCTGCCCCTCCTTACGGCCGGATTCCAACAATTCTGCAAAAAGTTTGTCTTGTCTCCTCCTATCTCGCGTCGGATTGGATGGATGAATAAATATGCAAGTTTCACATTTTGATAAGTATTTGCATGTATTTTTCAATTAAATTATTTGCTACGGAAAATTTATTTCTAGAGTCAGAAAGCTAAACAGCCACCTTTGAGAGTTAAAGAAAGCGGGCTGACTGGACATTGGGAAAAATAAAATGTTTCTGCATGTTTGGTCAGTATACAATTATACACATAAAAAACAATAAATAGGAACACCAATCAGTTATGTACTGTTATGTTTGCAATTATGAAGAATTAAAATTACAATTTTCCAAATGTTTTGTAAATATTATTTATTTTCTCTCTCATTAATGTCTCTAGCTTGACAAGTAAGATTTGCTTAGAAGCACTTTTGTTTCCTACGAGTTTGTATTCATTTATTACTATAGATAGTTGGGAGCACCAATTCTCTCTCACAATCAAAATCAATGCAATTATTTCCCTTTCATATTTTTGTAAACGGGTAGTTAAGAGTATACAAAAATTGAATTGATATTGGTTGAATTGTATATATATATATTGGAACTATCTTTCGGTAGAGACTGATTTATCCACTTTGTGTGCTCTGCTCGCTTTATAATACATCACGTTTGTGTTTTTCTTGCCTCGGCGCCTTCCGCCAAGCGTTTGATATAAGACCCTGTCAGCAGGATCATTTTAAAACAAGCGTATAGTTTTTGCTACAAAAATCTCAGTTTCATGTTAATGGAAAAACTTCCCAGGAGTTCCAGAGCCTTTTGCCCCGTGACTCTTAATAATATTCACTCGCACGTTGGAAGGCCATTTTCAGATATACTTTAGCATGCCTATTATTTTTATCAAGTGCCAATATATATCCAGCGGCACACCTAATGAGCTGGATCTCCGCAAGATTGATTTGCACTCTGTTCTATCCATAATCGTTTCTCCTTCCCCATTACAATTTAAAAATAAGTTGGCTTTGGCCCCGAGACAATTTTAGACCATCATTTCTTTAATCAGCAATATTTTTTGTACACCCTTTAAAGATAAAATATTTATCAAAAATTCAATTAAAACCCTAGATCAAATTTTATCCAATTAGCATTTATACGTAAAATAAAGTCAGATCGCGGAAACCTTTTATTGATAAGTAAAAAAGACGTTTGATAATATTTTATGTCGTTTTTACAAAAATTATTAAATAAAGAAATAATTCAATCATTAGAGCAGAAATCATTACTTAAATACCAATAAAAACATTCATTATGAACAGGAGTGGCTTACACAAAATCAGGTAGAAAGCCTTTATTCTTAAAAAAAATTTCATTGGCAAAACTAAAAACAACTAACCTGCAATTTCTTTTGTACAGTTTTTTATGCAGCACAATTATGCAGATTGAATTTGAAAATTTGCCTCTACTGATCTACAAACTTTGAATTAAGGAGGGGAAATTTCCAGAGATAAAAGGAATATTCAATGCGCTGCAGACCTTAATGTGTCAATCCTGCCAATTCTGTCAGGTTTTAAAAATTAGCAAACCAATGTTTGAAAATTTAAATTTTTTATTGTTTCATTGAAAAAAATGGTATTATTAAAAAATTAAAATTTTCATATTCATATAACACTTTTGAATTAAGCAAAAATAAATATTACAATTATAACATAAAAGTTATATTCCTGTCAAATTCTGATCTGAATTAAAATCAAATATTGACCATGACGCAAATATAACCCTGCCAGAATTTTTCTCTCAATAAGCCAATAAAATGTGGCAATTAAAAACATGACTTATATTAATGATGCCATTAAACCGGCATGAAACACTCTATTAGTGGGAGACCTAACTCTTTTCCTACGGAGACGACATCGCGCTCTGGTCAGAGCTGTTAATAAATAAATGTCACCAAACCCATTATTGGCCTTGATCGCATACCACACTCTTCAAAGGAAGATTATCGTCTTAAATCAATGCAAATTATGAAATTCACAAAGGTTGTCAAATTTCAATTACATATCTGCAAGTTGCTTTTCAATCATCTGTGATAGTATTTATTAAAATAACGTATGGGAAAAAATAAGAATTAGAATTTCCACATGCTGGAAAAAGTTTGAATAAAGTAATAATTTTTTTAAGCTTATGTTTCGCCACAAATTGATCAAAATAAATATGTCACTGGAGAAAGCGAACTACTAAATATTTTAAACATGCTTTTAATGGTAATTAATTAGGGAGTTCACATGTTTTAACTTAATTATTGAGACTATAGAAAACCACAATTTTTTCAAAAATCTGAAGAAATTAGAATCAAAATTCAACCTAGATCGTCCAGAGAGAAAGAATAGAGGGACCTTTTTTCACATTTCTTAAAAAAAGTGATTACTTTTGAAAAATAGGTTTATAACTTTTTATAAACTTTAAATAATAAATTGGTATAGGTCAAAAATGTAAATAATATTGCTGGTAATACGTTTTAAATTAAGTTGCTCTGATACTTTATTTTAATAAAAATTTTAGAGATGGTCAAAATTAGTACGTGATTAGAAGATACATTTCCAAGCACAGGTGTCGCAAAAGGAGGGATACAAAAGTCTTCAAATACATAATAATTATCGCGGTTACGGAGCCAAAGGAGCAGGGGCGATCAGACGAGCGGCAAAGATGGGACGTTGCTGACTTTGAACGGTGGGCGCTTTGTTTGCAAGAAAGTTGAAAATGATGCTGGCGTCTTCGTAGTAGGACAAAGTGCGCAATTTACCGTCAGGCTGTATCAGATCAAATGTCCCCCTCAGAATGATGCCACCGTAACGGATCTCATCCTTCAACTTTTCCACGATGGCCCTTAAAAATATAATTAATGAAACAGAATCATACAGCTTTTTTTAACTGGTTCATTGAATCTAATATTTAATTTCAAGTGTAATTATTTTTAAACTTTTTTTTTTACCTAACTTGATTTGGCAGAACTGGGGTAGGAGCGGCCTCACCGGAGGATGGATTTTTTGCGACAAAGTTGAAAATGACGCTGGGTTCTTCGTAATAGGCTACAGTGCGCACTTTTCCATCACGCTCCGCAATGTCAAAGGTGAATCTCAGAATAACGTCACCGTTTTTGACCTCTTCTGACAACTGGTTCAGGACATCCTCCGCGGCGGCTTCAAGGCTTGTTAAAAAAATGGGAGGATTTTTTTATAGTTATTTTATCAAACTTTGTTATACTTACGTTCATTTTTAATTTCTACGTACTTTAAAAAGTCAGATATAAAATGTAAATAATCAACAAATTTTTGTTGCAAGAGAAAGTAAAAAATACTATATTGTAAAAACTACACACACATAACAAAAAAATTTGAATGCAAAAGCTAAATAATTTTAAATTTAAGTGATTGATAATCCAATTATGAATTATGAAAATTAAACTTTACAATTAATATTCCGTAACAAATGTACTTGTAAAGAGGCATGAGGGCTCCATATTGAGAAGGCGTCTGAATCCATTGTAATCCGGCGGCAATGGGGGCAAAGGCGGGGGCTGCGAAGCCAAAAGGGTCAACAGTCTGAACAGTTCCAGCTCGGGCAGCAGCCAGGACTGCAAAAAGAGCGACCAACTGCAGAGAAATAACAAAATTATCAAGGAGCTTGAATTTGGCAGGTGGGCTCCACGGAGACCGATACGCACCTTGAAAGCCATTGTTGAGGTTTCTTGTACTTTGCAGAAGGTGGCGATCTCCTTTTATATCATATAGCGGCCCCTCCTCACGGTTTCCAACAATTCAAACAGTTTGCCTCCTACTTTCTCGCGCTGGGCTGATGAATAAATTTGCGAGTTTCATATTTTTGATTAAGCATTATTATTATTATTGTTGTTTATTTGCCCAAATTGTTACATCACATACATTCAATTGTAGATAAAAATTTATTTGAATATAAAAAGAGTTTTTGGACAAAACGGCACCACCGCTAGCAAGAATTTTGCTCAAACTTCTGAGATCAAAAAGACCCCATCCGCCGCAGTGCGCCTCGGTTGACTTGTATTTTTTTATTTTGCACTTCTTTAATTATATCATTGCTATCATCATCAAATATTTTTTATTAAACACATGACGTGTGTATACAACATAGTAAAAAAGATAATACAATTTGCAAACATTTACTTTTTAAAACTTTTAATATCAACTTCTAACAAACTTCTTTTATTTATATTGCATTCAAACAAGTGGTACAAACCGACTTTGCATCCGCATTTTTCACATATACATTAATATTTTCATTTATGTGATAATTCAATCAATACAATGAAAATTAATTTCCAGAGACAGAAAGCTACACATCCACCTATAAGAGTTATGAAAGAAAGCGAGCTAAGGAATATAGAGATGGAAAAATAAATCGTTTTGCTTTTATAAAAAATAATAATTAATAATATTATAAGAAAAATAATCAGTGATGACTCTCATGCTTGTAATTTTGAAGAATTAAAATTATCAATTTTCTACATATTTTGCAAATTAATTTTTCTAATTCTCTCCCATTTATGTCTCTAGGTTGACAAGTAAAGTTTAATTTAGAAGCACTTTTTTATTCCTAGCAGTTTATTAAGTAGTCTTTTATCACTAGAGAGTTTGGCGCAATAATTCTCTCTCATTATCAAAATTAATGCAACATTAACGTTTCATATTTTTGTAAACTTGTAGTGAAGCATAAAAAAAAATTGAATTGATGTCATATGGTTAAATTGTATTTTGGAGAAGTATCTTTCGGTAGAGACTGATTTATCCATTTCGTGTGCTCTGCTGGCTTTATTATACAGCACGTTTGTGTTTTTCTTTGCCTCGGCGCCTTCCGCCGAGCGTTTGATATAAGACCCTGTCAGCAGCATCATTTTAAAACAAGCGTATAGTTTTTGCTACAAAAATCTCAGTTTCATGTTAATGGAAGAACCTCCCAGGAGTTCCAGAGCCTTAATTTGTCCTGTGACTCTCAATAATATTCACTCGCAGGTTGGAAGGCCATTTTACGATATACTTTAGCATGCCTATTAATTTTGTCGAGGTACAATATATCAGCACCACACCTATTGAGCTGGATCACCGCAAGATTGATTTGCACTATTTTCTATCCTTAATCGCTTCTCCTTTCTCCTCCTAAAAAAAGGTTGGCTTTGGCATGTGAGACTGTCTTAGTTATACCAACATTCAAGTGTTTCTTTATTCAACAATAATTTTTGTTCAAGCTTTTTGAATAAATTTATTTCAAAAATTCAATTAAAATCCTTATCAATTATCTAATTAGCATTTTTACGTCAAATAAATTCGCGGGAAACTTTTATTGATAGGTAAAAAAGAAATTTGATAATATTTTACATCGTTTTTACAAAAATTATACAACAAAATGACATATTATAATACAACATTTTTGACCTTTACAATAATAAAAATAATATTTATTGTTTATTATAATATAAATATTAAATTACTGTCAAATTCTGATACATTAAAGAATTAAAATCAAATATTGGCCTAGACGCAAATATGTCTGATTTTTTCCCTCTAAATTAGCCAATATAATGTGGCAAAAATCTCAACATATTATATTAATGATGCCATTAAACCTGCATGAAACACTCAATTAGTGGGAGACCTAACTCTTATTTCCTTCGGAGGCGACATCGCCCTTTGGTCAGAGCTGTTAATAAATAAATGTCACCAAACAGGCCATTTTTGCCTTGATCGCATACTACACTCTTCACAGAGGAAGAATATCATCTTAAATCAATGCAAAATTATGAAATTTACAAAGATTGTCAAATTTAAATTATCTATCTTGCAATGCTCGTTTAATTGTTTAACATGAGAATAATGACCCAAAATGGAAAAAAATAAGAATTTCCACATGCTGCAAAAGTTTTAATCAAACAATAATTTTCGAAATTCCTGAATAAAATCTAACCATTTCCTTGCGGAAAAACTAGCACACATGTCCACTTATTTTTTTTATGCCGAATGGGGTTGAGCTTTTCAGCTTATTCATTCTTCGAGCAATCCAATAGAGGTTGTGATTCTTTTTCTGTCCTGCTCAGGTTTTGCAGGGGGTCAATTTGATTTAATATGACGTTACAGTTAAAAATGTGTGCCCTGTTTTGCACATCTGCTTTGCATAATTTACATGTTGCTGGTTTCTTTGTGATGCTGTACTTGTTTAAGTAGTGCTGCAGGCCATCGTGTTTGGTGGCCAACCTCAGCTGGGCTCTGGCCACCGATCTTGGTCAATTTTTATCTGGGCCTTTTTTCACTTCCTCCTTACACTTATTTAAAATGCGCCTGTTTCAATATGAATATTTCAAGCCTTTTTCTTGCTTTAATTTGATTTTAAATTTCCGTCCATTGAAAGTAAAAAAAAGTTCAAATGCTTAGTATCAATTAAATTTTATTACTCTGTTGTCATAATTATGCATTTTAAAATTATCTTCCACATAAACAGCACCACTCAAAGGACACGTGAACAATATAATAATTACTGATTGTTATAATATTTGCAATAATAATGTTTGAATGCTACAGCTAGTCTCACAATTAAATACACCACAATTTGACACAATCGAAGAGTGTTTATCCCAGCAAAATGTGGGACTTGGAAGACGAGTTCAGTGGCGGACTTGCCGAACTGGAAATGCTCGCGGTCACTCTTGTTTCCAGAGCAGTGCGAGCTACCAGCTTATCAAAGGTGTCTGGCGTCAGGTTCCTCCTGAAAACAATTTTCTCTCAAGAAATGCAAAAAAAATATTTAATATTGATTTTTTTACCTGACGGAGTCTCTAAGCAAAGCTGTGCTCTGGGCGGTGCTCCTCGACTCGTGGACCGAACTCTCTCTCAGCTGCTGCAGACGCCTCATCTTGTCCTCCTTGTCCAAGATGGCACTGCGACGCGCCTCGAGCAAAGCGTTCTGGCCCGCAGATATTCTGCAAGAGGGGTCAGAGAGTTTTAGCAAAAAATATATTTCACACTCACAATCACTATAAGTTTGCTCGTGACCACTACACTACATTCAGGACACGGCCTTTGGTGATATGAGTTTAGAATAAAAGTAAAGTGGAGATCAAGTGAATTTTACCTGCTCATCACAAGAGTGTGGTGCTGTTCCTTAGCTTTGTTGGCCGCCTCTGCCTTTCTCTTCTTCTCCAGGAACTGCTGCGAAGCCCTTTTAGCTGCTTCCGCGGCCGCTTTGCTTTGCAGCTGGTTGCAGTGCTCACGCCACTGGCGCAGACCTTCTTCCAGATCCGAGTGCATCTTCCTGGCACTCTCGTATTTGCTTTGTCTGACCTCGCTACATAAAAAAAGGAATAAATTCTAAGTATGAAATTATTTTCAGGAGAATTAATGCAGAAAAAAAAATTAAAAACTAAGAAATTTTAATTATTTTTTAAAAATGCAAAAATATATTTATGAACATAAAAAAAAAATTGGTATGAGAATTGATGAAACTTTAAAGAAAATTTATAGAAAAAATGTGTGTTATGTTTTATGTTTGATAGCTTTTTCTACCTTTGGCCCTTCAAGCAACGCTCCTTGTTGAGGGCAATGTTGCTCATCCTGAGCTCTGCCCTTTTCTGCTTTTCCTCACACTTTGCTCTCAACGCAGCCATCGCCATGCTCCGCTCCTCTTCAATCAGTTTTCTTCGTTCGGCGCGACGCATTTCCTCCACCCTGTTTGCGCTTGCCACCCTCTAAATTTTGCAAATTGTTTAAAAATAGAGGAATAAAAATTTTAGTTTCAGAAATTTAACCCTTTTCGTGGACTCAACGCTCTTTTCTCTGGACTCGCGCGCTCTGCCCAGTCTCTCCATTTGGTTGCGCTCAATGCTCTGCCGCCACTGCTCATATTGCTGGTTGATCTGCTCCTTGGCGCACGCCACTGCAGCTCTTTGCTGCTCCAGCGCGTCTGCTTTGTCACCTTGTCCGCAGGACTAAATAGAACAAAATTAAGAAAAAGGATTTAATTGAAGAAAATTTGGTTCTCGTGGAGGTGTCTGTTAAGTGGAAAACTGTAATTTTCCTTTTCCTTTAATTTGTAAAAAAGAACAACTTTATTTTCACTTCAAGGATATTTTATTATTTTAAATTTAAACTTACCTTAGTGACAGAGATTGCTTTCAAATTGGTGGAAGCCCTCATGTCCTTTTCAGCCAGACTTTGCTGCAGCCGCTGCTTTGCCTCTTCCTCCTCTTTTCTCAACAGAGCCATTTTCCTTTCACTCATCTCGTTTTCAATCCTCCTCTTCTTCACCAGATAGTCTTTGTAGACATTAGCTTGTTTCTCTTTTTCCTGATGATAGTTTTAAAATTTTAGATATTTAAATATCATGTTAAATTTGAGAAGAAGCTCACTTTCTCCCGTTCCTCTCTTGCCTCTTCCCAGGCTTGATGCGCTTCAAATGCCAATTGCTTTGCTGCTATTTCCTGCTCCCTTTTCAAAACCATAGAGTCCAAAATTCGACGGTCATGTTCAGGGATGGCAGCCGCTGCCAAACTGCAAACAGTTTAGTAATTTTTTTAAAAAAATTTATTTTTGCCCTTCTCTGGGAATGGAAAATTGATTTTTTTTTTGTAGTAAATAAAAATAATAAGGAAATGAAAAAAAAAAAATATTTAATTTATTATTTACTTAAGCTGAGCTTTGATGTCGCCAAAGAGATTTCTACGAGAAAATGAATGCTGATCAGTGACAGAAGTCCACTTGGCAGAGGAGCGCCCGGACTTTGAGGGCGAAAGGCAAGAGCTCCTGGTTGAGGTAGCACTGCTCACCTGCCGCCTGCTAATTTTCAGTGAAGAAACACACAAGTTTAATTTAATTTCTTTCCAAATCTTTAACTCCTTTTACCATGGGTAAAACTTGTGACTGCCACTCAATGATGAGGTGCTGGTGCTTGACTTTGGCCTTCCGCAGTCTGGCGAAAATCGAGTTAAGCGCGGGAGGTTCTTGAAAGGCGGAGAGCCAGGGTACTTTTTCAATGGGGGGCTCTTAGCAGAAGCTCTGTTTGGAGCCGTCCTGGGTCTAACCCTTTGGAAATAAAAAAATAATTAATTTCAATTGAAAAATAATTCTAATTATATTGGTACTTATTGATGGACCTCCTCCTAGGTGTGGTGGTGATTTTGAAGGTTGGAGCCGGAATTTGGCTTGGACTTGATTTTCTAGATGAAGAGGGAGAGCATGAACTCTTTAAAATCGGACTCGGACTTGCCCTTGCAAATGGACTTTGCGTTTTCTTGGGCACACATGACGGACGAAGCACTGGACTTTTCTTCGGACTCCGGATTCCGACTTTGATGGAACATTTGGACGGTGCCGGTGACTTTTCAGACGAATCTCCCTCGCTATTATTTTCCAGCGATCTGTATTGTATTTTTTTTTTTTTTTTATTACAAAAAGGGTTAGAAAATTTTGATATTTACCTCAGCGCTTTGTCATGCCTGGCCAGGTAGTTGTTCTCGCGTTCGGCCTGCTCCTTCTTGCTCTTGGGTGACGGGTCGTGATTTTCTTTCAGGTCGGCTTCGGTGTCCACTGAAAGATGATCGCGCACTGCTCTGCAGGCCTCGAGTTTGCCTGAAAGGCGCGGACGTGCGTGACGTATTGAATGAGAGTGGAAAAGTGGGACGTCGGAATATGCACTTCTTCTTGTGGAACGCCCAATTTATTCGTGTAGATTTTACAATAGGGCAATAAAAAGTAAAGTGCATTGATCTTGTTTGACTTGAGTGTTCTCTAAACAAGGCTATGATATTTTGCTTACTCTGTCGTTCTCTCTCCAGTGTCTGGTAAACCGAGATCACTCGATCCAGACTAGCAGCGTCACCCAGTTTCTGCCGAACCTCTCCCAGACTTTGGTACAGAAGCTCAACGGGCTAGAATTAATTGAAAGAAAATGGTTTTGAAGAAATTCTGAGCAATGAAGCCAATATTTGGATTTTACTACATTTCCTACTATGAGATTTATTGCTCCCTGAATGTTGATATTTGATTAAAATTAATTAAGTTTATTAGCTATGCTTTTCCTGCGTGCAACCGTGAAAATTTTTAGCCATTGATTTAAAAAATTTAATTTATAAAACGTGTAATGATGAAAATGATGAAATGTGTATACATTGATTATTCTAATTAATCTAATTGTATTTTATAAACACAGTCATGCAAACTGGCAATTCCCTAAAATTGACTCGCGCTCAATATTGAGATTTAAAGAAAAATATATTTTTATTTATATCTGCCTTCAAAATGAAAATAAGCGCTTTATTGATGTGTCTAGAAATTATTATGTGATTTCATTTATCATACCATTTCAATTTCCTACTTAACAATAGCTAAAGTGTTGGAAATTTTTGAAAACGAAAAAAGAAAAATGCTGCGGGGTGCAGAATTTGAATGAGCCTGCAAGCCGAAGCGAGTATACAGACATTATCTTACCCTAATTAATTCATCCGTATTATTTACACGCAAAATGGTTTAAATAAAATTTTAAATCGAAAAACTCTGCCACATTTTAATGTGAAATTTTTAATGAAAGCAATTACCTTGATGCCCAGAATTTTGCACGCCTCAAGCGACCTGGGACTTGTCAAAACGTAAGGAGAGTCCCGCGCCTCGACGCAATCAAAGTTGTCCAGTGTGAGGTTCAAAGGCGCCATACGCCGTGCAGGCCCCTCCATGTTGACCTTTTCTGCAAAAATAAATTGATACCGGAATTTAACAAAAATTGATAATTTTCTTTTCAAGATTATCAACTTTTGCTTCGTTCAACATCATTCCCGGAGTATGAAATCTCCGTCGTTTTCGTCGTTTTTGTTTTTCTAAATATTTTATTTTAAATTATTATTTTAGAAAATTCATTAATCTGGTGCATGTAAATAAATAAACCTGAAGGATGTAAACTTCTCGTATGAGATGGTTGAGGACGAGGAGGGAACATCCTTCCTAGTTTCACTCTCGCAATCCAGCTTGGTGATTTAAATTGATTTTTCAAAGAGAAAAAAATTGCTAGTCGTTCCGACAGGTTTGGCTGCCGCAGACTGATAGTCGCCGGTCCACGTCACATATATTTGACATGGATGCTGCGCTGGCCATTGAAAAAATTATACAGCATATAATTCAGCAGCGCAGACAAAAACCGGAGCGGCGCGAGTCGTCCGTCAAGCATGACTGAATTTCTGTGTCACTGATAACAGCGAAAGTAAAAAAAAAAACAGTTTTTGGTTGGACTAAAAATTAGCGAAAAAACAGGAATGATGATAAATACTAAAAACGAGTGGAATTTGAGATTTCCTAAAAATTTGCATCTGCATGCAGTATAGCGAGTGCAGTTTGACCTTGTTTGCCCTTAACACTGATCAATGTGAGCGAATTGCTTGCTCACTTGAATGTGTGCGATTCCATTCCACGCAAGGAGGGGCTGTTTTTGCGCCGAGTCGCGATTGAAATTCACACGAAACAACAATACTGGGTGGCGATCAAGTAAATCAGAATTGCAATCATGCGTGAAGTGTAATTTGGTATTATTGGGAATGCAAATGAAAATGATCGCGCTGTAAACCAACCGTGACGCATTATTTCTACCAACCAGCAGTGCTGTTTTAATCTATATAATTATTGAATTTAAATTAATTATCTGTTGTTTTTATCAAATTTTTTTGAATACATTTACATACAAGACGTTGATGATAAAATATTATATCAAATTGGAAAAATCATGGTGTGCTGAAATTTATAGAAAATTTGGAATTTTTTAATACTTCTTTTTCAAGAAAAAAAGAACAGAAAAAAACGAAATTTCATGCAAATTAATTTTTCTTATTGAAATGAATTGAAATTTAAAAAAAAACTTTTTCTTACAATAAAAGTAAAGTAATTAATATGGAAAAAAAAATATTTCTGAAAATTTACAAAATGTTAATAAAAATAAAAATTTTTTAAGAACTTATCCAAGATTTGACAATAAGCATGCAAAAATAATACAAAGAAATCGTCAATGATGCATTTTGCAAGGCAAGATGTACATGCTTTTTTCAAGTAATAGTTTACTGTCCAAAAATAATATGAAATAAAAACAAACGGGTGCATCCCAGTTGGGCAAGCTGTGTTTTCGTAACCATAATAAACCCACGGGGATTGAGCGAGTAACGCGATCACCAAGGAAATCTCTAAGGAAAAATAAGCGCATTGCAAAACGTTTCACCTTTCACCTCCAAAATTAAAAAAAAATAAATAATACCTTTTAGAGGGTGGGCCCTGCGGGGCAGGCGTTTCTTTTTCTGCTGATGCGTCTTGAATTCCTGGTTGCAAGCAGCGGTTGTCTCGCTCACGAGTGTCGCACCGCGTCTTGCTGTCGTTCTCCAGGGGCGATTCGTGACCCTGGTGGAGCGCGGTGGTCACGCAGCGAGAGAGGGGAGCGACGGCCGTCGCTTGTTGGTCGATAGCGCTAGGGCATGCCCAGCTGCGGCGCATCTTTATGACTGGCACCTGATGGTACCATATTCCTTCACGCACCCTCCCATCGGCTATATGCGTATGCAACACGCACTGCAATCATTCACGCGGTGCAAAATAGCTGTACAGAAAGCCTTTCATTGCCGGCGCCCTTTCACAAAATGCCGTTTGGCGCCCCACTACTTAATCAATATTGCAAGTTCCTACTTCGTAATAGTATTTGTGAGACATATCTTTAATTTAAAATTAAACAATTTTTTTTCAATTTTCTTTTGACATTTTAATGATTTGGTTATCATTTTTGGCAGTGACTGCTCCTTTTTACACTAATTTTGAGAACATTTTAATATTTGACAATACACACGTTTTTCATAGATCTTCGTCCCTAAGGGTGGATTTTGTTTTCTTCTTTCGTCCTCTTTTTACAGACGTATTTAAAATGTCCTCATCTTCTTTTACTCCTTTGCTTTTTTTCTATTAAATAAACAAACAAATTGCGTAAAAGTTTTGTCATTATCTTATAGAAAACAAAACAATAAAATATCAAATACAAGAATTCTTTTGAAAGTAAAAATAAAACTTAAATTTGATTATTTTTTTAGTAGGTGATATATACCTGGTTCCATTCCTTTTGCAACTCCTGCAGCATGTTTGGAGTGAGGAGGCCTTGCGCCAATAATCTGTCGGTCAAACGACCTGTTGGCAAACTAGGTCCATCATCACTGACTTTGGCTTTTACTACAATAATGAGGAAAAAATGTCAAAACCTATACAAATTTTAATCAGATTAACTTACTTCTTTTATTCTTGTATCTGGACATGGTAAACTGATCTTCGTCTCCACTCTGCTCAGAATTTTTCAACAGTCTAGTTAATTGGAATACGCCCTGTTGGATGATCAAGTCTAATTCATTCTGCATGTCTCGAACAAGGGCCGCGTCAGGAAACAGATCCATGAATCGATAGCTGAAAGTTTTTCATAAATGTACAGCTTAAAGGTAGCACTTCATATTTTACCTGAGCCACAGGTAGAGATCGAGTACGTCAAAAACTGCCTCCAAGTGTACAAGATCAACAATTGTGCGCGGCGCTGAAAATGGCCAGCCTATGTGGCGGCACAACCAGTCGAAAGTGATAGCCTCGTTTTTACTGTACTGACGGGAATACTATAAAAACAAAACTTATAATATGCGAAAAAATATAGACTACAAAATTCATTACTTTAAGAAACATGGTGCAGACAAAGGGCATTTTTTTGTTGATTGGAGCACAACAGAAAACATATCTTGCACGCAATGGAAGAGGCACGTGTTGAATCATGTCAGCAAGGAATTTGAAGTCCTCAATGTTGCATATGAAGTAAAGCGAGTCGTCCACCGTGGAAAGAGTTACAAAAATGTCCTACCAAAGAATAGCAATAGCATAGAATCAGAGTTTGAAATTAATAAAAGATCAAACCATTAAATTGGAAAGAGCACTGTTCGGCAAGTGGTACGCGTACAGTTCAATTTGGTCGGCAGTTGGATGCAGGCCTGCTTTTTTGATGGGTTCTGGGGTTTGTGACAAAAGAGACTTCAAAATTGGCAGATCGTCTGGACGGAAGGTGGTCACTCTGCCCTGCGCCAATCAGAAATTAATTAGATTGGTATTTGCACTAACATTTTTTTTTAATAAAGGAAAAAACTTACATTTTCATATTCTGTTCCATACCGGCCGGCTCGTCCGGCAATTTGCAATGCTGAGGAGACTGATATTGTGTCCATTTCCTTCTCTCCTTTCTCATTCACCACTGGTTTGATCAACGAATAAAAAATCACTCGTTTGATGCTCCTGAAAATAAATAATTCAATAAGGCCTCCGATTAAAATCAAATTACAAACTCACAAATTGAGACCCATTCCAATGGCGTCGGTTGCAACCATTACCTTGCATGGATTGCTAGGGTCATTGAACTTAGAAGCCTGCGCTAGTTTCGTTCCCGGAGGCAGACCTCCGTAAATGACGGCCACCTCCCGGCCAAGAGCTTCGATTTGCCTCGACACAGAGTAAATGTCATTTTTGCTAAAACAGACGATACAGTCGCCAGGAAGCACATTGTCTAAGGTGCCAAGGGCTGTCGTCTCCACCTCCAATTGAGTCAATCTCTTGTAATTTCTAATCTTCAAATAATTTGTTTTCATTAAAACTCAATAATGACTTGGACCATTGAAATTCTTACTTCGAGATCCTCGCCAGTGGTGTTGAGCAGCCCTTGGAGCAACTCTGCAGTACCAGGTTCGCCGCACACATGGATTTCGTCTGCCTGAACTCCTAGCAGAGCTCTGGACCATGCCCAGCCTCTCTGGTCATCCTTCATCATTTGAATTTCGTCGATCACTGCCACCTCAACTGAAAAATTTCAGCAGTTAGGGAAATCTTTCTTGTGCAGCTTCTTTTGGCTTACAGTGTTGGTTTATTGATGTCATTTCGACTGTGCAGGCTACGTGGTTTGCCTGAGAACCATCAGCATTCCCAGCCCTCCTTTCTTCGCCAGTTACAAGATCACACGGAGTCCCCTGAATATTAAAAAAACAAATAAATGGATTATTAAAAAAGACGTTACACAATTATTTCAAAGGAGGTAAATACACAGCCTCTTAAATTTCGAAAGTGCGAGTGAGAAATCAAAGTGACGAAATATATTTACATTAAAATGGGGTCTTGGCATTGCTATTGTCTGCGGACTTAATTATATAAATAGCTAAAAACTTTTACCGATTGAACAAATGGCAAATTCATGAATTTTATTTGCCTGAAAATACAATAAATCAAGCACAACAGGGTTGTTACTTCTTTTTAAAGTATTGGATAGATTTTCGCAATCAACTTACCTTAGCATTGCATTTGTTGAAAACTTCAACAGCTAGCATTTTTAGGGGCCCACAGTAGACACCTGACTTGGCGCTCATAAACCTCTCAAGGGCGTGGTACGTCTTGCCACTATTAGTTGGACCCGCGTGAAAAATGACCTTTCGAGTTAGGCGCCTTGCTTCTGGGTACCTAATAATTATATTATTCAGATTTCCTCTTCATTCAACAGTAAACTCGAACCAATTGGCAGGTGTTCTCAGATCACTGATCTTCCTCAGGTCGTCCATACACTCGAGGTGCGGAAAGGCGGTCCTGGCGTGGCGCAGGAAATAGGGGAAAATGCTGTCCACAGAACCGGCGCCCTGAAGAATGTCAGCCAGGATTATGTGCAGGTCTGGTGGCAGGGCCGTCGCCTCCAGACAGTACCTTCGAAAGCTGATGTACGCCTGGTGCATCAAGTGATCTGCAAGGTTCAACATGAACGTGAAAATTTCAATCAAAGAAATACATGTATAAGAGACTCACGGTCGAGACCATGCTCCTTGGCCAGGGTTTTAATTTCCTTGCGCTGGTAGAATTTGTTGAGCACCTTCAGCAGGTCGTCCTTGTGGATTTCGGCGCCGGTCAGTTCGGCGCCGACGTTGATGTCGTCGCTACTCGGCTTTACCGGCACCGGCACGAAAAGGTGCGAAAAGGACGAGTCGTCCTTTTTGCCCCTGACAAGTGAAAGGGCGCCGCAACCTGGCCGCAGCAGTCTTTGGTGGTTTTGCTGCTGTGTGAGTTTGAGGCAGCGGAGGCGACGTGCCGCCCCCATCACCCTGGAACCGCTGCCCAACATGCCCTTCCTGAAGCGACCTCGACCCGAGAAGATAAAAGAAAGATTTAGGGCTGTTTCAACACATGGCATGCATGATGCAAAACACAACAGAAAAGACAGAAAGGGGCGTGTCGTAGACCAAACGATAGATTCTGATTGGCCGAAAACCAACCACGTTTGTTTTCGGGGCGCCAAACGTGTATGCTGGAATCCTTAGCACAGGGAGATAAAATTATGATCATTATTCATTATTATAATTATTTTTTATTTTTTAAATTAGCTTGGACTGGTTCTAAAGCAACATTAATTTAATAATGGGTTGAATTAAAATATGAAATTAAAGAAGGTTTTTTGTACAAAACAATTTTATTTATTAAAACACCATAGTTGGACATTTTCTGCTTCTGCTCTTTTTTTTGTTTGGCTGACTTTCAAAATGTCCGTATCATGACCATATTACAAAATTAATGACCACTAAGAATTATGCATGATATTTCCCAGTTTAATTTTGAGAGGAAGATTTTTTCGAGTTTATTTTTTAATTTTGTTTTATTTTAACAATTTCACTGAAAACAAAAGAGTCTCTTCTTGTCAGTGTGTAGCAGCAGTTTTAAGATTAGCATTTAACATTTGATGACTAGATAATAAATTTATTGTGCAGAGACGTGAGTGTTGTTATTCGTGAATCGATTTTTCAGAAACGCTTCTCGAAAAAAATTGTCAGCCGTTTCAAAACAAGAAAATAATAATAATATATGCATGATTTGTAATATAATCACTAAATATGCGCGTTAATTTAAATATAACCTTACAAATATTACACTGTGCGCCCATTTTTGACACAACATTTTGCGCGCGAGTCCTTGTTTCAAATTTGAACCGATTTTCAATCTTGAGACCGCTCTCTGTTGATGGGCAAAAAAGTAAACACACAGCATTACATCACATACGAAATGCTCGATATTCCATTTCAATCTTCCTGATTCGGTGAACGATCGGTGATGAGAGTTAGAGAGATTTGTCGCATCGAGCTCTAGAAATATTTTTTCCATTTGAGAAAAGTCCTCTCGTTGACAGAGCGCATTTATTTTCTTTGTAATACGATAAATATTTACACGATCAATCTTCTTTTGGTTTTTTTTCATATACACAAAATCTTGTTATGCAGGCTCGAAAAAATATACAAACGTCATCCTCTTGCACTTTTTGTAAACATTAAATGAATTTGACCGGCGCCGTGGATGAAAAACACTGAAAATCCAATAATGCAGTACAAATAGGCCAGCTACAATGATAATAATTTCGATTACATCAATTGAACGTGAAATGGAAAAAAAAACAGATGGACATTTTTGGTCATTTAGTTTATGGATAATTGAATAGCCACTGAAGTCCCAACGCTCAAACAGTTCAAGCGCAATGTGAATTATTTATTTAATATACACAATTCTTTATACTCCATTTCAAAAAACATTTCGTCCTACTGATGCGTGTGTGTATGATTAATAAGGCAAATCGAAAAAATATTATATTTCGACCTTTTAAACAAATTTCATCAATTAAGTTTTTAAAATTGAATTGGAAGAAAAGTAGAGAGTAACAAAAAATATATGTGTGCGGTTAAAGCACATCTTTTAAGTGGCGTGAAAGGTTACGAGCCACAGAAAAATAATTCCTATGCAGAGTGCAGAGTGATAAGAGATTTACATCGATTTTCACTGCTTTGTAATTGAAGCGTTTTCTTCTTTCTTTTTAATGAAAAATGTAGAATAAATGCATATTGTATGTGTATGTTTTGCTATACTTGTAAATGGAGGATCGTTTGGTTGAATGGAGCGAGAGGTATACAAATATATGCAAGCTGATGGAACGATCAGTGTATTTCACTTCAATCTCGTGTGTGTTGCAAAATGATGGCTTTCACAATCATGGTACATTCAAGCACACTGATTTTACAGCAATCATTATAATTAAACACAAAAGTTTTCTACATCAATCAATCTCCGAGTATTCTTTTGTTGCCACTACTTTACAAAAATCAAACTGCGCGTGCGGCTGACTGAAGGGATAACAATGAATTTTACTGTGCGGCAAGGAAGATTTTTTTCGGAATGGGTTCGCCTATTATTTTGGAAATAAATTTTACGAGATTAATAGCACCCATTTTATCTCACGTAAAGACTTACAAATTACTGGATGAGTTTTTTTTCTCAAAAATTTACAAAGAAAATTTTGCTTTCCTTTTTCAATAAATAAATTCTGTGCCAAAACAAAATGATTTCAAGATAAAAAATTTCCGTCTTAAATTCTGAAAATGCTTGGAATATTAATTTTATCAGTCGTTATTTAATATCAGGACACACCGACGTGCTTCAATCTTCTCGAACAAAATTAAGCACTTGTTTTTCTCTTGATATCATATCGTAATGCGCGCGCGACTCAACATCACATTATTTTTCCTTCCACCCCTCCCTAAATCCTAATCGTCTCGTAGAGTGTTTTATCTTTTTATAATTTTTGGCATCTTTGAAAATCTAACAAGAATAATGCAACAATTATTTTGTTAGGATAGCGCTGGCTTGAAAATCCCACAATTTTTTTTTCTTTCTTTCTTTCGGCTCGGTGGATGAAACTTCCACTTTCGCTCGATCCAAGTAGTCCACCACTGGAGTAGAGGGAAAGTACCTGTATTGTCGAATTGAAAAACTATCTTGACGAGTGGACACCTTTAGCACGCGGTGTCCACCCTCCAGGGCAGCCACCAGCGGGGCGAGCACAGTTTGCTGCTTGTTGTCCAGATGCCGTTGTCCAAACTTGAGCGCTTCTTGCGGCCCTTTTTCGAGCGCTCCGCTTTCTTCACAAAGCGCACGTTGAACGGGTCTTCTGCCAGCTCGGGGTACTTTTGCACGTCATGCGTGTACTCGCCTTCGTAGGTGGTCGCGCTGCCTGTTTGCAAAATCTCTTCCACCTCAGCCGGCGTCCAATCTATGCTGCCAGATACGCCGTTCTTCAGAAGCTCCTTTTCGCGGTGCCACGCTTTGCGGATGGCCAGGCCACGCGCATGGTGCAATAGCCGCTGCTTTTCTCTACCAGCCGAAGTGCCATACCTAAAGTTTAAAATGAAAATTATTAAGAATAATTTTGAGCATTAATTGAAAACAAGACCGAAAAATTTGTAATTCCGTATATTTTTATTTTTATATTTGTGGTTTTCAACAATTTTCGGACCAAATATGTAAAAATTACAGTTTGATTTAAAAATCTACAGATTTTTTCTCAAATTGAAATGAAAATTTATTTGGTGGTGTGCATGCAATTTAACTTCTAGAGCGCTATTAATGATTGAATCTCTCAATTTTATAAATACCTTAAATTGACAACAGCGCTCGGGCTGTGGATTTTCAGGTCGATTACTTTGCCACCCGAGATGCCCTCGGTGGACGAGTCTTTTTCGTGGAAGGTCAGGTTGACCTGGTTGCCCAGTCTCTTGATTTGGCTATGGTCCTCGGACGCTCGCCACATGTCCTCTTTAACAAAGTAGAACGCGTCCTGCGAGTGCACCAGCAGGGTGAAGTCAAGCATCAGCGACTGGTTGAACACCGAAGTGAACACGTCCCTGGAGATTTCAAAAATTAAAATGCGTCTTAAGAATTTATTGGCTATAAAAAAACCTGTAGATGGAATTGGCGGCCTGGACGCTGCTGACCACGGCCTGACTGCCGGCACGGGAAACGAGGATGCCCTTTCCGAAGGGAGGGTCCGCCATGGTCACCTTGACTGGCAGAGGTGGCCAAGGGTCTTTCTGGATGGCCGAGTGCAAAAGAGAGGAGAGCATGTTGGAACTGTACTTGCGCTCTTGCAGGTGCGACAAGAGACCAATTTTGGCGCTCAGTGGCGTCACTCCAACCTGAATCGATCCTGCCAGGGTTGATGGCTGCACAGGTGGTGCAGGCCAGTTGGAGAAAAGGTCGCTGCTTGCAGAGGGGAAGCCGTGGATGTCTGATGGGAAAAGCTGAGGAGCCAAACTCTTCAGGTCGTGGCCCATCAACTTCAGCCAGTGATTGTGTTCTAAAATTTTATTTTATTAAATTTCATCAGTAAAAAATATTATTGTTTTTTTTACCTGTCATGAGTTTTCGAGCGTTGTCAGGCATATTTTGGTCCCGTCCAGCATTGATGGGATCGTTGCCATTGAAGCGGTACAGGTGAAGTCTAGACGGCGTGTTTATCCTGTCCAGAACTCCTTCCCATCTCGGGGTCATCCATTGACCAATGAGCGGATCGTAAACTCCGCCTCGAGCGCCAGGCATGTGCACCAGAGACGTGACCTTAATAAAATTAATCTTTTATTTCTCTCCTAGTTAAATTTTGCATTAATCAAACCTTATCCAGGATGCCACCGCAAAAATCGATTGGCATGTAAAGGTATGGATTCGAGTCATACACTATGTGGCCAAAGGGCGATCGCATTATTTCCCTTATTCCCTCTCCGTACTGATTGAACATCATGATTGGAGTGCCACACTGGTCTGTGGCCACATAATATCTACTCCTGTACACTTGGGCGTAAATCAAGTGGCCGCGATCGTCGTAAACCAGCGACATCAGTTTTCCATCCCTCGGACTGTAGATCTGGCTCACCTGATTTAAAAATAATAATGATTACTTGTATAATTATATATATGTATTATTTTTTTTACCTCATCAGGCCTATCTTGATTTGTGTAAAAGAACTGAGTGACATTTCCGTAGTTGTCCTTCCTAGTGGATAGTCTGTCCATGTGGTCATAGAAGTATCGAATGTCAAATCTGCCCTTCTTGCTGGCGCGGACGAGCAGACCTTTGGCGTTGTACTGGAAGTGCTCATCCCTGGCGTTCTGCACCACCAGGCCACGGCTATCGTACCTGTAGGTGCCCTCACCAAATTTGACAATCCTATCCAGAGCATTGTACTCCATGGGAATGACGTTTCCTCGGTAGGTGAGCGAAAGCAAATTTCCATTGTCATCGTAACGGAAGCTCCACGGCTCCTGACCTTCGACGCCGCGCAACTGGCCGTCAGGGTCATAGGTGAAGTTCTTAATGTTGGTGTAGGTGTTAACTCCAACACCCTGACGCGTGAAGGTTCTGGTTTGTGCAATTTTGCGGCTCTGAGCGTAGCCAAACTCTGTACGAATCACTTCGATTCCATGGATATTGAGTGAAACCTAAATGTATTTTTAAATTAAATCTAAATAACAATTTCTTTAATGTATTTGAATACCTTTGCCTCTCTAAAGTGACTATCCAGGTATCGAGAAAAGGTTGCAGTCCCGTCTGTGAGTTCAGTCTTGTTTGGTTTGGGTTGGCTGAGGGTGAATTGGCCAATTGTTTCGGGTTTGCCAGTCTTGCTGCTGTAAGATTGGACAAGGTCGGGCAGAGTTTGGCCTCCGATTCGGCCCTGAACTCCAATGAGTCGCATGTTGGCGTCAAACTCGTAGGTGAACTTGGCGTTGCTCAATCCAGTCTTGGCTCCAAAGTCGTATCGCTCCTCTGTCAAGAGACCTTTCACATATTGAGAGTCTCTGCGGTATTCAAAGTCATTTCTCTCGTTGTGGACAATTTCGCTCGGGAAGCCTGAGCTTGAGTAGCTGATCTGTGTCTTTCCATCACCATGCAGCACCTGAGATTTAGATTTAAATTGTCATGAAATCTAATCAATTATAAATTTTTGATTCAATTACCTCAGAAACTCTTCCAGCATTATCATATCTGTACAATACTCGTGCACCTTCTCCCGGCAAAACCGTCTGCATCAACTTGCCAGAGTGGCTGAAGTGCTGCAGGTAGGGTCTTTGGCTGCCAGGCGGGGTGTAGCTGAGGCGCATGAAACCAAACGACTGTTGAGCTGAGAAAATATGCTTGGTCTCGCTGGGCAGAGTGATTTGTTTTAGGCCGCCTTGTTGGTCATACTGGAGGGTAAATCTGCGGCCGCTGGGCAAAGTCACTCTCGATACCTGCGAAAATTGCATGTTAAGTCAATAACTATTGGCCGTGTTTGTTTTCCAATAGAATGTAAAGGGAAATATGCAAATTGATGAACGCGCAAGTAATTCACTTAAATGCCAGCAAACAAATATTTGCTGGCCCATTTATGCAGAGGGCGCAGTAAACAATCAAATCATCCATTACCATTTTCAGCTCGTTGTATGTGTAGGTGGTTGACTCTGATTTGCTATTGACCACTTCCGAGAGCAGGCCGTGTCTGTCATACTGATACTTTTCCGACAAGTCACCCCATGTCCATCCGTCCAGACGGTTGAATCGATCGTAACTGATGTTGAAGGCCTGGCCGTGTTCTGTCGGGTCCCAAGACGTTGGTTGTCCGGCTGCGTCAAAGCGGACGGAGAGAAGGGCTTGATTGTCTTTGTCCAAGTAAGTCTCTCTGCTGTTGTGGTGGTCATATTCAACTACAAGCACCTTGCTTGCATTCACCTTAAAAAAATCATTTTTTTATTTTAATTAATTAATTAAATTTAAAAAAAAAATGTTTGAAGAGTAGAATTTAAAATTATTCTTATAGAATTGCATTTTTTGAAATACATCCAAACAATAAAAAAAATCTGTCAAAAATAGAATGGCCTCTTCAGACGGAGAGGAAAGCTTTTCTGCACTCACCCATAGCTCGCGGTCAAGCTTCTGCCTCTCAGCCTTGACGTCACCGGAAAGGCGATATTTGCACTCAATAATATTAGCGATGCCATCTCCAATGATCAGACTCTGGCTGGCTGCCAAGGGCAACATCTCAGCCTCGACCGGCATCGTCAGCTTCAGCAGTGGGTGCTGCGCACCAGTCTCACTGTGCAGCTCGGCACCCCAGCCGGCGCGGCTCCAAAACGAGCCATTACTCAGCGCCTTAGATTCGCTCACCGTGCCAGCTAAAGAATTTAATTTCAAATAAACCTTTGTTTTAATTTTCAATTATTCCCATCTATATACCGTGGCTAATTTCCAGGGCTTTTGCGGGCCCTCTCATTCTCAATTCCGCGGGCTGCCTGTCATTCTGTCCGACTTTTACAATTACGCCTTGGTCTGATTGCAGTTGGAATTTGAAATTCATTGTTTCGCCAGTTGGAAGAATTGCGTGGCTCAGTCGTCCATTTCCGTCATATCTTAAAAAGCAAATTTAAATTATAAACGCATTTTTAAAAATTAGGCAACTTGCTTGACTCTCGAGTAGAGCAGGTTGCATAATATTAAAAAAATAAATAAAATAATTTCACATTTCACACCTGTAGATGAATGCGTTGCCCTTGGTGTCAGTTTTGCTGGTGAGAAGCCCAGTGGTGCTGTCGTATTCTAGATCGATCTCGGCGCGTCCTTCTTCCTGGGTCAGTTTGGTGAGGAAACCAACGCCGGTGATCATAAGGTCACTCTTGTGATCCTGTGTGCTTTCAATTGTGCCAACAACGTTGGAGTAGTCTCTCAGGAACTGCAGCTTGTTTTCCGCGCCGTCAGTCACCTTTGAGAGTTTGCCAAAACTGGTGTTCTTGCTGTAGCCAAACTTGTACTTGATCTTGCCCGAGGTCATGTCCTTTGTCAACACATGCTGGCCGTATCTATTAAAAAAACATGAAAAAAGTTTGTTAAATAAAAAAATCTGTATATCGTTGGTATTAAATAAAAAGAATTAATTAAATAAAAAGTCTCAAATTGAACCATTATTAATAATTTTTTTAAATTAAAAAAATGATAAAATTACCTGTTAAAACTGTAGATCTCATTTGAGGTGGGGTAGGGAATATGGAAATCGCCATTGGTGTCCGCGGTGGGCAGGTAATGCATCAGTGACAGGATGTGAAGGCTGCCGCGGTCAGCGACGTGCAAAACGCCGTCGGGTGATACTGTCATGGCTGAAATCGATTCGAACTGCGCGTTGGCCGAGAGGACAGTGTCCCTGGCGGCGCCGGGAGGCGCCTTGGGCGTCGGGGTGCACTCACAGGTGACGTTGTAGAACGCGTGCTTGGGCGGACACTCGCAGCGCGGCGTCGCCTGCCTTCCAGCAAAGTCCATGATCCGGCCCGAGGGGTCAATCAAGCGAATGGCGTTCACGCGACGCGAGTCCGTCTCGGCGATGTAGAGGTCGCCCTCAGGAGAGAAGGCTATGCTGAGGATGGATCCAAGTGGGGTGGCCGTCGCCTCCTCATCTGCGTCCTCGGCCACTTGTTCTTTGGCCGCCGGACAGTGCAGAGGAGTTCCAGCCACAACCTGTTTTAAAGAAAAATGCCAGATTAAATAAACTTAAATGGTCTTTTAAATTTATTTTTCAATAAAAACAATTTTCATTTTTTTTTAATTTTACAAAATATATCTAAAATAAAAGCAATTAATTATCTTTAAATTAGGTCTTAAAATTAAAATAATATTAATTTTTCCTTTGGTTACAAAATTAATTTTTAATTGATTTTCTTTTTCATTTTACTTATGGCACCCGTGAGCTTATTAGGTATTGGGTCGGTCTCTTGCCGTAGTCGAGCACCCTTGGCACAATTGTGCTTCCCAACCAACCTGACCCTTGTTCGGGGGCTTTCTATCAGATTTGGTGGTGCTCGCATGGGCCCCCCACCCCCCTTGAGACCTTACCCCTATTTTTAATTGATATATATGATAATTAATTTATCACGAATTTTTAAAATTTTGCATAAACATTTTGTATGTAGGAACTACAAAATAAGCATAAACGCGTGTTTTATAAAGTTGTCAGCATTTACCTTGACTTTGAGGTCGTCAGTGAGCCGCAGGACGAGGTGGTCGTCGATGAAATAGAGACTGCCGTCGAGTGGGCTGAGCGCCAAGCCTGTGGGCCACTGGAGCTGAGCCTGCTGTGCGGGAATGGAGCCGTGGCAGGGGATGGGTTTCCAGTGGTTGTGGTGGCCATGGTGGCCGACCAGAGTGTGGATTATGCCCTTGGTGTCGACAATACGGATGTTGGTGCCGTCCGCAATGTACATGGTCTTGTCAGCCGATATCGTCAACCCTACGAATCAAACCCAAAACGCTCAAATGCAAACTCGGCCCGCCGCTATGGTGGAGATAACCGACCTTTGGGGTGCGCGAGTTTCGCATCCTTGGCAGGCCCCTCGTCTCCGCAGTTGGTTTCGTCCCCAGGAATGCATCTCTCGCCGGATCCGACGGCTGACTCAAAGTTTACACTTGGGTCGCTCACTTCCTCCAAGGAAATGACGCGCAAAATTTGGTGCTTCTCAGGGTTTGACACGTAAAGGTGACCGTCGGCAGGTGAGATGCTCAGGTAGTACTGATAAGAAACCTGAGTTGCACTGTAAAAAGCGAAATTCTGCGTTAATAAAAAAATTTCAACTTTAAAAATCAGATGATAGTTTCATATTTTTCAACTTGTTTGTTTTTTAAAGTAACAAAATATATGGTTTATGCTTTCTACGAATTCCCACAAAACGTAGAAAGATTAATTACGTTAAATTGTTTTATATTAAATGTTAAATGTCATTTTAATAAAATTATTTATTTATTTTTATTTAATAAATGACACGTAAAGTGCACGGGAATACCATAGAAAAATTTCAAACTAAAACACAAATGGTTTTATTTTTTTGTAGCGCGGGTTGCTGACAACTGCCATTGGTATTTATTTTTTTCATTTGTATTGATTTTCCGATTTAACAAAAAAATAGAGGGTAGGGCAAAAATGGTGTCGGCACTTGACACTGACGGGGCGTTGACGGGCAGGTGAAGTTCAATGGAGCACCTTTCACGTTCCCACGGCGCTGACACAATGAAAGTGTCATCGCTTTGTTCGGCGCCGGGGGCGTTCGTTTTACAATGGGCATGCATGCATACACACAAAGATGCAGGGTGTGTCGTTATGTAGTAGTTGGGTCCGCGCCGATAAAATTGCATAGGGCCGCGCGCCACAGAGCACAAGGGTGCTCACCACGCCGGCAATAACACGACTAACGCATTATGGCGATCATCGGGGGGCACAACATCGCGTTTATTTTTATTTTTCGCTTCTTGGTGTGCGGCGCCGAAAGTGGTGGGTCGATACGAACGAGTTGGTTAGTCATTCTTGTTGCACGATTTTAGCAGCGAGATACTCAAAAGAAGAATTAACGTCACGTTACGAGAATGACTTACGGCTGCGAGAAGCCCTAATTGCATTTCTGCGCCGCTTTTAATGAGAGAAAGAGCAAAACCGAGGGGGAGTCTGTCGGCGCAGAGAGTTATTGTCGTTTTAATGTTTTCATTTGATGTACACGTCTCCTTAAATAATCGCTGCGAAGTGAAATAATGGCGGAATTTAATTTCCTCCGCCTCCGCTGCAGGTTTTATTTTATAATGCACCGTCGTTTTCCAAAGCTCGTGCTATCGACGCCCGCATTAAAAACGAGATGATACGCGCGCGTCTTTTCATCACTCGCAGAGTTTACGACTCGCAATGATGCAAACTCTCTTTGCCAGATTAAAACGGAGGGTTCTTCGTACCTGAGCTTGAGCACGGTGTAGACGCGTCCCTCAGGAGTGACTCTGCGCACCAGATTGAAGTCCCCGACATAAATACTGCCGTCCTCCCCGGAGGCCAGGGCCACCGGGGTCAGCAGCCGCGCGTCTTTTGACAGGCCGTTGCAATCCTTGCACTCGAGGTTGCGCTGCAAACCATTGCCCAAGAGAACCTGAACCGTTCGTGGATAGCGTTTGAAGTGCAGGGTGGAGCCGTCGCCCTTTTGCAAGATTCCTGTGGGACAACAAATAAAAAATGTCTTGAAAATTAAATATCTCAAATCTCAACCAACTTGAACAAGCTTTTATATTAAAAATACAGTTAAAATATTCAAACACAAATACTGGAAACGAAAATTTCTAAAATTCTACATAATTTCTCAAAGCATAGAAAAAAATTAAAATTTATAAGTTTTTGTGCTTTTGAATCAATCTTAAATTGCTGATAAAAATTAAAAAATTATTTGAGGCAAGATTCTGACCTTCATTGAAGTTGTAGTGATGGTGAATGTCCAAACTCCATCCTCCCACGCCTGAAATTTCGACGTCAAAGCCCTGCATGGTGACGGTTCTCGTCTCCCAAATGATGCTGGCACACCCGATGTATTCGTACCCTACCGAGACCTTGGCCACAGCCACGCCGTACACCTTCTGCTTGTAAACATTGCGTTTGTTCCAAGCGAAAGTATAGGTCAGGTTGGGGTCAGCCTCGAAGACCTTCTCGTAAACGGACCCTTCAATGATCACCCGAAGGTGGACGAGGCGCAGTGACAGGGGAATCTTTTCGTGAGTGAGACGCATCAGGGCGATCGACAAGTACCCTGACGCTTGGCTGCTGTGGTACATGAGGTGCACTTCAGAACCAGGAATCGGGATGCTTTCCTGCAAAATCTGTAACAAGAATTGGAATTTTAGAGTTACCCTCTCAAGCCGCAAACGGAAGGAAAGTCAAATAAAGAGGAAATTCCGATTCCCCTGCGATTTGGTTCTCTGTGTGAAATTTTCTCGTTTCGCATTCAATCCATTTTCCTTTGCCAATCAATGGCAGTTCTTGTCAGTATATATCGGCTGGCATTCAGAACGGAACAAACCTCGCCGCCGTTTGAGTCTCAAATTCCCCGGGCGCGCACCGCTGGGAAATCAGTTGCGGCTTTAATTTCACCGCCAATGCTTCTAATTCGAGAAAGAAATAATAATACGCAGCAAATCAATCATAACGTTATTTATCAAGGCGGTGAATTAATAAAAACATTTTTTTTCGATTGCACGGTGAAAGTTTTCTTTGCTCCTTTTCATGAAAATCCGTCCATCAGCTGCAGCAACGCGCGACTCAATTTATCACCGTCTGAAAAGCAGGTGGGCGGAAATAAAATAATGAAGCCCAAACAAAGCTGGTGCTGGACGCGTGTATTGAATTGACACTTCAGAAACAGTTGACGTGGAAGCCGGAAAAACTTGTTTGCTCGCGCGTTGGAAAATTAATTATTTCGCACTTCTGGGAGGCGATTTTTTTTGCTTCGCTGCAAGAAACCCCACAAGCCGTGGCAAATTTCATTAGGGCGCCGATAAAAGCAGTGCGCGTAGATAAAAAATTCCATTATTGTTATTGCGGCGCGCTGAGAACGGAATCCATTTTTAAAAAACATTTATTTGCTCTGGCAGAAAAGGAGGAATTCGGGTCGCGCGCGAGATCGATAAAATTCTCTGCGAGCAGCGCGAGTTACGGCAGCTGTGGAATGCGACGACCCGAGAAAGATAGAGGAGAGCACAGAAGAAGGACCAGTGTCCCTTTTCTCCCCTGGGTGCAGCACAAAGGACAGTGCTGGAACAAAAGAGGGCCTCGTTGCATTGTGCCCGCCAGCCGTGCGACGCGAGGATTAAATTGGAAATGAAGCCTCGTCACCGCCCTGGCCGACGTTGTTTGAAAAACAGCGAATTAATAAAGAGAAGAGAGAGAACCGCTGGCCAGTGAGAAAGGGCGGACGAAAAGAGTAAAACGCGCCAAAAAATAATAGCGGTTGCAGAGAGGCAAATTTCTTTTGTACTTTTAGTTAAAATCATTGTGAGGGCTCTTTGTGTTTTGAGTGAAGTGCGGCGTAAATGAAAAAGGTTCCCACTTTTAAATAAGAGTTTCTTTGACAAGTCTAAAAACACTGGGCCTTTCGCAATGTTAAAATGGCACTGAAGATTAGATCCACGTTTTTATTTCTATCTCTTTAATTGATAAAAAATGTATAACAGGGGCCATCCTATAAAAATATATTTAATCAAAACAACATTATTTGAAGGCGTGTGATTCTTGTGCAACGGAAAGTCAAATAGTTGAATAGTTTACTTTTGATACAATTTTAAATAATAATCTGTTCCTTTGCTCATAATTGATTCTTCTTCTTTTTTCATTAAAATTTATTTATAAAAAGTTTTGAATATTTTTGTTGATTTTTGTATAAATTACTATGAGTTACTGAAGATTTTTTTGTAATTTTTTAAGTGCAGTGTTTATTTATTTGTTTATGCAACTATTTTGTTTGTTATATACTTAAAATATCGCATTGAAATCAAATTTAGCCTTCCCAAACTCATTGATTGGGTTTTGAACGCCCTGGAAATGCGTTACATAAAATCTTGTATCAGAAAATTTCGTTTCTTGGCGCTTTAGCGGAGGAAATTGAGAGTTCCTGCAGAATCAAGAGAAAGTTTTTCGACGCACCGATTCGATCTGGCGTCTCGTAGAGATGGACGAGAGGCGGCGCGCTTTGAATCCTAATTTAATAAATGACACCCGTCCGCAAAAGTTGCGTCGGGCAGTGGAGGAAGCAATTTTTGCGCCGCATCGCCGTGAGTAATGCGAAAATCCTGCCGCCACCGACCCGCCCTCACAAGAAGGCAATAAAAACTTAACAAAACAGCCGTCGGCGCCTCCAGATCTCGGCAACAGATATGTATTTTTATTTCTCTCCTGCAAGTTAAGAAAGAGAGGAAAAGAAAGAAAAACTGCGAGCAACGACGCCCTCCTATCGCCAATAGCTATAAAACCGGCAAAGATTGAGAGCGTCTTTTTGCACCGCAAGAGAAGAGAGCGGCAGGAAATTGAATTTCGCATTACAGCCCCGGCTGTTGAGAAAGCAGCCGTTGCCCAACTTTAAAAACCGATCCCTTGTCTCGCTCGGATCGGCGCCAGGTTGCGAGAGCGGGCAGCTTTTATGCAAAGCAGACTCGCACTTTGCCCGAGGAGACTCGAAGGCGTCTGGCCTGCATAGGTTACTTGGTTCTTCCGCGATTGCCGGGGGTACTGACACTTTGCCTCCATCCCAATACGTTACACACTTGCACAATCGAAACCGGTGACGGAAGATATTAAATTCAAAGAGAACTAAAAAAAATGTTTTACCACACAGTATTCTACATTTTTCTATCACATATGGATTCCAGTTTATATTTTCTCTACATTTTTTTTGATAAAAAAAAATTTAACTCATTAGATTGAAAAACGTTTTAGAATTATATTGAATGTAAATTAGTGTCATTTCAGAAAAAATTTAAAATCTTATAATTTTTGAGCCAGCCATGTGGAGCTTTGAAATGTGCTTTTTGTGTGAATTAACAGAAAGGTTTTGACGATTTTTCATTTCATCCATGACTATGTTATTATTAAATTTTGAACTTCTGCGCATATTCTGTATTGCCAGATAATCAAATTGCTAAAAACAGTTTTAACAAATTCCCTCAGCATAACCAATTTAATTTTTCTCTGCTTAAAACATTTTGGAAGAAAATCAACCTGTTTTATTCTAAATGTCATGTTTTTTTCGTACCTGCGTTTCGCTGAAAACTGCACTCTGTCCAGACGCCCCTCCAACCTTGTCCGGCATCCAGGTAGAAACGACGACCGGACTCATGAGGTTGTGGTCGTGCTCGCCGCAAGGTCGTGAGTACCTTTGAGGCAGCTGGACGGGCACAGGCGTTTCGGAGGGTGGAGGCATCGCTGGACTCTGCTTTCCGCCCTTGCCTTTGCGTCGCTTGAAATTGGCGTCCTCGGTCGAGTTGCTGTACTGCAGAGTGACGGCGGGTGCCACGATTATTTGGTTCCAAGGGCAGAAAAGGGTCATCGTGACCGGCTGGAAGGGCATGCGTGTGAAGTGCAGGGTCACAGCACCACCACCGTTCACCAAAAGGTCAAACCTGAAAAGTATCAATCGAGGTGGAATTAATTTTTTTTTCAAGATCATTTACAGAGAGTGAGGGTTTTCAAATTGACAATTAGGCTCGATAATGAGAGCTAAAATTTCTGGATAAAACTTCAAGTATTTTCTCTTAGAGGTTTTTTTTAAGTTTATTAAAATTCAGCACGACTTAGTGAAAAGTAAGGCAACATCTAGGCGGTCATTTTTGATGCCCAGATTTTTCATATATTTTTGCAAAATCCAAATTTCAACATCCGTAAAAGCCGCAAATTTTTAGATATCGGGGCAAAACTATATATTTTTGAATACCTCGTGACATCTTACTTAGAATATACTTAACATGGCATGACCGTTGCCAACGCATTGTACGGACCTTTGACGAATTCGTGTTCAATTAGTACCAAATTTTTGTCTTTTTTATTTGAAAATTTTTACCCTTGAAGGGCAAAATACTAATTTGTTTTACCAATTTCTGTCTTAACAGGTTTTTGTTACTTTTAATTCAGATTGACCACTTTTTAATTAAACATTTGAATGACTTTTTAGTGGTTTTAAATAACAAGGCAATATTTTTAATTTGCAAATGAAAGGCTTATATTACGGTCTTGCAATTAATTGATTCTCTCTGCAGGGAGAAAATCATTGATTGAATTGTAATCGTCTAATTACTCGGAGAGACGGGAGGAAGCAACCGAAATAATTAAACCCATCGCTTCATCAAAGCTCCATTTCAGCGCAATTAAAGCAATTTGCGCGTGCGACAGGAGCCAAGCAAGGTGGGCCAGGCACGCAGATACTAATTCACTCGTCGATCGTCTCTTGTATGTATTCGCGCCCGAACCGTGTTACAAGCGAGCAGCCACCATTATTAGATGAACGTACAAATTAAGCCGCCGCCGTAGTCGAATTTAATCCCGAGCGTTGTTATTGTTGTTGATGCTATAAATTATTTTCAGCCGTGCGTCACACTTTTGGCCGAGTGCGTGTAATACACAAAAGGATTATTGCTCGGCGCGAGAGAGCTTAAAATTATATTAGAAAAGCAACAACGCAGATTATACAGGAAGAATTCTTTGTCGTATCAGGCGATTTGCATTCGAGTTTTCGCGCCACTATCCTTTCCAACTTGCATCGTAAATTGGAATTTTAAAGCTCAGAAAGGTTAATTTACGACGAATTTTGGGCAAGCAAACTTTTGCGCAAAGTAGGACCCAGAAATTTACGTGAGCAACAGGCCTTTTAACTATACAGGGAACGATAAGTGAATTTTTTTTTCAAATCCATTGAAAAACTTAATGCTTAAATTTAGAACTAATTAGTTTTTCATTTACTAAAAATATGTTCATTTTTAGATATAATTGATGATTTCGGTTGAAGTCTAATTTTTCTAGAACAAATTTGGTGATTTAAAGAAAAAAAAATAATATTCTTGATTTATTTAAAAATAATAGTTGTAAAAAATTGGCTACTTTGGTTCTTTTATGTATTAGATTAGCAAAAGAAGTGGCTTGAAAAGGGCAAATTTGAAAAATTTCTATGGATGATCACGTCTTTCACATTATTACGATCAATAATTGGGGGGTTAAAGGCTGGCTAAGGTAAAAGTTTCCATTTTAAAACTAAAATGTTTTACTCACCATCCTCCAGGCCTGGTCAACGTGAATCCGTTTTTGTTTTTCGAGTCAATGTTGACGCGGACGCCGATGATTCCCAATCCTTGCGGCGACAAAACTTGGCCTCGAATCACCGCAACTCGGCTGTGGAGAAAAATTACTTCTTGGAGGAGAGCGGCCGGGAAAGATCATCAAGAAGTGTCATTTTGCCTCTCGCGCAAAAATAAAATTTTTTATGTACATCGAGGAGGCAAAATAATCACGTTCAGGCGTCGATCGGAGGCGCAACGGGGAAGAAATTTAAGGATTGACCGTGAGAAAAGAATATACATGCTTCGTTGCGCGCTCCGTCGACGAGTGACACGTCTATAAACTACTGTTAAGTGCACCAGACAGCGAGAGCTTAATTTGATATTCCAGTCTGTAATTCAGAGAGTGGAACAATTACGAGGAAAAATACGAGTGCGCACATGTATTCTATGACCTAATCAAGTGAGAAGGGAAAATAAATAAATCAATCAAATGATCGGCATGCTAGGATCGAGTGCTATATTTCTATAGAATTGTTTGTTTGGTGGTTGATTAACAAATTAGTTTTTTTTTGCGGTAAAAACATCACCCTCTGATGACGTAAAGGAGTAATTAATGGTTCGTCCTTGAATTCAGAGGGCGGTTTGCATGGAATTGTGAGACCCGGTCGGAATAGACTCCTGCTAAAAACCAGAGCGTCGCTGCAATAAATCAGTGCGGAAAAATCATATTTTACTCTCGGCTTTCACAAAACTCGACGGCACACACAAAAAGTTATCTCTACTCTCGCGGGCAGGGCTGCTTTTACTGAACTTTCTCACGCGAGTAAAGAAAATTTCGTGCCCCGTATCAAGGCCGAGAATCTCAGGCGCGCGCAAAGTGAAATGGACTAAGGGAGAAGATATGCTCTGAAATTGAAAAGTAATGTTAAATTTACATGAATAGGCAGCACAGCGGGGGCGACACGAAAATATGGAGCAGCATAAATTTCCCTTGGTAACAAAGGCGGATGGATGACCTATTTTTCTCTTTTTGGCAGCAGTCTATTCGAAAACCGAGAAATTCAAAGGGCTTTTGTTTTTCCGTATCGGGGGAGAAAAGCAGGCAACGTTATTTTATTTGAAAGTTCTCTTTTTTAATATTATACGCAGCAAAAGACTGGAGAGAGTGAAAGTGATAGAAATGAAAATGGATCGCAAAAATACGTAATGTATGGTACAAAAAGAAGTGAGTGCATATATCCGTCAGCATTTTTCTTTTGAAGAAAAATAAAAAAGCAGACGGGGAGAGTAGCACGTGAGAGAATGAGTGAATGTGATTTTGGGATTTGAGGAATAAGGATTTGGTCAAGGCATATTATGATGGTTGGTGTGACCACAAATAGAGAGATAAACATTCAGACGCAGACACAAGGAAGGAAGGAGTTTGTTCGAGGGTTTACTTTCAAAAAAACAAAAACTTCTTCTGACACATAATAAATAATGTTCTCATTTAAAGTGTTGAGGAAAGACAAATTACAGTACGCGCTTCAAATCTTCACGATTTTGAAACTTATACTGTACTGAAGAGCAAAAGCAAATTGGCCGTTTTTTATATTGGAAAAAAATATGACATTAGGCCCGAGTGATTTAAATGTTCAACTAATTTCACAGAATGTAAAAATTAATTATCTTTATTTTGGAATATATATGTAATAAAAACAGAACGAAAAATTTCAAAATTTATTGAACAAGTTTGATGTGAACTTACCGAGGAATGAACGAGTTCCAGAACTGACTACAATGGGGTCAAAGAAGAAATAACAGGGTATTACAAATAAGGACTGAACGCCACAATAATTATCACAAGTTGCAATGACAGACACAAGACGGGCACGCATGCTTGGTCTCGTCCTCGCTGCTAACGCCAACGCCTCTCAATCCTGGACCACAGTGTCCAGGATCGCGGGACATTTGACATTTCGAGCGCGAGACGAAGCCAAGCATGCGTTTCACTTTTTCATAGACGCTCACAATATGGTTTGACGCCACAAAAATCAAATTGAAACTGCTGAAATGAAACTCGAGCTACTCGGGATCTTGTGTCTACCATAGTATAGATATAAAAATTGGAAACCTGCCTTGAATTGGGCAGCTTATAAATAAATATATATTTTTTCATCGGTGTTTTATTTTCCTGATCTCCTTGCGGGCGACCAGACGGGTGCGCCCCAGAGTTGAAAGTAAAATAGACACGCACATATTAGGTGGATGAGGTAGGGTATAAAGGTAAAACACTAGACAAAAGACAATGTGAAGGCGTTGAGAAGTGAGAGAAAGTACCAAAGGATTAGTAATTCAGGTGCCAAAGTAAAAATATACTTTTTTACTTTGAAATATAGAGAGGATATTTTTTTGATTTCGAATAAAAATCAACAGTAGTTAAAAATCAGTAACTACTTAATCGTATATAAAATAAGAACGGAAGAGTAAGCAGCGGAGGAAACCGGAAGATGGGATGTCGGAAAGAGAACCAAACAAGAGAGCGGGAGAATCGAAATCAAGAGAAGAGTCACTGGAGTCGTGTGGGTTAATCGCATCTCTTCGAATATCGTCAAAAACTCGATTAGCATTATATTATTACTCCTAAAGCGTTTTGTTATAGATATCAATATATTATAAACTGCCGCTAATGTAAAGTGATGCGTGTTTATATGTGTGTGTGAGAGAGAGAAAGAAAGAGTTTTGGTTTTTCCGCACGTACCTCTCGCTGAACGCTTCCATCGGGGCGTAGACCTGCACCGAGTTTTCCTCGATCAGGAATTTGACGCGTTGGTAGAAGGAGGCGGTGACGGAGGGCGGCTGCTTTCGCAAAAGCACCTCCACAGGGTCGTTGGACGACTGGCAGTAGAGGTTCTCCTTGCACCTGGGCAGGGCGCAGCACTCGCTGTCCGCGCAGTCGGTCAGGTTGTCTGCAGAGGGTGCAAGAGACTTTCTTAAAAAGTGTCCTTTTTATATCGATTTCCAGAGCTTTTGTCCCTTTTCGGCAGGGGCTGAGCAAGAAAAGCTGGCGGCGCTAAATTGTTATGCTCCGGAGATAGCGATCCCGCTTTCAAGTCAGGCGCTTGAGGAGAAAGGGCTTAAACGTGATGGAAATTTGAAAAATAGCGAAATTAGATTGTGTGTCGCGGAGAACTCAATTTTATCCCCGAGTTAAAATGGAAAAGTTTCTAAACTATTTCGAAAAAAAGTACTCGTCTTTGTACTTTAGCTACTTTATTACGAGAAAAGTTATGCAACCTGCCGGTGCGGCTTGACGAGCACGTTGCATAACTCGCCCCTTAAGGATCCTCCCTTCAGTAAAGTGCTCAACTTTGTTTGAAAATCGGGGATCAGTGCGCGAGTTAATTAATGGCCGCCGAGCTGAGCTCTAATTATCCCGTCTTATCTCCGGCGGTCCACTTCTTCTTGAGGCAAAGTTAGGCAACCTCGCGTGTCATGCACCACTCACCCTCGTCGTTGTCAATCTGGTCGTTGCACTCCTTCTCCAGCCGGATGCTACAGTCACTTCCGGCCCAGCCGTCCGAGCACTCGCACCGGTACACGCCTTCGGCCATGGCGCATGTTCCGTGCCGGTTGCACGCGTTTTTGCATCCAGCTATAATTAAAATCAAAATTTCAACCAATTTGTATATTAAATAAAAAACCTGCTGCAGGAAAAAACAAGGTAAACAAGCAAATAATTGGAAGAAATTTTATTAAAATTTCACCCACAATGAATTCAAACTAAGTTGGAACATTATTATTATTTTGAAATTTAATTAACAAGTTATTTTGATTTTATGTACTGTAATTGAAATAAAATAATAGATTTTAAGCTCACGCAGAGTGCAGTGACGTCCGTTCCATCCTTGAGAGCAAACGCAGGTTCCGTTTTTACATTGCCCATGTTCAGCACATCTCGGGTCACAGGGTAGGAGGTCGCATCTGTCACCAGTCCAACCATCGTCGCACTCGCACTTGCCTTTGTCGCAGCGACCGTGAGGACCACAATCTAAGCTGCACAGGGCTGTAACAGATAAGGAAAATAATCAAATAAACTTTCACCATATTTTGAGAAAAAATTTAACAAATAATTTATAATGTTCGACACGTAAAATTATTTTACAATCGATCTCTTGACTCAATTCTCAGAGTTAAAAGTGACCTCTATCCCCAGCCTGTTCACACTTAATAAGAAATAATCATCATCAGCCTTCTTTTTCTCAATTGAAACACCCGTTTTTAAATATTATTATATTATTTTGATCATTTTTTTTTTAAACCATAATTCATTAATCTCAAAAAACCAAATATTACCCAGCAAGAGGGAATTTTAAAATTATGATAAAATACCACGACGATTTCCCAAAATTGATAGCACACATGGACCGGTTTAATTGAAAATTGGAGCGGCAGAACAACATCAATCAGAATTTTCGAAGCCGCGGCATCATGTTTTGCAGGCAGCCTGCAAAAACAGGTCGAAAACATGAAAAATGCAATCGTGCGGGCCGCCGGTGATAAATTACCGCGAGAAAGATTAATGAATCTGGCAAATTAATTCCCTGGCGGCGACGAGCGTTAAAAAGCGGCGGCTGCAGCTCATAAGCTAATGGAGCTGCGACCATCAATTTCAAAGTGCAGCCGAAAATGAGGTAAATTGCGTTTTGTGTCGGAGGATGCACAAGGGAGTGAAACAAGATACGTACAGAGTCTGCTCCCAGAGCAATCGTCAAATTACCTGCCGAGCGCGTGCCTTACAAGTGCGTCGTGTGTTTTTTTCTCTAAAATTCTGCCTGAACAGCCTCACAAGTGACTTTCACCGACAGAACACGGCGCGGAATTACTACAAAGTTTAAACACGACGCCGGCTTGAGTTTCATACACGGAGGTGCAGAGCAATTATACGGCCCATCACGGCAGCCAAATTGCCAGCTGGAAATTTGAGATCGGCAGTTTTCGCGTGCAGATGGATGAAAATGACAGCAAGTAAAAATACAGGGCTAAAATTAAAATATTTAGAAATATTTGTGCTGTTTTATGTTTTATTGAATTATTATTGCATTTTTACTGTCATAATGTAACTTAACACATTCAATTCATTTGGAATAAGTCTTTAACATTAAATCAAATTAAATATTTTTAAAAGTAATTCAAAATAATTTCACAGTTAATCTACCACATAATTAATAGTTAGTGTTCCATGATTCTATTCATTACCTACAATGTTGATGAATAATTTAAAATATCAACTTACTTTTTATTCTCATATGACATGCTTTTTTAATAAGAATAATAAATACCAATGAAAAGAGCAATTTTTCATAAATTTTTATTTTATCATTAAAAAGTGATAAATGTTTAATATTTCTAAATATTAAAATTAAATTATTTAAAAAAAAAATTAATTCATTTATTAATAAATGTAAATAAATATATTATTATAAATAAATAAGTTCACAAACGGTCATTATCATAATAATTAAGTATAATAATTTATATTTTTATTGTAAAGGGAAAAATTTCTTTATAATTAAACTATGAGCAGGAAACTTGGATTAAACTAATTATGAAAAATTCAAAAGGAATTTAAATTTTAGCTTTGAAGCATTAGTCAAATTATAAAAATATGAATTCATGAATGATGAATACTTTCATCAGGACTATCCCATTCAAAATTTTTTGTTGTAAAAATGTAAACCGAGGTTAGTTAACTATTGAGACTTTCCTGACTAGCTGACTAAGTGACTAGTATTATTTGTTTTCCTCCTTTTGTGGCCGACGCTGGTTGCCAAAAACTTTGGCGCAACTCCTCCTTCTACCTTATTAACTTTTATTGAATTAAAATCCGGCTTTAATGCCGGCGATAAATTCGAAACGCGCCCCATTTTTCACATTTCACTCTCTGCTACACACAAGAGAGGCTGCAGTATTTCACTTTCGTCCGCTTTGTCCGAAACCACTAGCAAAGAAGACGCCGGTTTCCGCACTTTGGCCGCTGCGAACAAACACGCCGTCCGAGACGAGGGTTGTTTGGCTGAGTGCTGGATGCAGCATTGGCTGCTGGTGCCGTTAATGGGTCCATACGTCACCAGTGGTGCGTGCACCGCCGACCGACCGACCAAAGTACAAGCCAACGCGCGTGAATCAGCCGCCTAAATAATAAACGCGCGGGAAGCTGGGAGCAGGTCTAATTTGTGAATTATGGCATCCGCGAAGGAAGGGGTTAAAGTGTGGGTGGCGCTCAAGTTGCTGCTGACAAATTTATCTGCCATTCGTTCATAAATAAGAGAGGACAAAAACGGACGGGGGAAGGAGTGAGATTCGAGAACAAGGAGCCGCAAATGAAGGGCCGGCAAGAAAGTTATGCGCCGAGAAGAAGAGCCTCTGCGTTATTTTTGTTGCTTCGAGCGAGAGGACCGAGAATTTGGTGAATGGAACGCGCCGAGTTGAGCAAGTTTGCCTCTCCGGGGTGCAAAAAGCGAGCAAATTATGTAAGCTTGACTTCGGGGGAAGAATTTGTTTGTGGAGACAAGGAGGAAATTTCGTCAAATTGAATTGTTGGCAAAGGCAGAAGGTTAAAATTATTGAAATTTCTAATGGATTTTATTTGCAGGAAGGAGTTAATTTAATATATTTCCTTCCAAAAGCATCAGTTCCTTCTTGCTTAAACGCTAAAAAGTTTAAAAAAAAATGCATTTTTTTTTTTAAATCATTTTGGCGGAAAATATAGAACCTTGGAGTGAATTCTTTTTTGACGCTTTATGGTGCGTGCAGATTTTTACTTGCAATATTATTATTAGTCTTCAATCAAAATTAAAAATTACTTGAAGGTCCTTTTGAGCAAAAATTGAATACATACATATAACGTTTGCAGAGAGAGCTTCAAATTGTCAGAGGACCATTTAAATTCTCTAATTGCCCTTTCTGAAATGCAATTTGGAAAGGGAGGATTTTGCGCACAAGCAGCGCAAAAAATGAACGACGGTGCGGCGAGGCTGTCGGAATTATTCAAAAGACGGGATGTGTGTTTGACTTGCCGCTTAATTGAAGCTGCGCGCCCGGGCTTAATTACGGCACGCTTGAGCGTTTGAGTAATTCACTTTCCATAATTAAAGCGCACCTTGCGTTTAAGCAGAGCCGTTGGTGGTGCAGCGCGCGCGCGTCCTTGTCTGCTGGCAAATTGATCTCGTCGTGTGCACATGTTTCGCCCAAGAGCTTCACTACTTATACTACACGCTACACTGCCGAGTCTCGCGAGACGCGCCGCTAAAAAGCTGCCAATATTGGCCCGCTCGGCAGTACATCACCCAAGTTACTTGGCTCGAGACGGAGGAGCCGTCGTTGTTTGGCGCATTGATCTCTGTGTTGCTTGCTTGCTCGGCCTGCGAAACTAACTTTCGCCAAACTCCCAATTTGCAACGCCCAAGACGCACACAAAGGCCCTGAGAGAGCACCCTTGCCTTGCTCGTCAGATATTTCATTCCACAGACTTTTATCGTCTGAATTATGACAGGGCGATTGATGTCTTGTATTATTAAGTAAATTCTTAAAAAAATCAGTTTTTGAACTCAATTGCAATAGTATTTTTATATCAAAGTTGTACCTTAATTTAAACATCATAATAGAAATAGATTAAAAAATTCCTAGCACGTTTTGAAAACGCTTAATACTGGCTTAATATTCATAAAAAGATTTGAATTTTCGTCTATTAAAAAAACTAAATAACCTGAATTTGGTGAACCTTTTAACATATTAAATTTGATCGGAGAGCCAGTATATATCTGAAAATACTTACAAGAATAAAAATAATGAAATTTATGCTATTATATTTAAATTATACTTAGATAGAAACTATAAAAAAGCGTCTTCTCATAATTGATGGTCTGTAAGATTATCAAACAAATCCTTCAAATTGATCATAAAGTCACAGAAAAATATTGAAGTTTGTATTTAATTAAAGAGCCCTTAAAATTTTTAGTTTTTACCATAGCATGACAAAATTACACTTCCAATACATTTTTGATACCTCTGATTATAATGAAAGGAGAGATGAATGAAGTTAGTTACATGAAAATGAAATTGTGATAGGAATTAATATTTAACTAACCCCCAAGAACTTCGCCTATGAGTAGATAGGATTTTCCAATTAATTTAAATTACGCGGTACGACTATATATAAATTTTTATAAAAATTATATAAGATAAACAAATAATATAGTGCAAAAAAATTTATATTTCAAAAAATTGTTAAAATAAATGTAATTAATTTAAATATAAATGATATTATTTAAAAATAAAAAGTAAGAATTTTTTAAATGTAGTTCACGTTATTATTTAAACTTAAATTAAAAAAAAAAATTAATTTATAGCTTTAAAAAATTACAATTAAACTTACCTTCGGAGCAGTCGATCCCGGTCCAAAAGTTGTCGCAGATGCAGGCGCCACTCTCCAGGTCATACGAGCCGTGGTCGTTGCAGCCGGGCAGACACTGATAGACTTGTTGGTCCAGTGCAGAGCAGTTGACGCCCTGCCAACCTGCTTTGCAGTAGCAACGTCCGGCGACACATGATCCGTGGTTCGAGCACGTCGGGTCGGGACACTCAACTGTGGAGCAAAAAAATTTTCATCAAGTCTTCGCCTGTGCCAAAAAAACTTTTTGCAAAAGAAAAATAAATCGGAGACGTACAACGACAAAAGCGAAATAAAATTCCTTTCATTTGAGGTGCTGACGAGAGCCTTATTTAGAACACGTCCCTTTTTTATCAGAGTGGGAAAGCATTTCAATATCGAAAAGGTGATAATAAAAAACGAGTGAGATGAAAAGTCAAGCGGCGCCGAGATCAAAGCGAAAAAAAAAATTTCCATCCACTGGGATAATTTCATATTTTTGATTTCGCGCTGCCGAGTTCATTGCTGGAGTGGCTTTTAATTAAAAAAAAGCGACAGAGAGAGGCGGCGGAACACCTGTTAGCTGACAATAAAGCCGAATGAATGCAGCTTTTAGTCCAGGTCTGATTCGAGGACGGGCCAAATCGATCCACGTGTTTTAGAATTTTATCTCGGCAGAATAAGTGTACTTTTCGGAACAATCTGTTGCAAAGCCCCTTGACGGCAGCAAAGGGGCTGCTCGAGTGGTGCACGCCGAAAAAGTTGTCAAGAGGGAAGAGGGTGCACGAGCGCGGAATCTCCGTAATGTCAGGTGAAACCCACGTGAGATATTAAAACTGCCGGGCGGGCGTGGGGCGTTGCGTGTGCGGAGCTTCGGAAACTAAATTAGCGTCTGGAGCCGTTCCACGAGCAGCTGATTAAACAGTTCGGAGCTGAGGAGGGTGAAATATGACTGCAGTCAAAACTTCCCTCATTGCAAACTTCTCCAGTCAAATTTTAAAATTCCTATTTTGTTGAGCGCTATGAATTAATATGATCAAAATTGGTTTACTTATTCTTAAGAAATTATTAATGAAGGCACCGAAAGTGGAATTTATTAAAAAAATATGCAATCCGATTCTTTGATATTTATTTTTTAATAAGAATTAGAAGTTTCATGAAATATTTCGGAGCAGATTCCATTTTTATTACATTCTAAATATATATTTTCAACTATTATTTTTTATTTCCATTTATTTCTATAAAATTTGAGATATTTATTTGATCTTTCAAATAATTTTATTTCAGACGGAATTTTTTTGTTCCTTTTTGTTGTATTTTATTTTAGGAACCTAATATAAAATTCAATATGGCACTCTAGCTTCCACTCTCCCCTTTGATCTGCAAAAAAAGACTGGAAACTTAATTTCGCAGCAAAGCAACAACCCTCTTTCACTCTGATTTTGCCGATCAAACGCTCAACTTTGTAAATTCCGACGAAGCGCATCCCACGCTTGGAGATTTAAAATAAAAGCCAGCAGCTCCTGCTGAGCGGCACTTTATTAGCCATCGATACGTATGGGACCTATTAATAAAACCAAGTCTGCCTTTAGAGACAAAGGCGTCGTGGTTGGATTAGCATTTTGATCCCGGCTGCCTTTGATCTCATTCTCTCCTTTGGAAAACTTTTCAATGTGCAGAAAAAAGAACTGACGTGCCTCTGTAATGAAGAGATTTAACGATGGGAGGGAGGTGTCAATCGAGGACGAGTTATAAAAACTTGCATATTCAAATGCATTTTACCATTGAAAGATTTTCCTTCTATATTTTTTTTATCAATAAGAAATAATTAAATCAATTGTACCTCAAAAACTTCCAATAATTTTGATTAAAATTTAATTTAATTTTCTCATCTTTTTCAAAGAATTTCCTGCAAATATTTTTATAATTTTTTTCCTCCTCGTACGTGGGACGGCTTCCCCCAGGCAAAGTGTTTGTGCAAATCTGACTGTTCTATTTTTGCACATTTCCACAGCTATATGATGCGGTGGGCTTCTCCATTTCCACCAACTCGTCACTGCTCGAGTGAAATTTGACTGACAGACTCCTTAATAGGGACATCCCGAAAAGCTTTTGCAAGCCTCTCGAGAGATGATGTATCTCAGTCGGTCTCTCTGCGAATACTATATACCTATGCTTATTTATGTAGACACGCGCACACAAACACAGAGAGAGGACGAAACGAGCGACGACTTGAGTCGCGCACACACGCTAACAAGTTGGGAAGAAAAGGAAAGAATCTATCATGGCGTATGCATGCGTCTCGCAGAATGACGACGGCACAGCAAACAAGCTTTGAGAAAAAAAGAAAACACACCGTCTATATTTGTATTTATCGAGAGAGATCGCATTGAGGCTGAAGAGGGTGGTGAGGGCGGGACACACCCTTATTTGCGATCTATTTTCGTGTCGGCGCAAATTAAGTTTGCACGCGTAATGAGAGAGAGGATCAGTTTGGGTGCTGACGAGAAAGAAGAAGCCTCATTTTTGTCAGTCTTTTGTGTTTGCAGCTTTTAAAAGGGATTAGAGAGAGGGCCGCGCTGGAAATTTAATAATCGCACGCGCGGAGAAAAGCTTTCAAAAAAGCGCTCGCGGGATGGGATCGATGCGTATTGAATTACTGACAGTCTAAAAGGTATTATTTTCTAGAATTTTCAAAGAGCAAATTTTCAAAAAAAAACCATCTTGTTACTTCATCAATTTTCAATAATTTCTAACATGATATTCATCTAAAAGCAATTATTTAAAATTTTTAATAAAATCGGGGATGCAAAAAAATTTAGTATTTTTTATAACATTTGCTAAATGATGAAAGTTATTTTCTGTTATTTTTATATTTAACAAAGGATAAATAAAACTTTTTAAGTCTGTAAAAAACGGAATAAATATCGTCCCCATGAAATAGGATTAGATTTTTCTAATAAAGGTTAGATAACAATATTCCATTCTCTGCAGATATTAATTAACATTGTAGTTATTGATTTTTTTATTTCAAAGTTTTTAAATGTTTGTGTGTCAAGCATTTTTTTTTGTAATTAAATGTATCAAAATAAGCAACAGCTATGCACCACGAAGCTCCACTAATTGCCAATAATTTTGGATTGCCCTCGTTATTCGACGTATAAAAGACGCCTGCAATCGTAATTCTGCGCGCCCTCTTGCCAACAAGCGAGATTCTCGTGTGCGACCACAAAACGCGAGCACATAGAGCGCATTAACCGCCCTTTTATTATATTTATCGCCGGCGAATTATGGCCTGGCGGGTTGCAGCATTCCGGCTGCTGGCTTGAGTGAAAGCAGGGGGCTCGCCGCAAAACGGCCCCTGCATCCGACCGAATGCACACACAGAGTTTGGGAACAGGCGCACCTGCACGAGGCCCGATATGAATAAAAGAGGAGCGGCTCTGGGAAAAGAGGCAATTGGCATCTCAACTGCCAACCCTTTTGTTGCCGCCGCCGCCGCTTATCCCCGCGCATCTTAATTGTTATACGGCAAGGTGGAATAACGCCGGCAATTAAAACTAACTTCTGCAGCAGAGCAATGAAAGTTTGGAAAACTGGGCGCACTCTAATTGAATATACGCGAAAGTTCAAAAGAGCCCGAGGAAATAAAAGATAAAGGCTCCGCTCATTTGACGAATTTGCACTTTTCTGTAAATACACATGCAGCGCAGCCGGAGAGGATTTTTGTTTGCCGAGCAATTTAATTTGCGCGAGAACGATTGCTGCATGAGGATCTCTGGCGTGTTCATGAAAAGTGCAAATATTACAGCAGGCAGGGAAAAGGGCCGGCGAAAATGGAGCCGGCGGCAGGAGACAAAATATTTGTCTTTTGCGATACTTCTTGGTAGTTTTGTTTACTTGAAAAATTACGGTGGAGGAGTGAAATATTAGACTTATTATCCGGTTAGGAAACTTCTCCGTTGCAGCAGCATAAATTTGGTCCTGGGAACGAGCGGAGCGCAGAGAAAGAGGGACAAATTATTTAGCAGGCGGCTTCGCGTGCAGCGGCAGAAAAGAACAAGTCGGAAGAGCAACTGCGGAAACGGAAGGCTGCAAGGCAAATGTTTGAGCGCCGCGTTTCAGAATTAAATTATTATTTTTATGGTGAGAGCTTAGCCTAAAGTCACCACCTGCAACCTTCCACAAGGGTTTTTACAAGTAGTTGAATTTTGAACATATTAATTAAATATATAATCCAAATTAAGACAATTTTAAAGTTTTTTTTCTGATAAATATTTTTTTTAGAGACGTGAAAATAAATGGCAAAATAAATCAATCTTATATTTTTAATTAATTATTGGTAATGTTATTTATCAACGTCTTTAAAACTTATTAATGTTCATTATTAATTAAAATTTATAAATTAAACATAATTTAATTGACATAATTATTATTCTTTGAAGTTAGTGTTTGATTCTGTGATAGATCGATTAAATTAATATTGTTTTTAATTGAAGCCAATAAAATTTTTATTTTTAGGTTGCATGAAGCAAAATTTTTCATGAGTTCTTAACGTGGATTAAGTTGAGGAAATTAATAAATGTTAATTATTTTAAAAATTAGAAAATTTACTATCGACTTACTTTTTGTTTGAATAATTTTCTCTCCATTGACTTGATTTGTGAAGAATTAAACAACAATACTAATATTGGCCTTAGTACACAAATATTCGCCCCATGTGCGCGCTTCAATTTTCAAATTACACTGCATAGCAATGCAGATTCAACTTAACACATCGTCATAGGGACCAAATTAATCATAACGAAAATTTAATCGCACATAAAAGATCAAATTTGCAACTATGCTCGTATTATTATTATTTTTTTTTTTTTTTAAATTACCACTTCTAACAACATGATGTTACTAAATTTTTGGATTTTTTATTTTTTGTTTATGTATTAAAAACGTAGTCATGACTCCTATATTTTTCCCCAATCCAACAAAATTACGATGAAAAATAAAAATAAAATTAGTATTGATGCAAAACTGACAGGTAATCTGGTGTACTTATAAATGACCCTTATATTCGTTAGTGATAATTTCTCCTTTTTTCCCCAAAATATTTTTGGACAGATAAATATTATCAATATTTCAGGAGATCAATTTGAAGTATCTACTTAAAAAAAGCAGCAAATAATTTCACAGTGAAGGATCCCCTTTGGCATTTTCCGCAGCTTGAATCTCGTCGATGCCCCTCGAAAGCAGAAATCAAAGCCCATCAATCCGTCACTCGCGAGTAAAGCTGCAAATTCGAAGCAATCTGGAAAAGGCGCGGCAGTCGGGCGGGGCCCTTGAATCCCATTAAACCGACGGTTCAGGGCCAACTCGAGAGCTGCGAATGTGCACGACGCACTCGAGCCTCACGTCGAGTGCTTGCGAAAGGACAGGGAATTTAATTTCATCGCAGTGCCAAAGTTTCGCCGACTTGTTTATTCAGCTCGACGAAAATAGCAAAGTTTCTCGTTATTGTCTTGGTGCGAATGTCGTTTTCGAAACTTCAACTTTAGACGACGATTTCGCTCAACACACACCTTTGACGTTTTGTTTCCTCTGTTTAAAAATTGACGACGGTTTTATTTTTTCAGGAAGGGCTGCGTTCTTCTTTCCGCTGCGATGGCGGCGCTGCTGCAGAAAATCGATGGCCCAAACGGCTTAAAGCGGATGGCCGGCCCCTTGCACAGATCTGTTATTGCCCCCGTGTTTTACGCCAAACGCAAATGATGCCGATTCGATTATGCGCGAGTTGTTTGTTCGAGTCGCCGGCCAGTGACGTCAGCGGGCACTTGTAACTTGTCACGACAAGCGGCCACGTAATTAAATTTCACATTATTTTGCCTGTCAAAACTTTGCTTTGATATGTGGCACAAAAGCAGTGGAGCGGCAAAAGTTTGCCTATCAAGTGGCATGATTAATTACGCTTGGGCTTCATTCGGACGATTTTTCAAAAAATATTTTTTTTAGAAAATGGTTGCAAATGCTACATTGGAAAAAATTCAAATATAAACTTTTATACTGAACATTAAATATAGTCTATAAAATCCAGTTTACTTTTTTGAAGACCATCAAAATTAATTTATTTTATAAAATAAATTAATTTTAATGAATGTAACTGAAACATGTCTAATCATCTGAAACGATTACAGTCTCAAAATTACAATTGGTCAATTAGTTGTAAAAATTAAACTTTAATGGGAATTGGTGCAGTGTGTTTCTATTTTAAGTTTCTCATAATTTGATTTTTGTATCTAAGTTTGGTCTCAAAATTGATTTTCAGATCAAAATGGAAAATGAAAACGATGAAAACAAACTATATAAACATTCAGCTAAAGTTTATAAAAAAAATTACATTAATTACATAATTTTTAAATTTATTATATATTGCCATTTTATTATTTAAAATATTATAAAATAATTATTGTTATTTTTTTTCTCAATAAATGCAATAAAAGTTTGGATTATAAAATACCTATTTGACTTTGATCTAATAAAATAAAATAAATTATAGATTTTTACATCTCTAGTTTCACCTCGATATAATTTAACTATTCAAGTGATTCAGGTTGGAAATTGCGTCATTAATGAGGAGTGTTTCAGTTTGATTAAACCGCTCGCCCTACTTAGCGCCAAGTGCATCGAGGTGCAACTGATCAACCGGCCGATGTAGAACGCAATTATAGTCCGTGCGAATTATTAATCGAACAAGTTTGAACTGCGCGCGCGGTGACTGCGCAAAAAGAGTCTTTGATGAGCACCGTCGCCGCCGGGACATAATGAACGCTCTCGACTTAACGACTTGTTGAGAAAACAAAAGATTGTTCGACGTGTGCAATCAGCAGATGGTGCAGGCGGTGAGCATTGCCATTGCGAACATCTACAGGTTTCCAGAGCAAAAAATCATTGAGGATTGGTGCTTGGACGGTAAAAAGCTTTGTACAAGAACAAAGGTCTTTTCAATTAACTTTCCGCCGTTTTACAATAAGTTAATTAAACCTATGAAAGTTTTTGTGTATTTTCAAGGCTGTAAAGGGTCTGTTTTTTTTTGTTCTTTACAAAATGCAGTCTGACAATGGATCTGAAAATTATGGCATTTCTCTTTTGAAAAAGAACAATATTTTTGCACGAAAAATTATATTTTAGGATTTTTAGGATTGATTGGATTTTTCTATTCATACCGTTTGGCAATAGTTCGTGCAGATTTAATTACATCTTAAACCAAATGATCTCATTTCTTAAGAAAGCTATCTGACTTTTAGGATGAAAAGTGCTTTTTCATTTTTAAAAATCTTTCATTAATTTTGAATTAGAACTGGAAATTAAAAAAAAAAACAGCGGAAAAAAATTATTGTTAAAAACGTTTTTACCCGAAAAGATTCACTGAAAAGTTTGAGAAAAAAATACGTTTTTCACCAGTCAGGTATTTTCAATTAAAAATAATGATGTCGTGCGGGTTGCAGAGAAATGGCTGATTTACAGTTCGATTTGATTAATTAAATATTTTGATTCGGATGGAACTTTGTGTTTTGTATAAACTAGCATCTGAAATTAATTGACTACGTGCATTTTCCCATTCATGTGCGAGAAATGAATAACGAACACACACATGTTAGTTTGAACTTTGAAACAAGTGTGCGGCACGAAAGTAAATCATATGAAATTGCAAGGCGCGCCGTTTAATTCCGTATGTGTCTCTGGAAGATGTGCATGTGTGTGTTTGACAGCAAGAATTAAGCGGAGGCCTCGAATGCGCTGACTCAGGTATGTTTTCGCTGGGCCGGGTCGTTATGTTCGTTTCATGTATGGTGTACATGCAGAGAAAGAGCGAGTTGGCCTTTTTACGTGCCACCGGGCGTTTTACAAAAGCACATGCTGACTTTTGCATGTTCCAGCAGCTGCAGCAGCGGCTCGTGTTCATTGTCGTCGTTTTCGTTTTTTCCCTTTGCCGCTTTTGTATCACAAGGTTTATTTTTGCACCGCGCGCGGGAAAATAAATATTGCCCTCGCTTGTTATCAATCTCCGATCTTTAATTATAAAACGGGCCTTTTTGTACTGAGTCGTGGATGGAGCACGATGTGGTAAGTGCGCTAAGCTGATTAGAATTTGAATTATTGAGAGAGCAGAGAAAAGCGTGCGCGCTGATAAAGCGGATAAAACTGCACGGAGCTGCACTTGAAAGCTCGTTATGAATGCAAATTCTACACACTAACCTCAAAATCTGCTCGAATAAAGTAGCAAAATATTAATCAATTGCTTAGTTTTTAAGCAGGTGTGAGCAGGTGTCTAATTATTGCTAACAACTGAATAGAGCATAAAAATAATTTTGAATTTTAGTTTTATAAATGGGGATAAATCAATTTATACATAAATTTATGAGTTACAAAAAAAGGAAAATCAACAATGATAGTCAAACCGCACAAATAAGTGAAAATTTTAAAATGCAGACATATTTTGAGAAAGGACGAAGAACTTAAAATATTTTCAAATTCATTTATATTTAAAGTAACCTCTTTAAGGGAAAAAAGACTATTGCTGCAATATTATTGCATAAGAAAAAAAAAATTAAGATATGACTTAAATTTTCTGTTATTTTTCACATGTTTAAAAGTTAAAATTTTATTACATTTTGATAATTTTTCTATGATTGTGCTATATTTGAGCAGAAACCAAGTTTTATTGCTGAAAAACGTAATGAAAACGCAGGAAAAGTATTTTTCTGATTGTAAATATTTAGAACAGTTATATTATAGTGGCTTTGCTACATTAATTGCTCATTGTATCTGTCAACGTGTGTGGTATTACATGACACGTTTTCGCCCATTCTCTCTTTTTTGCTCCCTCTCAGTTCTCAAGCTGCTTGAAAGAGCCATTAAGGCAAACAGATGTGCTTTGCCGCTGCGTGTGGGCGAAATAAACAAATTTGCCTGAGAGCGGGTGGACGGACCCTTTGCGAATTGCGACCGACAACCGGTTGATGGCCCCGATATAAATCACCCTCAGCTTACCTTGCTCGCAGGAAACGCCCTTCCAGCCCGTGTGACAGACGCAGACACCGCCGAGGCATTGTCCGTGACCAGAACAATCCGGTGTTTCGCAGTCGTGTTCCGGTACGTCGCATTCCGCTCCTTTCCAGCCCTCCTCGCAGTGGCACATTCCGCCGCCGTACCGACCGTGGTTCGAGCACAGGACCGGGCAAACGCCTGCAAATTACAATTAATGGCATTCATTAGTAAAAAAATACACTTTGCAGCAATTGGTGTTTTTACACCATGTTCTATTTGCGAATTTCCAGAATGAATCCCAATAATTCAAATTTTTTCCTTATCAATTCAAATTATAAAAAATTTGATTTTTTTCTAATTTGAAAATTCATTGAATTAATAAAAAGAAACAACAATCTATAATGGCGAAATTTTTAGTCCTGAACCGAATTCAAAGAATATAGATTTTAAGTTTTCTGGATTATAACAGATGTTTTATGCAACTTATACTAGATAGAAGAACAATCAATCAATTTGCTAAATTTGATTTTACTTGCTATAGATTTGAACAATATCGAATAATTTTGTTTGCGTACAGTAAAAAATACTTTTATTTAAATTTCTCATAAAGGCGAGGATTTTCTTTTTTCATTTTTGTTGTTTATTCCTCATGTTTACAATCTAAAAATAAATGAAATAATAATTAAGAATATATTCAGGAATATTTAACATTTAGAAATTAAAATATTGGAAGTGTTTTTTTTTTTATAAATAATTTATTTCATTTACGTCAACATTTTTTAAATTTTAAGTAATTTTAAATTAATATTATATTCTTTATATAATTTTTTAATAGTCTCTCACCGTAATTTTAAAAGTATGAAAAAATAGAAATCAACCGCACTAACATAATTTAATATTTATATTTTGGAAGACATGAAACTCTTTGAAAAATCATCCATTTGATGTAGTGTTGTATAGTATATTATTTATAAATAAAATGTAGAAGAAGATAGGAATGATAATATTCATAATAATTATAATAAAACAAATAAATTTACTTAAGTAATAACCAAACTATGTTGAAAGGAAGTTCTTTGGGGAATATGCGAAAATAGAATTTTAAGGATGACGCACAGTAAATTAATTCAAATTCCTAGCCCGTGGGCAAGTACAGGCCATAAAACATTATACGAGGCAGCAAACGCGGCACGTATTCCGACGCTGCACATATTGGCCGCGCGCTATCGATTGGCCCGGATGGGTGCCGTGGTACAGCCGGCGCTTTATTGCCTAATAATAACTCGTCTGCATAATAAAAGCCGCGTCGGCAGCGGCATGTGTGCTGTACGGCCAAAGTACATAATTCCAAATTGCCATTTTTGCGCTGCACGTCGCTCTGCAGGCAAACGCGAAAATATCAAGTCCGAGAAAAACGAGCACCAAAAATAAAAAAAAACTCCAGAGAGAAGAACATCCTGCGAAAGGAATATTGCCAGAATTTTTCGTTCTACAGAGAAAAATAGCAAGTTAACTTCACCAAACGTTTGCAAAATGATTTTTTATGGCGCTCTTTGAAGTAATGCGAAGATTATAATTCTCATTGAATGTGGAAATCTGGAACGAATTATCATTTTTATAGTGGAGAGAAAAAGAATAACTAAAATAGAAAAAATTTCATTTAAAAACATGGGAGCCGGGTTGCGGATCAAATAAAGTCTTTGATTGCAAGTTGGGCAAAATCAGCGAAAATAAGAGATAAAGAACTCAAGGTCTCTGGGCGGCTGGTTGGCGATCTCTCTTTCCCGTTTGCTGTCTTTTAATATAATTGCAAAACAGGCCGTCGAGTGAATTCAGCGGAAGATTAATTGCCTCCGTGCTGATCTTTGTGCACGGAATCGCAGCGCAGGATCAAAAACGCGCACGGCCGGAGAGATGTGATGATAGTTTATTACGGGGGGGATTATTACGAGCCGGCGAAAACAGAAGGATGGAGGAAAATACTGCAATTCGATCAGCGCGCAAAATGAAATGAAAGAGAAATGAAAGCGAGCTAGGAAGAAGAGGGATGTTTGCAGCGCGGAGAGATATTACGTTTTCTCATCTTTCCGCCGGGCTGGAGGGAGGACGCGCTATACATCGAGGGGATATAATAACCGACAAAATGTAATAATATAAAAAATATCAAGAGATGGCTGGCGAGGCTGAAAGGAGCCCTACTAAAACTCGAGAGAAGGAAACATGACGTGCTGGAGGTAACCAAGACACGTATCGCTGTGGCCAAGGTTACGCCCCGCCCGCTTTATGACGGCTATGGGGAATAAAGTAGCACGTCTTTGCCTCTTCGCCTTAATGCCACTTCCAAACTCGCCTTTATTGTTCATATTTTCCGCAACAAGTTCTGCTGAGCGTGCAGTCCAAATAACGAGATTCAATCATCTCTGCCGCCGGACCGCCCGACAGATATCTAAATTATTCTCCGTCTTCAATAAAATTGATCTGTCCTCTAAGGGCTGAGAGCCCCGTGCGACCATCAACACTTGTGAAATGGATTTACGCTGGCCCCTGATCCTTACAAAGGACACAGATGTATTAAAGAAATGCAATTTTATGTCTTTCCATCTTCAAAAAAAAAGAAAATCTTTTGGTATATAAAGTATTAAAAGTGATTTTTTTTAGAAAGCATTAGTTAAGTTTGGAGAAAGTTTATAGAAGAAAATATTGTCAAATTAAACAAAAAAATGTTAGCAATATTGGATTATCTTTTTAATTAAAAAAATCCTTTGAAAAGTTTTGTACTTGTAAAAAAAAAAATAGAAACTCCCCAAAAACTTTTTTAAACTGACTGTCTTCAAATTTCATTTAAATATATAAATTTCTAATACAGAACAATCACACTTTTCAACTTACTTTTGGAGCAGTCGGCGCCTTCGTATCCATCAATGCAGTCACACTTGCCAAGGTAGCAGCTGCCGTGTCCACTGCAGTCGTTCGGACAGGTGGTGGACACTCCGTCCGCCTCGCCGACCACCATGCTGACCTGCTGCTGCTTCGAGTCGTCGTTGTAGATGCTCATGAACCAGCGACCGGTGTCCAGATACTGCAGGAGACTCACGTTCACCATCATTCCTTGCATGGCCAGAGCAGAACGCTTTTCTCTGCCGAGGGCGGCCACTGTTGGGGGCGACTCGGAGGTGGCAGGAATCAGCTGGTCATGGTCAACAACCAGGGGTGGAGCCTCAACTTTTGTGCCGTCGCCTATAATGACAAAGTATTATAAAAAAATTATATTTTATTTTTTTATTTGTTTGAAATTGCCAGATTTAAAAATTAAAAATAGCACTGCATAAAAAGAATTAAATTTATTAAATATTTTCTACGTTTTAAATATTGAAACTGCCTTTATTCATTATTGAGGAACTAATTATTGGCAAGATTCTTGCTAGTGATAGTGCCGTTTTCCAACAATTCCTTTATGAATAAAATGTTTTATTTCAATTGAATGTACATAAACAATGTATTTTTGTAACAGTGTGGACAACAGTAATAACACTCTAGATTTAAAAAAAAATCAATTTTATATTTTATCTTGAATATTGAAGGACTAACTATTGGCATTTTGAAAGAATCTGTTCAATTTTTTATCACGGTTGAATATGTAATAAAATAAAATGATAAAACGCGTTTTTCAAGCTCGGTACTTACCAAAAGATGTCATGTGCCATTTGTGTGTGGTGAATGTGACAGCGGTGTCCTGGCTGTCGAGGCTCCTCTTCAGCCTGTCCACGCGTCCGCCCTTGATGAACTCGACAAAGTCGTACTGCGTCACACTAGGTGCCACATTCCTGCGGCCGTAGACGGCAAAGTTGGCTCCCCACGGCATCGAGAAGTTGAAGCGGATGAACGCCGGCTGTTTGTTCCTGAACTCGGAATTCCAGAAGCTGTACGGAGGGATTTGCGACGTGTGCGCTTTGCCTAATTCGCGCATTTCCAAGATGGGCAGCTGCTCGCTGGAGGCGGGAGCGGCGCCGGAAGTTATGCCGCCTCCACCGCCCCCGCCCGTCACCGCACTGCCCGTTCCCAGACCTCGCGCTGACGCTGTGCTTGTTGGCATCGATTCTGGCAAAAGAGAAGTTCAAAATTTGTAATTATTGCATCAATAATAAAAAAAATTTATAGGTTTGAATTTCCTATTTGATCAAATTTTATCTAATATAATGATATGAAATGATAAGGTGGCCTCTGCTGGAAAGTTTTGTGTTGAAAATGTACCACTTAACAAGAAGTTATAGTTTGTGATTTATAATTTCAAATATTTTCAATTTAAAAAAAAAAATTAAAATAGAAATATGGATAAATTAAGATAAGCAAATAAAATTTAAACAACGAGTTGAAAAAATAAAGAGTAGTTAAATTAAAAATAATACATAATCGAGTTTTTTAATATATATGTTAATATATAAGTAAGGAATAATTTTTTTTAAAATACGTCAAGTTAATAAAAACTTGTATAAAAAGCTACTTAATAATTTAAAGTTTTCTTATAAATCACAAATTTAATTCAATATTTCTTAACAAAAATCTAGGATAATTTTTTTAGTTTTGCGAATTCCATCTTGCCAAAATTACTTTGGTGAAATTTTGTTACAAAACCAGCAGCATAGCAGGGCATAAATTAAAATAACAAACAGCCATTTACAGCGTAATGGGCATGATTTAGCGCTGTCAGCGAGGCCATGTCTTATTAGCGCACCAAACCGAGGGCTAAAAACACAAAGAAAGGGAGAGAGAGAGAAAAAGGGAAAGGGCGGGCAGAACAATGAATGAAATCCGCGCGCGGACAAAATAAAAGAGAGTATCCATTAGAATTTGGAGGCGCGCCAGCACGAGTGGCGGCGTCGGCCTTTATTTGCGCCGCCTAGGAATTGCCATAATTTTTCACCAAAGTCCCTCTTTCTCGTGATGAGCGGCGTGGAATCTGCCTCGTGTGATATACAACCGCAGCCGCACAAAGAAAACAATTTAGTGGAATAGGAAATGAGAGAGGAATGAAAAAGTCTCGGGCTTAGCCTCGGCAAATGAATTTCGCCGAGAGCGGCCGAGCCGCAACCAACTTTCGGTGTCATTAGGGAGGATTTGGCGGTCTTAAGCCGACCCTTGCTTAGTTGCTCTTGGCATTCGATCTTTTTCTTACCTTCCGTCGGCACTTGCGACGACGTGACTTCGCGGGACGGATCTTCGTCCAAAGACGCAGCCTTGGCGTCCTCGACCAGTATACAACCTGTGCTTTCTATGCCGCTCCTCATCGAGTTTACAGCTGCAAACAGAACAGGCGGCCAGGGATTAAACAAAGCAAACAATTCCACCCTCGAACGCGAAATTAGTGCAAATAATGATGCAGGATGTGCAGGGCCGAGAGTTTCCCAAAAGATAATTTGAGAAGTTCAGCGGAGCGCGGAAATTGTAGAGTCGAACAAGCAGCGAAGTTATTTCATTGTGCTTTGCTATGTTGCAAGACAATGTAACAAGCGAGTCATGAATTTAGATTAATTTGCCGGTTTCTTATCTTGGAATAAATGTTTGGAGCAGCTTCATCTCACTGAATTTTTAAACATTGAATCTCAAAATATTTTACACCTCTACCCAACTTTTAATTCTTGTTTTTATTAACTCTTTAGATTGGTGATAAATGTCGGGCCGAAAGTTAAATGTTGCAAATAATCCTCTGGCGAGACCGTAGCGCGTAAATGAGGCTGAAACGAAGCGCCCCTTTATTGTTATGCAACGCGTCGGACTGAAAGCCGTGCCAGTTGCCTAACACGACGTCTCTCGCGAGCGATTGAAATTAGTATGGAGCGGACAGCGGCGGCTGAAGTGTGTGCTTGCCGACCGAGTTTCTGGCGGATCTATTTGCCATTTCCACACAATATAACCCGCCGACTCGTTCATACACAAAAGTTCCCGAGTGGTGTTCGTCAAACAAACTGCAGCGGGGCCTACAACACTCGAGTTTAATTCGTCTGTCGCTCCACCCGCGATAAATGAAGAGACCTACGTCTCTCTTGTTTGTTTGTAATCAGCGGGCGGCTGTCTTTTATACTTAACGGCGAAACGACATCGCCAGGTGACCGCCGCAAGAGAGATAAAAGAAAGGCAAGAGACAGGCGAAAAGCAGCGCCCAGAGATTTCTATTCACATCACAACGCAGTGGAGAGAGAGATACGGAGGAAAAGTTCTTTGATAATTTAGTTGTGATGACAGCAGTTTACGAAGCAGTTGTCACCCTCCGTGCCCTCTTGGAAAACGACAGACCGAATTTTTGCCAGAGTGGTTTCGCCGAATGTCAGGCAGTTTTGCTCCATTAATGAAGTGACTTTCTTTCCTTCTCTCTTGTTTGACGTTTCCCTAATTACCAGCAGACATATTTAATCAAAACTGCCTGACTTTCTCGTTCTGTTTTTATTTTCAGAAAAACACTTCTTCTCGGAATGAGAACGTTAATTTTAATTAGCCTGTTGTTTAATTTCCCACACTCACAGTATCGAGTCAATTTGCATAATCAAGTCGGAGCTCAAAGTCTCTTCTAATTACAAGAGCGTCCTCTTTTCGCCTCGCTGAATAAATAAAAGTTGGAAATGAACTGCGGTATATAGTGGCACCCGACAGCAGCACACTTTCTCATCCCAGGAGGATCTCGTGCCATTGTTGACCTGCCTAGATATTACAAAAGTCTGTTTCTTCGTCGATTCCCCTTTGGCAAGGTCGGGCGCTGCATCCAGATAGCGCCTTTAATAATGAACGCTCGCCTCTCATTCCGCTCTGCTTTTTGCACAAAGATGGAGCGCTGCATAAAAATTTACACGAATACGTGCCTCCGCGTGATATGCGCACTGAAAGGGGGTTGCAAAGCAGTCTGCTGTGTGTTTCAATTATACCCCCCCGACACAAAAAAGTACGAACGAAACACGACGCGGCTTCTTTCTAGAATTTTTATGAAACACGCCCCGAGCAACTGTTGTGTCCCATTAAGTTTCATAGCGCACTACGCGCGCACACACACACATACACAGAAATTTATTTATTATGGATACGAGCGCGAGAGCAGGCCTGCTTTTGCGCCAAGAAAAATAAAAACAAGCCAAATCTCCTGTTTTTTCGCCTTGTTTTTCTGTGACAGAGTTGGAGAAAAAATAAATAAAAGAAACTCCGCGGGCAAGATAAGTCTGACGTTTCTTTGAATTTGTTATTCGATATTGTTTTTTGAAAAAAGGTCTTGTAAGAGACACAAGGGAAATTAATTTTTTTCAGTTGGATAAATTAAGATGAATTATTCATCTTTAAGAAGGAATCACGGCAATTACTATGAGCTATATTTAATTTGAAATTTATAAAAAAAAAATGGTAAACGTAGATTACAATTTTAGTTGAAATATTTGAATATGCATATATTTAAAAAAAGTATAATATTATACATTAAAATATTTTATTTAACAGGGTTACTAATAAAAAACATTTAATTTTATTATTTATTTTTGCATTAAAACTAATTATTGTTATTTCAACTTTTAATGACATTTAATTTTACAAATATATACTGTTAAATAAGAATGTTGTATAAATTTAAGCTGTTGCCTCTTGATATTATTTAATTTTAAAGATAATTTGGCTTTGATTGATTTGGACGCAGAATTGGTGGTGGATTAACTATTCTGATAAATTTAATTCTTTAATGTGAATTCATGAAGTAAAGAAGCAGTCCCCATAGTAGAGCTACTAAACTTTATCAAACACCCAAGGGAAATCAATTTTTTTAAGTTGGCGGAAATATGAATTATTGATCTATTAAGAGAAAACACGGTAAATGCTGTGAGCTATACTTCATTTGAAATTTTAAAAAACAATATGTTTTCTAGTTGAATTAGTTATTACAATTATTTAAAAAATAATGTTTTTAAAAAATATAATAAAATAGCAATACAGTAAAAAATTCTTTTAACAGCTAATAAATAATAAAATCTGTTATTAAAACTATTTTTAAAATTTTTAATTTTTATATTAAAAACAATTTGTTCATATTATTGTTTGAACTTTTTTAATGATATTTTATTTTACAAATAGATAATTATGAAGTTTAATAAACGATAGTTTATAAATTGATAATGTTGCCTCGTTTAATTAATCTGATTATATTTTGACCCTGGTTCATATATAGTACCTTTTAATTGGTATTATAGTGAAACTTGCTGATAAATTTGGTTATTAAATAATATGTCATATTCAAAAAATCAAGAAGCATTCTGCATTGTAAAGCTATTAAGCTATAACAAGATAATTATTGTTTTTTTTATTATTTAAGTTCATCATGTGGGAACAATCCGTCTCAATTTCGTTTCAAAAAAGTTTCCAAAAACTTTTCCATGGAAGTTTTGTCTGCTTACTGAATAAAATATCTTAACATCTCTCCACTTTAAAACCCGCACTTCATTAAAAATAAAACCGTCTCTTTCGGCGGCGCACGAGTGCGTGCGGTTCTTTTGCAGAACTTATTAAAACCATCACTCTGCGCCTCTCTCGGCCGGAACAGCGGAAAATTCCTCGCGAGTTTCATCCCCGAAAACGATGGATGGATTACACGGACGCTTAATTGTTTGCGAGAAAAATGGCTGCTCATTTTCGTGGCGCTCCGGCAGAAAAGTTTTGTCTTCCTGTCAGACTTTTATACATATTATACGCGCAGTGTTTTCAGCGTCCAAATTAAGGGCCTCTTTCATGTTGCCATTCTTGTCGGCCTTTCTTGCGCCGAGAGAAGGGCTCTTTCCGCGGCGCGACTCGACCCTCCGCGCGCGCACTCTAATCTTATTATTATTTCGCAACAACGTTAGTAGCTGCTATTTCCTGCTAAAATAATGGAAACAAATTTGCGTGAAAGGAAAAGGGAAAGTGCGGCTCGTCGGCTGTTTTGTTCGAGATTAAATTAGGACGGTGACTCTCGCGGCCACCAACGACAATTTTTTTTTTTTGCTCGACGACATTGTTACATTCGTTTGAAAGGAAGAGGGAAAATGAACGAACGAGGGAAAATTCGGTGAGAGCCAGATTAAAAGCTTAACAATATGTGGAGCGGCGAACGCGCGTAATCAAAGTTGGCGCCGCAGTCTTTTTTAATAATGCAAAAAGAGCATTAGCCTAATGAAAAAGTACTTTGGGCGACGCGTAAAACCGCCCCTCGAAATGAAAAAAAGACGTCTTTAATCACATCTGACCAAGTCGATGACACAATGGGACGAGTTTTATTTTCGCAAATTATTCCTCTGTTCAAAATCCTCCGTTTTTATGTCATTTTCAATAAAGACTGAACAGTTTCAAAGATTTTTGCTAAAAATCCAGAAAATTTAAATTGTAAAAATGTTTATTAAAATCAAATAAATATAAATTAAAAAGGAAAGAAAAATACATTTTAATAATTATGGGAACTTGAATATTTAAAAATATTTTTTTTTATATAATTAAAAAATTTAAAAATGCTTAGTTTATTTACTGATAAAAATAATATTTTATGTAATTAAATGTTTATTGCCATTTATGCATTAAATAAGTTTTTAATTAATTTATATATTTTATAGACAATACATTTGTACGTAATTGTAAAGTAAACAAAAATTTGGCATTGGGTTGTAAAACAATTAAGTCAGTTAATTAAAACTATATTCATTAACCGTGTGAAAGACCATATTACAGCAACAACAACAAAAGTCCAAAATTTTCACAGCTCTCCCTGTGCAGATCTAAATAAAATGTCAATTGAAATTATAGCATGAGTTGTACAATTTTTCTCAAAATCAGAAAATTTTAATTCAATTGATATTAGGAAAAAAGCCCTCAATAATGGATCTCATATTAAAATTTAATTTCCTTTCCTAGAGCCATATTTCTATTTTAAGTGAATAAAATGCAGTTTTTTTTAATAATTTAATTTTACCCTAAATTATTCATGTTGGATTTCCATTTAAAATGTAATGCAAAAGCTAACACTGAGGTTTTCTTCGCAAATCTCATAACTCTCCGCAAGACCTCAAACATAGTTGAAATTTAATGACTACTCGCAATCAAAATGACTTTCTAGCTAATTAAACATGACGCTGAGCCTTTGCATAAATCATCTAAGAAATCCGGGGATAATTACCCGTCTGCTAAACTCTCTCGCCGTCGCTCGCTCTCTCTGGAGAGCGAACCGCCTTTGAGTTAGAAGCCCAAATAATAATTATTCAGCGGCGTCTGTTCCCGTTTGATAGTCGGCGCTTCATAAATTACCGCGTGTGTGCTAACGAAAGTGGCTGGAGCGCATTTATCACTGCGGCGCATTAACGGCACGACGAATAGAGAGAACAACAACAGCAACTATACCAGGAGGTGATCACGTGACACGTTAGAGAGGTGTATGTGCGTGATGCATGGCGTTATGCTAATGCATACAGATTTATACTCGCGCTTTATCGTCATTAGTGCGCGACACACGCCGCCCCGCGTCAACACGACATTGGCTCGAAATCTCGTTAGCTCGTTCGGTTGTGACCCGAAAAAGAATCAAACCTTCGCATGAAATTATAGAGACGTGTGTTCGGATGAGAGGTGGAGCTGTGTGCAATATTTATAGCCCGCCTCGCACGGCGCTCCGGCCATAAAACCCAACGGAGGGTCGATAATGCAATATTACTTTCAATACAATCTGCGCGCAAGTTTATTCAACGTGCTTGATATATATTGTTACATAAAAGTCTGATTTGTTGTGCTTGGGCGAAAAATTGCACCATTCTTGCGTCACAATACAAATTGAAAGAGGAGAGTAAAATGTTTAACATTTTCCCTTTTTCTGAAAGAAATTGGGACTCAAAATCGGACGAGAAAAATCGGAAGGAGATTAAATTAAGGTTCTTCAAAAAATAAAAATAAATGTAGTTATTTCTTGCTCATATTTTTTCAACAGTCAAAATTAATTGAAAATTACCAAATGAAAAGCAAAAAAATAATAAATTAATGTAGTTAAATAAATTGGTTTCAAAATATTCAACAGAATTAAATTGTCTCACAATCAGCACATGGAAAATACTTGTAAAATACTATTAAACTTTCCATTTGAGAAAAAAATTCTTCAGCAATTATAAAAGATACACAAATGTTTTTGCAATTTACATATGAGAATAAATTAAATGAAAAATTTTAAGTTTGAAAAAATTTTTAATATAGAATAAACCAATGTTTGAATATATCTCCTCTATCAGATAAAAAGTATTTTATCCTCTCATCCTCTATCAAAATATGTTTCAAAGCTTTCTATATTTTGAATCATAAAAACTGTTTTGTAACAAATTGCTAAAGAGATTCAAGCTGCTTTCAGTCTTATTGAATTTAATCGCGTAAGTGAAGGAAACTGGTAAAGCACAAAGTGCATGAAAACATAATTCATCTCTGCATCTCCGGAAGATAGCAGCGGAGGAACACTTTTTTCCAAGTTCTGCAGTCAGCTGACTGTGCAATCCGTTCCGGCGCTCGTAATTCAAAATTACACAGCCCGAGAGAAGGATAACCTCAATTATCGGGCTTAAGCGGGCTTTGTGATTTACGGCCGACGTCTTACCTGCAAAATAAGCCAACATGGCGGTGAGAGCTAAGACTAAGGGGATGAGCGCGATGCTGGCACATTTCCACGAGCACCGATGCTGGCATCGTTTATCAATATGAAATCGGGAAGGCGAGTATGGAGAGTAGGACGCCGAGGCCGTCGTCGGCCCGTGGGTGACCAGGTGGGCGGGCGCGCCGCTGATGCCGTTGCCGCCGTTGCTGCCCCTGCTTGTCGGGAACACGGGCATCGCGCACGGCGCCGACCCCGGACCCACGGTCATCTGCTGTTGTTGTGCCAATCTGAAACATTAAAAAAAAATGCAAATAAATAAAAATATACTAATTTAATTACGCACAATATTATTTTTAACAACAATAATAAGTATTACAAATTGTTATCTTAATTATCGTAAAATGTTATTTTTTAAGGTTTAAATCACTTTAAAGAGTTTATATAAATTGATAAAGCAAGACAAAATCAAATGTTTTGTGTATTGCATAATTTGACACGCAAATGAAAATTATTTGTATCTGAATATCAATCACCACTATCACTTCTGTAGTAATATTTGGTACGATGTAAAATCATCTAGCAGTGCTCTGTAGACTGTATAACTTTATTTCAAATAAAATAAATAAATGAGTAAATTGTGAACCTCAATTCAAAGATGTTTGGAAAGTAGTCATTTAATCAAATTAACAATTTTAAATAAAAGAAATTCAATATTTTTGGAGCATAATTGACGAGCAAAAACAAGCACCGAAAGGACAATGCTTGAATCTTAAACAAAAGTTAATGATCGAATATTTGATTATTTTGTTTATTTTCTTAGTTATTATGATAATTAACATTTTGGATTTTTATTTATTCAGTTTTTTTTTAAATCTAGGAATACATAATATTCTCGTGTCTCTGAAGCTTTTTATAAGAATATTACTTTTGCATTTTTTACTGGTTTCAATTCTACTTGTAACCTTATTTGTTTGCAATAAAAATAACAAAAGATTATTTAGAATTCTTACACAGAAAGCTAGAATTTTTAATTATCATTGTTTGAATTAAGTTTAAATATTTTTTTGTCCAAACTTCATCTTTTTTAGCAATTTAAAGATTATCAAAAAATAATTTATTTATATTTGACCACTTATTACATTATTATTTTTGCATTAATTAAATTAAGCAAAGGTTTGGCGTTTATAATACGGAAGTTCACATGACGTCAGTGATTGTGCGCGCTGCGAGGGTTAGATGCACGGAGCGCTCAATCTCTGTCGTTTGCATAAACAAGAGGCGGCGGGCGACGTCGTTAGGGCGAGGGCCAGATTTAGTGGTTGACACACATCCGTACTGAGAACAGTCAGGGTGGATGCTTGGTTGCTGTGTGCGTCTCCAGTTGCTTTATGTTATTATTATTACCGGCGGCTGCGGCGCGAGTCTGCCCCTGGCTGGTTAGGCAAACTGTAGAACAATGCACGTCTATTACGGACGCGGAGAGGGAGAAAGCGGACCAAAGCCTGCTTCTTTGCCATTATGGACATGGTGTAATTACACTCTGCCGGCTGCTGGATGATGACGTGTACCAGCAGAGGAAGCTCGTCAAGTGCCCGTATGCTCTTCAACTATTTAATACCCCAGCCGCCGCTTTTTCGCTCCACGGCCAGTCTCTCTCTCTCTCCGCACGGAGTCTGACTGCCGGGGATTTGTGTCAAATCAAAAGACGCAGCGCCCGAATTTCGCCACTCTAATCCTCTTTAAATTTCATTCGGCAACCGCGCGGAAGTCGTACCTCTGCAGCTCTTTGGTTAGGAGAGAGGAGGGTACCTTGAATTCCGAGCGTGGAATTAGAATTTCAAGAGCACTTTTGATCGCAGAGTCTCTCTTTTGCGTTTTGTATGTGGAAGCAGAGATCACTTTCAGCGTGTCTTACGACATAAGTATTATGACTTGGTTAATGGAGGGATTGTGCCAAGTTGCTCAATGTAAATTTATTACAGTTTAAATAATATTAAAATTAATAACTTTTTATAGTTGATTCTGATGATACAAATCTTGTGTCTCATAATAATTATTCACTAAAAATTTTATTTTTATTGGAAAAAAATAGCTTCGATCAATTCTTGTTTTATGAGATACAAATAGAAAATGTAAATCCAAGCAAGGGATTATAAAAAAGATTTTATACGTTTTCTTGTCAACTGGTGTTTTTCAACAAGTGACCAAAACTGGTCATGAAGAATTAAAACAACTTTTATTATGATATATTGGGATGTTGATTAAAAACTCTGTTGTGTTAATGATAAACTGCAATTTCTTTTACCACCCCTCAATTCTATGTACGATTTATGAACTCAATTTTCCTCCTTTTTTGCAGATTTATTACTACCCACATCACGCATCTGCTGTTCAGAACTGAGTAAATCATCAAACCCAGTAATCGACTAATGATGCAACTTAATTAGTTGGAATGGACGGAAATTCCCCCGGTCCAAATTACCGTTTTACCAGGCGCCCTTGTTATTTCCCTCCAGCACGCAAACCGACTCATTTTCTGTGTGTTTTGGGAAAACTATAATACATCGAGGGGGAGCGTCAATGCAGTCCGACGAGAAAATAAATAAAACGCGCGCATTTTCAATAATGGCGTGCGCGGCAGGTGTGAAACGCACTTTCGGAAAAGTCCTTCGGCGCAATAAACGCGCACTTTATTGAGTTCTGCGTGTAATACATGAGTCATGACAAGGAGGGCTCGAGAGAAAGAAATGCGGCGGCGGCGGAAAAATGAATTGCATCCCCTGCTTTTTCGCTTTCTCCCCGCAGAACGATCGCTCTTTTAGATCAGATCGCTCCCCACAGCCTCGTTTTTTGACGAGCAATCACCCGAACTTGCTTGGCTGGGCGTGGAAATCGGCAAATCTATCATGATTGAGTGGCAGAAACCGCGAAAGTGTTTGATACACTGCGAGTTTGTTTGCCGCGTCCGGAATTAATTCGAGAGAAAAGCACAAGTTTCTCTCTCTCGCAATCCGTCCCGGCACAACTTTGCTTTTCAAAATTTAAGCGGCAAAAAGTTTTGCGACAACTTTATACGTTCTCAAGGCTCTGGCGAGAAGTCGTTTGCACTCTAAATCCCCTTTCTCGGCGACAGCATGCATATAGAGCTACTCATTGCATCTGGAAAATAGCAACACGCGCGCGCTGCACTGGGCAATAAAAAGAAAGAGATGCCGCTGACGGCACTAAAGAGCGAGCAAAAGTCGAACTAGATGTTGCTGCGATGCATGACTCGTTCGTGCACACGGTTTTTGCACTTTACAACTTGTACACCCTGGATGTGACCCGTCCCGTCAAAGAGCACGCTATCCGCTGACATTAGCCCCGCGGACTGTAAATGCTCCCGGGGCACAGCTGAACAGGGGTGGTGGAACATGATTCAGTTACTTAATTCAATAGACCAAAAAATAATTATAAATTTTAGAATATTGTAACACTCAGGGTTACTTTTGATTCAGATCCAATATGTGAGTTCTGCTTGTTATTTATTTTAAAGAAGACAAAAATAAAATTTTATTTTTTAAAATAACATGCTATATTTATCATTTTTAAAGAGAATAAAAATTGTTTTATGTAAAATTTAAAAATTAATTTTTCTTATAATTAAATTTTATTTAAAATATTTAAAATATTTTTCTATAATGCTCTTATCTACAGACTGACTTAAAAATAATAATTTATTAACTGTAGTTAATTTAAATTCTATTTATAATTTCTTCACTCATTGAATTGATATATACCCAAATATATTATTTTTAATACTTACCAATGCTTAGGAATGTAGCTTTTTTTTAAATTATTTATTGATAAAAGATTAATTAATATCATGTTTAATCAAAAATAATAAAAGGTTGAATTTTTTACTTTTCACGTAAAAGTCGTTTGAGGTAGGTGGATGTGCCAACGGTGCGCTCTAATTCCGCACATATCGTTCTGTTTGAGGTGGCTCGCCACAGAAACGTGGATGCAACATTGGCATGTTGGTCTAGCAATGTTCGTACAGGGGGCATTAAACGCGGTTGTAACCTGTGCACAGAGATCATCTGAATCCGCCGCAGATGGCCGAACAGTCGTTAAGTTGTTTACGACTGCTAATTGGAGTACACCGACTTGCTAGTTTAAAACTTTTTGAAAAGATTTAAAAAAAATTAATTAGTTTTCCTCTTTAATGTGAAGTTCTAAATCAAAGGTAGAACTATATGCTTGTTGAATAATTATTTTTCCCAATTTTCCTTATAAATAAATAAAAGTATCTTGTTAAGTTGCTCTCTTTGCAAAATGCCTCAAAGCGACTTTCAATCAAGCTTCTCCGGAAGATTAATTCAAAGAAAGTACCGCCGTTTCTGCAGAGTAAAAGTCTGCGGCGGAGTTGGCTTCCGTTCCGTGCATGCCGGAGAAAAGTAATTTCATATCGGAAATATGCGCATTGAATTAATTCCCAGTGCACATCACGTTCAATGCAAATAGCGACTTCCTTTTTGCTGCACGTTCATTTTCTCGGAGCTTTTTTGTGCTCGAAGATAGCGATCTGTGCAAGTCTGCAGCTGCGACGAGTTCTCAGTCAAATGCAAATGAGAGAGAGAGAGAATCGAAACCGATACCAAATCTTTTTTAATTAGAGGGGGTGACCGTCCGTCAGCAGGCAGGAATTTCCAATTTCACACGTGGCCAACTCAAGCATCAGCAAGTTAATTTATGTTTTTCGTCTGGGGAGTTGCGAGCAAGAGAGCCAGACGCGATATATTACACACAGGCGAGTGTATCTCCAAAACACCCCCCGTAGCAGAAATTATCGCGCGCGCCTCTCTTTGAGTCACTCATGCATTTTGTTAGCAGCAAAGAGTAGCGCGGGGAGCAAGCAAGGGAGGGTCATTGTTGTGTTTGTTTGGCGGCCGAGTGCGCGTTGCTTAATAAAAAGCGATCAGATATTGCCGGCTGAGTGACTGTCGACGACTGGATAACGAGATTACATTCGGCCTTACCGCACTCTGGGAATTCGCACTTGCCGCCAAACCGAACTCGATGACGTAACCTTTGATATTCATCCAACAATACGAGCAGACACGTCAAAATAGCAGTAGATCTCAGAACAAAAATTTGAAATATTTATTTGAGTATGAAAAAGATTTAATAACTTAATTTTGTATTTTTAAATTTAAAACAAAATTTAAAATGTATAATAATACACTTTATTTTGTTTTCTGATAAAATATTAAAAATGTTTTTCCGTTATTTGATTGATAGTATA